CAAATCGAAGTCAAATTGATCTTATCGTTAAATTAGGTATAGTGTCCGTTCACCAAACTAATTCTTGAGCAAACAAACAAGAACATGTTTTACAGCTCTAAACAAAAATAATCTTCCAGCTTTGCTTCGAGATTATCAATTAATTGTTTCAAATCTAAGCTTTGAATGAACATATTTTGATCTATTTTTTATTAAAATTCATATGGTTTGAATATGCCATGAACAGATCATGAACACATTAAATCAATCAAATATAAAGTATTTAGAGAGCAGAAGCAGGTAATTCTAATCATTTTTAGTTTTAGTCATTCACCAAAAATATGCTCGACTTAATGACACATTTTAAACTGATAGTTATATCAATAACGCTATTCCATTAACTGAATACTTAGACCTTTGTACTGATATAATGGGCTTTGATTAACCCAAAAATTAAACTTAACTTTAACATTGACTCTGAGTTGAAATTAAAAGAAAGTTAAAAGCTGTAAAACATTTTCAAGCTTTTGTTTACTCAAAGAATTAGTTTGGTGAACGGACAGGGAACCAGTGTAATCATATGAACTTGTACATATAGTGTTTTTGAACATTTGTGTAATCATTTGTTGAAGGACAACTATGGTTTCTTTTTCCAACTTGTTTGAACATATTCATGCCATCAAAATAGGAAAAAGAATCTCACATGATTTCGTTCTGAAATGAAAAGGATAAATATTCTTTGATACTTTCTTGTGAAAAACTACAAAAGGAAAAAGTGTTACTGAAAGCTTCTTAATATAGATCAGTAAGTGAAAAAAAGAGGAATTATTATGCTTATGTATCCTCTGGTTAGTGATATTGAGCAATTATGAATTATATGGCAGCATCAAAATTTCGAGTTCCTATTATTTGTTTGGTTCCATGATTCGGCTCCAATCGCCCCATCCACTAATACTGTCTTTCTTATTGTCACTAGTTAAAGATGGTTTGAAAAATTTGCTTCTATAATAACGCAATTCAGTTATACAGTCTCTAATATCATCTAAAGCTCTGTGAAGGTGTCTCTTTTTGAGATTGACTTCATCTGGATACCACCGCCTTAGTAAGAAAAGAAATCAAAATGGATTAATATCATGATAAAATAAATCTGGATGCTCTTACTTGATAACTTCTTTAAAACTAGAAACATCAATTGTCCGATAGTGGAGAAGGGATGAAAATTTAGGACAATACTTGGAAAGAAACAGTTTATCATAGGCAATTGAATTACCAGCTAAAACAGCTAATTTCATATTCCTTGACATCAGTAGATCATGTAATTGTTGATCAGCTTGTTCAATAGTCAATTGTGATTCGAGACAAGCTTTGTAGAGACCAGTTTTAGTATGATTCCGAGTACACCAATCATCCATGTTTGACAAAATATGAGGATCTGTCTTTATTACCAATGGACCAAGGGTTGCAAGTTCATTTAGATCCGAATCAGTGATTATAATAGCAATCTCAAGAAGATAGTCTTTATTGATATCTAGGCCGGACATCTCACAATCAGCCCAAACAATATCGGGATGAGTTTCATAATAGTGAAGCTTGGTCTCATCAGGCATATCCATTTTTGCTGTAGAACACGTTTTAGATGAAAATGAAATTGGTGATCCTATTAAAGATGATGGTAATAAACAAAATGATGGTATATTGTTGACTAATAATGAACCGATAAGCTTACGATGACCTTGTGAATGGTGAATTAAACGTAAACCAGATTTAATCATGGATAACGAAAGAGAGATCAATCAAGTAAAAATATCCAACAAGTCCCATAAAAACTGTTTGCCTATCAGATTTACAGTCCTCTCAGTTGTCATCATGTGGTTGAGGTAAACAAATGGCTACGTAGCCTTGGTTTACTTTCTTCATATCTTAACATCACAATGTTTTTTAGAGAAATCAATATAATATTGGACAATTGTTCTAATTTTCCCAATCTGTTGTGTGTTAATCAGAATTTTAAAAATACAGCCATGTAACATGTTTGGATAAAAGAAAAGCTCAATTCCTATGCACACTATACATTATTTACACACATAGTGTTTGAACTTTATTGATACACGTAATTTAAGCTTTTATTGAGTATTTTTAATTAGTTTGCGAAAAAAGTACCAGAATCTCTTCTATATAAAACTCTTTTACACCCTTTATCAGTCTTACCTACGAGTAGTGCAATAAAAACGGTTTTTTCAGCGATAGCAAATTTTCATCGATAAGATTTCTCATATTCTTGAAATAAGCTGCAACTTTGCAGTTACCATATTACAAAAAAAAACGATACATTGAGCTTAATTATTGAACTAAATAATCTTCAGTTATTATCTTCAGAGATTCGGTTGTTGCCATTAAAGAATAATTTCATAATTTCCTTACAAATATGATCTTGTCCAATTATTCTGTTTTTGTTTTAATGGTAATAATTGTAATTTCTTCGGTGAAACAGCTCAAAACTTTTTTAAGCGTTTTATGGGTATTAGCGTTTGAGTATAAGGGATTTTTTATATTCTGTTTCTCTACAGCTTCTTAGACGCAGTTAGATCAAAATTTGATAAATTTATTCATCTTTATCGATATGTCCAGTGATTCCGTTTGAAAAATTGCCATTACTTCGGACCCATTTCTCTTTGTTTACATCATTGTTGGAGATTCTGAGCAACTCTTATCTTTCTCATATCTCCTCAACAGGCTATTGCTATCGCAATCAACTCATTGAAAAAAATATTTTGCTTGCAGGTCATCCGACTTGTAACTGGCTTCAATGCTTTCCTTACTAATTTACATAAATGTTACAATAAATATAATCGGCAAATGTCATCGTGTTGCAATGAAAACACACTTGATCTTGTACAATTGGTTACAAAAATTTATTAGATCCACGAGGATTAGCGAATCTGGAATTAAGAAGTTTAGCTTTATCCACAATTGATTTGGCGTGTTGCGAATCCATCTGTTTAATTTTCAAATCTTCTTCCGGGTTGAAATCGAACAATGATCGCGTTTGTTTCTCTTCGGGTTTCTGTTCAGAAAGGACAAAAAGTGTTTTTTAAAGTCAATTCAAAAAGTCAATTTGCATATTTTGTTATTTTATCGGTGTCATAACTTACCTTTGTTGTGAGCTGTTTTTTATGTATGTCAACCAATGCATCAGGTCTTGTAATTTTCTGAATAAAAGAAGAAAAAGTATAATTATGATTCTGATTTGGATTGGGATTGAATTATCTAGTTATGACAATACTTACATTGTATTGATCAACGGATTCGCTCAATTCTGTATCCTGCTCCACCGGTTCAATTTCCTTTGATGAGACTGGTTTTTGAGCAAATCGGGTCATTGATTGACCAAAACCTAATTTTCTAGCCACTGAGCTTGTTTCAGGTAGAGAGGCGATCCATTCTTCTCTGAGACTTACTTTAGGTTTTGATTCGTCTTGTTGAGATCTCTGATGTCGACTTTCTTCAACTTCAATGAAATTTCCACTCGGAGGAAGAGGTCCAATCGTGAATTCATCATCATCATCATCACTATTATCATCAACGTTACTATTGTCTTTAATCCCGTTTGAATTACTAGAGTTCTTCTTTGGTAAATCAGCCCTAGCTTCAGGATATTTGTCTTTTGAACTGGAAAAATTTGGAGGTAAAGTAGGTCCAATTATCTTCTTCTCGTCTTCTACCGATTTTTTCAGTGATTTACTTCCTTTTTCAAAGAGTTTGTCTTTTATATCAGCAATGTCGTCTTCCTCTAAACCCCGTTTTTTCACCAAGTTTGGAGGTAGAGCAGGTCCGATCATCGAGCCATCATCTTCCTCCGGATCCTCGTCTTTTTTTGACCACCCTGGAGGTAATACTGGCCCAATCACCTCTGGTTGATTATCATCTTCTGACACTTTATTCTTTAGATGGTCAGGTAAAACTGGTCCAATGAAATTACTCATCATAAACAATTACAGTTTCACTAGGAAAGTTGCAAAGGAACAGCTGATTTTCGCATATGCGAAACAAGACTAAAGCAAGAGTGTTTCGAAAGAGAAATGTAATCTTTATTATCTAAAACTTGAGACAATTGTCACGACGATTGAAAAATAGAAAATTATAAACTTTATCTGAATAAAATCGAAATAAAATTTAAATTTTAGCCACAACTTAATGGAATCAACCACTTTAACAGCTAAAGTTTAGCTTTTATTTTTTCTTAACATACTTTCCCTTTAAGCATGTTACCATGGATAAGAAATGATTTAAAATTGAAATTGGTATCAAATTCAAACTGCAATTTTCCGACAATAGAAGTGTTCATAATTTTACCTTTTAGATCAGATTCAATCTGCTTTTTTGGAACCATGATGCACATGTAAACGAAATAAAATTCTTACCAAAGATAAAAACAATTCATATTAATATAAAATGTATATGAAAAACTTTGGTTTTTTTGCAGTTGCAAATTATTATTGTGATGTTATGTCAATACTGACATTTTATTTAACAGATTCGCTCAATTCTGTATCTTGTATCGGTTCAGTTTCCTTTGATGAGACTGGTTTCTTAGCAAATCTGGTCATTGATTGACCAAAACCTAGTTTACTAGCACTGTGTTTTTTAGGCAGAGAAAGTGATCTCTGATGTCGACATTATTCAACTTCAATAAAATTTCCGATTGACACGATCGTGAATTCATTATCATCAATGTAATATTCTCCTTGCTATAGTTTGAATTAATAGAACTCTCCCCTAACAGATCAGCGCTCGCTTCATGATACCAGCCTTTTAACCTGGAAAAATTGGAAGTCTAGTCTCGCTTTGCTTTTGAAATTTTCCAGTGAAAAGCTGATTATCGAATAGGCAAAACATAATCGTTACAAAAACAGACGACTGAATACTAAAAAATTTATTGAAATATAATAGTAATTTCAAATGATAACAGCAACTTAATGAGATCAAGCACTTTAAGAAGTTTAGCTTTATCCACGATTGATTTGGTTTGATGCGAATCCATCTTTCAAACTTTCAACGCTTGATGGAACTGGTTTTTGAGCAAATCGGTGTGCTATGTTGTGGATTCACTATGCTTGTTTCAGGTAGAGAGGCGATCCATTCTTCTCTGAGACTTCCATTAGGTTTTGATTCATCTTGCTGAGATCTCTGATGTCGACTTTCTTCAACTTCAATGAAATTTCCACTCGGAGGAAGAGGTCCAATCGTGAATTCATCATCATCATCATCACTATTATCATCAACGTTACTATTATCTTTCATCCATATATTTTTCCCGTAAAATCTTCCTCATACTCTTCAGATCATTGTATCTTCTTCTCAATAGTTTTGGCGGTTCTTGAATGGGTCCGATAAACCCTTCGATAAAATCTTCTTGCGGAGGATCGACTTTTTTCCACCATCGAGGTAATACTGGTCCAATAAACACTGGTTTAGTTTCATCTTCTGATACATTATTCTTTAAATGGTCGGGTAAAACAGAGCCACTGGAATTACTCATAATAAACGATTAAACTTTCGCTCCAATAAGAAATACGCAAATGAACAGCTGATCTTCGCAAATGCGAAACAAAATTGAGGAAGAAAAATGTAATCTTTTTGAACTAGAACTTTAGACAATTGTCACAACGAGTTAAAACTGAAAACTTTACCTAAACAAAATCGTTAATTTAAACGATAACCACAACTTAATGGAATAAAACACAAAGAGTTTACTTTACTATTTGACTTCAACAGTCAAAGTTTTCAAAGAGTAATGGCAAGAAAGAGCTCGACAATGAGCGCTTTAAATAAGAGAGATAAGAAGTTTAAAGGATCAGGAAAAGAGGGAGTTACTCTTCGCTTCTTGTAAAGTTAGCTTTTATTGTTTCTTTGCATACTTTCCCTTAAGCATGTTACCATGGATAATGAATGATTATCATTTAAAATTGAAATTGGAATCAAATTTAAACTTTAAATTTCTGTCTATAAATTTTCCATAATTTTACCTTTCAGATCAATTCATTAACTTCGTTGAAACCACAATTCACATGGAAAAGAAATGAAATTCTTGCCAAAGGTTTAAACCATTGATAAATACATTCGTAATTTATTCATTTATAATAATTTTCGAGGTGAATCCATTATTATCGTCCTATTAGATATGCAATTATTACCAGACCAAGTTAAATTTGCTAATCACGTTTTTATGAAACAATAGATTAGTTCGGAATGAATCCATTTTTATGAACCTTACATTCTGATAAAATATTAGTTGTGAATTTGTCCGTTTGGATGCATCTGGTTTAGTCAATTGAACTTTTTAGGTTTTAAACGACTATAAATAAGTTGAACTGAATTCATCTATGATTAGCTAAGATCTATCAATCAATTTAATTAACCTTGATCCTTATTTCAAGTTGTAAAATAGTCAATAGAGTTTATTTCAAGCATTTCGCATTAGGTGCAGAGAGAAAGGGGTGTAACCGAGTGGCGCTTTAAGCTTGATACCGGTTGTAAGGTAGTGAAGTCAATGACTATTAAATTTTCAATCGTCTATTAATTCTTAATTCTTTTTGTTCCGACTACAAGTTTTTATTGAATTTAAGTTATTTAAATTATTTACTACTATTAAAGGTAAGTCTGTTAATTATTATTCAAACCGATATTGTTAATATTAATCGCTGTCTGGGATATACATTTCAAGACAAGCTGATTTAATAAGAGAAGCTCCATGTGGTTTCAGGAAATTTCTAGAATTAGTGAGTCTTAAGTATACCTTTCTAATCATTGTCAATTTAACTGTGATAAGTTGAGTCTGTCTATTTAGTGGAAATCGAATTTCTCGATTGTGTTTCGTGTAAATCTTCCAAAATCATTCGGCAATCTAATTTTTGTACTGATATTTTGCTTGCTTACTCTCCTTAGTAACCTTCCCTTTGTGTAATAAGTGGTGAAGAGTGAACACATAACTGCCTTACTCATTTTGGTTAGCTTTTTAGAATCTCAATCAGCTCATTATTTCTTCTGTTTATTTACTGTGACATTATTTGAATTAATCTCTAGTGCTTATTCAGTTCGGTGTAACGTTTTGTTAATTTAATTTCTTGTCTTTTCTCACCTTTAGCGATCAATTGAACCAGTTGTTTTGTTGAGTTATTTTCAATTTTACTTCTGTGTTCTATCTCTCTGTCTTGTATTTCATACCTTGCTTTTTTTGGATTTTCAACTTCAGTGGTGGTGGTCTTCTATCTATTGACTTCTCGACCCGGTGAATTTTTTAGCTGTTAAATCTAATCATCACATCATGTCATCAACTGGTCAACCAACACAGGCATCAATTTGCGGATTTGATGTTGGTAGTGAAAACTGTTACATCGGAGTTGCCGCTCAAGGTGGTATTGAAATTATTTTGAATGAATACTCTCAACGTTCAACGCCTTCTTATATCTCTCTTAATGATAAGCAAAGAGAGTTAGGAGTATCTGCTAAGCAAAAACAATTAACCAACTTGAATAACACCTTCAATGGACTTTCTCGATTGGTTGGTAGACAATTTAATGAAGTCACTGCTTCTGAAAATTTATCTTTTCCGGCTGAATTATCAGACACTGGTGAGCTCGCTGTTAAAGTGTGGATCAATGATGAAGAAGTCACCTACACAGCTACACAATTATTAGCTATGCTTTTCACCAAACTACGTCAGGTAGCTAATAATGCGGTTGACTGTGTTATTAATTGTGGCAATTGGTTCACGGATGGCCAAAGAAGAGCATTAAGAGATGCTGCTGCGATAGCTGGTCTCAATCCGATAAGAATTTTAAATGACATGACTGCTGTCGGTATTTATTATTCTTTCTATAGAGTCGGTAATAATACATCCAATGCGATTGTCGGCTTTGTAGATGTTGGTTCATCATCAACTCAATGTGCGATCATATATTTCGAGAAAACGGTTCTTCAAGTTCTTGCTGTTGAATATGAGCCTAACCTTGGTGGTAAACATTTCGATGCGCTTATATCCAACCATTTTATTAAGGAACAAAACCTAACCTTATCCAAGAGAGCTTACCTTCGATTAACAGCTGAATGTGAAAAATTGAAGAAACAAATGAGTGCAAATAGTAACCTATTACCAGTCAATGTTGAATGTCTACAAGATGACAAAGATTTCTCTGGTCGTATGGATAGAGCTACTTTTGAAAAGTTGGCCGAAAATCATCTTCAAGCGATTGAAAATGTGTTCAAGAGAGCTCTAGAACGAGCTACTGCACGTTTTAATGAATTAGTAGAGGAAAAACGAAAAAGAGAAGAAGAAAGCAAAGACGCTAAAAAAAGTGAGGAATCGAAAACGATGGAGTTTAAAATTAACGCTGTTGAAATTGTGGGTGGTGCAAGTCGTATTCCAGCTATTAAACGTTTTATCAAAGATATTTTCGGAGTTGAAGCATCAACCACTCTTAATGCTGATGAAGCGGTTGCACGTGGATGTGCTCTGCAATGTGCTATGTTAAGTCCTTCTTTCAGAGTTGCTCGTGATTTGCAGATCATTGATTATGCACCATATCAAATTAATTGCAAATACTGGCATGATTTGGAAAAAGAAACTAAAATTCACGTAGTCAGTCCACTTTTTATCAGAGGCTCTCCTATGCCTTTGACTCGTCAAATAATTGTTACCTGTCGATCTTTACCAATGGTATTTGAATTAGAATACATTTCAGCCAACGGTCATACCACTTCAATTGGCCAATTCAAAGTAACTAGCCATGATCCAATCGAAATTACTGGCAATAAGATGAGAGTTCGAGTAAGACTAGATGCTGATGGTTTAGTTGCTGTCACTGGAGCGAGTATCCAGATGGAAGACAAATCCGGTGGTAATACTCCAGAAACTAAAGCTAACGAAAACATTCCTAAAGAACAAAATGCCCAAATGGATACTGACGATAGTTCCAGGGATGCCAATTCTGTTGATCAACAGACTGGAGCATCACAACAGCAACAAGAAGGACAATCAGGAAAAGATGCATCTAAAGATAGCAAACAAGCTAATAAGGTTAAATTGATAAGTGTTGATCTTGTGGTAGAACCACTTTGGATCCGTGGCAAATTATCAGAAAGAGATTTAGCTAATTTACAAGAAATAGAAGCTAATTTAATTTTAAATGATAAAAAATGGAAAGAACTTGTCGATGCTCGTAACGAGTTGGAAGAATATGTTTACGAATGGAGAGATAAATTAGAAGAAGGTCGCTATGACTGTTACACTCAACAAACTGACAAACAAAATTTCCTAGTGGATCTCAAAAGCACAGAGCAATGGCTGTATGAAGATGAAGATGCCGGATCAACTCAAAAACGAGCTGTTTATGTTGAGAAATTAACCACCCTTAAATCCAAGTTTAGCGATGCTATTGTTTACAGATTAAGAGAACATGAAAATCGTCCCGGTGTATTGGAACAATTGGGTAAAAGTATTCAAATGGCTCAAAAACTGATATCAACACCTGAAAAGGTTGATGAGGGTAAAATGATTAAATTGAAGCAAACTTTTGAAGAGACACAGAAGTGGCTTGAAAACACTCACAATATTCTGACTCAAGCTCCCACATATAATGACCCACCAATCACGATTAAAGACATCAGAGAACGTATTGATATTATGGAAAGTTCTAATCGTGCCGTCATGGAAGAGATCCAACGAATTCGTGTTGAGAGACAGCGTGAAGAAGAACGCAAAAAGAAAGAAGAGGAAGCAAAGAAGAAGGAAGCTGAAAGTCAACAACAGCAACAATCTGGTGGAGATGCACCTCCAGAATCCAATGAACCTGGAGCCAACCCTCCAAATAATCAACCTATGGAAGTTGATTAGTTTTGTTTTCTCATCATTCAATTAAAAACTTCGCAGACTAAAAAACCTATTGGAGTTAATACAAGCGTTATTAACATATGGATTATCAACTTTTTTCTTTGGTTCCAATTAACCCTTCTAACTTGAAAAGATAGATTCGTTATCTGATCTTTATTTGGACTTCGTTGAATCGGATCAAAGATAACTGCTTTATTTATAAAAAATAATGCTCTGATCTACAACATTGTTCTGTCTTTTTTGTAACTAAACTACACCCAGTGATTTAAAAATGTAAACATGAAAATGCGAAAATTATTATTTCAATCCACCGGACCTAATCTAATTAAGAATGTGCACCGAAATTCTTTTATTTTCTGTGCAGATTTTCCTTTTTGATATTTTAATGATTGCCCTTAAAACAATATCTCATTGTCTAACTGTCTTATTTAAAAATGTTGCTAGATCATGGCCAATCTAAGAGACCAATTAAAATACTAAAGAATTAACTCTCATAGAAGATTGAACATTTTTGTTAATGCATTTCGTAAAATTGGAAATAGCTATGTTTAATATCGTAATAATCAACGATGTTTCAACTCTAAATGAAACCAATCTAACAATCATCCTTCAAAACTTGTCATTTTTCAAAAACCCAGTGATTAAAGATGTATTTAAAATCATTAAAGAAGCATGTTAACTCTGATTTATAGCTCGATTTAGTCAATGTGAATCACGTTGCAACTAATTTATGCTAACAAAAATTAAATAAAAGTTTTAAAATAAACCATATTTTTAAATTACTTTCTGAATAATTTTGGCCAATCCATCAAACATTATCTTCAACTATTAATAGTTGACAAAAAATGAATTGAACGACGCTTAAAAATTCCGCCATTTTTTTATTTTTTTGTCTTTCCAATTTCTAGTAGTGACATCTCTTGGTTTGATTAGCTTTTTTCAGGTTTGAAAACAAACAAACATTTTTAAAGAGCTTTTACTTACCTTTATTGACAATTTTGTTTCTTATTTTCATCTAATCAAATTCACGTTGTTTATTTACACAGAGTTCAAATCTTGTTCTATTAAGCTTTGAATATGGATATTCCAGTCGACAGAATTCCTCGTACGCTTCGTAATCTTCGGGCCTGTTTGCTTTGTTCACTCGTTAAATCTTTTGAGCAGTTTGAAGTGGATGGATGTGACAATTGTGAATTTGTCCTGGGTATGAGAGGAAACCGTGAAATGATATTCGACTGTACATCTTCAAATTTTGATGGTATGATTGGTGTCACTCAACCAGATGAAAGTTGGGCTGCCAAATGGTTAAGGATTCCCAGTTTCAAGCCTGGAATTTACGCTGTTAGTGTATCTGGAAGATTACCGCCAACTATATACAGAGAGCTTAAATCAAGAAATATTCCTTATAAATCAAGAGACCGTGCTGCGTAAATATCTTTTAGGTTAAAAAGTGGAACTGAAAATTTTACAACTCTATGTGATTTTGGCTTCCAAGTCAATCTAAATTTAGTTCAATTGTTTTCTTAACTGTAACCACACCCTGGTTTTTGATGATCTTTTCCTTACCAATAAATGTTCATTTAAAATAATTTGATTATATAATGTTTACAATCAAATATTTAAATATAATTTTGCCATTTATAATTCTTGCAGCAAAACACACACACTAAAGCTTCGGCTAAAAGGATAACCAAACTCCTCACCGTTTCTCCTGTACTTTAATATTTTCAAAGTAATATCATAAATTAATTGAACGCAATTAAATGTTTAACTTTATACACAGATTATTAGTCCCGTAATTATCTTACAAATACATACAAATTTTATTTACTTAACCATTAAGGGTGTAACTCAATGAAAAAAAAACGGTGAGCACAATTAAGGTTCAATAATAAACCTAAAAAAGTCTTAAAGTTAAACACACATATAAATATACATTTAATTTTGTTTTATTTGTGCATTATTGACTAATAAATTGAGTAGGCAAGTTGATTGATTCAAAATCAATTGTAATTCCAAAACATGATATTTTATGGTGATGAAGATTAGATAATTCAGTTTAGCCTTTCATCGCCGGTTAACATTACAACTAGATTAGGGTTTAACCTTTCAATCCTTAAGTCAGACAATCAAATGAAAAGGTAAATTTGTATTTACTCAAGTTGACTCCATGAAATTATCAATCAGACAATTAATTCAGTAACATTGTCGGAGTGCAAAAACAACACTTTCAGCTCGGACTACTGAAACTAAATGTTAACAACAAAAGGCTTAATTATTTGACCGATTCAATTGATTATGGTTAAATCTATGGCAAGATCAACATTGAATAATGTTAAATGTTGACGGTTTCATTGGATTACTCAAAAAGCCCAATCAGTGAAATGAAGTGAAGTTAGATTTGTTTAAAGTCAAGTCAATATTTTCAATGGTATGAACTTAAAGGTGAGTTTATTTGAACAAGGTAAATAGCTGTTGTAAACTTACAAATAATCAAGTGAATTGTTAAAGCGTCTTTTTACACTCTTAATCACAATATTAATTTCAAATGTTTCAATCAATCCTTATACATTGAACTGTTGAAGGGACAGCAAAAGAGAGTGGAATTGACCTTAAATTATCGGCTTTTACTTCATCTTTTTGTCTTTTTTATCTTCATTCTCATCTTCATCATCCACTAAGGAACCATTCTTATCATGCTTAGTGTCAATAATATTTTAAAAGCAAAACAAACAAATATAAACATTGAAATATCTAAAAAAACGGCAAAAAAGCCAAAAAAACTGGCCAACTCAATCCATCTATATTTGAATAAAAAGCCTCTCATTCAAGGTAAACATTGGTTGGTAAAACATATCTTTTTGCATTTACCTTAACAATCAAATTGATTGTTATAGAGGCCATTGTAAATAATTAACAGCGACAGTAAAATGAGACTCAATATTAAATTCAAGATTGGCTTTGAAATTAATTTAACTGATTGAGTTAACCTAGTTATTGTACCTCGGCACCTGAAGCTGATTACATAGACGCCTTTGTAGTTACTATTTATAAATACACATCACACAACCTTTAAGTTATATTCTCGTCTTTCATCCCGATCAAGAGGAAATCGAACTCGAAATCGCAAGTTGGTTGTAAATTAAAATTTAACAATCCAAGATCTCGCCTGGAATCATTAGTTGTCCAAACAGTCTCTAAGGCTAGTGCTAATCAAAGAGCCGGTAGAGCTGCCCGTGTTGCTGCCGGTAAATGTTTTAGATAGTTGACTGGCTTATTGAAATGAACGAGATAATACTGTTTCTGTTCGATAGGTTCTCTACCATGAACTAGTTCTTACAACCAAAGAGTACATGAGACAGGTTATTGAAATTGCACCTAAATGGCTTGTAGAAATTGCTCCACATTTTTATAAATCCGAAGAGGTTGAAGATTTATGTAAGAAAATGCCGAAAAAAGTAGGAAAAGCAAAGGAGGAACTGGAACGAAATTATTGAATTTATTTCAATATCAAGTTACTGTAATTTTAATTTTGTAAATTTAAGACACATTCAACTTATTACTTTCAAATATTTAATAAAACATTTGTTGAACATTTTGAGGTGTAAAATTGGCTCCAGAATCATGTGGTTCCTGATAAGGCAAGTAAGTATGATGATGATGATAAGAATGATGAAATTGGTTTTGTTGCTGATGTTCGTATAACTGTGGACGGCCATATTCAAAGCAAGGGTTAATATTATTATCAATCCTGTTTACATCGTTTTTGTTTTTCTTATGTTTCTCGGCAAATGCCTTAGCGTATGGATTGTTTTTGATTTTTAAATCAGTGATCTGAAAATTAATTATTAAATATATTTGTTATTAGATCTACTGAAAAATTAGATTTAAACTTAAGATTTTCTGACTTACCGATTCATTTTGATAGGCTGTAACAGCGATGAATTGTGTTGTTGGTAAACAAAAACTAATTGTTTCAGGTTCATGTCCAGGATTGCTTTTAATTATATGAACCTTAGGTTCATATTTGTGAAGGGAATTGAGGACCACTTGACCTTCTTCTGGTGGTTGTTTATTGGTCAGTTTAACTTTTGGAAATTCAACAGGTTTTTTCATCCAATGACCACCATAATTGGGTGACTCAGGGTGAGTGTAATAACTGTATTCTGAGCGTGATTTAACTTCAGATTTAGATCCTTGTACCCATTCATTGTTGACAAACTTCCATCTATTATCGCCCAATTGACAAAACTCTAGTATTATAACATACATTGAATGGTTTTCCAATCCTTTTACTTCTAATTTCACTACTGGAAACATTCGTCTGAATGTATAAAAAGAATAATGAAATTTCAATGATTTTAAACAATCAATGGGTGAAAATGAAAATAATTAAGATTTACTTACCGTCCAGATTTGGTTACAATCATTTCTGTTGTTATTGAATTGAATTTGTTCCATAATTCTTCTTGGAGTAAAATAACTGAAATCGTTCTATCAGTTGTATTGTGATTGTTGTTGTTGAGATTTTCCTGAATATAGTTCAATACATTCATTTTAATATAAAAACAAAGAAATGAAACTATGAGCAAGAAATGAGCACTTTTATGATAACAAATAAGCCAAGACTTGAAGTTAACGAGGAAAAGTTACAAATGAAACTGTTAACTGTGATGAACACTCAGTTGATAATCAAATGTATCTGGTCAGATGATTGAAGATTTACTAGAAACAATATGCTTAGACCTTCAAGTATAAACAATCTAAGGAAGTGTCTGTTGATTACAAAAGGCGGACTCAATATGGTAACGTATGAGGTAAGGTTGGACCTAAAAAAGGCGGACTCCAGTCAGGCCTAAGCAAAGATTTGTCGCGTATAGCCAATGATAGGAATGGGAATATATCCTAACCATAATTAACATTAATTGCTGGTATTCAATCAAGTTTTTGTTTATGCATGAAAATTATGATTTGTTTGTTCAACTGATTCCATCTTTCCGCTTCTTCACCAGCATCTTCACCTCAAGCTTTCCTTAAAAATGTTAACCTTTTTTTTCCCTCGCTAGCTCTTTGAAAAAAAGCTTTGCGTTTCTTGTAAAAATATCTTACCTTTTGCTTTATTTTTATGAATATATTTTTACAACCTTCATGTATTTGGTTTAGGCTTTTGTTAACTTTACTCCTTTTGTTTCTTGAACCTTGGACAATTTATAAATTAGTTAATTATTGGCCTAAAATTGGCTTCAATTGCCGTGGGAACCTTCGCTGACCCAAACAATATTTTTGGTCAAAGCCTTGGTCAAAAGACTTATTAAAATAAAGGTCAACTTGGATAATCCTTTCGTGTTGAAATCCGTGAAAGGAGTAAAGTCAATCACTTTGACTTTCGCAGTGAGAGTTAAGACTTTGCGACCTTTTAAAGCTAGAAAATAAAATTCATTTTTCAACTGAAAAATTTCTCATCGATAATTTTTGATTAAAGAACTGTGAAAGTCGTAAAATTGACTGCTAAGAGCTAGGAAACTGTGGGCTTACGGGGACTTAAAGTTGAGTCCATTAATGCCAATAAAAAGTTTCTTCGAGCGACAGTTTTGCAACTTTGATCGCCTTTAATCAATCATAACCTTAACTCGATTCCATCGAAACGGCTCAATAGACGATAAACCATCAAATCAGATCATCTAATCAACCAAATCAACTCGATTCTCATGCTTCCATTACTACAAAGACTCAACTCCAAGTAAAAGTCTTACATTCACTGATCTTTTCTGATCCTTTCAAATCTTGTTTGTCTCTATGCAAATTACAGTTACTCACAGCAATTTAATGTTGCTCATACAATCAACAATGATTTAATTGTTGCTCTCTCTCTCCATTGTTTCCAACATTTTAATTGTTCATTAACACTTTAATCATTGTGTCTTTCATCGTTATTGTTACTTTATCGTCACCAACCTGTTAACATTTGCTCAGCTCTTAAAAAGGAAAGGCTAATTTGACTTCAACTTTTAAACATAATCAACTCAATAAATTAGTTAAATAGTAACATAATAAATAAAAAGTGTATAAAAAATGACAATTGAATTGAGTTATTTTTTAATATTAATCATGATTTGTTAAATGTTACTCTTTTTTTAAATTCAATATTTCTTGTTCTGTATTTCATTTCATTTTCAGTTATGACTTTTGTTTACCTCTTTACCTTCATCGTTCATTATTATTATCATCTAATATATTAGCTTGCCCATTAAATATTATCATCTTAATAATAATCAATATATTCATCATCTTTATTTATTTGTCTATTTATTCATCTACTTTATCTCAGAATAAACTCTTTTTTTTGCTTCTTAATAAATAATATTTTTCAACATTTTTTGCTTCTTTTACCACCAAATCATAAATAAAATCAAGAAACAATCAAAAAGCCAACAACGCGAAATCCCCTTTAAAACAATTTACAATGTTTCAAATCTTTTTGTTTCTTAACCCAATCATTAGCTTTTTATTATTACGTTTTATATTGGTACTTGTTCAGTCTTGATAATCTTAATGCTGTAAGAAACAGACTACAAACAAGAAACAGTTTATAATCATAATTTATCAATTGGCTTTCCTTGTTTAATCATGGTCATTACCAGCGTTGCAGTTTTGAACTCTTTTATACCCAGTTAATGGTTAAATCTTATTACTTCAGGGTCTCGCTTTTGTTTCTCCTTTTACTTTTCCCTTTTGGACTGGATCTTTGTTTTCTGTCAGGTAAAAGAAAAGAGAAGAAATTAAATTTATTTTTATGTATTTAAACTCTTAACAATTTATTTTACACAATTTACAAAATGATCAAGAGGAACCAATAAATATTACTGAGTGGTTCAATGGAGGGTAACTAGGGAAAATAGGGTTGATATTAAAAACTAGATTTAGCTTTATTTTGGTTGACAGTTGATTGAGTTTATAAGTGAACCAAAGTCAGATTGTCAATGATGATCAAATGTTGATGTGTGTATGCACAATAATAACAATTAACCTTATCTTACAATACAAATAAGTACCGATAGTGAATTGCGTAGGAATTGCTTACCTGATAGAAGATGAAATGACCATTTGAACAATAATTTATTGAGTTTTTTTGTGTTTTGTTGTTTTCTTTTATTTGAATATTTATATTTGTTTACTTTGCTTTTAAAATATTATTGACACTAAACACATAAGAATGGTTCCTTGAAGGAGGAAGAAGAAGAAGATGATGATGATGATAAAGATGAGATGAAAAATAAAAAAAGATGACTTAAGAAAGAGATTGAAATGGCGAGAAGATGAGATGAAGAAAAGCCGATAATTTAAGGTCACCTCCTCTCTCTTTTCTCTCCCACTATTAGCTGAATTAATTGAAACATTTCAACATTAATACATGTATATTGAACAAGTGTTTAGATGAGATTCTTGAAGAGGTTTAGTTTACACAACAATTACAGGATTCATTATTATACGTATTATTTACATTTGTTTACCTTACAAATCGGTTAGGTACTTGTTTTGCATTCAAATCTCACTTTGGACTCTCTTGTGTAATTGATAGAGCGGCTTTTTTGAAAAATCATTAAAAACCCAATGTTTACCTTTTATCTTGTCCAATTTACAATAAACTTTCAAATAATCAACTAAATAAATGAATAAAAATAAAATTTCAGTGAATTATTAAAAATTATGCAAAAAAACATCGTTTCTCCGAAATATTGAAGTGAAACATTTATCCATTGGAATGGCCCTTTATGATAGTCAAGTTTTCATTTGATTTAGATGACATTATTGATTTCAATGGTTTAATAACTGTTACAGAATAGTTTAATCTGATTGTTGTCAGCAATCAAAGGAGGTGTCCACTGACAGTAAGAGGCGGACTTTGGCTGCAAAACTTGTTGCTGTGATAGGCAAGGCTAAGGCGTATTCATTCAGGTTTAGGCCATGGTTTATCTTCAGCCAATCAAGTCCATTGACTATTATACACACTTTAGGAATTAGTTCAACTTAAATTTAATCAACTCACATTACCACTGTCCACTGAAAATATCAATCTTTGTGAATAAATTATAAGGAATAAATACAAATTCAATGGATTGAAATGGATCCATATTTTCTGAGATGAAAATCTATCAAGAGCGTTCTTTTCACTTGAAAACCCAAATTAATATTTTAAAAGCTTGCAGTAATTGAAAGGTTTGCAGAAATCATTAATTTTCAGCTCAAATCTCACCAATGTGATAATGGTAAAATTTTTCTAGTTCAATCATCAAAATGTCTTTTTTCTCACAATATCGTCAGTCCCAATAATGAGACAACTTAGTCTTCATCATCGTCTGCTATTTTTACTCGGCATGTAAATAATAGCTTATCTCTTAAATGGCTGATTATTAAGATCAGCGATAACCAATTTCTGGTCTCCATCGCCATTCAGATCGACGAAACATATACACGCAGTTAACGTGTAAAGGGAACAAAGATTATCATTATAAGCGGTTAACCATTTACTTGCAATTTCTGGTTTACTAATCAAAGTCTCCTTGGATTCACCAGAAATGACTTGATTTGACAATGAAGACGAAGTCCTAAATACATTTGAGTTGTAAGGATAAAAAGTAAAATGAGTTTCAAAAAATTGATACACAAATTGATTGCTATGAATATATCACCTTTTATCATCAAGCGTAGACTGATCATCCAAACCTGAGATATTTTGTGCATCAGAGACCATGATTAATAAAATGTAACAATGTAACCGAGATTCATTATTGATGCATTTCATCATCTAAGCTATTAGCATCACTCGAAGCTTTAGCTTTAGCTTTAGCTAGAATCGAAGTAACCTGTTGTAAAGCAACAGAAAATTTATTTTAAATCACCAAATAAGTCTGTTTCTGATTTAATGCTGAAGTTACAACAGTTATGATTTGTTTGAACAACTCATTCATTTAAAGCCTTTTGGCAATAATGTAATTTTAGTTATTTTTGAGTTTCTGTAAAGCTCTCTGAAAGACCACTGTAAAAGTCTCCGGTCAGTTCCCACCAAAAATATTGAAAAAATTGATTGGATTAGTGGCTTAAGTTTTATAACTGTTTACTTAGTGTCCAAACGAGTCCAAACCGAAAGGGTTTGAAAGATGGAATCAGTTGAACAAACAAATCATAATTTTCATGCATAAACAAAAACTTGATTGAATACCAGCAATTAATGTTAATTATGGTTAGGATATATTCCCATTCCTATCATTGGCTATACGCGACAAATCTTTGCTTAGGCCTGACTGGAGTCCGCCTTTTTTAGGTCCAACCTTACCTCATACGTTACCATATTGAGTCCGCCTTTTGTAATCAACAGACACTTCCTTAGATTGTTTATACTTGAAGGTCTAAGCATATTGTTTCTAGTAAATCTTCAATCATCTGACCAGATACATTTGATTATCGACTGAGTGTTCATCACAGTTAACAGTTTCATTTTTAACTTTTCCTCGTTAACTTCAAGTCTTGGCTTATTTTTTATCATAAAAGTGCTCATTTCTTGCTCATAGTTTCATTTCTTTGTTTTTATATTAAAATGAATGTATTGAACTATATTCAGGAAAATCTCAACAACAACAATCACAATACAACTGATAGAACGATTTCAGTTATTTTACTCCAAGAAGAATTATGGAACAAATTCAATTCAATAACAACAGAAATGATTGTAACCAAATCTGGACGGTAAGTAAATCTTAATTATTTTCATTTTCACCCATTGATTGTTTAAAATCATTGAAATTTCATTATTCTTTTTATACATTCAGACGAATGTTTCCAGTAGTGAAATTAGAAGTTAAAGGATTGGAAACAAATTCAATGTATGTTATAATACTAGAGTTTTGTCAATTGGGCGATAATAGATGGAAGTTTGTCAACAATGAATGGGTACAAGGATCTAAATCTGAAGTTAAATCACGCTCAGAATACAGTTATTACACTCACCCTGAGTCACCCAATTATGGTGGTCATTGGATGAAAAAACCTGTTGAATTTCCAAAAGTTAAACTGACCAATAAACAACCACCAGAAGAAGGTCAAGTGGTCCTCAATTCCCTTCACAAATATGAACCTAAGGTTCATATAATTAAAAGCAATCCTGGACATGAACCTGAAACAATTAGTTTTTGTTTACCAACAACACAATTCATCGCTGTTACAGCCTATCAAAATGAATCGGTAAGTCAGAAAATCTTAAGTTTAAATCTAATTTTTCAGTAGATCTAATAACAAATATATTTAATAATTAATTTTCAGATCACTGATTTAAAAATCAAAAACAATCCATACGCTAAGGCATTTGCTGAGAAACATAAGAAAAACAAAAACGATGTAAACAGGATTGATAATAATATTAACCCTTGCTTTGAATATGGCCGTCCACAGTTATACGAACATCAGCAACAAAACCAATTTCATCATTCTTATCATCATCATCATACTTACTTGCCTTATCAGGAACCACATGATTCTGGAGCCAATTTCACACCTCAAAATGTTCAACAAATGTTTTATTAAATATTTGAAAGTAATAAGTTGAATGTGTCTTAAATTTACAAAATTAAAATTACAGTAACTTGATATTGAAATAAATTCAATAATTTCGTTCCAGTTCTTCCTTTGCTTTTCCTACTTTTTTCGGCATTTTCTTACATAAATCTTCAACCTCTTCGGATTTATAAAAATGTGGAGCAATTTCTACAAGCCATTTAGGTTCAATTTCAATAACCTGTCTCATGTACTCTTTGGTTGTAAGAACTAGTTCATGATAGAGAACCCATCGAGGTTCTTCATCAAACAATGATGAATTAGGATGAATTGAAACGGGTTGATGTTGCTTTAAAGTACGATATGAGCCTCCACCACCTCCTAAACGGGCAACATGATAAAAATAACCTGTTAAGATGGCTTTACGGATGAGTACAAATTCAGTTGGATTTGATTTAATTTCTACTTCGGCTCGATCCATTAGACTTTCTAGTTGATCTCGTATATCTCGAGCTCTAACTAGCGCTCGATATTGAATAAAATTTTCAGCACACCATTGTTTAGTATATCCCATTTCAACCCATTGATTATAAACATTCAACAGCATCAGATGATCCCCTCCAGGTTGAAAAAAGTTTTTCCTTGCCGTATCTGCATGAATAGCTTTGTCTTTTGGCCGATAAAAAATATTGGAATTAACACTGAGCATGGCGCAAATGGTCATTATCTCAACACTACAGTTATATTTTTCGGATGCAATTAAAGCTTTGGACATCATTGGGTCAATAGGAAATTCAGCCATTTTACGACCAAGTCGAGTAAGTTCACCAAATTGATTAAGAGCTCCCAATGCATATAATTGTTCTAAGGCAAGTACAAGCGTTTCAGATGGCGGTGGATCCAAAAAGTCAAAATGAATAATGTCATTGATTCCTAAACTTTTCAAAAGTAAAACGGCGTTACCAAGATGAACCCTTTGAATTTCAGGAACAGTATTATCCTCAAGCTCATTCTGATATGCCCATGCAGTGAACAGTCTAAAACATTTACCGGCAGCAACACGACCAGCTCTACCGGCTCTTTGATTAGCACTAGCTTTAGAGACTGGTTGGACAACTAAAGATTCCATACGAGATCTCGGATTATAAATATTTAATTTACAATAACCAGGATCGATGACATAAATAATACCATCTATTGTTAATGAAGTTTCAGCAATGTTGGTAGCAATTACAACTTTCCGAGCACCCGGTGGAGTTGGTTCGAAAACTTGAGCTTGTAATTCTTGAGGCAAGTTAGCGTAAATTGGTCTGATTATAAGTTCCCTGATTTTTGATCCTAACTTTCGTTGTCGTTCCATCAAAACTTCAGAACATTGTTCGATTTCCTCTTGACCGGGAAGAAAGACGAGAATATCACCTAAAGGTTGTGTGATGTGTATTTGTAAAATAGTAACTACACAGGCATCTATGTAATCAGCTTCAGGTGCTGAGGTGTAATAAATATCAACTGGAAACCGACGACCTGGTATACGAAAAACTGGAGCTTCATCAAAAAAGACGCTGAATTTTTCGGCATCCAGAGTGGCACTGGAGATGAGAAGCTTAAAGTCAGGTCTAAATCGAGCTATATCTTTAACTAAGCCAAACAAAATGTCTGTATGAAGGGTTCTCTCGTGTGCTTCGTCAACAATCAAGCATGAATAAGATGCTAAATCAGGTTCAGAGAGGAATTCTCGGAGTAACATACCATCAGTCATGTATTTAATCACAGTTCGCTCACTAGTACAATCTTCAAAACGAATACTATAACCGACTTCATGGCCAAGTTTAACATTCATTTCTTGAGCAACACGGGCCGCTACGCTCATAGCAGCTACTCTTCTTGGCTGTGTGCAACCAACTTTTTTACCTCCTTTGGTGAAACCTGCTTCATGTAAATATTGGGGAATTTGTGTTGTCTTTCCAGATCCTGTCTCTCCTTCAATGATTAAAATTTGATGCTCTTTTACTGCTTTGATGAGTTCTCTTTTGTAAGCATAAATCGGTAATGATCTTCTTGTTTCAGCAATTGTCATTCTTTTTGCTGTTTCTTCGTCAACTATATCTTTTTCGTCAGTATTTTGTCCACCAACCGTTAGTGCTTTGATGAAGTCGATTGAAGCATCAATTAAAATATCATATTCTTCAACCTTTTTGGATTTATTTTTTGCTCCGAATGATAATTTGGCAGTATTTAACCTTTCTTCTTCCCATTTTCTAGCTTCAGCGTTTGGTTGTTTCTCCCTTTCATCGATTTCTTCATAAACTTTGCTTGGTTTACTTTCTTCTGGAATGTGATATCTTCTAATACTTTCCAATTCTTTAGCCTGTTCATGTTCCTTAGCCAAAGTAAGAACCTTTTTCTTGTATTCATATTCAGCCTTTTCAGCTTTAGTTAAGGGTACATCACTGAAAATCTGTTCTTCATCCTTAATTTCCCCTTCTAACAAAACCAATTGATCGGCCTTTCGTTTGATTAGATAGTTTTTTCTCGATTCCTCTCGCAGTTTTGGTACTATAGCTTTTCTATCCTCATTTTCCAGTTTTAGTCTTTTCGCTGCTTCAGCGTACATCCTTTCATCTGATTTGGTGGCCACATTACGAGTCCTTTTTTGGTCCTTTTCTCTGAGTCTCTCTGCATAAGCATCTCTTTCTGCAATATCTTTGAGTCTTTCTTCTTCATCATGATTTGATGAAGTTTGTTTACTCGATGACATGGTGAGACCTAAGAAATGAAAATCAAGATTTAACAACAATAAATAAGACGACAATGATATAAAATCAAAACGACAGTATGATAAAATAAGAACGGTTATAAAACTGAATTACTTACGTTAAAATGTTCTTTAACAATCAGAAATAAAGACACAGCTTATAAGATCAAGTTGTTTATATCGTTTTTAATGAAATATATCACAGCGAAATCCCATAAAAAATAAAATAAGATACCGAGTTAAGTCAGATTTCATTTAAATTTGAAGTTTATAAATTGTAAACATTTCTTGTAAATATGTAAACACTTTCTATAGCAACTAAAAAGCAGTGACAACGATATATCGAAGTTTAGTATTTTACACATGAATCAACTCCTGATATTTGAAAAAGAAAGAGCTACTATTTGAGTCTCTCTACTCTTCAACCAAAATAACCCACTTCTTATGTAGGGCCCTCTTTTGGCTAAAACACCCGTTTTGTGATCAGTAAATTCAACTACTGATCTTAATTTTGACCCTTTTTAATTTATTCAAACATTAACTTTGATCTTATGAATTTCATAACTTAAATTCGATTCTTTTGCGGTAAAATTTATTCTCTCTGAACAACCTCTGAAACTAAAAATAAAAAAAATCAGAGTTTAAAATAAAAATATTTGAAACTTGGAAAATCGATGATCAAGAAAGCAATAATGATTTTCATTTGAAAACAAGTTTTATTTTAAGAAGTTTATCTATTATGCTAATATTGCTATTTTGTACTTTTAATCGTATTATTTTCAAAATTTACTAGATTGTTGGCTGAATATGTTCCAACTCCCTTAATAAAGTCAAAATTTAATTTGAGTTGTGTTCATATTAACAGTAATCTATGAACAAATTCAGCACAATTTCACCAAAAAACAATCTTATACTAGAAGCAGCAATAATTTTTTAAGATAAGCCAGAGATTCACAATAACAAGATGGAACTTAATTCGTTTAGCACAAGATGACCTCAAGCATTATCGACCAGTATTGTTAGTGAATCCTTAATCCTGGTTAACCCAAAGCCTTGTGTTAACCCGTTTAAGTCGGACAAAATGTGATATATAAAGGGACAAAAATTTCAATGAAAATCATTCTCAACTTTCGTCTTGAACCTTCAACATATTTATATGTCTAGTCTTTCAACTCTAGTCTCTTCAATTCTAATTGACTCTATTGTCTACTTTTTGATTTTTATGCTTGTGGATATGAAGTTCATTTACTTATTGTGTTTATGCGCTATCTTCACCTATGCCAAAGGTGACATAGAAGTCAATTTTGACGAAGAAGAAGAATCTAATGTTCTTTCTCCCCGTGAATATTACCAATCATCAACTTCAGCCGAAAAGTCACCAACACTTCCACCTAGACCTCCATATGGTTATCCAGCAGAAGAAATTGAAGTTTCCACCATTCCTTCTTTAAGAGATAAGTGGCTCCAAGCTAAGAAGAAGGTCGAAAAGGGAGTGAAAGATACAATAGCTTCTATACGGCAAAAGAAGCCAAAAAAAGATGTGAAACCCAAAAAAGACGTGAAACCCAAAACCACAACACCCGAACCCTTCGTTGTATACGAACGAACCAAAGTACACAAGAAAACTGTCAAGAAGGTGAAGCCAATGTCCAAGGACTGCAAACTTATAGCCAAAGCATTATTTGGATAATCGGATCTGGACCAAATGCTCAAATTTATAACAAAATTATTTGTACAATTGTAATCAAACTATTCATTGCCTTTTCCTAAATGTATTCAAATCAAAAAAACTAAAATAAAAATATTTATGAATTGTATACAACTTTTGTTTATTCATTCGCGTTTCAATAGTGTTTGCTGGTTCCAAGACTGGATCCAAATATATAATCCAATCTATGGAAATATAAATTTATAGTAAACGTCCAAATTTTCCCTGAATTATTCTTCTTTTTAATTTCACGGTTGCTAGTCTTAAAGTCATTTTCAAATTTGCACTTGCATCCAATGAGCTAAATGAAAACAAGTCTGGGATTAAATTGACTTTGATTGAAATATATTCATGTGAACATCAGCCAATTAAAGCTATTAGATTGCCACTTAATTTACGATTGTGTATCAGCCTTGTATATCCAACAATCCACATCTAGATTAAGTTTGCTGAGTTTAATCCATCATTGGTACTCAGTGAGCATTATGACAAAATGGACATGAACTCAAATTAAAGATTTAAATCCATCCGTCGGTGAATCTCAAGATGTTTAACCCAAAGGTAAAAGTATTTTATGTAGAATCATGAGTCCAAGTTCCAGATGAATAAACGAATTTTTCCTGAATTGAAAGAGATGGCAAGTGTTGATTTATAAAAGTCAAATAAGAGCAAATAAAACTGTCCGAAGAAAGAAATCAATTACATGAAGAAATTAAAACATACAATTGAAAGCTGAATGAGAAAAGTTACCAAGCAACCCAGGACCCAGAACCAGTTATTCTGCACAATAGAAACACATCCAGCAAATTTACTTTGAAAAGACCAAGTTTTAGAGGAATCATGAATTATCAAAACCCATGGAATATCCAAAAAACAGTTTCAATGATGAAAACATTGAGTTGGACAAAAAATGAATGACCTGATAAATTGGAAAACCAAAAATTATAATCAAGAAAGAAAAATAAAGTCATTAGGTAATTAAATTGAATCTCGTTACGTCTTTCGTAGTCAATATTTCTTCCCATGAATTAACTGCTTACGGGCAAATTATGATTTTATTTACATCAGGCTTTCCAGTCCATTTGTTGTAGATCGAACGGTTCTCTAGCAATCAAGTAAAATTATAATCCTTCGGGTTTTTATAAAGTCTTGTTTGAGGCTCGTCACTGGAATACATTTAACCATAAAATATCTTGCTAACACCGAAGAAGGTTCAAAATTGATCGCAATAACAAAGTTTTCATCCAACAACATCCATCAGACCTGTGAATATCTGAGCCAATATATGTTTAATTAACAACGCAATTCGAGCATAACAGTGCCTGTAGTTAATTTACCAAGTGATTTGTTTTTGTAAATTCAACCCATCCATCAAGTGACTAAGGGATCTTATTCGTATCACCAAAAATTGAAACAACAATTGCTGCATAATGTTTGCAAAGAATGGAAAGAGATGAAATGTTGATGATTACGACGATTCTTATCTGAGTCCAGTCCAGATTACGCCTTGAGATAAATTTAAACGAAACACAAATAAACAAGGTGAGTAAACATCTTTAAAAGCAAAACCCCATAATGATGTTCCTAAAAAAGAAGAGCAAACGAAAAGAATAACAGTTAATAATAAAACTGAAAACAATAGAGGACACATTTTTTACTTTCCACCTTACACCCTCCACCCTGCGATAGACAGAGAGAAAGAAAGAGAGGTTTACGATGAAAAGGGCAAGTCTCAGGTCACGGGAAATGGATTTTTAATTTTACATACACAACAGTAAAATGAAAAGAATCCATAAAAGATATGATGCATTTCAGGTTTAGGAAACCCATTTCTTTTACCAATAACAGATTTCCGGCCTTTTCAGCAAAACTCTGCAATTCTCTTTCTTTACCCTCCCTCTACCTGCAAACCAGCAACAAAATAGACTTACCTTTGATGATAAATAAAAAGGCCAAATGGAGTAAACAAGCAGAAAGAAAAAAAGAGAGAGAAAGAGAGCAAAATATAACTGAGAAAGCTGATCTTACCTTTAAGTTTCTTTTTGTGGATCGCCTGATCTCCATTTGCTGGTTCACTTTTATCCGAGTGAGTTTACTTGAAACAGTTAAATAAGCAAATATCAACGATGACTAACAAGTTTCACTTTTGATTCCAATTCACTAATTGTTTTTGAGATGAAATCATTAGCTTGGTTGGTCAAGAAGACGAACACTTTCTTTGTTTAGTTTAGATTTGAATCTAAATGGTACAAAAACCATTGTGACTCAATTATTGAATTACATGTCAACTTTTATCGTCTATTTTTATATTGAAAAGAAAGTTGAGAAACAAAAGGATAACTGTCGCCATCTTTAACATCTTAATCATCGAATATCATTTTACCAGTTTTTTTATATCAACTTATTGTGCATCATAAGGTTAAGTTAATTTGAATAGTGTCTCCTTGTGTCAATCCTTGTTACACTTAAATCGCGTCTTTCATTTTTTTGTCTCTATTCTGTCAACCACTTTTCAATCAACATTGAAATTTCTTCACAACAAAAGCGTTTTCTATGATTTTTCCTCTTTTCATTAACAATAAGAACATTATTGTGGTTCTTTAACCATTTTAAGAGTAACTTCATCTTCAATTTTCTTCTTTAACTCCTCATCACTTTCAATCCTTTTCATCTCATCAGTATTAATTAGATTATACATCTTAAACGTCTTTACTGCTTACATTCACATCACAAACATCTTGGCATCTCGCATATCCCATGGATTTGTCCACACAGCGTGTTGTCGATTGTTTTCCTATTCCATATAGTTTAGCTTCACCTTATTCCAGTTTGGCTTTTGATCAGGAAATACGTGATTATTGTGATCAAAATGTTAATCTTTCACTAAGTGATCCATTTTCAAAATGCGCCAAAGTAATTCTAGTTGGTGACATGGCCGTGGGGAAAACATGTCTACTTAATCGTTTTACCTACGATACGTTTGGACTTGACCATAAAGCAACCATTGGAGTTGATTTTGCCATAATCAGATTTAACATACTTCAAGTCCCTTTTCAGCTTCAGGTAATTGATTTATTTATTTTTTCACACTAAGGTCCTCATTATAAAGCAAAAGTAATCAATTGTAAATCACCATTTCTTTCATTAGATACCATTTTTTAATGGTAGTCAAAACATTAATATCGATTTGTTCGAGAAAGGTCCCATCTTTTATTGTTAACGTTGAAAGATCTACCTATTCTCATGAAGTGTTATTTGATTCAGCATTTCAAATATATCATTATTGTTTAGTATCCACATGTTAAAATTGTATCCGAATTGTTTCTTTACAATATGAGCTTTTCTTTCATCAGGTTTATTTTCTGCAATCAATATAATCCGATTTCAAATGCATTTACACTCTGTAATTAAAGACTGTTGAGTTGAATTTGATCGAGTTAAGCTGTTGCAAATAATATCAGTGCTTTTATCCCTTCAATTTGCTAAATTTTTAAAATCAAACCATCATTAATATTTAAGTTTTGTTAGTAATAAAATTGCATCGTTTATCTGTAAGCAAAAACATGGAAAATTAGTCTTTAGTAATGACAATAACAATAGTTGTAACAATAACGTTGTTTCGGTTGGTGAAATCAGGAAAATAACTTGACTCAGGTCTACCTTGATCAACTTCCATTTCTCTCTTTCTCAATGTCTACTTGCTTGGCAAACTAATATAATAACTAACTTTTGAACTGCTCAAACAATCAAGATTAACCTTGGTAATCCCTGTTCTAATTAGTTAAAGATAAATATTACATAAAATTAAACACATAAATGAAATTTAACCTTAAATCTTTTATTTCTTTAATCAGGTTTGGGACACTGCTGGTCAAGAAAGATTTCAATCCATTGCTGAAAATTATTATCGAAATGCCCATGCAGCCATCATTTGTTTCGATCTTTCAAACATATCAACCCTCAAATCAGTTAATGATTGGGTATCAAGAATTATTAGCGGAAACAAGGGAAACAAAGTTCCATTGATGTTTCTGGTTGGAACCAAAATGGACTGCATAGCTGATTCAGTTGTAGAGTTTGTGGAAACGGAAGCTTTAAAGGTGGCTGAATCACTTTCAGCTGAATATTGGAGTGTTTCAAGTCGAACTGGTTACAATGTTGAAAATTTTTTTAAACGAGTCGCTGCCCTGTCATTTAGTGAAATCATCCTCACATCCATTGACAGGATGAAAGAGGATAAAGAATCTCAAGCCGTTCAGTATTCAGCTAAATTTGTCAATCTGAACAAGAAGAAAAAATTTGCTCTTATCAAAGCTTGTATGGTTAATAAATGTGTATATAAAAAGTAATTTAAATGTGTTAAATTGTGTCCATTTTTGTTGATTCAAATTATCTTTTACTAGAAAAGAAAACGAGAAACTTGAAAATTAGACGAAAATTTAGTTTTATTTCAACTTTGATTGAGTGTTGAAGGCTGTTGTTACACAATTAAATTGCTCATAAATAAATGCATTGATTAAAGATGACAAAGCAATCAAAGTAAACATTGAATAACATAATTTTGACATTTATAAAGCAGAATTCCTTGAAAACTCAGTCAACGATAAAATACACTTAATCTCTTAATTTAGCATCACAATTTGCTGATTAACATTGTAAAAGACAGTAAATATCCATAACATTGACTCCAGTTGGTCCACCAGTGTCTATCATACATTCAGGTAAGTTTTCAGACCAAAAAGTATAAGCGTCGTGATTGGAAAGGTGAACTTTAGCTGCATCATAAATCTCAGACGTAATGCGATCAGAATATTGATAAATAATTCCAGAAATCGGTGTTGGTCCATCCTGACCGTCAGTACCGCCAGCAAGGAAAGCAAAATTGGTCAACTGATCATGGAAAGTGTCAATTAAAAATTGTAAGGCCATTTCTTGACACCGTCCTCCTTTACCTATTGTAATATGAGAAAGAAAACAAAAATCAGAATTTATCAAAAACTCATTATCTTTGATGAATAGATTGCCTATCGTTGATTTTCACTGTACCCATAAAGTAAAAATGTCATAAGTAATGATAGACATTAAAAGAAGGTGTGTTTTTATAACCTTGCTTATGTAACAGCTAATGACAACATTTTACAATCAGCTGTAATAAATTGCTGGTATTTCATGCGACAGACAAAATTTACTCACCATGAGTGGTGGTTAATGTTACAACAGTTTCACCGCCTCCAATCCAGCAAATTTTTCCTTCACCCTTCTCAGATGTGCGTGCAATTTGAGCAAACCGAGAGCCCAGTGTAGACGCTTCGCCAGAAATTTGATTTCCCAAATCGATTATTTTATAATCCAATTGAGTCATCAAATTTGTAATGGAATTTAACGCTATTCGATTGTTAACAATGATTAAATTGTGTAACCTATCGTCTATATTTGAACTTGGCTTGACTAGTTGGCACAAATTTCTGATATCCTCGTCAATTGATATTTTATACATATCAATGATTTCCAATGGATTCAATGAATCATCAGGAGGTAAAACTGTTGGACCACTTCCAATGATATCCATTGGGTCACCAATAACATCGCTAGCAATTAAATTGACCATCTCAACGTTATTGGATTCTGACAAGACTCTTAATGCAAGTTGACCGGCTTTGACTTTGGACCAACAGCTACGGACACTATTGAGCTCATTGATTGTACAACCAGCGGCCATCAAGGTTTGAGTCAGTTCACGTTTTTTGGTCAAAGTTAATGGTTCTCGCGGTGCAACCAATAAAGCTGATGCTCCACCAGTGATGAGAGAGATGAAAACTTTAGGCCTACTGGATGTTTCACCTTTGATTACGCTGTCAATAAGGTCAAGAATTGCATTAGTAGCTACCACTGAATCTTCATCTGCAGAGAAATAATTTGATGATAAAAAATTGGAAATTATTTGGTATAAGAATCTTACCTGGTAAATTATTTTTAGCTCCAAAAAAAGCAGTAATGTTGTGTCTCTCCAAAAGGTCAAAATGATGGCATTTTATTCCAACCGGCATGCTTATAATTCCTTTTGTTATAGTTATTCGGTCATTTCGACTTGCATTTTGTCTTTCCAATGCTTTCAGGAAACCAAGACACAAACCAAGGACACCTTTACCTATCGATTTATCATATTTTTTGGGATGGGTTAAGAGATTAGAGCATTAAAACAACATAAAAAAGGGCTTGACAAAATTGTCAGACATCTATGCAAAATTATTTGCATACGTCTACTAACGGATTAAGGTCATTTATTTGACCACATTTAACGATATCTTACCTGATCCAATTAAGTAGACATCTTTACCGTTTAAATCAAATTGCTTGATTTCACTCTCACGAGTAATTATCATTGAACCTTTATTGAAGGAAATGATTTCCTTAATTAAAGTATCACCATTGACTGATTTTAAAGCTGTAGAATGGATTTGTTTAAGATGATCACAAAGAAATGCTGACATTGCGGTGCTGAAATATCGTTGACTTGGAATAGGCTTGAATTTTTTTGAAATTTGCAACAATGCTCGAGGGAAAGTCGAAACTAAAACCATGAAAGCTGTAGAAAGTAAACCTTTTCACCAGTTTACCAGTAATATCAAGAAGGAACTGCCTTCTTAATTGATAAAAAGATTAATGGTAATAATTTACGTCAAGAAAATTCCCTCAATAATCAGATAGGCGATGGATGATACAAATCAACAGCAGAAATATGTATTTGGCAATAGATTGAAAAATCTCTTGGACTACAATAACTGAATTATCAGAACTAGCACAGTTATTCACTTTGAATGGTTAAACTTCCATTTTGATGATAAAACTGGAAGCACAAAACAAACATTGAGGACAATAATAGACATCATTGTTTTACCTCCAATAAAGAAGAGTTTAGAGTTGATTATCTTATTTACTTTGACACAATATTATAAAACATGGTTATTTCAGTGAATGTTCACTGATCGATTCTTTACAAAACATATCTACATTTTATAAATAATTTATAAATCATATTGATAAATATTTAATCAATTCGTAGTACATGTATTTATCTGTCAAACAAGAAACTAATTAGTAAACATAAATAATGTTTCTCCCTCAGCTGTGTTATCTCTGCACCTAAGAAGTCAAGCTGAATCAAATGTCCAATTAAACTAAAGGCGCTCTTTTAGAAAAAGTTGAACTCAATTAAAAATGAAAATTAATGACACAAATTGTTGCAATTGATAAACATTCATGAAAGATACTGAAATGCTTGTGTATATTTTGCAAAATAACAAAATTTATTTTGTTTCAATATTCAGATCATATTGAAATGGATAAATGAAGAAGATGTTGTTATTCCTTCAACGTTCTCAATACAATAACATTATCATAACACAATTTCATTGAAATGCAATTATTAGCTTGGTTGGTCAAGAAGGCGAGCTTCTTTGCTTAGTTTAGATCTGAATCTATTTAAATTTGATTGAATTATTGAATTACATGTCAACCTTTATCGTCTATTTTTATATTGAAAAGAAAGTTGAGAAACAAAAGGATAACTGTCGCCATCTTTAACATCTTAATCATCGAATATCATTTTACCAGTTTTTTTATATCAACTTATTGTGCATCATATGGTTAAGTTAATTTGAATAGTGTCTCCTTGTGTCAATCCTTGTTCATTTTGTTACCACTCGCTTCACATTCTGATCTTTAAGCCATTCAATGAACTCTGCCAAGGCTTTGAAATTATTCAACGGCATATTCCAGACATGATATCGTGACTATCTCATAATCTATGAATTAATTTTATTGCCTCTGTTGAATCATCCACTACTTTTCAATCTGAGCTCAGAGTTTTATTACAATTAAACTGGTGTTTCACTTGAAGGCATATTTATGATTGCTGTGATAATTGGTGTGCTGTCACCCTCACGAACGACGTGAATCTAAAACAAAAGGAATGTTTATCGTTGATTATTTGACTTATTGATTTTGAGACAAAGTCAGAATTATCAACTCACCTTGATGAAGTCGGAAACATTCAACTCATTTACACATTCAACTTTAGTGGCAAAAGTGTAAATGTAACCTGGTTGCAGATTGGGTACTGGAATGAAATTACGATGAATCCGATAAATTTTAACATCACAATAGAAAAATAAATTTAGATTGTAAGACGGTTGATCTAGTGAAGTATTTTGTATCTCCAATATTAAACGAAATACTGGACCAAGTCCATGGACCTAAAAATTTTGAATATGCCAAGATATGAGATACCTTCTAAACAGATTATCTTACTCTTCAATTACCTGAGCAGATAATTTCAGTGGATCAACAGCATTAGATGACATTGGATTCAAGCTTGCCGCTATTGCTTTTACATAGGCGCGAGCAACAACCAATCGTAATCGATACAAATCTTGTTGAAAAGCTCGATGAATAGCTAAAGATGAAAATAAATAATACCAATGAATCTGGTTTTGCTAAATGATAACAAAATTACTTGACTTACCAATTGCTTCTTCACGTTCCCTAACTGATTGGTCTATGAACAATTTGGTTTTCTTGGGAATATTCATTTTCATTGTCGATCCTGATCCTGCTTCACCGAAGTCACTCTCAATTGATGTAAACTTAGCTGTTCTCTTAAGTATCCGAATTGATAATGAACCAGATCGGGATACCATGACCAAAGTGTTATCTTCCCTTCCATAACGACCAAATTTCATCGATGTGATTACATTTTCCGTCTCAATTGTGTCCACCTTTGATTTTCCGTTATAAAATACGACAGTTCTTGATTCCAGTGCAACTGCAATCAAAGTAAGTCCAAGTATTTCAACTTCAATGGCTGTTAAGCATGTTATTCCCGATTGTTGGTTAATCTTCCAAACACAATTCCCATTAATGGTAAAACAAGATAAACATTGATCCATGGTTCCAACAATTATGTTATTATTGTATCTAACAAGACCAACGGGCTGAGAATTGAGTTGAACACAAAGTCTTCCCGTTTTGAATCCACGTTTAATCGTATAAATACAAGCATCTCGACAAGAAACAATAACCCGATATTCAACATTAAACAATCCACTAATTTCAAGGAACACAGGGATCGATGGAAGTTGAACCTAAAAGATATCATAACATAAGAATGATAATACAAATAAGGACAAAGATTTGAGCTTAAATTAGCCTCACCGATGTCAGAATGGTAAAAGCATCTGGTTCAATTATCAAAATGTCTTTGTTCTCAGTTCCAATAATGAGACAGTTTAAGTTATTATCTTCATCAACCGTCTTCTTTATTGTTGCTATGCATGTGATGATAGTCGATCTTTTCAATGGTTGATCTTTGTAACGTCCAATAAAGTCATCGATCACTCCTGGGTCTGTCAAATCAATGAGGCGCTGAGACCGAGCAGTTAAACTGGCTTCACCCACTTCGATTCTTAAATTTTCAAGAAGCACCTTTAGTTGACTTGCATCAATTTTATCTGCAACCAGTTGATTCCAAGCATCTTGTTCACTTGGATGAATCTCTAAGCTTGGTAAACCAAATTTATAAAATGGCTTCAGATTCTTGTAAATGTACAAATAAGAACCAGAAGCAACTCCAATAGCTGGTATTCTTGGGGCATTTGAGTCCATGTAAAAAGAGACGACACCAGAAGGACAGTCAATCAGAGTTAATTGCGATAAAATGAAAGTTCCTTTGTAAATGTTCAGCTTCATTCCTTGGACACCATTACCAAGATCAGCGATAACCAATTTCTGGTCTCCATCGCCATTCAGATCGACGAAACATATGCACGCAGTTAACGTGTAAAGGGAACAAAGATTATCATTATAAGCGGTTAACCATTTACTTGCAATTTCTGGTTTACTAATCAAAGTCTCCTTGGATTCACCAGAAATGACTTGATTTGACAATGAAGACGAAGTCCTAAATACATTTGAGTTGTAAGGATAAAAAGTAAAATGAGTTTCAAAAAAATTGATGCATAAATTGATTGTTATGAATATATTACCTTCTGTCATCAAGCGTAGATTGATCATCCAATAAACCTGAGATGTTTTGTTCATCAGAATCCATGATTAATAAACTTTATTAACACAAATCATAATCTTAGTGGTAAACTCAAAGCCATACTTTTGTTTATTATGAACAAGTATCCATAGTGACAATAATTCATACATTGAATGGACTTAACAGTTGAGTTATTATAAATATATGATAATAATTCTGACTTTGGTTTCACGCTCATTTGAGATGAAATTGTTCAATTCATACGAATGAATCTAATTGGTGAATATGCGAGTTGTTACTGAAAAGACACATTAACTCATTTATGCACAAATTGGCACAAATGGGCTAAAAACGGGTAAAAATTATTTTTTTAAAATTTAGACTCTGTTGGTTTGTAGGGACATAGAACTCGAATCCATAGTGTTATTGCGAAATTTCTCGGATCAACAGTTTTCTAGAAATTCGGAGTCAAAGTTGAAACTTCGATCGTCTTTTGGCCAAGGGAGAAGATTTTTTGATGAAACTCATTTTTCTAACTTAACTTTTGATAACCAACCTGAATAATCTTATTCAGAGAAACAACATCTTCTTAAATCGTTTAAAACAAGATGACCACAAGCAATGTCGACCAGTTTTTTAGCGAATCCTTAATCCTGGTTCACCCAAAACTTTGTGTTAAGGAGTTTAAGTCAGGAAAATATGGTATATAAAGGGCCAAAATTGTCAATGAAAATCATTCTCAACTTTCATCTTGACAAGTCAACATTGTTTGTGTATTCACTAGTCTTTCGACTCTAGTCTCTTCCATTTTCGTGAATCTATTTCTACCTTTCAATTTTACTTTTGTGAAAATGAAGTTCATCTATTTATTGTGTTTATCATTCATCTTCTGCAGCTATGTTAAGGCTGACGAGCAAGAAGATTATGATGGGGAAATAGAGAGTGATTTTTCGCCTCGTGAATACGATTCATGGTCACAAAAAGCTGACGTTCCTTCTAGTCAGTACCAGTCGTCAACTTCAGTTAAAAAGCCAATAATTCCACCTCGTCCATCATATGGTTATCCAGCATACGATGTTGAAGTTTCCACCCTTCCCTCGTTCAAAGATAAACTTGACCAAACTAAGATGAAGTTTGAAAAGAACTTGAAAAATAAAGTTGACAAGGCCAAGAAGACGGTTGACCAAGCTAGGAGGAAGGCTGACCAGGCTATGAAGAAGCTCGAGAAGGAACTGAAAGATAAAATGGGTGCTCTTAAGCAAAAGAAGTTGAAAAAAGTCGTAGAATCCAAAATCCCCATCACCACAACACTCGCACCTGTCTATGTATACGAACGAATCGTAACCAAAGCTGTCAAAGTCAAGAAGGTGAAGAAACCAAAGAAGCCCCTGAAATGCAGAAAATTAGCAAAAGCATTATTTGGATAATTATTCTGATCTGGTCCAAATGCTCAAATTTATAACAAGAAATCTATTTGTACAATTGTAATCAAACTATTCATTGCCTTTTCCTAAATGTATTCAAATCATATAAACTAAAATAAAAATATTCATAAATTGTATGCAACTTTTGTTTATTCATTCGTGTTCCTAGTTTTTAGATTGTATTTATCTATTTGAACTATGGAATTGGAATCACCATAAAAGCAATTCAATTTTTAAGAAGTATTCCAAGTGTATTCAATAGAATCCGCTTAGTCACAACAACATGAAGAATAACTTAGACTATTTCATTTCGAACTTTTATTCTTGTTCTTACTATTGTACATTCAATTCAAGTATAAAATAAACTTCCACCTAGTTATTTGTAATATTGAACATGTTTTTCAATTCAGGATTTCAGAAATATCGTTCTGTTTCATCTGATGTTTCTTGAATTGATTACATTTTTTCGAGTCATTTTTTCAGCTCTCTGGTCTCTGGTTTTTGCGATCACAGAATGCGGTCGGTTTATTTGAAAATTGAACTTTTACGAAAACAGAAGATGTTGTTTCTCTAATTAAGATTATTTTTTGGTTGGTCATCAAAAGTTATACCAGAAAAATGAGTTTCATGAAAAAATCTTCTTCCATAGTTGTCCTAAAGGCGATCGCAGTTTCAACTTGGGTCTTGAGTTTCTCGAAAACGATTTATCGGATTCATTATTTAATAGCACCAATGGACTCAGTTTTTATGTCCTTACAAACTCCATTACACTTAAAGTCTTAACTCAAATATTCGAGCCTTTAGCTGCACTAAATGCATTACATTTGCAAGTTTAACTAGAAGATTTGGTTTATTTACCAAAATTTGGGTTTAGATGAGTTTGGTTAGTTGAATAGCGGTTGCTCGTGCATTCACAACCCAAACCTCATAGTCAAAATGGACTTATGGAAAGTAATTTAATTTAATTTAATTACTAATTAGTAAACGATTGATTTGGTGAAAGCATAATGATTGAAAGTAATGCCAATCTCGAAATATTGAGTCTCAAAGACTTTGAGTCAAAGTTTTGTGTATAAGTATATGTTAGATCACTACATTGGAGATATTTGTGGATAAGAAGCGAGGCCCCTTGGGGTCGAGAATCGTTTTGTTGTATTAATGTGCTGCACTGGTATTAGTGCAATATACTTTTCACAAAACAATGGCTTTCCTAAAAAAAAAGTGGTATAAATGTGATAATTGTGTTGCTTGTGTTAATTGTATCCTCAATTAAATGGTCATCGAAAGCAGTCATTTCAGCCGAATTCAAATAGATGAGTTCAGCACATTTTTGAAAAGTTTTTATTCGATCCCAATCAATACTCAACTCGATCTTAAAACTAGAAACACTAATATTGAAACGCGAATGAAACAACAAAAGTTGCATACAATTTATGAATATTTTTATTTCAGTTTATATGATTTGAATACATTTAGGAAAAGGCAATGAATAGTTTGATTACAATTGTACAAATAGATTCCTTGTTATAAATTTGAGCATTTGGACCAGATCCGATTATCCAAATAAAGCTTTGGATATAAGTTTGCAGTCCTTGGACATTGGCTTCACCTTCTTGTCAGTTTTCTTGTGTACTTTGACTCTTTCGTATACAACGAAGGGTTCGGGTGTTGTGCTTTTGGGTTTCACTTCTTTTTTGGGCCTAAAATAAGCTATTCTATCTTTAAATTCCTTTTCGAGCTTCTGCTTAACTTGGAGAAACTTGACTTTGAAAGAAGGAACTGTAGAAACTTCACTCTCGTCTATTGGATAAGGTGGAACTACTGGCGGCTTTTTATCTGGAGATGCCACTTGGTAATATTCACGGGGATGAAAACTATCAAACTCTTCAAACTTATTAAAACCGTATTGTTCGTCGGCCTTAACATAGCTGAAGATGGTGAATGATAAACACAATAAATAGATGAACTTCATTTTCACAAAAGTAAAATTGAAAGGTGAAAATAGATTCGAGAAAATGGAAGAGACTAGAGTCGAAAGACTAGTGAATACACAAACAGTGTTGACTTTTCAAGATGAAAGTTGAGAATGATCTCATGGCTTTTGCCCTCAAAATAAACCTCTTTTTTAAATTAACCATCTTAACGCTTAACTCTTTGTTCAACTTTGTAAAAACAAACAAAATTAGAATGAAATACTTGACCATTTTAAAACGATTGGATCCATTTAACCCAACGATCAATTTTCAAGTGCACATCTCAAATTAATTACTAATCAACTCAGCCAACTAGGTTGATATTCAATTGTTTGAACTGGTTAATTGCAATAAATTTCCAATCGAATTGATACACTTGAAATAAAGAGATCAAATATCTAGGAATATCTATTCTAACAATTTGTAAGTGTCCAAAGATGAGGTAAAGATTGATTGACAAGACATGCTATTTTTAAGTGAAAAAAGCTTCATTTTCTCAATTCAGAAAGTTCAAAAAGTGAAACTCTTTTTTATACTTACTGCTAACCGTTTGAACAATATATTTCACTAAACCTAAATCACGATGACACTTGTTCAATCGAAAGTAAACACTCTCAGAATTAAAAAAATCAGTTTAACTATGGACTACAGAGTTTGACAAACCTGTTTAACATAGATCATGGATCATTCATCGAATCTAACTTTAGCCTTATGGTCATGTTCAAAGATAAAACGTTTGAAGCAGGATTCCGCGAACACCCCGAGCATTGTCAAACGTATTGTTTCAGGCTAATTATTAACCCTGGTTCACCCAAACCATGTGTTAATCCGTTTAAGTCGGGAAAAATATGGTATATAAAGGGACAGAATTTTCAATGAAAATCATTCTCAACTTTCATCTTGAAAAGTCAACATTGTTTGTGTCTTTGATATTTAACTCTAGTCTAATTTTACTTGAATCTTGAAATCTACCTTTCAACTTTTGTGAAAATGAAGTTCATCTATTTATTGTGTATAGCATTTATTATCTTCAGCTATGTTAAGGCTCATTATTACGTAGAGGATGACTCTTATACAAAGGGATACCCATCACCATTGCGATCAACGGTGCTTCCTCCTCGTCGTAAATACCACCAATCGTCTCTGGTTAAAAAGGAAATACTTCCACCTCGCCCAACTCGGAAATATCACCAATCGTCTCCTATGGTTGAAAAGAAGGATTTATTTCCATCGAATCCACCATATGAAATCGAAGCTTCTAAGGTTCACTCTAACAAAAATAGATATGATTATTTCCAGACTAAGAAGTTAATTGAAAGTCACTTGCGATCTAAACCTATTGCCAATAGACGATATAATTTTACAGAACACATGAAACTCAAAACCACAACATCCACAACACCCAAACCCGTGCTTACATACGACCGAGTCAACGTGGACAAAGAAATAAAAAAATTCAAGATGATGACTGCAATGCAGAAATCTAATGGACGTATTACTATATACAAAGTATTAATTATTAATAAATAATTATTCGGATCTGGTAAAAATACTCAAATTTATAACAAGAAATTTATAGAATTGTAATCAAACTATTCATTGACTTTTCCTAAATGTATTCAAATCAAATATACTAAAATAAAAAAATATTTATATTCTAAAACTGAATTGATCTCAGCATGAATCTTGTTTTGTGTTTCCGTGTGCAGATCGTTTGAACATTATAAGTCCTAAATGATAGGAATAAATTACATTTGTGTTTTGCTGAAAATTGATTGTTAAATAATCGCCGATTGATGCATTTCTGCTCTTTAATTACTAATAAACGATGAATAACGCCATAACAGAGTTCGATACAAAGATTAATAAGGGACTTAAATAAGCTTTACTATGGACTACATAGTTTGACAAACCTGTTTAACCTTTAGCCTTATGGTCAGAGAAAGATAAAACGTTTGAAACAAGATCACCTTTTCGACCAGTATTGTTAGTGAATCCTTAATCCTGGTTCATCCTTAGCCTTGTGCTAACCCGTTTAAGTCTGACAAAATATGGTATATAAAGGAATGAATATTTCAATGAAAACCATTCTCAACTTTCATCTTGACAAGTCAACATTGTTTGTGTATTCACTAGTCTTTCGACTCTAGTCTCTTCCATTTTCTCGAATCTATTTTCACCTTTCAATTTTACTTTTGTGAAAATGAAGTTCATATATTTATTGTGTTTATCATTCATCATCTTCAACTATGTTAAGGCCGAAGAACCTTTTGATGGTTTTGATGATGCTGCCGAAGATAGTTATCGACCCCGTGAATATTACCAAGTTCCAACTCCAGATAAAAAGCCACCAGTAGTTCCATCAAATATTGAACCAGCATACGAAGGTGAAACTACTACTGTTCCTTCTTTGATGGATAGGTTATTCCGTGTTAAACAGAAGCTCGAAAAGGGAGTGAAAGATGCAATAGCTGCGTTCAAGCAAAAGAAGCCGAAAAAAGTGGAGAAACCCAAAACCACAACACCCGAACCCTTCGTAGTGTACAAACGAGCCAAAGTACCCAAGAAGATTGTCCACAAGAAGATGAAGATACCATTGTCCAAGGACTGCAATTTTGACGAGCTATTTGGATCATTATTACCATTTAGTCCTAAAACTCAAATTTAAAACAAGAAATTATTTGTAAAATTGTAATTAAACTTTTCATTGCCTTTTCCTAAATGTATTCAAATCAAATATACTATAATAAAAAAATTTGTAAATTGTATGCAACTTTTGTTTATTCATTCGCGTTTCAATATTAATGTTTCTAGTTTTTAGGTTGTATCGTTATCTATTATTTGAACTATGGAATTGGAATCAGCATGAAAGCAAATCAATTTTTGTGAAGTATTCCAGGTGTATTCAATTGAATACGCTTAGGAGTAACAACCTGAAGAATAACTTAGACTGTTTCATTTCGAACTTTTATTCTTGTTTTTACTATTGTACATTCAATTCAAATATAAAATACACTTCCATCTAGTTATTTGTAAAATTGCACATGTTTTTCAATTCAGGATTTCATTGGAATGGTTTCCGAAACATTGTTCTGTTTCATCTGATGTTTCTTGAATTGATTACATTTTTTCGAGTCATTTTTTCAGCTCTCTGGTTTTTGCGATCACAGAATTCGGTCGGTTTATTTGAAAATTGAACTTGATCTGTTTTACGAAAACAGAAGATGTTGTTTCTCTAATTAAGATTATTTTCTGGTTGCTCATCAAAAGTTACACCAGAAAAATGAGTTTCATGAAAAAATCTTGTTCCATAGTTGTCCAAAAGGCCAGAGACCGAGATTAACCAAGAATCTCGGTTCTCGACCGATTCATTTTGATAGGCTGTAACAGCGATGAATTGTGTTGTTGGTAAACAAAAACTAATTGTTTCAGGCTCATGTCCAGGATTGCTTTTAATTATATGAACCTTAGGTTCATATTTGTGAAGGGAATTGAGGACCACTTGACCTTCTTCTGGTGGTTGTTTATTGGTCAGTTTAACTTTTGGAAATTCAACAGGTTTTTTCATCCAATGACCACCATAATTGGGTGACTCAGGGTGAGTGTAATAACTGTATTCTGAGCGTGATTTAACTTCAGATTTAGATCCTTGTACCCATTCATTGTTGAAAAACTTCCATCTGTAATCGCCCAATTGACAAAACTCTAGTATTATAACATACATGGAGCAGGTTACACCAAAGGAGATAAAAAAGTTGCCTTCATGTTTCTACATCAAATAATTTTACGTTGGGTTAAACATCTTGAGATTTACCGCATAAGGACAGACTTTAGCTCATTGGATGCAAGTGCAAATTTGAAAATGACTTTAAGACTAGCAATCGTGAAATTAAAAAGAAGAATAATTCAGAGAAAATTTGGACGTTTACTATAAATTATATTTCCATAGATTGGATTATATATTTGGATCCAGTCTTGGAACCAGCAAACACTAATATTGAAACGCGAATGAAAAAACAAAAGTTGTCTACAATTCATAAATATTTTTATTTTAGTTTTTTTGATTTGAATACATTTAGGAAAAGTCAATGAATAGTTTGATTACAATTGTACAAATAATTTTGTTATAAATTTGAGTATTTGATCCAGATCCGAATAATTACTTATTAACAATTAATACTTTGTATATAGTAATAAATCCATTAGATATCTGCATTCCCGTCATCATCTTGAATTTTTTTATTTCTTTGTGTACGTTGGCTCGGTCATAGGTTTGCACGGGTTTGGGTGTTGTGGATGTTGTTGTCTTGAGTTTCATGTGTTCTGTAAACTTATTTCGTCTATTGGCAATAGGTTTAGATCGCAAGTGACGTTCAATTAACTTCTTACGAAGGTTAATCTGGAAAGAATCATATCTATTTTTGTTAGACTGAACCTTGGAAGCTTTGGTTACGATTCGGTCGTATAAATAGACAGGTGCGAGTGTTGTAGTTATGGGGATTTTGGATTCTACGACTTTTTTCAACTTCTTTTGCTTAAGAGCACCCATTTTATCTTTCAGTTTCTTCTCGAACTTCTTCTTAGCCTGGTCAAATTTATCTTTCAACGTCGGAAGGGTGAAAACTTTTACTGTTGGATAATCATATGATGGACGAGGTGGAATTATTGGCTTTTTAACTGAAGTTGACGACTGGTACTGACTAGTAGGAACTTTAGCTTTTTGTGACCATGAATCGTATTCACGAGGAGAAAAGTCACTCTCTATTTCCCCATCATAATCTTCTTGCTCGTCAGCCTTAACATAGCTGAAAATGATGAATGATAAACACAATAAATAGATGAATTTCATTCTCACAAAAGTAAAATTGAAAGGTAGAAATAGATTCACGAAAATTGAAGAGACTAGAGTCTAAAGACTAGTTAATACACAAAGAATGTTCACTTGTCAAGATGAAAGTTGAGAATAATTATCAGTGAAAATTTTGGCCCTTTTTATAACATAAAGGACGCGCAAGAAGTAAATACCGATTTTGTTTTTCTGGTTTTCTCCCTAGTTAAATAGATTAAATTGAAAAGATTTTTTCTAAACTGATTAGGAAGAGTTGGAGATCAATATGCATATATTTTAAACCGATCAAAAGTTTGCGTTTAATTATGAAACGCCGTCAAAATCAATTTTCTGCTAGTCATGTTTGCCAACTCTATGGGTGAAGTAGTGAAGAGAGAAGAAAATTTTCTGAAAAATTGCAGACGAGCTACCTAAACCAATGGGGCAAACTTGATGAAGAACATCAAGAGAAAGCTACGCTCGGTAGCTCAAAACGGTGTTTTTGACCCACTGAAATTGTGAAAAATCAAAACACCATTAAATAATCTACTTATTAATACAAAAAACTGAGTGAAATTGTGCTTATTTATGCCTTAAAATTACCGAAACAAAATCGGTATTTACTTCTTGCGCAGCCTTTATTTTGTCCGACTTAAACTCCTTAACAAAAAGTTTTGGGTGAACCAGAATTAAGGATTTACTAACAAAACTGGTCTCAATTGCTTATGGTCGTCTAGTTTTAAACGATTTAAGAATATGTTGTGCCTCTAGATAAGATCATTTTCTGGTTTATCATCAAATGTTACACCAAAAAAATGAGTTACAATATTAGTAATATTGTACAATTGTAATCAAACTATTCATTGAATTTTCCTAAATGTATTCAAATCAAATAAACTAAAATAAAAATATTCATAAATTGTATACAACTTTTGTTTATTCATTCGTGTTCCTATTTTTAGATTGTATTTATCTATTTGAACTATGGAATTGGAATCAGCATGAAAGCAAATCAATTTTTGTGAAGTATTCCAGGTGTATTCAATTGAATACTCTTAGGAGTAACAACGTGAAAAGTAACTTAGACTGTTTCATTTCGAACTTTTATTCTTGTTTTTACTATTGTACATTCAATTCAAGTATAAAATACACGTCCACCTAGTTATTTGTAAAATTGGACATGTTTTTCAATTCAGGATTTCATTGGAATGGTTTCCGAAATATCGTTCTGTTTCATCTGATGTTTCTTGAATTTATTACACTTTTTCGGATCATTTTTTACGCAACAATATTTCCGAAGACAAGGCAATACTAAATCAGGATTAACACATTTGTCTCGATTGCAACCAGTTAAAAGACTAAAGAGTATACCAACAATAAGTGCCACCAGAAATCCTATTGCTGGTATAATGAAGTGAGATACGTGATAAATTTTGGCGATTCCTTCAGGATGATATTCTGGTATCCTGTAGTCTTTCAGTTGAGACACAAGTAAGCCAGGTTCAAGATAAGTAGTATTGGCTGAACAACCTTCAGTGGAGACTTCAAGTGAAAGTATTGGACGTTTAATAACTAATCCTCCTATGACAATCCAAACACAAGTAATTTGACCAGCTAAATAGCCAATAATTGCTCCTTTGCTGTTTACAAAAGGTGCGAAAATTCCCAATATAAAGACAGCAAAAGCGGGTCCTAAAGGTGATCCACTTAAAGAGTATGAAGCCTGACATAGAGATAAAAAATATTAGACAATTATTACCAATGATTGACCCGACATTTGTTGATACTTCAGACTCTTTGAATATAAAAATTTACCTCGAAAAGAGTTCCAGCTTGACTGGCAAGAAAAGCGACTCCAATACACACAAGTCCAGCTAGAGCGGCAATTATTTTGGTTATGGTTACTTGAGCACTGACCGATGCTTTTGGGAAACACCTTTTTAACCAATCGTCCCAAATAACCGCAGCAACTGCATTAAATGCTGAAGACAGTGTGCTCAATGTTGAACTAAATACACAGGCAACAAATAAGCCAGGAAGACCAGGATATTTGGAGGAAAACAAATCAGTAACAAAATAGGGAATCAATTGATCAGAGGCTGCGATCTTTTTTGATCTCAATGGATCACAATCATAGTAATAGGCGAAGGCCACAACTCCTAACGTTGTAACAAGAACTTGCATCGATTGGAAACCAGGCAAAGCCAAATACACGACCCTATAGTTATAATGAAATCAATAATGATATCATGAAGATGTGATTCGTGAAAATTAATACTAACATTTTAGCTTTCTTTAATGTTGGCATGCTCAGGGTTCGTTGTAGTAAAGCTTGACTTGTTGATAGACCAGCAGTCCAGACCAGAGTCGTTCCCATCAACGTCGTCCACTGATTATGTGAATTGTAGAAGTCAATTTTGGAGCTAATAATGTTTAAAATTAAAATTGAAGGATTGAAAAAAATATGAAGAAGTTTAGTTACAGTCAAGGATCGTGACTGATTCAACAATTAAACTATATAACTTGGATATTTGGTTTACACTTACTCGAAGAGACGTAATCGTCCACCTAAATCAGCTCTCCTCCAAACTTCAGCTACACCACCAGTGTCAATTATGCCCTAATTTTCAATTTCAATAATATGTTAATTTGGATTCGCAAGTTATGATCTAAAACGTTAAGAAATCTTGTTTCATTAACCATTGATCGCATACCGACGAAATATCCTAAATAGTCTACTCCAACTATTATATTAAAAACATCTAAATATTTTAACATGCATGTATTGATCGAAGACCCATTTATCAATTTAAGTCTGCAAATGTTATTATTAAAACCAACCTTCACTATCACCACGACAATTCCCAAAATCATCAAAAAATATTGAAGTACATCAGTCCAAATGACAGCTTTCAATCCGCCAAGTGCCGTATAAACTGTACAAATGAGTCCGCACAAGAGTATACTTGCTGTTACAGATAAGCCAGTAACAGCTCCTAAAGCTAGGGAAGGACCATAAAGAACAACGCCGAGCCATGGAAACTGAATTGAAACAGAATTTAGAAAAATTGGATTAAATAAAGAATTCAAAGATTAACTTGGCTTTAAAATGCTTACTGTAGCAATACACCCGACAATAGAAACCATTATCATTATGAAGTTTGAGCCATATCGTTCATAGAGATACTGCAATAGAAAGAAAAGAAGTGTTAAAATTATTCAATATTATTCAATCAAGGTATGAAGTGTTTATTGTTCGCTTCAGTTGATAATTTTAAAGGGTGTTGTGTGAAATAACTTACAATTATTATATCTCAAAGGCCATTGAAAAATTGGTAAAGATGAAAATGTCCAACCGTGGTTAAGATTTCCATTGGACATTTCCATCTTTATCAATTTTTAAACCATAATCGAAAGTAAGCTAATTGTAAGTTATTTCAATCAACACCCTTTAGATCAATAATCATCGCACTTTTGAAAGCAAAACTAAATCAAATCATTTCATCTTGGATTGCTTCTATTAATAAAGTCTGAATTGTTGAAGGGTAAATTAATGTTGACAAAGCATCTGATTCAATTTATAGAGAAGTTAACTAAAGGAAATTCAATGAAATCATCAGGCTTCTCATGTGTTGTAAGAATTAGCAACATTTTTAACAATTGAAACCTTTATAATATGACATTGTGAAGTGTTAGGTGAAGCGTTGCGAGTAATTTGACTGTGAATAAAACAAATGAAGAAACGTACATTGCAAAGGAAAATAAACGTTTGTCATGTTGAAATAACGAAAAATTGCTACCAAAATTAGCAATTCATACTCTAATTATTGGTAAGATTAATATAATAGAATAAAGAAAAGACAGACTGAAAACCAATAAAAAGTCTAATTTGGTATCTCTATTGATAGAAACGACTCGTCTGAAGGAAACAGCGTTTCAGTTACTGTATCTGACCTATCAATTTTGACCTGATCTAAAACTTAATTCAGGTTAGAAGATCGTTTTCACTTTCAAATTTTCTTCCTGTAAACCACCCAACCAACAGGACTTATCTTCAGCGATTGAAAAACACTAAACGAAATCCAATGTTATAATGGATGGACCACTGAAAATATATCCCATGCTGATCGTCTGGTTAATCAGCTTTTAAGGAAATTCAAGTACTTCAATATTATAATGGGAAATTAAGAGAATCACTTGAATTCGGAGTGAACCAGTGGTTGTCAACCACTAAACAGGAGATGGCTTGTCAACAGCAATCAAAATTTTCCTTCAGCTTAAACCAAGATGAAATGTTACTCGACAAAAGACTGTATCCTTCACAATTGATATGTAGATTAGTTGAAGATCTTGTTTGGCGATAGATTAATTGGAAATGAAATACACTTGATTAAATAAAATTATACTTACTCTATTAACACTGGTTAAGTTGAGTTTATAAAAGATTGGTAAGATAACTTCACTGGTAAGAAAAACTTCAACATAACAACTTAACAAAGTAATCCATATTTGGGTTCCTTTGTAATAAACTTCAGCTGGCCATCCAAGAACTGTTATTGATGATAAAAATGAAGCAATCAACGATAACATAACTGGAAAAGGTGATAAATTACGTCCTCCCATGAGGAATTCATTTGTACCCTTGTTACGGTCTTTCCATGCAAAGTAGAGTCCAATTAGGAGGGAAAACACAAACAATGCAACCAAGACCAGATAATCAATAGATCCTAGATATGCGATACTTGCTGGATCCATTATTATAAAATTGATTGGATAGTTTTCAATCAAAAGTCGGGCTATTTAAGATTTGTTTCATTTATCAAATTAACCAAAGAAATGAACAATCAAGACTATAAACAACAGTCAACAAAAAAAATTGCTACAGCAGCAATTCGGAGGAACGGTTTTAGTGAAATGAGTAGTTTTTGTACTTGAAGTTATCAAATTTTCTTCACAATTAAAAATGAAGTATTTCTTACTTGATTCTCTCTCTTCTTTTCTCCCTCTCACTCTCTATCTTTCATTCCAATTATCATCTCAATCTTTCTCAATGATTCCTGGATCAAAGCATCCTCCTTTCATGTTGAATCATTTATTTACCTGAGACTAATTATCTAGGTTTAAATCTCTCAATTGCACAAACAAGTAAAAATCAAAGCCACTTGATGGAAATCACAGATCACTAACTCTTCCTAGATCCTAGACTGTATAACGTCTTGACAATTTAAATGATTTGCACATCATTTCATCCTTTTAGTTTGTTTTCATTGCAATCACAGTAAATCCAATCAAAAGTTTCATTTGTCTGGCTGGATCATTGAATCGTTATTTTGCATCTCAAATTCACCAAATCAATTTTACCATCCATTAATCTGCTTCATGGCTAGATGACAATTGAATATCATTTGAATAAGATTTTAACATTTCGAGCAAAGATAAGAGCCAACAAATATTTGAAGGTTTTTCTCCGACTATTTAAATTTTAACGTTAGGTCTTTTGAAAAATAGTTGAATTAACAATACCTTATAGACGCTTGTGATTTTATGGTTCAAATCTAAATTGTTTAAATGCAGATAGATTCACAGAAAGTCAATGCCACCTTATTGCAACAAAGTTAACTCCAGACTTTGATAGATAGTCGTCCGATGATTTGACTTCTAAACCTTCTGTTGGTTGCTTTTTCTCGATTGTTTCAATCAGGAGACATGTTTGTTTATCTAAGATTTAATCCAATTTATTAAACTCTTCCATTAAATATAAAGCATCTTCTTGGTTAAAAGTAAACATTTGTAACAATCAATGAAAGAAAACGAAACCATTATTTTGATTAAATCACTCAATTTTCCATTTTGTCAGCTGGTTTTTGTTTGGGATCGTTGCATTCACGAATGTTGTCCGTAATCGGTTTTGTTACATCATCGATCAGGGTTATAGGAATCTGTTTTTCCCCAGTAGCCAGACTGACTATCTTTCTAGGAGCTTTGATCTTTAAAACACCATCGATTCCTAATTGAGATTCAAACTTGTCCTTATCAATATCGTTTGGAACAACAAAACGTCTTTTAAATTCTCGAGCAACGTATCCATAAGGATCATTCCTTTCCTCGTGTTTGCCTTCAACGACCAAACTATCTCCAACCAATTTAACAGTGATCTCTTCAGGCCTGAAATGTCCACAATCAAGATTCACTTCAAACCTATCGATAGAATTTCTTTGAGCAGAGATAACGTTTCTATTAAATTGGGAAGTCAAGTCAGTCAACTCGTTATAAGCTGAGTTCATTTGACCCCAAGCTCTCCTAGGATAAGGACCACGTCTTGAAGGATGAACAATAACTGGATATAAGTCATCTAATGGTTCACCCATGATTGCATCAATTAAACGTGGGACCAAAGACATTTTTAATTAACTGTTTATATGAAGAAAAACAATAAATGGTAAAAAACAAAGAAAATAGGAAAAACAGCAAACAAGTAGACGTATTGAAAAAGACTGGTTATAAAATTGAAACAACGTTTTCTTTTAAAATGATTTAAACCGTTACAAAAATATCTAGAAGTATCTAGATCCATGGACAATGTATCTCTTTTGTGATTCAAATGTGATTGGTTAATGAGACAACAGTCCATATCTTTGACTAACCTAGTTAACCTTTTTAGCCCGTAATTCATCCAGTGAACTTAAACCTTTGACATTTCTCATTTTTGAATCAACTGTCCAATCGGAAATAACTGTGACGACAACATTTTCTGAGTTCACCATAAGTTGATGACAGTTCTTGCTTCAATTTTAGTGTTAAATAAAGTCTGTTTCTTGTGAATTGGTGGGTTTGTTTTCAAACTGAAGAGCGGAATTAAAATCTGAGGCATGTATAATAATTCACCATTCCATAGGAAACAGTTTTCCAAACTGACCTAATTTTCTTTCAAAATTTACCCTTTTATGCATTAATTTTCATTAATTTAAATCAATTCAAATTCCCGCCTATTCCTTTTTATCCTTTTCCCTACGTCCCATTGTTGCAACATTTCTTAAAAATAGCTTAATATTAATATCTTAATTGTTCAAGACATAATCAACAGAATCTCTTCAATTTGTGAATTGAAATGAAATGCGTATTAGTCTCTCTTTAAGTACATGTGGACTCTTTTTTCCCTCAACAAGTGCCATAAGCAAACAAATACCAACACAATTTATTGTTGCTGCTATTTATATTTTTGTTGGATCATTATCGGTGAACAGTCCTTTAATTTTAATGTTAAGTATTTGATACAATCTTACAGAGTAAATTATATTTCGGTTTAGTTTGATTTTGTATAATCTAACATATTTTATTTGCAACGTTTCCAAGAATAGTTAATAAATAGATTTTTGTTCATTTGTCCGATTAAATATCAATTGGCGGTTCAATTGTTTTTGTTTTTCATAGAACAACTTAGCTCATTGCAATTGGTCAAATTGTCATTTATATTTGAAATAGTGTTAATGTCATGTAATACAATTTGATGAAATCCATTCTTATTTAAATAAAATCTTGTTTTTTTGTATCATTACCAAAGTTTCTTTTGAAATCTCACATTTTCAAAGAAACGATGAATCTAAGGATATGAAACATGTGATGATCATAGTGAAGACTAAAATTAAAAGATGATAATAATAAAGTAAATGGTAGTGATGATGATTTACAGATCTATTAAATATCTTAAACATAGTTAGCAAAATTGAATTTTTTGTTTTCCTTGCGATTCAATTTTCCAAGCTGTAAGTTCAATTGTAGTTAACTTTAACTGGCTTTAATTTACATTGATTACCATCCGATTGGGCTGTTGAAGACGATGAAAGTTTACTCGGAGATTTATGGCTACGATGAGATGAGGTTGGAGATGCATGGTTAGTTGGATTCAATGAATGTTGATCACTTTTACGGGAGGAATAATGTTGTCCAGTTGACTTTTCAAGTGTCTCATCATCGTCAAACATATCTTCATCAAAAGTTGCTCGAGGAGCTTGGAAGAGTTTGGAAGACGACGATGAATCTAAACCAGTTACTTTAGCTGTTGCACCGGTAATCCGTGGAAGTACAGGGTTATTGTTTTGTTTCAATTGAATTGGCGATGGTTTTGAAGAGTTGACTTGACCTCGAGAAAATGAAGATGATGATGGTGAAGTAGAGGAATTGTTGTTGGGTGAACGATTTGTTTTTTTATGTTGTTGGTTTATATCAGGTTGAGTTGTGTTGGCGTTTTCAGAATCAGCAAAAGGCAGATGACAATGACTTTGTTGTCGTTTTGATGGTTGATGATTTTTTGTAGTTTCCTGTTGAGGTTGACTTTTAATCAACTTAGGTGAAGGCTGATGATTCTCTTTTGTTGATGGTGATGAAGTGTTTTTTGCTTGAGCATTTAAGGCTTTGGTTATGGAGAGTACTTTGGTTGGTGAGGAGGAAAGTTGCATCTTTGAGGTTGACCATCGAGACAGAGAATCACCAATAAAAGGTATGGAGGGAGACGAGCGACATCTTTGTAATAATTTTTCGGTAAAAGAACCAGAATAACTTGGTTTGTATTTTGTATTGTGCGAGGTTGATGTTGTTGCTGATGATAAACTATTATCCAGATTTATACCTTCATTGGCAGCAATAACGCGAGCAGCAAGAACGGGAATCTTTGAGTAATTTTCACCTTTTGATTGAGGCGACATTTTGGCAGAATAATTTTCATAATCATTAATAACATTATCAATGGATTGTAATCCTTCGTTTGTTTTGTCTAATGTGTCTTTGTTGAATGAAAAAGATAATCTCTTCGTTGGAGTACATAGATTATCATCTTTTTTGGCATCATTGTTGTATCTAGATTCTAATGGTATCAATCCTCTTCCTAGATAATCTTTCCGATGATTATGGTAAGGTGATCGATCAGGAATCGAAGCCTCAGTTTTAGATTTAAATAGGCCAACTCCTTGTTTGTTTTCATTAACACTTGATCTGTTTACTGTTCGCTTCTTCTTGTTGCTTGTCTTCTTAAGGTTGGATGGTTTCACCGGAGAATCAGTTAGCTCATCACAATTTCCCGACTCATCCCAAATTGATAATAAATTTATATCATCATATGTATCACTGACATTTATGCTTAATGAAGATAGGCTTGTCTTTGAATCACTATCTGAATCAAAATTTAAATCATTAGTGTCGGAAGATGATGGCGCCAAGTCATCTGTAATTTGTTTATTCATATGCGATTCTGTATTGATGTTGGATGAACCATTGTAGTTAACTTGATTCCTCATTGGCTCTTTATTTGTTTTCTTCTCCATTTCATCGACAATCATTCGAAACTCTTTCTCTTCCAATGTAGTTGATGAAGGTATCGTATTATCTTCTATATCATTTATTTTACTGTTGATTGTGTTCACATCAGATCCACTTGTATCAGTATTTTTGGAAGATGAATTTTTTTCCGTTTTATCACTATCATCATCAACTTCATCAAATTTTTCCAGAGTTGAACTTGTTGATGTTTTAATGTTATCATTAGATATAATTTCACTTGATTGTCTGGAAACAGATGAACTTTCATTAGGTTGAAAACTGGCTGAAGAATCAACGTTAGGCTTTGCTTCTGTAGTTATTGCAGCTTTTTTGGGTGAAATGGTAGGAGAATATTCCGATTCTTTATGAACAACAATTTGAGGTAAAACTATTTCTTCTTTAATGCTTGCGTGATTATTTTCCAATGATAGCGATGGATGCTTATGTCGGTGGTAAATCAAATCCCCTCCATCAGAAACACCACTTTCATCAAATTGATCAGAGTCAAAATCATTGTCCGTCGAATCAGATGTGTCCCATGAATCGGATGATGTAGTTGTTTGCCGGTCTTCATCATCGACATCACCATTGTCATCATCCTCATCTTTATCACTATCATGAGCTTTTTTATTACGACCATCACTCTTATTCCTATCATCATTACTATCGTCGTCGTCATCATCGTCATCATCATCTTTGTCACTTTCATCACTATCAGGTTCATCATTTTCAGCTCCAGATTCCCAATGATCAGAGCCAAGATTCAATAGTTTAGTCAACTCATCATCATCAACCATTTCCGAAGTCATGGAGATATTTTCATACTCGATTCGTTCATTTAGCCGATTTCTTGAGCAGTCTTGACCACCCGGTGTTGATGCTTTCCCTCCTGGTGTTGTCTCTGTTTTACCGCCTTCACCTCCAATAGGTGAAGTTATACTCTTCTTCTTGTTACTTCCAACATCTTTAGATCCATCCGTTTTATTATGGCCACTTCGTAAATCAATATTGTTATTACTTAAAAGAAACATTTCTTTCCATTTCATCCTTTCTTTTAAACGAGCTTCATAATCATCGGTTGTCGAAGCCATTTTTTGATCGGCCAAACTTGGGAACACTCGAGCTGATGAGCTTTTAGCCAATGGTTCTAAATTACCATCAAATGAACTAGTCATCCGATTATCAGTTGTTGAACCTGGTGTTGATGTTATGCTTGATTTGGTACTACCCATTAGTTTACCAATTACTGGTGATTCAATTGATGAAACCTTTGATTTACTGTTGGATGTGCAATCAGAACATTTATAGTTGAATCCGTTTTCTTTTGAATTGTTCAACACAGTGTTACTTCCAGTAATTAAAGAAGCTAAACTTCCATTTCCAGTGTTGCGCACTTCAGACATTCGCAAAGTAACGCTACATGAAATACATTTAAGGCAACTTCGATGAAATAAGGTTCCACTGACCAAAATTTTGTCAACAGTAGCCACGATTAGACCACATTTAGCACAAACCTTGGCTACCATTGAACCTGATCTTTCAATGATTCTAATTTTTTCTTTTGTTGGTGATGATAATTTTGAAGATGATGCATTTGATTTAACACCATTTTGACCAGATGCTGCCGCTGCCGCTTCTCGTGCTTCCCTGCGAGCCTCTTTACGAAATGGATTATCCAAAGTGCTAGGAGATCGACGAAGAACAGCAGGTTCAGTCTGTATTTCTGGTTTACGGGCTGCCTTTTCAGTCAATTCATTTTTCAACATTGAAATCCATTCTCCATTATTCGTTTGATTATTTTTAACAGTTTCTTTCACTCGTCTTTCAGGTTGGTGGTGATCGTCAATGTGTTCAAGTTTACTTTGAATTTCATTCAATTTGTTACGGAATAATTCAACTCGTTGTGGTGGTGGAGGTGATTTGGGTTTTGCATTGGAAACTGCTAAGAGAGAAAAGTACTCGATTATTAGCTAATTATACATTTAAATTAGACAATTTTACGGCAAAGATCACATTGAAAGAAACAAGACAATTAAATGAAAAAGTTGCAGTCATTATCAAGGTAAATTGAAATTGAACCGAGAAAAAAATAAAAAAATAAACAAAAAGAAAATGTTTTTTTCTTGATTGTATTTAATTTAATTCATAATTGGTAAGCTCTTTAAATCTATTATTCATTGATAATATCACAGAAAAGGTAGGAATTATAGACAAAAGCAAAAAGAAATGCAAGAGGAAATATAATTGTAAGGCAAATTGAAATTAAATTACTTGATTCTACAGAGAAACTACACAGCCATTCATCATTTTCAAATAGTTTATCATAATTAATATCACAGCCAAGCTGACCAGAAATAGTTGAATAATTGACAAGATTGTCAATTGAAGAAGAGTTAATAGAATATTTGTTACGATCAAAATTGTCTCGAATTTTTTTCGTATTAACAACTGGAAAATTACCTTTATTTGACTCGCTGCTGACTCCTGAACCTTCTTCAAAAGGTTTAACATTCCAATCTTCTTTGGATATTTTACCAACATATTTGATATCCTTTGTAGCTTTCAATTTAGCCTGTTGTCTAAGTTTTTCCTCTTGAAGTTTAGGATTAAACAATTGCTGTAGTTGAGTTGCAGTCATCATTACATTGATTCCAGTCTTGGTTGAAGGCAATTTTAATGGAGGCTCTTCTTTAGGGTCAGAATTATCATCTGAAAGGTAAGACAATCCTGATGCTGCATACAATTTGGCTTCCAGATCTTTGATTCGTTCAGAAAAGGATTCTCGTTTAACCAAAGGATTACTATTATTTGAATCAAGCGAGTTTTCACTATTGGCTTGAGCTTTTTGATCCAAAAACCAAGCAGCTTTACTTCGTAATTGTTGTCTTAAATGGTTATAACATTGTTGTTGAGCTTTCTGGTGAACTTTACCACCTCCTTGCAATTCATCAGTTTCCGAGCGTCTAAATTGAGATTGACGCTGTCGTCGATGACGAAAAGCACTTTCAATATCTCTTGCTCTTGATTTAGCCATAGTTATCAAGTTAGATGCTGATGGGGACATATCTAGAGCAAAATTACCAGAAAGTGCAACGCTATTAGGAATATGAGATCGATTGGGAACCGATGTTGATAATTGCGTTCCACCTTCTGATGGATCAGCCTCTGAAGCCAATAGTCCGCGATAATTTTCTTCAAAAGCAGCTAAACTATCTTCGAATTCTCGGTGGGCAGCCAAGTTACTTTCATCATCTTCCAATGTTGAAGGAACAATGTAGGGTCGTGAAAATTTCTCTCCATTACCACTTTCGCTGTTTCTTTGATTTCGTTCTCGTTCACGTGAAATGGCCATGAATTCTCGCTCAACTCGAGCTCGTGATTCCATAATAACCTCACCATCTCCATTACCATTATTGGCACCAGAACAGGAAAAAGGTGAGGTTGTGGCAATTGTAGCTCTGCGAGCTCGTTTCTCAGCCATTGTTAGCTTGGATCTTGGTTCAATTACTGGAGATGGAAGATGATCATAGAGAAGGTGTCGACATTGATGAGGCAACAAGGTTGATGAATTGAGATTAGGATACCGTGTAACTGGATTAATTGAGTATGAAGCACAGTTTTGACTCAAATTTTCCGACTTTGTTTGAGCCAAAAGACGATAGATTGCTTCACGTTCAGAAAGTACTTGTAAAATTTTTTCTTCGTCTAATATTGATTTACATTTTTTAACAGCCCATTGACGGACCAACCAAGCAGCATCCATGGCTGATAAAAATCCTCTTCCACATCCTGAACCAGTGGGCCAGAAAGGTTCCAAAAGGGAATCACCAACAAGACTAATCAGCAAAAGACCTTCATCAGTCTCATTTTTTGCTTTATCTTCCATTTCAGCCTCTTCCTTATTATCAACACAATGTTCATGAGATGTTTCACCTGATCCTTGACATAGATCATTTGTATCACTTTTTGACTTTTTACAGGGTTCATTATCACAGTTACATCGTGAACAATCATGTTGACGGTTTTTATAAGTTGTCCGAATAATTCGTTTAGCTCGACAAGCATTGTCAGCGGCGTACATAGAAGTAAAGTCAAACATGGCCACATCAGCTTCACCATAGTGATTAAGCGCAAAATTAGGTGTATCCAAGCCTGAAAGAAAAAAGAAAAATGATCAATAAAAAAATGTTTACTTTGTAAAACAATCAACTTCTAACTGTTAAACACAAATGAAGCATTCTGTTTACTATATTAGGAATATTGTTTTTTCTTACTTTCAAACAAAAACCTAATAAATCTTGGCAAAGTCAAAAGTAAACTAATTAATTTGTTGGATGGAATCAAGAATGAAATTGAACTTTGGAAAAAATTAACCAAAAAAAAGACTATTAACGTCAAACTTGTCAACAACATCAAGATGCCAATGACCTAAATCATTTACTAATTTATTGATAAAGTGCATCCTTAACATGCTCAACTGATTGTGTTTACTAATTATTTATCATTATCATTACCAGTTGTCCATTTGGCAGCATCTCGAGCATAGTTCAATAATTGACTTCGATCGATATTGGAAGAAGCTAGAAGAGCTCTTGTATCTGAATAGTCATTGATTAAGACACCTCGTTGAAGGAGTGAACTTTTCTTGGCCGTCATCACAAAATAATGGGTATCATCCTTGTAATAGCAAATATTTTCCAGATCAATACCAGTTTCATTATATAACGATCTAAAGAAGGAGCAAAAAAATACAATCAAATGAGTAAAGGTTTTTACAAACAACAATTAAAATTATGTGAATGTTAAACAATTGAAAACATAAACAACTATGAGCCTCAAATCTCACGGTTAATTGGGTTAATGTTGCAGGGTGAGACAATAGTAACAATTTAGTAATATATGTTAACAATTTAATTTTGGTCTTTATTAAATAATTGTTAATCTTCTCCTTCTCGCACTTATCCTCAACTCATCAACAGAATTACCTTTTTGTCTCTCTTCTTCTCATTATACCTGGCATTTAGTTACATTATAACAAGTAAATATTCGTGGGACCCTTAATTTGATTAAATTGGGTAAAAATAAAGAAAAGAAAAGGATGAGAATCGCGAAAATGAACATTAAAATTCTGATAACTTGATAACTGTAGCACCATTAATAACCAAAATATGACCTTAACCGTGACAAGTAAAGTTGCCTATCATTTCAATTGGTCATCATTATCATCATCTTTTCGCAACACTTTACCCAGCCAAGAGTAATGTTTAACTGAATAAATGATGGGCTTGACCATTTCTCCCTTCTTATCATCTCAATTTTTTTAACAACCAGCAACATTTCAATTCAACCTACGCTGTCTTTATTACAATTGAAGAGCAACCAAACAAAGTGTATTTTAACCAACACCAACCACACTTAAGCGTAAAACAAGAGTGCAAAAATGAATGAACACACAAAAACTCAAATTTCAAGTTTGAATGGCAAAGATTATAATAAAAGAAAAACAAAAAAACAAAATAATGATGATGATGATAAAAAAACCTGAACAGATTGGAAACGGTGAAATTAACATACACATCAATTGAAGTAGCATCGTCAGCAAATTGGAAATACTTCAATACATGAAGCCAAAAAATAACGCAAAATTATGAGTTTACAAAAAACAAATCAACCTCAATCATTGACATTGATCAAGAAATCATGAATCAATAAGAAGTAACAAAAAGGAAAGATAAGATCATCTGAAAAATGGTTTTTATGAAGGTTTCATTTTCGGGTAAAATAAGTTCATCTTTAGGTGAATCAACTAGGAAAAGTACTTGACCAACATCCCACGGACTTTAATTCATCTTCCTTCGGCTTCCTTATTATAACTTTGAACACTCACATAATGTGTTATCTAATCAATTTGAATTTTCCTTAGAGCTACTATTTTCATAAATCAGCTTCTGAATAATTATGAATGAGAGCAAAAAATAACTCAACAGGAAGATAAATGAGTACAAAGAAAAGGTTCAGCTTTGACTGTCAATGGCTCTTTTAAAGTGGAAAAAAAGTGTAGAAAAGAGGTGAAAAATCTGAGTAAATGAAATGAAACTTTCATGCTATTTCCTAGTAATTTTGAATCATTTGGTTGGCTTGAAACCAAACAATTTGAAAGCTAATGTTTAATGAAGGGAAAGGCAAAAGTTACAAAACAAATGCTCAATGACAACAAAGATGATTCAAGCTAGAAATTAAAGATAGTTCATGATATCATAGGATATTCACTCGCTGAAATATGATATTCAAGAGTCAGATCAAGCAAAGAGACTTCCGTAAAAAAATAAACTACAAAGTGAATAACAAAAGTAATCAAAGGGTATAAAAAATCAATTGGCCACACAAATAAGGATAATATGAAAATAGTTACAATGAATGGAGCAATTCAACCAGAAATGGTAAATTTACAGATTAAACATGAAAAAGCGAAAATTTCGTGTAAAAGTGATTTTTAGATTATCTTCAAACTTCATTTGAAGGCATTTTTCAATGAACAAAGATGGTTGAATTACACAAACAGATCCAAGTGTCGACATAAAGATTAATTTGTGAAAAATATCTCATACGGAATCAGCCATTTTTCAAGTTTTATTAAAGGATTCAACCAAAAGATTTGAGACCATTTTTCAGGTTTGCAACGAAACGCTCAAGTTTCAGATTAGATTTGCAATTTATGATCATTATTATGAAAATTAAACACTCGATAAAGATTGTCAATGATTTTGTTCAATACTTTTCATACCTTATCATGGAGTCAAAACTGTTGTAGCGTTGAAAAAATATGATAAATTGTAAAAAAAATATCAACCAATTCAACTATTAACTGTAAACATATGATAAGATATGAGACGTGAGAAGGGTTTATGATGATTAAGGTGATTAACATCATCATGGTTAGGTTGCGATTAAACGCAAATGGGCCAACTTTTGAAACCATAGTTAAGATTGACTTTTAATATTCAAAGTGGCCTACCTTAACTGGGCTGGAACAGACTATGTCTAGCAAATTGAAATTAAATAATAATCATGGTAATGATATTAATAATGAGTCATGAAGAAAAGTGTATAAAAATAATCTTTAAGTTGAGCATTATGAAGGATGATGATGATGTCGATGAAACAAAAAAAGGGTGAGGATAAAGAGTTAAAGGGTTAAACTGCTGAGATTTCCGTGAATCAAACATGATTTACATTCATATTTTAATTTAATCCCACTCATTTAATTATCCAAAAGGTGCGTTTTAAATCAACAACTTTCAACTAAATTTAGCATTTAAATCGGAATACGACATTTCTTGAAATATCAAAAAATTTGTTTTAAATCATCAACATTTTCACTTTAATATCTTGATGAACTTAAACATTTGATTCGGTAACATTAGATTGGAATCATTTTGATACAATTTGGTTTTGAATAAACTTGCAAGTTGTAGTGATTTAACAGAATGAGTTAACGTAAATTCACTGTCAATATCAATTGATAGAAATGGCGATTTATGTTTTCAAGTAAAATGAAGTGAATGGTTGAGTAAATAAAATTGTATTTACTTAATGAATTTCATGTGAGAATCTGATTCATTATTAAAACCTAATTTACAGTATAATCCAATCTGATTAAACAAGTCAAAACAAACTGGAAAACCCTGCTTGTAACCCTAATTAATATCTTTATCCAAGTTGAATTTGATTTTATCAGATGAAGGGAATCATCAATCTCAATGGTTTACATAGCGAGACAATCATTGAAAATGTTATTTTAAAATCATTTCGAGGCTGGTTGAAATTGAATGTTGGTAAAGACCAAAAACAGGTAACATGAAAAGTACCTGAAAAAAGCATGACTAACATTTTTAGTAACATTAAATTACCAGAAATGATCAACGCTCATATGACTTTGCATATAAGATGATCTAACTAGACTGTCAAGGTTGACGAGTGAACTAACAATCAACTACTGTTGGTGAAAATTTACAAAGAGCATTAATCATTTCACCCTGTAATAAAATGAATGCGGAAATAATTGTTGGATAATTGAGAAGCACAATGTGAAAAAAGGTGAAAAAAACATTATCATGGTAATGAGTTCAATGAAATTCATTTAGTGAGCAACTTTACAAATAACAAGCAACAATTGATACCTAATAATGGCATTATTGTTACCCAAAATTATGTTAATCTTCAACTTAATCTAGTCTCTGAAAAAAAAGAAAATTTTCATCACAGAAAAGCAGTGATTAAATTGATGGCTTCAGGGTAGTTTGCTTGATTGGTAGTTTCTTGATTTATCAGATAACATTAATTAAACTATGGCAAGATGATTAGGTTGAGGATCAAGTTGATTTTTGTTGTTATTTGCTACTTTGATTTCAGGCTACTTTCAATTGGTAAAAAAGATTAAGTAACAACTGATTGATGTTGAAAAGGATAACTTATCCACTATAATTATCTTCTATTTTTTTTACTATATTTCATGAGGTTCTGCTGAAAAATCCGATAAAGTTAGGTGATAAGTTTGGGTTAAATTTGTTAGTCAACCATCTTAAAATAAGCTGTCAACTGAAAGGTTGACCTTTAAAGCTTCAAGTGATGAGACTTGAATATGGCCCAGCACTTGGTCAGACAATTATCATTAAACCACAAGCAGTTGATTGAATTGCAAATCAGTTAACCCTGAATTATTGAAATTAGATTAATCAGTGTTGTCTTTATTAACTAATTTTGTTAAATGGTTAATTTGATTTTCAGATTATCTACTTGAAAGAGTTGATTTTGTGTACAATTCAGATTTCATGATTAATCGGATTGCATTAAATTGTTTGTTATGTTAAATTGGTTATTAATGTAAATTGGGTGGGTTTTCATTAACTACACAAAATGTTCATCTTGATTTAGTTATTTAACTGATTGGCTATTATAATCAATAAACATTTTTATCCAGAAAATCTGTTGAGTCTATTAAGAAGATAAATTGTGTCTAATTAATCTGGTCTGACCTATCAACTTGAAATGTTAGTTGAATGATTAAAGTATAATTGGACTATTAAGGGAGGAGAGATGAGTGCAGGTGAACAATTTAAATAGATTCAATTAAAGGACAATTTTGCCTAATAAATGTAATATTTAGCAATAAATAATTAGATGTAATCTTGATTGTAAATAACTTTGGCTGGGCTCAATTAAGTCAACTAATTTGTTTGAACCCAAAGAGAGCCATTGATTAACATTAAAAGTTGATATTTTTTAAGGCAAAAGTTAATTAACAAGTTCATTTTTTTGCAGATAATAAAATCAAATAAATAACAAAAGTCCATCATTATGTCGTTAAGAGTAAAGTGAAAGATGAGAATTGTAATTAAAAATTAGTTTATCATTGAATGTCGAGACTAACTGTAACAATTGATGTTTTGAATTAACCGATTGTAAGGCTTGATTAGGTAAAAAAGACATTATGATAATGGTGAGATGATGATTGAAGTCAAGGTAGGTTGAGACGACAGGTAAATATTTAGATTGAAAATATTAACATATGATGAAATAATTAGACTGACTGAAACCATTAGATACAAATCATTGATTACTATTAATTAACCGTGATATGTCTAACTATATTTAAATGGTTAATTAAACTGACTTTATACTATTATTATAATAGTTGAAGATACAAATTGTTATTAGCATTATGATTATTAATAAAGACAGAAACAGTGTACAAAGTTATAAGACAAGTAAACAAGACTAATCAAAAATTCATCATAGTCTTGAAACCCTCATCATAATCATCATTAAATTCATAATGATAGCCATCATCTTTATTCAATCAGACAAAATCTAAACATTTTCTTCTTCCTTTAATCATCCCTTCATGCTTGTTCACTATTAAAGGTTAGTGATTTAAATTGCTATGAAGATCATGAGAAATCGTGTAAAATGAAATGAAACAAAAAGCCAAAATCGTAATACACAAAATAATATTTACTCAGGCCTGAAAGTATTAATCATAATCAACATGATTATCATTAGAATCATTTTTGTATTGTTATTGTAATTTTTGAAACTCATTGATATTTGAAAGTAAAACAAATGCAAAAGGATTTCAATGGAAAGGATTCAAGATTGAGTTCATCTTGATCAATAATGAACAATCTGGTGAGATGTTGGAGATTCTGAGAAGGGAAAAGATAATTGTCCTGATTTTGTCACATCAATCGGATGTTGGATGAATAAATATTTGAATTTAGAGCATTATTTTGATGGTTTTCCCAGTGATGACAATTTGCAAATTGTTGGTGACTTTAAATATTAATATTTGAAAGCATAAGGTTTAAAGATTTTGATTCACTCCAATAAATGGAGCAAAATGAAGGTACAATTGTCAAGATAATTCAGTGATTCAGAGAAAGATGATTGAAGATAATTTACTTTTCCTGAATTTTATTTCATTTTTTTTTCTTCCTCTAAGTTATTGCCAAGATTTTTTGACAAAAAAAAAGTTTAATTTCTGCCAAAGGTTCAACTAACTGCTTAATACTGCAGTAAACAGCAATTATCTGTTGGGTTAAATAATCAATATTACGTGTTATATTAGGATAATATCAGGGAGAGAATTAAACTTTAATCAGTTTCAATCAACAGACAAATGATTAACCAAATAGTCTTATATTTTCAGTTCCGTGTGACAGTAAAAAGTCATCAGTGTGATGATCTTAAGGAAAAAAATGTCAATTATTTGCTGATGCAGGAGATGATTAAGTGAATCATGAAGTGAATGCGAAAATGAATTTTCAACTTTTGCTTCAATAAGCGATTGTTGAAAGTGTTGCTATTCATTGGCTACCAACAAATTGACCTTTTAAATAGGGTAAAGAAAAAGTTGATTGTGATTTAGTGTCTTCAAGTATAACTCAATGTTTACTGATTTTTCTTTTCTGGTTAAATTGTTTGCATAAATTATTATGGAAGAAGAATATTAAAATAGAATTGTTTGGCACTTGTCTTCATGTTCATCCTGATTTTTCACTGAATCACACTTGAAAATATTTCTTTCTTTCTGTCGGTTTTGATAAACAAACCATTGAGACAAGATTCACAATGAATGACAAAAACAATTTAAAGCTTTTATTTTTCTTGACAACTTTTCATGTCAAGATTGACTGAAGTAAGAAGAAACAACGTCAACCTATTCATGATCATTTCAGGTTCATCTTTGAAACAATTGCAACAATTAACATTTAAATGTAATTTCATTTAATAATTTACAAGCTAACACCATTAATATTCAAAAATTAATGTTAATACGTTTGGGTTTAATGGCTGTGAAAAGGGATTAATGGTAAAGTTAAACTTAAACCTTACTCCTACCAATGTTAGCAATAGGAAACAATTAAAGGTTTATCATTAAATTTGTAACTAATATTATGGAAATGAAGGGTTAATGAAAGATCGTAATTGTAATAGCGATAATAATGAGAAATCTTAAAACGCTAATTTAGTATGTTATTTGATCACAACTGATTGTCACTTTCAAAGCTACAAGGTAAATTGGTGAAGGTTTGAAATTATTTTTACGTATTTGCTTTGTTTTTGGCATTGTTTTCATGATATCAAACGTTGTCACGAATTTTAATAAGACTGTCCAAAATAGTATTGTGTGAGCGAGATTCAGTGATTAAGTGAGTATCATGATAATGATGATGATGGTTGAGTGGATAGCAGAACTAATGACCTTCGATTGGAAATAATGATAACGGCAAAAAATATGGTAGACCAAGAAAGCAATTTAAAGGTGATGTAGACCAAGACTTTTGGTGATGAACAAAGAAAAAAGTTTGATTGGTAAACTAAGAAAATTCATTAAATGGTCGATAGTTTGGTGAACAAAAAATGGTCAATTGTATGGTTTAATGAATATTTAAAATGAAATAAACTGAAATTGTGGGACAATTTGCCAATCATTTGATGGTAATTATTTCAAGGTGAAAAAAAAATTCACCATTTCAACGCCATTTATTGAGCAAATGAAATAATTGTTGATCTAATTAAACTTAAATTAGTGTTAATGATGATTGGTGATGAACAAATGTTCACCTTGAAAGTAGGAGCTAGAGTTGAGCACAAGAAAAGGCCAGATATTCAATAGAAATCTGTGATTCTTGTGATTCTGTATTACTTATTGCAGTTGGGCGTGTGAGTGAGTTTAGTTAATCAATAATAAACATTAAAAAATGTTGATGGCAACAAATTGATGGTAATTTTGAAAAGATATTAAAAAATGAAGCAAAGTTGTGAAAAGCAGAAGCAAGAGACGCAGGAAGGCAAAGGAAGCAATTTTCAACAGCAAAATAACTTATTGTATGAAAAAAAAGTTGACTGTGGCGATAACTTTCTTCCCTTCAGTTTCCTCTATCACTATCGTTATCATCATCATCGCCCTCATCATCATTTTTGATTTACTTAACCAAAAGAGCTCACAGAAATTTGTTTCTGGTTGACTGCGATTAAGATCGTCGTTTTGAAAAAGAAAGAGAAATGAGAGGTAAAAAAAGATAACTATGTACAGAAATGCTACGCTTCTTTGCTAGTATCAAGTAGCAAGATAAGTGGCCTGAAAAATCAGAAGAGAAAGAGAAAGAGAGCAAAAAAAGACAAAACAAAAATGTAAACAACCAGAATAACCTTAAAATTGTAGTAAAGAATAGAATAGATTGCCCAAAAATGAGAATGGTGGTTAAATATTATTGAACCGGTGGTGGGTTGAAGATGAAGATTGAGAAGGAGAATTATGATGTTATTATGTAAATGGATGATGGTGAAAAGAGACTAACTTGAACATTTCCTGGTGGTATATGAAAGAGATACCAGAAATCTCAGGTATCTGAGCTTCTGCCAATGTATGGTTGTTGATAAAATTGGCTGTGATAGCGATTGCCAATTTGCCTCTAAACTCTTTACGGGGAAAATTGTCATTCAATGTATTACGACGACCATCACCGCCAATTAATATGTCAAATGGGTAAGTGTGCAACTTTTCCAAGAGAAGATCATAATTAACCAAGGTTGATGCGGTACTGGGTGTAGATGAGGTAAGACTAAAGTGGGCATAAGCACCAATATAACCTTTAGGAAGGTGAGGCCAAAAATGTCGCCCACCATCACCCTGACGGTGAAGATGACAGCAACAGGAACAATTTGAAAGTCGACGGGATTCCGTTTTAACTCCATAGTAACTATCTGTCGGTGAACAACCCATCTCATTATCACCATTATTGACATTACTATTATCGATATTTTCTTGATTATCGTCATTGGTAGCAGAATCACAGTTTGTACCCTTTTCACTTTCGGTTTCCTCTGTTGTTGAGTAAAGTTTTCTTTTAATTGGTGACTGCTGTTGGGTTGTCGATTGTTGAACTTTACAGTCACCAGATGCATCAGCTTCAGATTCTGGGCTGGTTTCTTTAATGGTTTCCCGAGAGGATCGGATATTATGAGGACAAATCTCTTCAAAAGCAACATTCTCGATAAATTCACATCCGATAATCAGAGCTACTTTTAAAAGCATCAGTTGAAGCTGCCTTATGCTGACATGATCGATGGAGCCTGAAATAAGAAGTCAAAACGATTAGTGATATAGTTGATTTAACAGCGGCAATCAAAGTGAGAGAGAGAAAATGAAGATAAAGAAGAATGAAAAGAGAAATAGAAATTGATAGAGAAGATGAACAACCTTTCGATCATCTTTCATTTCCCATGTTGTTTTTTTTTCTTTGTTTTACATTTATTTTTTTTCTCTTTCTTCTTTAACTTCAATTTTATCCATTTTTTGTTTGATGCCTCCCATTTGATTTTCAAACAATAACATTTGACTTTCATTCTTACCTGCACAAAATTTTCCGTAAAACTTTTTACCAGCCAATTGTTTAAGGTCAGCAATTACAAAAGGCCATAGATGAAGAACATTGTTACGAGAAAATCTATCTCGCTTCTCTGTTATGATTACATGGCGAGCACCCAATAATTGTAACTCAATGGCTGTTCGCAGACCACAAGGTCCACCACCAATAACTAGACAATTGTTATTTTTAAGTATATTGTTAGACCCGTGAGGAGAACCAGAATGACCTCCAGTAACTCCAATGCCACTAGATCGTCCACTGCTTGATCCTGATGAATGATATATCTTGTTGAAAGCTTTTTTCTCTATTTTAGAGAAGATTGACTGTGACTTCCAATTTTTATTACACACTATTCCCTTCTTGAGGGTGGGGTAAAATTGATTGAAAGGTCCAGGCTCAAGATCTGTTGTTAATGGAGATGATGTTTAGGATGATGGGATAAAAGAAAAGAGAAAAAGAAATCAATTTAGAATGAGAATAACAAGAAAATTTTTAAAATAGGAAAAAGGCCTAAATGCATCCTGTAAGTGGTTTGGTAAAAGGTCAAATAATACATGTACAGAAAATGCTGTTGTCAACTTGTTTTGAGCAAACAAAATAACATGCTTAGATACGTGTTAATACATTTAATATTGGATAATTTAAGATGCTTACCTAATAGAAGACATATCCTACGGAAGGTAATTAACACAGATTTAAGAGTAGTTCCATTTATAAATTGGTCAAACAATTCAGTAACATGGTAGTTGTGACTTGATGGGCTTTTCGACATGGTGTTATTGGTATAGTTGCTTGTAGGCTGTTGTTTAGTTTGCTGTTTGTAGCTTGTATCTTTCAAAACTGTAAGATATTTTCAACATTAATTGATTGAGGAATCACTTCATAATCCAGATAATGATTGAACAACAATCTTAGAAAAGATCTAAAGAATTGCACCTTCAATAATTGACTGATCACTCAATCAACAAAAAAACAAAAACATTATAATCCAACATTTGGTGTGAATGTGTTGAACAAGTAGATGCTCCTAGAGACTATAACTGGTAACAGTTTTGAATTATCATCATTTAACTTTAAATTAAGATTCTATTGGTGTTGATATTGTTGTTATTTTGTTGCTGTGGTGGTTGATGTTGATGCTGTTGTTAGAGATGATGGTGATGAGTATAATATACGCCTATGGTAGGAATAACTTGATCACTTATCCACACATACAGACATGAGAGTTGAGCTGAGAAAGCATAAACATTTAAAGGTTATTCAAGAGATATTCTCTATTTTTTTACACAGATATAAATACAGTTGGTTATAGATTGGTTACCATTCAAATAAATAATAATTAGGCACCTAAATTAGAGTAAAAAATGGTTCAAACAATGCTCTGGAACCGATTTTAAACAGTGAAAAAAACGAATGGAAAAATTTCTGATGTTTCCAGTCAAACACAACTTCAACTAAATGAGTTGAGTCACAACCACAACCAGAAGAAATGTTTCCCCCTCTTTTTCCCCCGATCCCCTTTTCTCTTTGTTCCTCTCTATTTTTCCCTTTCTTATTATCTGTCTTTTTGTGTGTCTATTTTGCCTTTTTCCAATCAGTTCCTAATTTTTTGTTTGAACTTTCTATTTTTTAATCATTTTAAGAATTAACAGTTAAAAATAATTGTAATTATCAAACCTGATCAGTCTCAACTTTCATCGTGTTTTCCTAATTGTGTCACTTTATATTATGATTGTTATTATTGGTGTTATTAATTATCGGCAATTGGTAAGTTTTTTTCTGTATTAACTGGTTTTTTCGTTTTCTAACTGTTTTCCATTTTCTTCTTTTGTTTTTTCACTTATCGATTGCTAATGATGACTTTAATGGCGACTTTTAACCTCGACGAACAGATTATTGACCCGGTTGTCGTGATTGAATAACTGTCCGGTTAATATTTCCATCCATCAGTGATTATTACTTTCAAAATCAATTTGAATTTAACTTCATCAACATTATCTTCTGATCTTTACAACCTTGTTATGCTGTTGATGAAGGTTTTCTTGGTGTTGACCGTTTTTTTAACTCAATTTGAAAATTGAATTGAAAATCTTCACAACCAATCCAAGGTCATTATCGTATGTTAATCTGGAAATATCTATTAAAATGTGTTAGCAGTTGGATTCGGTTAAACGCTCAAATTATTCATGTTAATCGAAAATACACTTTACTGTTGAAATGTTATTACCCGAGTGTTACCAGTTTATTATCATGTCTCATCTCAGCACTCTCTAGCTGATGCTTGTTTTTGTGGTTGCTAACCATGAGACACATGTTTATGCGTTTGATAATCATAAGCTTATTACCTTACTCTTTGCTTATTATCAAATGGTTGCCTGTTTCATTGTCAATACTGTTACAATCTAATCAATGGATTATGCTTCAATTAATCCATCATCTTTTTGGCAACTTTCTGCAGATTGTAGGCAAAAGGTTGATTTGTATCTATATTGGTGGTTTTGCCTTTGTGATTTTTAATCTTCACCTATTAATTTCATCATTATATTGATCATTGAAATGTGAATGACTGCTCGTCAATTCATCAAGTAAGTTTGCTATTTTTTGAGTTTTGTCCTAAAAAATTTTAATTTGAGAAACAAGTCTGCATCTAAAATTTCTAATTCTCATTTCTTCGACAGTTTATCATTATATGGAAAAGGTACGATCGACAAAAATTAGGAGAAGTTCCAAAAGTGTGAGGCTGATACTTGAAATAAAAGCACTTTCAGCAGAAGAACTCATCTCATCAAGAATTATCAATTTACATTGTATACTGCTTTGGTTTTTTATGTAAAAGCTGGATATCGCTTCACCGTGCTCACTCTGGTCATTACATAACCAAATTGTCACCTTTAATCGCTCCAGATAATCAATGTTAACGAGAGACTATCAAGTTGTCAGGTTTAAATTAAATCGATAAATCTGGTTATCTACCTGGAACAAGCGCCCCAATCTCGATGATCACCCAAATCACCCATTTTGTATTGCCATCACTCAAAGCTATGGATTTTTGTGTACTTTGTGATTAGCTTTGATTGATTTAATCAGCCAAACACAAACAGAATCGTGTGTTGTTTGGTTTTGTTTGTATTAATAAACAAGATCACAATAAATCAGGATGGACCCAATTATCAGGATTGATCGTGATGAGCTAATCATGGTAAATTGTGTGTGTTTCAACTAGGTCAATGCTGGTCAAATCAATGTTTTTCAAATACACACCAACTTTGATTGTCAATCAACCACAATTGATAAACAAGCAACCAACAATTGTATCCAATCTCCGGTTACAAATGGATCCCTGGTTAAATTGGCAATCAATTAAACATCTTGAAATGATCATAAGATGATTTCAGATTCTTGTCTGATAAGTGTAATACAAGAACAACACTAATGATTTTCATTCCCATCAAATGGCTGTTGAAATCGTTAAAAATTGGAGCCTCATCAACATATGCTTTCAATTTCAATCATTGACTGTTATTATGAAGAGTGTGGCAATTGACAACAGTCAATCAAATAGTCACGTTCATCTTAATCATTGGAAAATCATCGTCTGAACAAAAATGGTAATTCTTGTGCTTTATCTTTCAAATCAACATGATTAACATTCACTTCTTATTGTTAAATTTTAATTTGTCTTGTTTGATTTATGCACTCACGTTCACCATTTTTTTTGTTTACTCACTTGATTATTTAGCTTTTGGGATCCAAACGATCAGTAGTCGCAGAAATGGTAATTTGTCACAATAACAACCCATAGTTTGGATCATATCAATCAAAGGTTAATCAACTGAACACTCGTCTTCAATAATTGATTATCTCTATTGGAATAGGATGAAATTAGATAACTTTAGCTTACGTTTTTCAATGGAAGCAATGGTTTTTCAAGTCCAATTAGCTTCGTTTTGGCGTTGATTAATTTAAGAAAGAAAAGAGTCGATCTTTTGATTAACTCATCGAATAAAAGTAAGTTTATAATCATGATCATATTATCAATTAACCAATAAGTGTCAAACACACATAGATTTATATCAATGATTGGTAAACTGTCTAAAACTGATTCTGAATTGTTAGCGCAATTCAGTAGATTGTATGAAGATAACTCAATTCAAAATCAGATCACAATTAATTGAGACAATGCTACAGTCTTTATCATTTGGTGGATGACTATATTTACAGTGTTGGTTAGTTTTATCTTGTAATCAGAATAGCTCTTCAGTTTATTGGTGTGATTCTGTTTTTTGTGACGTTATTATATTTGGTTTAATTTTGCAATTATTAAAATTGTTTTACAATGGATTTGAGTGAATTTTTGAATTTCTATCAACCATCTACAAGTCCACCCGTGAAAGAAACAGATTTCGAAAGCAACAATTCGATAATATCGTTGTCTCAATCAAAAGTGCCAAGTATTAATAGCATGCTTTTGCAAGTATTGTCTCCAAGTGAAGAAACACTCAGAACATGCTTGTATTCGGATCAGCATCAAAACAATGATGCATGTAATAATAACACTGACTGTGATCAATCAGCCAATTCATCAAATAGTGTAAATTTGAATGTTGATAGATTCCATCTTAAAATTTGCCGTCGATTTGGATCAAAGCGATCAGAACTTGACTACATCAACTTATACGACATGACATCAGATAGTATTTACTCTGATACTCTTGATCAACTTGTAATTAACATCGTCAATCACAACAATCTAAGTCTCTCAGCCTTGGATCTTTATGACGATGAAGACTCAGAAACTCTACATTACCAATACCACGATGATTATCAAGCTTTACAGCCAACACAACAGTTCACCTACAACGACTACGTTAAACTGAGAGCAAATACTTTACTGCTCGCTAGACTTGGATACAAGCTGACAATAACATTGAATACTGACAACAATAAACCAGAAACTTGGAATCCAAAAGTAGCCAAGAAAATATTATCCGTTGATTATTCACCATTGAGTTTAGTAAAAGATTGTTACCCTGCACAAGCGCCTTTGGACCGATTAGAAACATTCCTTTTAGCAGAAGTGGTAAATGCTTTTCAAGACGATGAACCTATCAAATTACCCGACATTTCACTTAAAGTCCATACGAGTCCCTCACCACAAAAATTTGTTACCATTTGCAGGAGACTCAAAAGTTTCAGAAAACTATGTATTAAAGATAAAATCATTCTCTTGATTGGCTCATTTTTTGAAGTCACCTCTATGCATTTCGTTTACAATTACATTCAATCGACTGATGAATGGATAGTAAGTATTTTTTATTATATTTTCACTGTTGATCTGGGCGGTTTTTGTTATTGAGTGAGCATTGTTTTTATTCCTATGGAAACATAACTTTTGGTGCTTTCTCTTTATGCAAGTGTCCTGAATATGGAACAAGATTCGGAAGACGGGACTTATTCATTTGGAATCGTTTATTACATGATATGACTGTTCCTGTTATTGAATCATTTCCAGATAGATGGAGAAAGGATGCAATAGTTGAAGCTTTGATTAGTCTGATCATTATTTTCAACCCTGATCAAGTTGGACTTAACTTTCCCGATTCAGTTAGGTAATTATGACCAACATTCTGCAATGGTATAATTTAATCCTCCCGTTCAATGTTTTATACACAGACATGAACAATATGTTTACATTCACTTGCTTAAGCGCTATTTGGAGTCAGTTTGCGAATCACCTTCTGATGCTTCAGACAATCTTTACAGGTTAATGGTGGCTGTTGATAAATTCCGGGAATTGGGTAAAGTTGGTTGTGAATCAATCAATTTATTCGAGGCTGGTTATCACAGATCTTTACGAAACTTGATCATCGATTCAATGAACAAGTAGACTCTTAAAGTGCATACAAGTGTATAATGGATTAAGCTGCAAGTTTTTACTATCATTACATTTCATCTCAATGTTAACTTTTTGGCCAATTATTCACAAAAAGCGAAGCATTCTCCAATGTGCTCTTCTTAATCGTTCCGAGCCGAGATTCAGATCGTCCATCAGACTATGGTTTATGCTACCGATCTTAGATTTGAACCATGAGACTTTGAGTATTCAAGAACCATTTCTTGAGTTTCCAAATTATGCTTCAACCCAAAATTTTCCGGTTCAAATCTGTAACATTTGCATTTGTTATCTGTAGCATAAACAGGTCGTGAGTTATTACCACAAATGGAAAAACGCCCAATAAAATGAAACCTCTGGTAAATTATCAAACACATCCTGAATCGTTGATGTTGTTAGAAGAAACTCTTTTGATTGATTAAAATGTGCAGAAAAGATTATTAAAATCTTATCGCAACATAGGTGCGCACATACTACAGTGTTTATCATTGTTGAATGGATTACAAATTGTCTTGCAAAAAATTGTAACAGTGATAGTTGGTTTCACCTTGTAATAAAAATGAATCTCTAGTTTTTGTGAAGTTATCATATTTGGGTTTGATTGTTTTTATTCAAATTGTTTCACAATGGATTTGCAGGAATTCTTGAATTACTATCAGTCATTTAAAAGACCATCAATGGTGGCCAAAGATTTACAAAACAACAATTCATCTCAATCAAAAGTGTCAAGTATAAATAAAAAGCTCTTACAAATATTGTCTCCAAGTGAAGAAACACTCAAAACTTGCTTGTACTCGGATCAGGATAAAAACAAAGTCAATGACAACTCTGACTGTGATCAATCCACTGATTCATCAAATACTGTAAATTTGAATTGTCATCGGTTTCAGTTTCAAAATGGTCATCGGTTTCAATCAAAACGATTAGAACTGGACTTCATCAACACATACGACATGGCATCAGATAGTATTTACTCTGATGATCTTGATCAACTCGTGTTCAAAATCATCTCGAACAACAATCTAAGTCTTTCAACCTCGGACCTTGATGATTGTCAAAACTCAGAGACATTATATTACCAATATTATGATGGTTATCAAGCTTTACAACCCAACCAACACTTCACCTACAATGATTACGTTAAGCTGAGAGCAAACACTTTACTACTCGCCAGACTTGGATACAAGTTGACAATAACATTGAATACAGACAACCATAAACCAGAAGCTTGGAATCCAAAAGTAGCCAAGAAAATATTATCTGTTGATTATTCGTCTTTTAGTCTGGTTAAAGATTGTTTCGCGGCACGGACGCCTCTGGATCAATTTGAACCTTTTTTAAAAGAAATCATACATGCTTTTCGAGATGATGAACCAATTGAATTGCCTGGTTTCGCAATTAAATTCAGATCCAACCCTTCACCTGCGAAATTTGTTTCCATTTGCAAGAAGCTCAGAAGTTTAAAGAAACTGTGTGATAACGATAAAATTGTGCTCATGTCCAGCTCATTTTATGATGTCTTCTCTATGAATGCCGTTTTTAAATACAACCAATCGACTGATGAATGGATAGTGAGTATTATTATTTTTGATTTACGATTCATATTGACATTATTTCTATTGTTAATACTAATTATTCGTGCATGTGTTTTACTCCCAGCTCCCAGAATATAGATCAAGATTTGGAAGACGTGATTTTTTCCTTTGGAATCGACTATTACATGATGCAACTTTACTTGCTATTGAAGCATTACCAGATAGATGGAGAAAGGATGAAGTAGTTGAAGCTTTGATTAGTCTCATTGTTATTTTCGATCCTGATCAAGTTGGACTAAACTTTCCCGATTCAGTCAGGTTAGCATGTTTATCACTCTGGATGCAATTATGTAGAGCATTTTTATTTTTTGTCACTTGTTTGTACACACAAAGTTACTTCAAGAGTCACCGATGTTTTACTAGCCATTTAAAATAGCCTTTCAAGCATTTTATAGTCAGAAGAGAGAGAGAACGATCGTATAGCTTATCAATAAAGGTATTTTTAACATTCGTGATTCTCGAGTTATGAACCCAAATAACCAGAAAAAAGCGCCCTCTACCAAGTCTTAATTTTACTGATCCATATTTTTTTCACAGACATGAACAATACGTTTACATTTATCTAATTAAGCGATATTTGGAGTCGGTTTGTGAATCAGCTTGTGATGCTTCAGAAAATCTCTACAGATTAATGGTTGGTGTTGAAAAGTTCCGAGAATTGGGTGAAATCACATGTAAACATATGAATGAAGTTGTAATTGGTTATCATAGATCTTTAATAAACCTGATAATCGATGTAATCCACAACAAGTAGACTCTGCAAGGGTACATACGATGCATTCAATTCAATGGATTCAACAACTTGAAGGCTCTTTTGTGGTGGTATTAAACAATGTAGTGATCCGATTGACAAAAGGCCGAAGCACTATTCATAATTTTTTAGCGATTGTGTGATCCTCTGGATGGTTCCGTTTCGAGATTCGGGTCCAGTCAATTAATTCAAATAATTAACCAGTAGCGATAATTAGTCTTGATTCTTTGTTTTCAATCGAATGGTCCTGGCAAAACAATCATTATATGAATAACCAGAAATAATCAACAGTTGACACATTAGATGAGAAAGTTCTGGTTGATGAAAAACCAAAAGGAGATAAGGAATAATAATGAAAACTCTTAACTCGATCCAAGAAGCAGAAAAGAAAAAGCGGAAAGTGCAGAAAAGATCATTCAGATCTTATCGTAAAATAGTTGTGCACATGCTACGATGCTTATCATAAATCAACTGTTTATTGTTGTACAAAATATTGTAACAGTGATAGTTGGTTTTACCTTGTAATGAGAAAAAATCTTCAATTTATTTGTTTTCTTTTCTGTAATGTCATTAAACTATTTATTAATTAATAGTTTAATTCTGCTATTATTCAAATCGCTATACAATGGATTTAAGTGAATTTTGGAGTTTCTTTCAAACACCCACAGGTCAATCAATGAAAGCCAAAGATTTACAAGACAACAATTCGATAATTTCGTTGTCTCAAGCAGAAGTGTCCAATATAAACAAAAAGCTTTTGCAAGTATTGTCGTCAAGTGAAGATACAATCAAAACTTGCTTAAGCTCCGACCAACATGAAGTCACTGTTAATGATAACACTGACTGTGATCAATCTACCATTTTATCCAATACGATGCATTTGAATATTGATAGATTCTATCTTAAAACCTGCCGTCGATTTGGATCAGAACTTGACTACATCAACTCGTACGACGCGATATCAGATAGTATTTACTCTGATGATCTTAATAAACTCGTGTTTAACATTGTCTATCAAAACAATCTAAGTCTTGCAAGTAGTATAGCAGTAGTCTTGCAGTCTTGTATATTAATGACAATGAAGACTTAGAAACATTATACATTATGTATTACCAATGTTATGATGACTATCAAGCTTTACAGCCCAACCAACACTTTACCTACAATGATTACGTTAAACTGAGAGCAAACACTTTACTACTCTCTAGACTTGGATACAAGTTGACAATAACATTGAATACAGACAACGTTAAACCAGAAACTTGGAATCCAAAAGTAGCCAAGAAAATATTATCTGTCCATTATTCACCATTGAGTTTGCTGAAGAATTGTTATTCTGCCCAAACATCTTTAGACCAATTAGAAACTTTTCTTTTAACAGAAGTGGTAAATGCCTTCCAAGATGATGAACCAACCAGATTACCTGATTTTTCACTTAAAGTCCATTCGAATCCGTCACCAGCAAAATTCGTTGCCATTTGCAAGAAGCTCAGAAGTTTAAGAAAACTTTGTAATAACGATAAAATTGTTCTTATGTCCAGCTCATTTTACGAAGTTGCTTCTCTGAACCTCATTTTAAAATACAATCAAGCAACTGATGACTGGATAGTGAGTATTTTTTAGTCCATTTCCAACTGCCATTAATGAAACAGCATTAATTATTCCTGATCATTTCTTCAAGAACCCAGACCAGTTATCAAGATTCGGAAGACGTGATTTATTTTTTTGTGGTCTTGCATTACATGACAAGTCTGTTCCTGTGATTGAATCATTGTCAGATCGATGGAGAAAGGATGAAGTTATTGAAGCTTTGATTAGTCTGATTCTTATTTTCAATCCTGATCAAGTTGACCTCAACTTTCCCGATTCAGTTAGGTAATACTTATCAGCAGCGATTGCTCGGTTTAATATTTCTTATCTTTCTATATTTTTTACACAGACACGAACAATACGTTTACATTTATCTACTTAAGCGCTATTTAGAGTCAGTGTGCGAATCACCTTGTGACGCTTCAGACAATCTTTACAGATTAATGGTTGGTGTTGAAAAGTTCCGTGAACTGAGTAAAGTTGTGTGGGAAACGATTCATTTTTCTGATGCTGGTTATCATAGATCTTTACGAAACTTTATCATCAATGTAATTAATAACAAGTAGACTCCAAAACTGTACATGCACTGACTGTAGCCATAAGTTTTCATTATCATTACATCTCATTTCAAAGTATTGATGTACATCTATTGTGGTTATTTAAACGCGTAAGACTATTTCAAGTTGAAAAAAGCAACTACTTATAACACCGTGCTCTGCTCTGCAAAATCGCTCAATATTGCAGCAAACTTATCCTGGCTTTTTTGTGTCAAAGAGAAAGTTTAAGAGAAACTCAACAAAGTGTACAGAAAAGACTCTTCAAACCTTATCAAACAATAATTGTGCTCATGCTAAAGCGTTTATCAACGATTTTAATTGATCTTCAGTGTTAATAGTAATTAAATAGATGATTTATTTTCTTACAATGAAAGTGTGGCAGTGATAATTGATTTTACCTTGCAATAAAAATCTTCAAGATATTCATTTTATTTGCTTTTTGTTGACGGCATTATATTTGGTTTGATTCTGTTATTATTCAAATTGATTCAAAATGGATTTGAGTGAATTTCTGTATTTCTATCAATCATCGTCAAGTTCATCAGTGAGAGTGACAAATTTTGAAAACAACGATTCGATAATTTCGTTGTCTCAATCAAAAGGGCCAAGTATCAATAAAATGCTTATGCAAGTGTTGTCTCCAAGTGAAGAAACACTAAAAACTTGCTTAAACTCCGACCAACATAAAAACAATGATGGATGTGATAATAACAGTGACTATGATCAATCCACCGATTCAACAAATTTAAATGTTGACAGATTCCATCTTAAAACTTGCAGTCGATTTGGATCAAAGCTACCAGAACTTGACTACATCAACTCATATGACATGGCATCAGATAGTATTTTCTCTGATTTCCTTGATCAACTTGTAATTGACATCGTTTATCACAACAATCTAAGCCTTTCAGCCTTGGATCTTATTGATTATCAAAACTCAGAAACACTTTATTACCAATCTTATGATGATCATCAAGCTTTACAGCCCAACCAACACTTTACCTACAATGATTACGTTAAACTGAGAGCAAACACTTTACTACTCGCTAGACTTGGATACAAGTTGACAATAACATTGAATACTGACAACGTTGAACCAGAACCTTGGAATCCAAAAGTAGCCAAGAAAATATTATCCGTCGATTATTCACAATTGAGTTTAGTGAAGGATTGTTACCATGCACAAGCGCCTCTGGACCGATTAGAAACATTCCTTTTAGCAGACGTGGTAAATGCTTTTCAAGATGATGAACCAATTAATTTGCCTGACATTTCGCGCAAAGTCCATACGAATCCCTCACCAGCTAAATTTGTCTCCATTTGCATGAGGCTTAAAAGTTTGAGAAAACTATGTAATAACGATAAAATTGTGCTGATATCTGGTTCATTTTATGAGATCGTTTCTCTGAATGTCGTTTTTAAATACAATCAATCTAATGATGAATGGATAGTAAGTATTCCAAAATTATTTATTGTATTTTTATCTTTGATTTATGGACTTTTCCTAATTGGTACTATACATTTGAACGATTATTCATTCATCCTCATTCTTTATCAAAGCTCACAGAATATGGGTCAAGATTTGGAAGACGTGACTTTTTCATTTGGAATCGTTTATTACATGACAAGTCTGTTTCTGTTATTGAATCATTTCCAGATCGATGGAGAAAGGATGAAGTAGTTGAAACTTTGCTTAGTCTATTAATTATTTTCAACCCTGATCAAGTTGGACTCATATTCGCAGATTCGGTCAGGTAAGTACGATGGTCTTTTTAAATAAAATTTATACTGCTTTTTAACATTCGTTTTTCTAAGTTATGAACCCAAATAACCAGAAAAAACGCCCTCTCGAAGTCTTGCAATTTTCTAATCAATGTTTTGTACACACAGGCATGAACAATATATTTACATACATCTGCTTAAGCGATATTTGGAGTCAGTTTGCGAATCGCCCTGTGACGCTTCAGACAATCTTTACAGATTAATGGTGGCTGTTGAAAAATTCCGGGAAATGGGTGAAATTATATGCAAAAATACGAATTGTTTCGAGACTGGTTATCACAGATCTTTACAAAACCTGGTCATCAATGAAATTTATAATAACAAGTAGACTCTAAAAGTGTACGTATTAATAAATGATGCAGCCAAACACTTGTCGACTTGAAAGACTCTAAAAAGACTGAATTAAATAATCTGCAACTTTTTTCATAAGTCACTGAATTACAGTCAGTTAGTAGTCAACAGTTAGTAGTTACAGTAGTATACATTGTAGTCTTATTAAACTGTTGCACTGAACTCATATTGCATTACTAACGTAAGACTCCCAGGTTCAATAATTTAATAATACCATTCAACAATAAACAAATTATTATCATTGTTATTATAATTAATCTTGATTCTTTGTTTTCGGCAAATGGTCTTGGTTAAACAATCATTATCAACCAGAAAAGAAGCAGATATATTAATGAAACCTCTGGTTTTTATCGAGAAACTCTTTGAAGAGAGAGCAATTTCAATGGACATTTATGAGTTTCTTTTCGCATCCGGTCTAGAGCTGCAATGAATTTTGAACTTTATATCAAAAAATATCTGCAAAACTCATCCCATTCATGGAAAAACACCTCAACTCGATTCAATAAAATGCGCAGAAAAGATTAAAATCTTATCGCAAAAATATTTTGTACATGCTATAGTGTTTATCATAGTTGAATGGATTACAAATTATCTTACAAAAAATTGTAAAAGTGATAGTTGGCTTTACCTTGTAATAAAATAAAATAAATCTTTAGTTTTTTGTGACGTTATCATATTTGTGTTTGATTGTTTTTATTCAAATTGTTTCACAATGGATTTGAAGGAATTCTTGAATTACTATCAGTCATTTAAAAGACCATCAATGGTAGCCAAAGATTTACAAAACAACAATTCGTCTCAATCAAAAGTGTCAAGTATAAATAAAAAGCTCTTACAAGTATTGTCTCCAAGTGAAGAAACACTGAAAACATGCTTGTACTCGGATCAGGATAAAAACAAAGTCAAGGACAAAAATGACTGTGATCAATCCACTGATTCATCAAATACTGTAAATTTGAATTGTCATCGTTTTCAATCAAAGCGATTAGAACTGGACTTCATCAACACATACGACATGGCATCAGATGGTAGTTACGAACTAACGATGCCAGTGAAAGCTTTGCATTAATCGTAGCAAAACTCAGGTTCGAGGTCCAGAATCAAAGGGTAAGAATGTACATTCAGGTTATCATAGATCTTTACGAAACCTGATTATTGGTGCAATTAATAACAAGTAGACTCTAAAAGTGTGCATGCAATGCAGTCAATTCAATGGATTCAACCAAAGACTTTACAACTTAACGGCTCTTTTGTGGTAATACAATGTAATGTTGCAATTATTATTAAAAAAGGCCTAAGCATCATTCATATTTTTATAGCGATTGATGGATGGTTCCGTCTCGAGATTCAATCCATTCAATTATCATCAAATAATTAACCAGTAGCGATAATAAGTCTCGATTCTTTGTTTTCGATCAGATAGACCTGGCAAGACAATCATTATATGAACAACCAGAAATAATTAACAGTTGACACATTAGATGAGAAAGTTCTGGTTGATGAAAAACCAAAAGGAGATAAGATATAATAATGAAAACTCTTAACTCGATTTAGCAAATGCAGAAAAGATAATTCAAATCTTATCATAATAGAATAGTTGTGCACATGTTACAATGTTTAGTAAAGTAATCGCTCTTTGGTGTTTATTCTAGTTAAATGGATAATTGTATTACAAAAAACTGTAACAGTGATAGTTGGCTTTACCTTGGAATCAGAATAGTCATCAGATCATAGATCTTCAGTTCAATCATGTTATTCTGTTTTTTGTGACGTGAATATATTTAGTTTAATTGTGTTGTTATTGAAATCGTTTTACAATGGATTTGAGTGAATTTTTGAATTTCTTTCAACCATCCACAAGTCCACCAATAAAGATAACCGATACTCAAAGCAATAATTCGATAATATCGTTGTCTCAATCAAAAGTGTCAAATGTAAATAAAAGGCTTTTGCAAGTATTGGTACCAAGTGAAGATACAATCAAAACTTGCTTGTATTCAGATCAACATGAAAACAACAATAACGATAACTGTAATCGATCCACCAATTCATCAAATACTATGAATTCTAATAGATTCCATCTTAAAATTAGTCGCCGATTCGGAGTAAAGCAATCAGATCTTGACTTTATCTACACATACGACATGGCATCAGATCGTATGTACTCTGATCTTCTTGATAAAGTCGTGTTTGATATTGTCAATCACACAAAACCAAGTCTCTCAGCCATGGATATTGATGACTGTCAAAACTTAGAAACATTATATTACCAATATTATGATGACTGTCAAGCTTTACAACCAACACAACACTTTACCTACAACGACTACGTTAGACTGAGAGCCAACACTTTACTAATGACCAGACTTGGATACAAGTTCCCATTAACATTAAATATTGACAACGATAAACCAGAAACATGGAATCCAAATGTAGCCCAGACAATCTTATCCGTTGATTATTCACCCTTGCGTGTTTTAAGGGATTACTTCGCAGCCCAAGCACATTTGGAACAAATAGAATCTTTCCTTTTAGAATTAGTAAATGCTTTTCAACATGATGAACCAATTAAAATGCCTGATTTTGCTATTAGATTCAAATCGAATCCTTCACCGGCGAAATTTGTTTCCATTTGCAAGAAGCTTAGAAGTCTAAAGAAACTATGTAATAACGATAAAATGGTGCTCATGTCCAGCTCATTTTATGGTGTTGCTTCTATGAATATCGTTTTAAAATACAACCATTCAACTGATGAATGGATAGTGAGTATCATTCACATTGTGTTCAGTGCATTTGCTTTTTTATGTTTCTCACTGCTAGTAAGTTCTTATACCACTAATTGTTGGTTCTCATTTTTTATTCAAGATCCCAGAATATAGATCAAGATTTGGAAGACGTGACTTTTTTCTGTGGGATCGTCCATTACATGATGCATTTTTACTCGCTATTGAAGCTTTACCAGATAGATGGAGAATGGATGAAGTAGTTGAATCTTTAACTAGTCTGATTATCATTTTCGATCCTGATGCAGTTGGACTTGACTTTCCTGATTCGGTTAGGTTAGCATGACGACCATTTTTTGATTCATGTTTGGGTTCATACCTCGAGAATTATTGATGTTAAACTGAAGAGTCATTTAGCACTTTACAGTCGATTAGATGTCGAGTACACTTCAGACAGAAGAGCAGATTTCGAGAGAGCTCGTAATCGCAAATGCTATCATCTTTTAAATAGCTGGGACGCTTTCCTGTCCAATTTTCAGTTTTAACAATCTTGATCCTCAAGTTATGAACCCAAATAACCACAAAAAAAGCATCCTCTACAGAGTCTTTCAATTTTTCTTATCAATATTTTGTTTTCACAGACATGAACAATACGTTTACATTTATTTGCTTAAGCGCTATTTGGAGTCGGTTTGTGAGACACCTTGTGATGCTTCAGATAATCTTTACAGACTAATGGTGGGCGTTGAAAAGTTCAGGGAATTGGGTGAAATCTTATGTCAACATATGAATGAAGTCGTGCCTGGTTACCATAGATCTTTACGAAACCTGATCGTCGATGAAATCAATTCACAAAAGGGTGAAGCATCATTTATGTTTTAGAGCGATTCTGTGATCCTCTGGGTGGTTCCGTGTCGAGATTCAGGCCCAGTCAATTTAATTTTACGTTAATAATTGACCATCAATCATTAATCTTGATTTTTTGCTTCAATCAATAGGTCTTGGTGATACAATCATTATTAGATTGACCAGAAAATAAGCAAAAGTTGAAAAAAAAGATGCAGAGGTTCTGATTAATAAAAACAAAAATATCGAAAGATATATTCTTGAAAACCCATCCCGACCTTATTAAGACGTGTTATTAAGAGAAACTCTCACCTAGATTCAATTAAAAATTTCAGAAAAGATAAGATTATACAAAATGTATCAAATAATCATCTGCACATGTTACAGCGCAATCAAAGATCATTGTAATTTATTTTGGTGTTTGTCATATCTGGAAGAATAATTCATGTTCATGTTTATTTTTTGTGTGACGTTATTATATTATAATATTTGGTTTAATTGTGTTGTTATTAAAACAAGTGGACCCCCGATCATGACTGATCGTAATTTTTTCACTGAAATACAATAAATTCAATCCATATTTAAAGACTCAAATTTTTGATGAAAAACCATCGTCAATGAGAAAATCTAAAAAAAAAATAAAATCTGGTTATACAGCTGAACAGAATGAAATCTTTCTGTACAGTTAAGGTACTATATTTTTCACTTAACTCTTTACTCGAAAGACGGTTTTACTTATCCTTCTAAACCAACAATAAACCATCAACTTGAATAACCAAAAAGTTTTTCCCCCAAAGTCAATAGTAAAAGATACGGATTCTGCTTTTTTTCCCCTACCCTGTTTGAACGCTAATTTCTCAGTAACCTGAATTCCAAGAAAGTTCAAACTATTTTTTGCGATTGTAATTTAATCCTGGCTTTCATCCTATGTGAAAATTTTCTTTAGAACCCGTTTAGTTTGGACACAATCCCCCCGCAAAAATTTCATAGTTTGACTTTATATATTGTAATTGTAATAGATAGATCATTTTACAATGAATTTGAGTGAATTTTTGAATTTCCATCAACCATCCACAAGTCCACCAAGGAAGAAAAACGATTCACAAAACAACAATTCGATAATATCGTTGTCTCAATCAAAAGTGCCAAATGTAAATAAAATGCTTTTGCAAATATTGTCGCAAAGTTCTTGTACTCAGACCAGATAGATACTGATCACCGGATACAGAACTGCAGAACAACACTGACAAAGATCAATCCATTAATTCATTAAATACTGCATTTTATGCTATGAAAACATATATTTTACGAAAAACATTTGTATAATCGGCAATATTCAACATCTTGGTTTGATTTCCAATGTCAACGTCTTGGCTGTCTTTATGACTGATCCTATTAAGAGTTCAATTTTACTTGGAGTCTTGTCATTAGGGAACAGCTGGTAGTTACGAACCAACGATGCCAGTGAAAGCTTTGCATTAATCGTAGCAAAACTCATTCCGATACAGGTTCGAGGTCCAGAATCAAAGGGTAAGAATGTACATTCAGGTTATCATAGATCTTTACGCAAACCTGATTATTGATGCAATTAATAACAAGCAGACTCTAAAAGTGTGCATGCAATGTAGTCAATTTAATGGATTCAACCAAACAACTTTACAACTTAAAGGCTCTTGTGTATCAAACAACGTAATGATCCAATTATTATTCACAAAAGGCCAAAGCATCATTAATTTTTTAGAGCGTTTGTGTGATCCTCTGGATGGTTCCGTTTCGAGATTGGGTCCAAGCAAGTCAACTGAAAACGAATAATTATTAAGTGGAAATAATTAGCCTTTATTCTTTGTTTCCAATCAGATAGTTCTGGTAAAACAATCACTATATGAATAACTGCAAAATAATAACAGTTGAAACATTAGATGAGAAAGTTCTGGTTGTTAAAAAGGCAAAAACAGATAAAGATATAATCAAACCTCTAGTGTTGAAAGGAGAAACTCTTAACTCGATTGAACGAATGTGCAGAAAAGATAATTCAAATCTTATCATATTAATAGAATAGTTTTGCACATGATACAGTGTTTATCAAAGAGTAAAGTAATTGCTCTTTGGTGTTTATTATATTAATAGTTAAATGGATAATTGTATTGCAAAAAAACTGTAACAGTGATAGTTGGCTTTACCTTGGAACCAGAATAAATCTTCAATTTAATCATGTTATTCTGTTTTTTGTGACGTTATTATATTTGGTTTAATTGTGTTATAATTAAAATCGTTTTACAATGGATTTAAGTGAATTTTTGAACTTCCATCAACCATCCACAAGTCCACCAATGATGAAAACCGATACTCAAAGCAACAATGCGATAATATCGTTGTCTCAATCAAAAGTGTCAAATGTAAATAAAAGGCTTTTGCAAGTATTGTCACCAAGTGAAGATACAATCAAAACCTGCTTGTACTCAGATCAACATGAAAACGACAATAACGTTGACTGTGATCAATCCACCAATTCATCAAAAACTGTAAATTTGGATAGATTTCATCTTAAAATTAGTCGTCGGTTTGGAGCAAAGCGATCAGAACTTGATTGCATCTACACCTACACATACGACATGGCATCAGATCGTATGTACTCTGATCTTCTTGATAAAGTCGTGTTTGATATCGTCAATCACAACAATCCACGTCTTTCAGCCATGGATATTGATGACTGTCAAAACTCAGGATCAGTATATCACCAATATTATGACGACTATCAAGCTTTACAGCAAACACAACACTTTACCTACAACGACTACGTTAGACTGAGAGCCAACACTTTACTAATGACCAGACTTGGATACAAGTTCCCATTAACATTAAATACTGACAACGATAAACCAGAAACATGGAATCCAAATGTAGCCCAGACAATCTTATCCGTTGATTATTCACCCTTGTGTGTGTTGAGGGATTATTTCGCAGCACAAGCAAATTTGCACCAAATAGAATCTTTCCTTTTAGAATTAGTAAACGCTTTTCAACATGATGAGCCAATTAAAATGCCTGATTTCGCTATTAGATTCAAATCGAATCCTTCACCGGCGAAATTTGTTTCCATTTGCAAGAAGCTTAGAAGTTTAAAGAAACTATGTAATAATGATAAAATAGTGCTCATGTCCAGCTCATTTTATGGCGTTTCTTCTATGAATGCCGTTTTAAAGTATGACCAATCAACTGATGAATGGATAGTGAGTATCATTCAGTTCATTTGCTTTTTTTATGTTTCTCAGTGTTAGTATACCACTAATTATGAGTGCTTCTTTTTTACTCAAGTTCCCAGAATATAGATCGAGATTCGGAAGACGTGACTTATTCCTTTGGGATCGTCAATTACATGATGTAACTTTACTTGCTATTGAAGCTTTACCTCATAGATGGAGAACGGATGAAGTAGTTGCAGTTTTAACTAGTCTGATTATCATTTTCGATCCCGATGCAGTTGGACTTAACTTTCCGGATTCAGTTAGGTTAGTATGACGACTATTATTTGGTATATGTTTGGGTTCATACCTCGAAAATTATTGATGTTAAACTGAAGACTCATTTCGCACTTCACAGTCGATTAGATGTCGAGACAGAAGAGTAGATTTCGACAATGCTATCACCTTTTAAATAGCTGGAACGCTTTCCTGTGAATTTTCAGTCTTAACAATTGTAATCTTCAAGTTATGAACCCAAATAACCCGAAAAAAGCACCCTCTACAGAGTCTTTTAATTTTTCTTATCAATATTTTGTTTTCACAATAATATATTTAAGGCATGAACAATACGTTTACATTTATCTACTTAAGCGCTATTTGGAGTCGATTTGTGAGACACCTTGTGATGCTTCAGATAATCTTTACAGACTAATGGTTGGTGTGGAAAAATTTCGGGAATTGGGTGAAATTACATGTGAACATATGAATTTAGTCGTACCTGGTTATCATAGATCTTTAAGAAACTTGATCATTGATGAAATTAATTCACAAAAGGGTGAAGCATCATTCATGTTTTAGTGCGATTGTGATCCTCTGGATGGTTCCGTGTCGAGATTCAGGTCCAGTCAAGTTAATTATACGTTGATAATTAACCATCAATCATTAATCTTGATTCTTTGTCTTCAATCAAATGGTCTTGATGAAGCAGTTGTCATAAGATTAACCAGAAAGAAGCAAAAGTTAACACAAAAGATGAGGAAGGTCTGATTAATAAAAACAAAAATATTCAAAGGTATACTAATGAAACTCATCTTGACCTTTGTGTTATCAAGAGAAACTCTCACCTAGATTCAATAAAATGTTCAGAAAAGATAAGATGATATCAAATAATCATCTGCACATGTTACAGTGGTAATCAAAGATCATTATTATCTTTGGTGTTTGTCATATCTGGAAGAATAATACAAAAAATTGTTACTCTGATAGGTTTTACCTTGTAATCAGAATAGTCATCAGATCATAGATCTTCAGTTTATTCATGTTATTCTGTTTTTTTGTGACGTTATTATATTTGGTTTTATTGTGTTGTTATTAAAATCGTTTTACAATGGATTTAAGTGAATTTTTGAATTTCCATCAACCATCCACAAGTCCACTAATGAAGACAACCGATTTACAAAACAATAACGCGATGATATCTTTGTCTCAATCAAAAGTGTCAAATATTAATAAAAGGCTTTTGCAAGTATTGTCTCCAAGTGAAGAGACACTCAAAACTTTCTTGTACTCGGATCAGCATAAAATCAATAACAACACTGACAAAGATCAATCCATTAATTCATTAAAGACTGTAATAGTGAATATCGATAGATTTCATATTAAAATTAGCCGTCGATTTGGGCCAAAACGATCACAACTTAACTACATCAACTTATACGACGCGACATCAGAAAGTATTTACTCTGATACTATTCATCATATTGTGTTTAGTATCGTCAATCATAACAACTTAAGTCTTGCATCCTTGGATATTAATGATTATGAAAACTCAGAAACTCTAAATTACCAATGTTATGACGACTATCAAGCTTTACAGCCAACACAACAGTTCACCTACAACGACTACGTTAAACTGAAATCCAACACTTTGCTACTCACCAGACTTGGATACAAGTTTGCAATAACATTGAATACTGACAACGTTAAACCAGAAACTTGGAATTCAAAAGTAGCCAAGAAAATATTATCCGTTGGTTATTCAGTCTCGAGCTTACTGAAAGATTGTTATCATACACAGGCGCCTTTAGATCAATTAGAACCTTTTTTCCTAGAATTAGTGAATGCTTTCCAAGATGATGAACCAATTAATTTGCCTGATTTTGCAAAGCAATTCAAAACGAATCCTTCGCCAGTAAAATTTGTTTCCATTTGCAGAAAGCTCAGAAATTTTAAGAAACTATGCGATAACGATAAAATTATGCTCTTCTCCAGCTCTTTTTATGATCTCCTTTGCATGAACTCCGTTTTTAAATTCAATGAAACAACTGATGAATGGATGGTGAGTATTATTTAGTGCATCTGCATTTTTGATCACTGTTTCTGATTGTTATTTTAACACTAATTATTGTTTCTTTTGTTGTATTCAAGTACCCAGAATATGGTGTAAGATTTGGAAGACGCGACTTATTCATTTGGGATCGGTTATTACATGATGCAACTTTACGGGCTATTGAAGCATTACCAGATAGATGGAGAAAGGATGAAGTAGTGGAAGCTTTGATTAGTCTCATTGTTATTTTCAATCCTGATGAACTTGGACTTAACTTTCCCGATCTAGTTAGGTTAGCATGTCAACTATTTTCCATACAATTATAGCAACCCTTTTTATTTTTGCTATTGTTTGGATTAATAACTCGAGAATCACTAATGTTTCACTGAAAGATTTAAAATAGCCTTTTGAAAGTTTGAAGATAATGTCATGTCTATCAATCCGATGCAATTGTTCAAGGCATTTTAGGAGAGTTACTAACCCAAATAACCAGAAAAACGCCCTCTACAAAGTCTTTAATTTATCTTATCCATATTTTTGTTTACACAGGCAGGAACAATACGTTTACATTTATCTTCTGAAACGCTATTTGGAGTCAGTTTGTGAATCACCTTGTGATGCTTCAGACAATCTTTACAGATTAATGGTGGGCGTTGAAACATTTCGAGAATTGGGTGAAATTACATTTAAAAATATGAATGCGTTCTTGCCTGGTTACTATAGATCTTTACGAAACTTGATCATCGATGAAATCAATAACAACAAGTAGACCCTAAAAGTGAACATAATACAATGGATTCAGCCAAATAACTTGACGACTGAATTTGAGCCCAGATTCAGGTCCAGTCAGGTTAATTTTGAACAAATAGTCAACCAGTTGCGATAATAATCATTCTTGATTCTTTGTTTTCCATCAAATGGTCTTGGTGATACAATCATTATTAGATTAACCAGAAAAGAGGCAACAGTTAACACAATAGATGAGGAAGGTCTGGTTAGTAAAAACAAAAGGAGACCCTCTGGTAAATTACCAAAACCCAACCTGGATTGTTAGTGTTGGTAGGAGAGACTCTTGTCTCAATTCCTGGTTGATTAACCTTCTCTCCTTGCTGTAAAGTTGATTATCGCCGTGAGTTTGGGAAGAGAGTTTTTTTTCAAAAAACTGTTTCAATCATTGTCATTAATCAACTAAAAATTGTGCGTGGGTAAACTTACGATTTATTGAAAGGAGTTAGAACGAGATTCAGACAATTGTTGAATTATAATAAACATAATTAACTGCCGTGTGTTGGGTTAGTTGATGTAATTATAATGGAAAAATGAAACAATAAACAAATGGAAAGACAATCAAGTTCACCAATCGAAACTACCAAATCGGTATTGCTGTTGGTGTGTGTGGTGTGTGAGTGGAGCGTACGTGTACGTCTCTCAGTCTTACTGGTGTGACTTTAACGCGATGATTGGTTTAGTTTAATGGCAAATAAATTATCATATTTTTAATTTGTTTTAACATTCAACATGTTAATAGGTAAGTCTGGTTTGGTTTGAGGTTTCACTTTTTGGATTGATCAGTTGATCAGTTCAATGATTAATGTCCTAAACTCACAGCATAAGGCTTAGATTGTTATTCATCGAGAATATCAAACTTTCAATTTATTGCATTCAACTCATGATAAAACCATGAAACACTTCAGTTAAAGATGGATAAGTATGAAATAATACAAGATATTTGCTGATGGAAATTCATTAAGCCTACAATTAAATTCAAAATACAAAATAAATTTCATTTAAATAACAGTTACAATTAGGAAGTCAACAGTTGCAGATGAACAGATGTTTTCATCTAGACTTTAGGTTCTATTAGAATGGCTCCAAATTTGAAAAGTAAATTTTCTAAGGAAACGAGTAAATTAATTTGATTCTTACAAGATTATTCAAGACTTAATCATTGTTATCGTTATTGACTTTGAGTTTTGTTTGGACAACCAATTTGATAAACTTGAAATAATACATTTTATAAATTTGTCGATGCGTCAAAGGACGTTTGTATTTGGATGGCAAGGATTGCAGTACATAATTGTTTTATCTTGTTATTTTACAATTAAATTAACACACGGTTATTTTTTGCTGAATTAAAAGAAATGTTAGTTATCCATCAATAATAATTCAAAATTCACTGAGTTGTAATGGGAAAATAACAAAGCAGTTTCTCAGATTAAATCAAATGGGCAAATAATGTCTGACTTCAAATTATTAACAAAATAACTTCCACTCATCACTAACTGTAATTAAGCTAATTATTTTAGTTTCAATGATACTTCCATAATCAAAAGGTTTCTTAGATTCTAGATATCATTCTGCTGAATTGCTAACAGTTATATGCATCAGAATCAATATTGTGTTGATTCGTTCTTATAAGCTATTTTTACAGGATGATTTTTGAATGATTATTAATGTAAGTTGCATTAGTTTAAGGTAAAGAAAGATCCATGTTCGATGACTTCCGTAGAGGTGAAAGGTTTTCGTTGATAATTTCATGGTGAAATGAGTTACTTCTGGACAAGTTTGATTGTGTGAAGCAGTGAGACCTTGAATAAGCGTAGAAACAGGAAAATGGATGCAGATTTACTTCCAAAATGGCTCTTGAATCATTACTGAAGAGTACAACGCATTAGATCACTTGTTTCTTGATCACCAAACACCAATAAACAACAGGATTTACAAGTATACATTTTTTACTTGATCTTGAACAGAGAAAAAAAGAGAGATGAGGAAAAATTATAAGTGAGCCTAATTGTGAATATTGAAATTGACTAAATTGTAAATAGTTTTTGAAATCATTGTTTCTGGTTTTAGCACTTTTTGTTGCGAGAATGGAGTTGGGTGATGAGTGAATGATGTAAAGTTATCTGTCCGAAAATGGCCTTCATTTTATTGTCCGACGTTGCTGACGGTTAATTAGTGAAGTTAAAGACTTTCATTTTAAGAAATTGTCTTTGTTGTTTCATGAGTAGCTCGAGACATTTCTGTAGCATTCATTGCTTTAGGATGGTTCATTCTTTAAGAAACCATTCAGAGTAACAACAATTTGTCTTGAACCAGCTCGATTACGATGTTCGCAAAGCCAAATACCTTGCCAAGGGCCTAATGTTAATTTACCATCTGAAACTGGAATGGTGAGAGATGCTCCAAGAAAACAGGCTTTGATATGAGCAGGCATATCATCTGGTCCTTCACAGGAGTGACGGAATGGAGTGCTCTAATAGAAAAAAGGAGGAAAATTATTAAATCAATAAAAATTAGCATTAACTCATCAATAATCATCAATGGAATAGAACTAATGGAAGGTTTAGCCAATAATTTTAAACAATGTAGCTTTTAACCTTCAAGTAGGTTATTATTTTAGCAAAGAAACAGTCAAAATTTCAAGTTATTCTATAATCACCATGAACTTGACCATGATTCAATAGATATCCCCGCCAAATATTTGTTAATATTATAGAGGAGAAACTATCAATTCAGCTGACTAAGACTATCGATTGGTTATCATTTATATTGACTATTGGCCAAAATTTTACACTGAACATTAGTTGATTCAGATTGATTTGTAGTCTATTGCTGAATTGTACTCACCTCAGGCACTAATCTAGATAAAAACATTTCCATGTCCTCTCTCACATCAGGATCCCAATTTTCATTGAGAGCAAGACTAGCAGACGTGTGGAGAACGTGAATATGACACATTCCAACATAAAATTTAGACAATTCTGGCAATTGTTTAAGCACTTCATCTGTAATTAAATGGCATCCTCTTAAAGCAGGTCTCAAATGGATTTTACGCTGAAGCCAGGCAGGATTACCTGTAACTATACCTCCAGTACCGACAAAAGATCTTCCCTCTCGTGACGATGAATGACTTCGAAAATGTCCATAATTATGGGAATGGTGAGAATGGTGAACATCTGACGATGAATTAGGTTCACCGGTATTGCTGTCTTTTCTGGAGCTTCGAAGAGAATGGCTTGAAGAACCAGAAAATGAGCCTAGAGGACTCGCCATATGAGCTTCAATCAATATATGTAGTGGAACACTGCACTTTTAGTAATACTTTAGTATTATCACTACTAAATTATTAAACAGATTGGACTAGAATGGGAAATCTTATAGTTGGAGGAAAATTAAAGGTTAGAGGGAAACAGAATGAACTAACATAGGGAAAGGTATAGAGTAACTGGTTGGAGTAAACATGTAAACAATGTAGGATGGAAGTATATTGTATAAATTAGAGCTTCTTCGAGTTGTTATCTTCACTGAAGTAATCATTGACTAATTTGCTACACGCAGTGAAACAAATTAGACAAATTATAAGGGTTAAAAATACCGAAAAAACGAATATGAACACAACCACCCAGCCAGCCGATGAAGTGATGTAACCAAGAGAAGCAAGGAAAATCAAAGAGATGACTATTGTTAAACACAGTGTGATCACTTGTTTGTGCTGTTGAGATTGGAAATATTACCCTTATCAAGGGTTAACTAAGGTTTTCGAAACAGGCAGGATAAGTTATTGAAGGCCAATCTGGTGGTAATAATAAAGTAATAATAATTAAACACTTGAGTAAAACGTGTCAATTATAATTTTATAAAAATAAGAGATGAAAATAGTGTAACGGAAACAAGCAAAGGAAATCTAACGATAAGAGAGAGACATGTCATACAAGTGGAGTCAATAATCATACAGTCAGATGTTGTTTTCCTCATAGGAGTCTTGGTAAAAATGTGATGTTTACTATTTTTCTAGCCATCTTAAATCTAATTTGTTACCGAATTTATTTCAATGGATTATCAGTGATTATCGATTAATTGTTTCCATTCACAACAATTTGATGATAACTAAGGTACTATCTGCTCTATTTCACCACTTTCATGTTTTTCCCTCGTTTTTTTTTTGGAGCTGTTCTTGCTTTTCTATACCAATCCTAACAAGTGTTGTGTTGTTTACCCAGAGTTTACAATTTAAATGATTAAACTGATTTTTGGCTTAGATTACGATCATGATTACCTGTTGTTACCTGTTGATTGATTGTTTACTTCGGAAAACTGTTTAACGACTCATTAATAATGAGCTTTATTTATCAAGTACTTAACAAATTTGTTTTTTTATCTATTTTTTTAGGAGTTTGATCTAAACAACATATCTCATTGGTTCTTATTGATTTAATAGCGTGAGGCCAAGTTTATATCATCTTGATAATGGATCACGAATGTATTGTTGTTGCTGCTAAACCTGTAGAGGAAAGGAAAACTATTTCTAGAAAAACTGAACAGCATTCATCATCATCAGTGCCTTATGATATTCTCAATGATCCATCATTGAATTATCAAATTAAGGTTAGTCTACCCAGCAATTACAATTTTGACATACCTCGTATTATTTGGAAAATGCGTGAAACTGGATCAAATCGAGTTGCTCTTCAATTCCCAGAAGGACTTTTCATCTTCTCTACAGCAATAGCTACAATTATTGAACAGTTTACAGATGCCACTGCGTTTATTATCGGAGATGTTACTTATGGTGCCTGTTGTGTTGAAGATTATCTAGCTTCCTTGGCGAATTGCACACTTTTAGTACATTTTGGCCATTCATGTTTGATACCTTTCAATAACATAGTCTCAGGAGTAAAGGTCCTCTATATAGTTGTTGAGATACAGTTTGATTATTGGAATTTCATCGAAACCGTCAAACTAAATTTTGAAGATAAAAAGCACGAGAATATAGCTGTTTTTGGGACTATCCAGTTCATAGATTCAGTTAATAAAGCGGTCCAAGAACTAAACACAGAAGGTTACAACATGGTTGTCCCTCAAATCAGACCTTTATCTCGTGGAGAAATTCTTGGCTGTACTGCTCCTATTCTTGATCGTAATACGTCGATAGTGTTATTTGTTGCTGATGGAAGGTTCCATATGGAAGCTGTGATGATTGCTAATCCTTGGGTTGCAACATATTACAAATACAACCCTTACGATAAATGTATCACCATTGAATCATACGATTATCCTGAAATGATCACACAAAGACGCAGATCTATTGCCCAAGCAGTTAAAGTTCTTGAAAAAGGTGGTGTATTTGGATTCATTTTAGGAACTTTGGGTAGACAAGGGAGTCCTAAAGTTCTTGAAAATATGGTCAATAGATTTAAAAAGGAAGCTCCAAACTGTCAACACGTAACTTTATTAATACCAGAAATCAAGCCACCATTGTTGAAAGAACTGGGTGACTCTGTAGATATTTGGGTTCAAACATCATGCCCTCGCCTTAGTATTGATTGGGGTGATGAATTCAAAGACCATCCATTGTTAAACCCTTATGAATTTAATCTAACTATGGACTCATTTATGAATAGTAAACCAAGTGAAACAATTTTAAGCAGTCAAGAAAAAAATGGCTATCCAATGGACTTTTATGCTTCAGCTTCCCTTGGTAACTGGACTCCAATTCATCGCTGCAATAAAACTTGTGATTGTAAATAAAAGGGCGAACATTTCCTTCATTGATTTAATAAATTGTTATTTTGCGACATTTAGTTGACCGAATTACTTGAATTTATTACTAAATTTACTTGAATTTTGCGCTCTTTGCATTGTGCATGCCATCTAACGGTTAAACTTTGAGAGGTGTTTTCTGTTTTTATTTCTGAAAGGTTTTTTATTAGCCAAATATTTCCCAATTTGAAATAATGAAATACTGTAAAGCATTGATTACTTGCTTTTTAAACTGTTCCCGTAGTTTATTCAACAATAATATTGAATGATAAAATATTTTAGTCAAACTTCATCAAAGTGTTTGTGTTTTAGTGTACATTAACCATAATTTAAGTTATTTACTTTTATTCAGAGTATGTTTCATTTCATATGCATCAGCCCAACCTATACTTTCTATGTTTGATCATCTAAATTTCAACTATTACCTCTCCTAACATTGTTTATTCAGTTTAATTGTACCATCATCTTTCATTGTTTGCCGATAAGCAACATTTACTCTCACTAAACACGATGCTACAATCTTCATCAAAAGCCTGTTTTAAATCTTGCCTTCTAAGAATACCTTATGGAACCGTTTTAGCCACAATTTTGGCACTTTGTGGTGTTGCCATTATACTTGTTTCACTACTAGAATCAACTGCCATAGCTGATAGATTAATATTTGAATTATTGCATCGTAAATATTTATGGTAAGTAATAAACTTAGACAATTTTTGATAACTTGTCATTTCATCCATTTTGCATTTTAAAGACCTTTTGTATCTCTTAAAAAAGAAAAGTATTTCACCTTGATCCAGGGTTATCAATGCTTCATCTTGTTTCTCTCAAAGCTTTATCTCTGGTATTTAGCTATTTTAATACAAGAAACCAAGTTGGATGATTTTCTCACGCTATGAAAACCGCAAAATGAATATGTTTATGTAAACAGTTAGCTTTTATGTCACTCAAGTAAAACTTTTAAAGTAAATTTTTTTAATTCCATTTATTTATTTATTTTTCTTTTCTTTTATTGTTATCTTCAGGTTCAATGATTTCAAAGTGGTCTACATCATTTTTTGTGCTTTCTTATCTGCAATTATACTAATCAACCTGATGATTGGATGTATGACCACAGGTCGAAATACTTCACATTATACAGGACAACCAGGCTGCACTTTTTGTGGATCTGCGACAAGTTGTCTGGTTAAATGTGTTTTCATTGCCAATTATATACTCTTCTATCTTATCCTGGCCTTAACTATTGCATTTACCGTTGCTCTCTTTATTTGTTACATAATGTCAAGATTATGTAGTGAGGGTCGTACTTATGATGAACCCAATGGATCTAATCATCTACCTCCAAGTGAAGTCACTGACAGCTCACAACAGTTAAATCTTAAATTATTTGCACCATTGCTCAATATCAAGCCTAATGAAACTGATCATCTACTCGTTTTTGAAGGTTACAAGTTAAAAAAATTGTGTGTCGATTACCTTTCCAATCTATACCTCTACATTATTCTCTGTTTCGTTGGATTTCTACTACTTTGTTCTGGTTTTCTTAATTATCTGATTAATTTAAGTATTAATTGGGCAAGAATAACAACTTCTCAAAAATGTGCTGAACTCATCTATCTAAATTCGGCTGAAATGACTGCTTTCGGTGACGATTCAATTGAGGTTGGAGGCCGTTTTTAAGATTTTTTCACAAGTTAACCTTATTGTCAATATAAACTGCATTTTTGCCGTCAAATTCATCTCTTTCATCTCATCTCAACTATGGTAATCATAGTCACTCCATATCATTATACTCATATTACTGCAATTATAATGCATCAAAAAAGATTGTTGAGAAATACAAACAAACATCATTCCGTCCCATTACTGGTTACATATTACACTCAAACTGTTCAACCCACGCTCAACTTGAAAAATGTAAGCACCAAGTCTATCTAAATGCTGATTTCTTTCATGCTGTTTCATTTTCACCATCCATGATAATCCCAAAACAAACAAAGGCTACACCAAAATTGACAAAAAACAATGACCAACGGAAATCTAAAAAATTCTGGTTTACCAAATTTAAGTTATATTTTACATTTTCTGTAATGTTTGTAATTAATCTCTATTTCACACTTTTGCACTCAAAATAAACCTTTTTTCAAATTAACCATCTTAACGCTTATACCTTTGTTCAACTTGGTAAAATTGACAAAGTTGGAATGAAATACTTGACCATTAATATCTTTACTGAACCAGTGAACTTTAATCCAAAAACATTAAATCCAAAGCAGTTTCAAACTGGATTGAGGATAAAATAGGTAAGTATTAAATTAACAAAACTGAGAAAAAAGTTTCTGATTTGAACAATCCCAAGTTTCAATCATTTCAAAAATTGGAAATTTTCTTAAATTGGACAGAAAATCAAAATATATTTTATAATCAAGTTGAGCCTTCATTCAATTGATCACTGATATACGGTTTTATGTTATTTTAAAACGATTGATATATTTTGAAACCAAAGATCAATTTTCAAAGTGTACATCTCAAATTAATAACTAATCAACTCAACCAACTAGGTTGATATTCAATTGTTTGAACCTTTTACTCTCTATAATAAACTCTACTGATTAATTACAATAAATGTCCAATCAAACAAGTGAATTGATACACTTAAAAAATGAGATCAAATAAACTGTTTAGGAATATCTATTCTAACAATTTGTAAGTGTTCAAAGATGAGGTAAAGATTGATTGAAAGCTATTTTTAAGTGAAAAAGCTTCATTTTCTCAATTCAGAAAGTTCAACAAGTGAAACTCTTTTTTATATAAAACTTACTGCTAACCGTTTGAACAATATATTTCACTAAACCTAAATCACGATGACACTTGTTCAATCAAAAGTAAACTCTTTTTTTGTTTGTAAGTCAATCAATCTAAAACTAACGTGATTCTTTCTTTAGACCAAACCTTAATTTACTTTTATAGCTTGTTAAACAAACCACTGAAACCTTTATCAAAATTCAAAGCTAAACCAGATTCAAGGGAAATATGAAGGAAATAGAAGTCCATGAAAGGAAAAGATTATTGCCAAAAGTTTCCTTTCGAGCAAAGAGTAGGGCTCTTTTGGGTTTGTAGGAGCATAAAAACTGAGTCCATCAGTGCTATTAAAAAATTTGTCCGATCGACAGTTTTTGTTCATCATAGAGATCAAGAGCAAAGAGATGATTCTTTGACCAATCATTAGACTTTATTGTACCAACAATATCCCCGAATAATAAGTTTCAGCTCACTAACTCTTATGGTCACAGAATGCAAAAGGTTTAAACGAAACTCCAAAACTGTTGAAACTAACAAGTTATTTTCAATAACAAATCTTTGTTTTGAATAAAATCCATAAGGTGAAACTGATGGTGAAACAGAATAAGGTTTTCTCTATTCAGTGAAATCTTTTGCTCTTGCTAATCAAATTTTTGTGATTATCGAGTAATGAGTAATTATCGAGCGATAAATTTGATTGCATATTGAATTAATTTTACCTTTTTCAAATCTTCTACCGTAATTTTTGTGAGATCAAAGAGGGCGTCTTTTGGTACATCTGTGCTTGATTATTTTGCAGTTTATGCGAACCGATAAGCCTATCGAATGGTCTGGGAATGTCTTTATTTTGCGCGTAAACAATGAACTTACGAAATAATATTTGTAATCTTTTGATTGTTCAAAAATCTGATGCATAAATAGTGAAGTTTATCCAATGAGAATTTCAATTTATGCCAGTTTATTTTTCGTGATACACAAGTGTTTGACAACAATATTCAACATTGTGTTAATAGTGAATAACGTTTTCACAGTCGATTCCAATCAAAGTGCTCAAAATGGCTAAAATCACTTCCAAAGAGGTTTGGGAACTTTCTAAACTTTTAAGAATCGATGTTTTCTTCTTTTTAGCAATTTTGAGTAGTTCATTGCCTGGAATTGCTCTCAACCAACTGATGCAGGATAAATATTGTATCAACAAATATTCGCAAAATGAAAGTGTCTGTTTAAATTTGGAAACTGCTGGACCTGAATTTGATGCAGTCAAGAATGGTGTATTGAAAGACACAACGACACTTAAAATGAATATCACTCTAATGACAACAATACCAGCGATACTTTTATCACTCATTTTGGGTTATTGGATGGATAAATATCCTGGTCATCTACGATATCTTCTTGGTGTTGCACCTTTAGCGAAAATCTGTCAACACGTCATGATTATACATCAATGTTTACACTTTGAAATGGGTAAGCAATAGATACCGTGTTTCCGCACAAAGAAGGCCAGAGCTTATTCATCAAAATTCTCACTAATTAGCCCTTGGATTTTCTCATTAATTAGCCGCAATGCTATAACTCTATTGAAAAAAAAAACTGGGCTTATTCAAATAGAGTAAAAAGGGGGAATAAGTGAAGTTTTCATTAATAAGCTCTGGCCTTCTTTGTGCGGAAACACGGTACTCGTGATTGATTAGTCAGCCATTCAGTACTAAAACAAATCATTTGATGCTAAACGTTTAATTTGCAGTCGCTGACTCGTTATTATGGGCACATTTGGTTCCAGTGCTCACCGGCAGCGGAATTATTGTCACAATAGGAACCTATACTTATGTAACAAGAAAGACACCAGCCAAGTTTCGAGCTGTTAGGTTTACAATACTCGAAATTGGCTTATTTGCAAGTAAGTTATATCTTTATTCATATCGAAACTCATTATTTGATTTTTAATATTAGCCAAACCCAAAAGTTTTTATCGGTTTTTAATGATTTTAAAATGATTAGTAAATATAGTAAAATTTATTCAATTTTTCAAAATAATCAAATCAATGTCTGTTCTTTAATTCGCACGAAATTTCATGATTAACAACATTGATTAACAGACTTAAGTTTTGATACAATTAAATTATCATATTTTGAAAATTTCCCTTCTCAAAGCAAATTGTTGATTAAAAGTGATCAAAAATTCAGAATCAAGAAAATTAACATCGATCGAAAGCTAAAACTCTATATAATCACTGATAAAAATTTGTTAGTTTCAATTATTACCAGTATTTAATTATTCTAGGATAATCAAGGCTCCATTTAACATTGAACCTCCATAGAAAGGGTATTTTTATTTTTTGAAACTTCTCATATAAAAACGTCAAAAACACAATTTTATCAGCAATCAAGCAGAATAATTAACTGATGATAATGATTAGAATTAGCAAATTTTGATCACATATTCTTGAATGATTAAAATTCTTATTGTACTTGATTTTTTCTTTGACAGCCATGCCTATTGCAAACCTTTTGGGTGGAGGTTTACTCGCATCTAAACCATGGTTCCCGAATCAGCATCGTAACTACATTGGAGTTTATATCATTTCATCTGTATTTGGGGTTATTGCGGCTATTTGGGTTATGGTGTTTTTATATGACGCTGCTGACGAGCAGGTTAAAACAGATGAATCTCAAGCAAATGGTGATGCTTCAAGTTTTGAAAATAATGAAAATAAAAATAAAACAGTGAAACAAATAATTTACGATATAATCAAACCAGAAAATATCCTTCATGCAAGTCGCACAGTTTTCAAAAAAAGACCAAATAATGCTCATTGGTATTTGATAGCAACAATACTGGCTGGATTTATATCAAACATTTGTTATTTGGGTGAACAAAGTATAGGATTCCAGTTTAGCCAAAAAGTATATCATTGGAGTGCTGAACAAATCGGAAATTACGGTTCCATTGTCATTGTTTTCCCTGCTCTGGGTGCATTTATTGGTCCTCCACTATTCATTCATAAAATGAATCTTCATGATACTTCATTGGCCATAATTGGTATTGTTTCAATAATGGTTGCTTTTATCAGCAAAGGTTTTATCCTCAGTCCAGTAGCCTTCTTCTTCTCCATATTTGGTTCTTTTGCTGGTGTTATATTTGTTGCTGATCGATCAATCATTTCACGTTTGATTCATAAAGACGAGATTGGACAAATCTACGCATTTTCATCAGCTATTGGCGGATTCGCTCCAACAATTTCATCAGTGTTTTACAGCAAAGTATTTACAGCAACATTGAGCTCTAATCCTGGTCTTGTGTACATAATTACTGGTTTATTTTTCTCTATTCCTTTAGCTAATGCTATTGTACTCAATATAAAAAAGCAGAAATGGGATTTAGTTTTGATTGCTGAAAAGGAAAAGGAAAGTCAAGCAAACAAAATTGAACTTACATCTAAAAAATAACGGAATCAATTCACTGGATACTTCCTTACATTAATATTAGGTTGATAACCGGCATCGCAAATGGCATCGATAATTCGTTGCCATCTTTCCGTTAATAACATAATTTCAATGCGAAGTAGATGTTAAATATCTTCACTAAGTCTTCATTCAAAACAGCTCTAATCACTCATATCTTGCAAATAATTCAACCAAAATTTTATGATGCTTCAATTATACATAAAAACCCTTTTGTGTCAATTTTTGTAACATGAATTAATATAATAACATTTCACATTGTGATATATCAATAACTGGATAAAGATGAAGAATTAAACTCTACTGATTAATTGTAATAAATGTCCAATCAAACAAGTGAATTGATACACTTAAAAAAATGAGATCAAATATACTGTTAAGGAATATCTATTCTAACAATTTGTAAGTGTTCAAAGATGAGGTAAAGATTGATTGAAAAGCTATTTTTAAGTGAAAAAAGCTTCATTTCTCAATTCAGAAAGTTCAACAAGTGAAACTCTTTTTTATATAAAACTTACTGCTAACCGTTTGAACAATATATTTCACTAAACCTAAATCACGATGACACTTGTTCAATCAAAAGTAAACTCTTTTTTGTTTGTAAGTCAATCAATCTAAAACTAACGTGATTCTTTCTTTAGACCAAACCTTAATTTACTCCTTATTTACTTAATTAAAAATTTGTCCGATCGACAGTTATTGTTCATCATAGAGATCAAGAGCAAAGAGATGATTCTTTGACCAATCATTAGACTTTATTGTATCAACAATATCCCCGAATAATAAGTTTCAGCTCACTAACTCTTATGGTCACAGAATGCACAAGGTTTAAACGAAACTCGAAGCGATCTGTTTTACAAAAAGCCGAAAATTTTATTTCTCAAAATAAGTGAATTTTCTGGTTGTCCATCAAATGAGTTTTATGAAAAAATCTACTTATTTGAAGAAAGGCAATCGAAGTCCAAACTTTGACTCGATTTTGCAGAAAACCGTCGATCAAATTTTTTAATAGCACTAGTGGACTCAGTTTTTATGCTCCTACAAACACTACTCTTAACTTGAAAGGAAAATTTTTGGCATTTACTCCTTATATCAAATTTACAAGTTCAAAGCTCACAGCTTAAGGCTTTTGAACTAGGCACTCTTTGCTTATTGTTGTGTAGGTCATTAAAGCAATTTGAAAAAAATGAGCTTCAATTTGCTTCTATGCTTTCTATGGTTAGTTGAGGCTTTAATGGCCATATTTAAAAATATTGTTGTAAATTATTAGCCAATAATGATGTGAAATTAGATTATCGTTAACCAGCAAATCAACCAAACGGAACACATTGACAATCTTATGGTATTTTAATGATGACTAAGAAACATCACTTCTGTTGAAGTAACTTGAACTCATTTAATAGTGTAATAGTGTAAATTGCAGGTTGAATCATCATGGTTGTCGTTAATGGAGTTGAAAGAGGCCGAACCAGAAAGATGTTGCGACTTTTAGGTTAACCAGAAAAGTGTTTGAAACAAATTATCATCCTAATATACTGTATACATCAATTAGATTGAGCAAAGGTGAATTGCTCTTGCAAATGACTTGAAATCTTCTGACTAGTTGGATTCTGGTAACCTAAAACATAATTGGGTTGTTTTTGCGGTGATTTTGTCCTTTACTTTTCACAAAGCCAGCTGTAAAAATTTCAATTCTAGCAAATATATTTTCACCAAACCTAAATCCCTAAAACTTGTTCAATCGTTCACTAAACAATCTCAGACTTAAAAAATCAGCTTTACTATGGACTACAGAGTTTGACAAACCTGTTTAACATAGATTTTCATGAACATTCTTTGCATCTAACTTTAGCCTTATGGTCATGTTCAAAGATAAAGCGTTTAACACAAGATTCCGCGAACACCTTAGGCATTATCAAACGATATTGTTTTAGGTCAATTATTAACCCTGGTTAACCCAAAGACTTTGTTTTAAGCTGTTTAAGTCGGACAAAATATGGTATATAAAGGGCCAAAATTGTCAATTCCAATCATTCTCAACCTTCCTCTTGAAAAGTCAACACTGTTTGTATATCATACTTCTAGTCTTTCAACTCTTGTCTATTCGACCTTACTTCAATCTATTATCTATTACCTTCCAATTTTACTTTTGTGAAAATGAAGTTCATTTATTTATTGTGTATATCATTCATTATCTTCAGCTATGTCAAGGCTGACGAGCAAGAAGATTATGATGGGGAAATAGAGAGTGACTTTTCTCCTCGTGAATACGATTCATGGTCACAAAAAGCTGACGTTCCTACTAGTCAGTACCAGTCGTCAACTTCAGTTAAAAAGCCAATAATTCCACCTCGTCCATCATATGGTTATCCAGCATACGATGTTGAAGTTTCCACCCTTCCCTCGTTCAAAGATAAACTTGACCAAACTAAGATGAAGTTTGAAAAGAACTTGAAAAATAAAGTTGACAAGGCCAAGAAGACGGTTGACCAAGCTAAGAGGAAGGCTGACCAGGCTATGAAGAAGCTCGAGAAGGAACTGAAAGATAAAATGGGTGCTCTTAAGCAAAAGAAGTTGAAAAAAGTCGTAGAATCCAAAATGCCCATAACTACAACACTCGCACCTGTCTATGTATACGACCGAATAGTACCCAAAGCTGTCAAAGTCAAGAAGGTGAAGCCAATGTCCAAGGACTGCAAGATTATAAAAAAAGCATTATTTGGATAATCGGATATGGACAAAATGCTCAAATTTATAACAAAAAATCTATTTGTACAATTGTAATCAAACTATTCATTGAATTTTCCTAAATGTATTCAAATCACATAAACTAAAATAAAAATATTTATAAATTGTATACAAATGTTGTTTATTCATTCGCGTTTGAATATTTAAATTGTTAGTGTTTTCTAGTTGCAAGATTGTATCGATATCCATTATTTGAACCATGGAATTGAAATCAACATCAAAGCAATTCAGTTTTTGGTAAGTAATATTTCAAGTGAAATTAACCAAATATGCATAGGCGCAACAGCATCGAGAGTAACTTGGACTGCTTGATCTCAATTTTAATTTAGTCTAATTTAGGTCTGGTGTGAAATGGTTTCCGATATTCGTTCAGTTTTCAGGCCGATGCCGAAACAAAGAAACCTGTCGCTAAATTGAAAAAAGTGCTGATGAGTAACAACAATTTTTATACCCGAAAAAAAGTCAGCTCTCTAACTCTTACCACAAAAAGAAGTCGGTTTAACTGAAAATCGAACGACCTATTGTACAAAACAGAAATTTTTATTTCTCAAAATAAGAGCATTTTCTAGTTGTTCACTGAAAGTTACATATTTGAAATGAAAATCATGAAAAAAATCTGCTTTCATAATACACTAAGTTTTTATGTCCCTAAAACCAACAGAGTTCAAATTTGGAAGAAATTGATATTTATCCGTTTTTGACCATTTGTTTCGGTTCAGTTCTTCTTCGAAAGTTATGATTATTTAAAAAAATGTTAAATCACAATAAAAAACATTTTCACACAAAAATATTAATACTAACATGACATACATATTGTATATTTAAGTTCAGTTGGAGTTGGATATTTTCTCAAAGATTAAAGTTGGTAGGTTGGATGGACATCTTGATAAACCAAAAGCTGCTTCAGTTGATATTTCAGTTCCTGGTTTAACTTTGACACGATATTTTTGTAATATACAAACTATATACAAAAATAATTCAACATTGGCGAAACCTTCACCTGGACAGTTCCTTTTACCGGCACTGAAAGGTATAAGATGAGGTGGTTTCGCTACTTTACTGCCATCTTCAGCAAGGTAACGAGTTGGATCAAATTTATCAGGATTAGGCCACAGTTTAGGATCATGGTTGACTGACCAGAAATTGAAGATAACCAAAGTATCCTTGGGAATATTGTAATTACCGATTTTTGTATCACTTGAAGCTCTCCTGAGTAGATTATTTGCAACAACAGAACCAATTCGGTGTATTTCATGAATGAAAGCCATTGTAAAAGGCATTCTAATTCTATCAAGATAATCTGGTCTTCTTTCAAATCCAATAACATCAGCTATCTCTGAACGTATTTTATCTTGATACTCTGGATATTTGACTAAATATATCATTACCCATGCCATTGTACTTGATATAGTCTCATTTCCAGCTCCGTAGAATGCAGTAGCATTGCGTTTCAATACATCAATTGAGAAATTATCGTCGATTTGGTTTCGTTCTTCTCTACTTTTCTTTTCAGCAAGATAACCATCGATATAATCTACAACGTCTTGCGAATTTTTTTCCTGATGTTTGACAATCTCATTCTGAATATGTGAATCGACGGTTTTAAAGCACTTTTTCAGCCTATTTGAATTGAACAATTCAAATTTAAACACAAGGCTAGACAACCAGGGTAGAAAAGCCATAACACCGGCGAAGTTGAAACTACTTGCGATTTCGGCATTAGATGCTGAAATTGCGATAGCAGCAGGATCATCATAATCATATTTATGACCAAACAATAAAATTGACACGTTATTTGTTACAGAGCGAGAAATCTTTTTTTTAAAATCAACAGATTCACCATCATTGTCCAAAGTTGTAAGAAACTGGTCAATCTCTTCTTTAACTAATGTTTCAATGGTACTCTTTCCAAGTCCAACATCACGTAAAATATGTAGTGATAAACGTCTATGTTCCCGCCATGGGTTACCTGACATCTCACCAAATGAACGTCCAGTAACGGTACCAGGGAAAAAACTGAATGCGGTCGAGCAAGTAAGGCATCATTGGAAGTAGCATCTTTCAGATGAGGCCAATCACAAACCAAGACCACATCGAAAGAACCCAATTTCAAACTATAAACTGGTCCATACTTTTTAGACAATTGGTCAAACTGAAGGTAAACATGATCACCAAGAAAGGGTAAATAACCAACAATGGGAAGACCCCAAGGACCAGCTGGTAATGAACGAATCCTTTTTATCTATACCATATATAAAGTCAAAACATGAAATTTTTGCGTAAAGATTGTGGCCAAACTAAAAGGATTCTAAAGAAATTTTTTTCACAGCCTGAAAGTCATGATTAAACTACATCCACGAAAAATAGTCTGAACTTCATCGGAATTCAGGTACCTGAGAAATTAGCGTTTAAACAGGGTAGGGGAAAAAATGCAGAATCCGTATCTTTTATCATTGACTTTGGGGGAAAAATTTTTTGGTTCAGGTTGATTGTTGGTTTATTGTTAAATTAGAAGGATATGTAAAACCATTTTTCGAGTAAAGAGTTAGGTAAAAAATATGTTGCCTCAACTGTTGAACCAAATTTCATTTTATTTTTTCTCATTGAAAATACTTTTCATCAATAATTTAAGTCTTCAAATGTGGATTGGATTTACTGTATTTAATGAAAAGAAATTTACGATCAGTCATGATCGTGGCTCAGCTTGTTGTATTAAACAAATACTTTACCAGCCAGAAGAGGGCAACTCCAATCAAAGTGTTAACTAAAGGTTGAGATGATAGCAAGTCATTTATTGAAAACATGTTCAAACTAAGCTGAAAACAAGTAAACTAAAATGAATTGTTTACCAAGATGACTTTATATTAATAACATTTTTCACAGACACATCAAGTGATACAATATTTATGATAATTACTTATGTAATGTTTAGTGAAATCAATTTGAAATACACAATATATGTTTGATTTAATTGGATGGATAACTGAGATAAACAATAAGTGGTTTTAAGAACGATTGTACGAAATAATGTATTTTTTGTACAAATTGTGTTAACTTATAATATTTCTTATCTTCAGTGATAAACCCTTCAATTTTAAACCATAGAATTGTTGATTAATCAATAAAAATTCGCTCGATATGTTGCATGACATTCATCCGCTCATTTACCGGCAATCGTTTGATCTGATCTTAAACGTGAAGCTTTTCCAAGTCCAAATCCGAGCTTTTCCACTTGACTCAGACTATTTTTATCACTGAAATCATCACGAGTCAGCTTGTCGCCAACAATTACATTACATAATAAATATCACATTTATTTATAACATATATAATAATAACAAACATTATACAGTTGCAAAATAACATAATAAGAATTTAGAAATTGCAATAGATCTTTAACCCAAAAAATCATTTGTAGGTTTAGGTTTTTATCTTTTTCCTACAATTGTTCAAATTTTTAATCAATAAATTGCAGTTGAATTCACTTTAAACAACTATGTGTTTAATCCAGCTGAAGCGACTGTGAATCTATTTTACAGTCAAAATAATATCGATTCAATTCTGCTTTGAAAAGCTCATTTGAAAAGCAGGTAAATCACAATGAAAATCATTTTGATACGCGAATATCAACATAAGAAACATTTAAGTTCAATCAGAATTGAAAATTTTCTTAAAAATTAAAGTTGGTAGGATAGATGGACGTCTCGATAAACCAAAAGATGCTTCAGTTGATATTTCTGTTCCCGGTTCAACTTTGACACGATATTTTTGTAACATACAAATAATATACAAAAACAGTTCAACATTGGCGAAACCTTCACCTGGACAGTTCCTTTTACCAGCACTGAAAGGTATAAGATGAGGTGGTTTCGCTACTGCCATCTTCATTAAGGAAACGAGTTGGATCAAATTTATCTGGATTAGGCCAAAGGATCATGGTTGACTGACCAGAAATTGAAGATAACCAAAGTATCTTTGGGTAAATCGTGATTGCCGATCACAATATCACTTGAAGCTCTTCTGGGTAGATTATTTGGAGCAACAGAACCAATTCGATATGTTTCTTGAATGACAGCATTTTAAAAGGCATTAGCTAACATTTCAATTGTGCTGGTTCCAAGACTGACATCGCGAAAAATATGGAGATATGATCTCTAATGAAGGGTAAATAACCAACAATAGGAAGACCCCAATGAGGTAATGAACGAATCCTTTTTATTGTATTAAACAAATACTTTACCAGCCAGAAGAGGGCAACTCCAATCAAATTATTGACTAGAGGTTGCGATTCAAACAAATTATTAATTGAAAACATGTTAGATAAACTTTTCATAATAAAATTGAAATCAAGCAAACTAAAATAAAATGCCAACCTCAATCGAGCTTTATATTATTAATAAATAACTCTGTTTGTTATTAAAACAGCATTTATAAAACATCTTAAGCTATCTAATGGTTTTGATAATTACTGTGCGTAATGTTGAGTGTAAGTACAAATTTGCAAGTACATAATATGTGTTTGATTCAATCGAATGGATAACTGAGATAAATATTCAGTCCACCATTCAAAAGTTGATTAATCAATAGAAATTTACTCATAATGTTCCGTGGCATTCATCCACTCATTTACAATCGTTTAATGTGATCATAAACGTGAAGCTTTTCCAAGTCAGATCCAGTTCACGACCAATCATTGGTACTGGTAGAAATAAACCCTTCTTTAATACACTGATCCAAATAATTAAATTGTTGGCTTTGATTGAATCTTGTATCGTCTATATTATCACCTAAAATTAGATTTATCTCACGAATTTATCGCCAGCATAAATCGTTTCTTGTATTTCCGTGTGCAGACCTAGACAAAAAAATCAAATTTAATTTTGTTTAGTCGAGTCACAAAAATGCCAAGCATGAACCAGAAAGAGCAAAACTTTGGACCACTTGATGAGCGAACTATCTTGTCGACATATTCGATGATGACGAACTTGACTCTTTGCGATTTTGTTTTTGCTAATTCAACAGATCTCGTGATTAAATGAAAATTGGATAAAAGAAATGGTTAGGTTTATGGTTGAAGTAATTGCTCTTTCGGGCTCGAATTTGCTTTTTTTGCGGTTCAACATTTGATACCATGAATAGTACTTAACCTCGCATTATCTGAACCTTACTTCTTCACGCTGATCATGAGTTTATATTGTTTTATCAAAGTTTCTTTATTGCAAATATTGAATTTCCTATTGAAATTTCGGTCCTGCAAATAATCTAACGTAAGTTAGGGCAACTGCAGGACACATTAAAAATAAAATTTATTATAATTGCAAAGAGCGTCTTCGAATTGATCTAAACAGACTTTAGTTGAAGCTTAATTCATGAACATATCAAGTGATCATGATGTTAGGTAATTTTGAGTAATAACACAATCTGTTTAATCGAATGGATGAATGAGATAAATTATGAGTGTTTATGAGGACAATTGCACGGAATAATGTATTATCAATGCTATTTATTGATTTACTATATTATTATATTATCTTATATTCTATGTTGAGTCCTCCAATTATCAGCCATTCAAATGTTGATTGAGCAATGAAATTCGCTCAAAATGTTGCATAAAATCTACCCGTTCATTATTCACTAAAGCACTTTCTGTTTAGTCGAACCACAAAAAAGAAAAGCACGAACCTGAAAGGTCAATACCTGAAAAGATCACAATAGCTATAATATAATATAACAGCTTCGAATGAAAGATTGAAAGGTTCGAAAGTGTTTAAGTATTTACTTAGATTGTACTTTTAATCAACTTGCCGACTAGATCACATCAGTTGAAACCACGTCCGATTTCGGCATTTGCTGATGAAAATGCGATAGCAGCTGGATCATCATGAGCATATTAAGAGCCAAACAATAAAATTGAGACGTTATTTGTTACAGAGTGAGAAATCTTTTTTTTTAAACCAACAGATTCACCACAATTGTCCAAAGTTATAAGAAACTGGTTAATCTCTTCTTTAACCAATGTTTCGATCGTTTTCTTTCCAAGTCCGACAGCACGTAAAATATGGAATGGCAAACGTCTATATTCATGCCAAAGATTGCCTGGCATTTGTCAGAAGTCAAATAATTTTTTAATTTGTGATTTTTTTGACTAAATTAAATTATATCAAAACTTTTTTAATTTAAAAGAGTTTCGGCTGCATGAATAGACCTTTTCCGTGGTAATGTCGCACTTTGAGAGGGATTACGTTAAACAGTTGCAAAATAACAGGTAACAATTTAGAGATTGCAATAAATAAATCTTTAAACCAAAAATGTTTAATCAGTTTCACTTTAGTCAACCATGTGAGTGATTCAGACATCTAATGTTAAAAAATGAGCGAATTTGTTATGATGTAAATTACAGCAATTCACAATAGAATGCGAACACTTTTTGTGTACTTGCAAATTGTTTTTACTTAACATTGCCTATTTAATAAAAAATTTCATTTAAAAAACACGTGAAAAACTAACGAAATTGCGTGGACAGAATTTTCCTTGGAAAATAGACAAAGCTTAAACCAGAGCCTCATTTAGAGAGGGATTACTGTAAGTTCAGAATGGTTACACTTGAAACCTTTCATTATTCATCTCATTATTTATTATCAGAAATTCAATCGTACATTTTTTGTGCACTTGCATGTTGTTTTACCTCAAAAATTTCTCAGTTGCTAGAAAAATGTTTATATATAAAGCTTAATTGTGGTAAATATTTCATTTTAGTTTACTTGTTTTCAGCTTAGTTTGAACATGTTTTCAATTAATAATTTGTTTGAATCGCAACCTCTAGTCAATACTTTGATTGGAGTTGCCCTCTTCTGGCTGGTAAAGTATTTGTTTTACACAATAAAAAGGATTCGTTCATTACCAGCTGGTCCTTGGGGCCTTCCTATTGTTGGTTATTTACCCTTCATTAGAGATCATACTTATCTTGAATTTGACCGCTTATCTAAAAAGTATGGACCAGTTTATTGTTTAAAATTGGGTGTTTACGATGTGGTCTTGGTTTGTGACTGGCCTCACCTGAAAGACGCTGTTTCCAATGATGCCTTACTTGCTAAACCGCATGCATCTTTATTGCCTGGTGGTGGTGAAGGACGTTCACTTGGTGAAATGTCAGGCAGTCCTTGGCAGGAACATAGACGTTTATCACTACACATTTTACGTGATATCGGTCTTGGAAAGAGTACCATTGAAACGTTAGTTAAAGAAGAGATTGACCAGTTTCTTACAACCTTGGACAATGATGGTAAACCTGTTGATTTTAAGAAAAAGATTGGCCACTCTATAGTGAATAACGTCTCAATTTTATTGTTTGGCCATAAATATGATCTTAATGATCCTGCTGCTATCGAAATTTCAGCAGCAAATGACGAAATCGCAAGTAGTCTTAACTTTGCCGGTGTAATGGCTTTTCTACCATGGTTATCGAGCTTTGTGTTTAAATTCAAATTTATCAATTTAACCAGACTGATAAAGTGCTTTCAAATCGTCGATACACATATTCAGAATGAAATTGATAAACATCAGGAAAAAAATTCTCAAGAAGTTGTAGATTACATTGATGGTTATCTTGCTGAGATGAAAAAAAGAGAGGAGCGAAACCAAATCGACGATAATTTCTCAATTGAAATATTGAAAAAGAATGCTGGTGCATTTTATGGAGCTGGAACTGCGGCTGTGTCGAGTACAATGGAATGGATGATGGTATATTTAGTCAGATATCCAGAGATTCAAGATAAAATACGTTCAGAGATAGCTGATGTTATTGGATTTGAAAGAAGACCAGATTATGTTGATAGAATTAGAATGCCTTTTACAATGGCTGTCATTCATGAAGCACATCGAATTGGTTCCGTTGCTCCAAATAATCTACTCAGGAGAGCTTCAAGTGATACAAAAATCGGTAATTACAATATACCCAAAGATTCTTTGGTTATCTTCAATTTCTGGTCAATTAATCGTGATCCTAACCTGTGGCCTAATCCTGATAAATTTGATCCAACTCGTTTCCTTACTGAAGATGGCACTAAAGCAGTGAAACCACCTTATCTTATACCTTTCAGTGCTGGTAAAAGGAACTGTCCAGGTGAAAGTTTAGCCAATGTTGAATTATTTTTGTATTTAGTTTGTATATTACAAAAATATCGTGTAAAAGTTAAACCAGGAACAGAAATATCAACTGAAGCAACTTTTGGTTTATCAAGACGTCCATCCAACCTACCAAATTTAATTTTTGTGAAAATATCCAATTCTGACTGAACTTAAATGTTTCTCATGTTAATATTTGTGTATCAATATTATTTTGAAGTGATTTATCATTTGTTTAAATAATCATAACCTTTACAAGCATAAATGAACCGATGTTATTTAGACTGAATAAAAGAATCACTGTATTTATTGTAATCACTGTAATCATAGCTCATAACAACAATGTTGGTCCTAAAATTAAAACCGTGAAAAGCTCGAAAAAACGAAATACTAAATTTAGACAATTTCATCAGTCATTTTATCACGGAATAATGCAACATGTTTTGCTTTTTGAAATTTATTTTATTTATCACAATATTGAATTTAATATATTGGAATACACATAGTAGAGTAATTCATTGAAATCATTTCAAATCATGGTTAATATTCAATCGCACCAATATAATTATTTTGGTTATTGTTTAAACAAATCAAAGGTACTAATGAGAATGATTATGTTGCTGTTATTTTGTATTCTTTTTTAGCTTTTTTTGGGACTGGTTCTGTTGTTTTTGTTGTTGTTTTAACTTTTGTCGCTCTTCCAGTCTTGCGAGTAATCCTATAAAAGTAAATTGCAGTGCACCCAGGTGATCGCGCAGAGTTAATAAAGTTGAATCTCTCACGTCTTTTATCCTTTTAAAAATGGAAGGTTTCGGAGTTACTTGCTCTTTTATCACTGGATAAACTGATGGTGCATGAGGTGGAAGAGTCTCTGATTTCTTCTTGTAGATGATGTTATCACTTGGATACGGCAATTCATAAATTTCATCGGAAGAAAGCGAATCGTCTTTGAAAAGGAGAGCTTGAACATAGCTGAAGATGATCAATGATATACACAATAAATATATGAACTTCATTTTCACAAAAGTAGGGATTGAAAGGAAGATAATAGATTGAAGAAGAATTGAAGAGACTAGAGTTGAAATGCTAGTGAATATAAAGTGTTTGAGTTTCAAGATGAAAGTTGAAAATGGTTTTCATTGAAGTATTCATCTCTTTATATACCATATTTTGTTTGACTTAAACGGCTTAAAGCAAGGCAAAGCAAGCTTAAGGCTTTGGGTGAACCAGGATTAATAATTGGTCTGAAACAATATTGTTTGACAATGCTTAAGGTATTCGCGGTAGAAAGTGTTTTAAACATTTTGTATCTTAAACATGACCATAAGACTAAAATTACATATGAAAAAGGATTCGTGAATACCTATGATAAAAAAGGATTGTCAAGCTCTTCAGTCAATAGTAAAGTTTCAGACAAGCCATAAAAACCCAAATTAAAAATGTTTTTTTGGGTTTAAAGGTACATTAATTGCGATTTCTAGGTCGTTACTAAAAAGACACGATTAACACAAACATCACATTCATCACTAAGAAAAAGGACTTGAATTTGACCAAATCATGAAAAAGTTTGACCAAGCAGGGAAGAAGTTCGAAAAGGAAACTCCAAAACCTTCCATTTTTAAAAGGGTGAAGGTCATGGTAGAGGACGTGGTTAACTTCGTGGCACAAACCCGCATTTTTGGGACTTACTCAATACTCGAAAGACTGGCACAATGACAAAGGTTAAAAAAACAACAACGACCCCAGAACCAGTCTTTATCAAAGCTCTGAAAGTACACAAAATACAAACTCTTGGTCCGCTCTGGAAGGGATATATGCATAAGCTGGTATCGAAGATATGTGATCTGAATCAAATCGACCAGGATTGAATGAATCTGGATCAGGATAGATGCTTGGATCTCGATGAATTGTGTAAATCATTATAGCCACTGAAGCTCCTTTGGGAATCTTGAATCCATCCAGGATAACCTCTTGATCCAGTTCACGAGCAATCATTGGTACTGGTGGAAACAAACGTAAACCTTCTTTAATACACTGATCCAAGTAATTAAATTGATGAATTTGATTGTAACTTAAATTCTCAATATTATCTTCTAAAATTGAATTTCTTAACCACAGATAGCTCTTATCAAGTGTTTTGGACGTGCAAAATTCGAGAGTCCAGTGTAATTGCGTTTTTTAGTGACAGCCTAGAAATCGCAATTAATAAACCTTTAAACTCAAAAAGACATTTGGTAATTTGTATTTTTCTGGTATGTGTACAGTTTTTCAAGTGTTTAACCAGTAAATTGCCCTTGAATCTACTTTGAACTCTAACTTTGAACTATGATAGATTAGTTTACCGAAACGAACAGGAATGAGAAATGCAATTTTTGTGAATGAAATTCAAATCGAAAATCACTTTTAGCCTGATTGTCAGCATCAGTAGTCTTAAACTTGTTCAACATAGATTTTCATGAACATTCTTTGCATCTAACTGCATCCTTATGGTCATGTCCAAAGATAAAGCGTTTAAAACAAGATTCCGCGAACACCTTACACATTGTCAAACGATATTGTTTTAGGTCAATTATTAATCCTGGTTAACCCAAAGACCTTGTTTTAAGCCGTTTAAGTAGGTAAAAATATGGTATATAAAGGGACAAAATTGTCAATGAAAACTATTTTCAACTTTCATCTTGAAACTCAAACATTGTTTGTGTATTTTCTAGCATTTCAACTCTAGTCTCTTCAATCTATTATCTTGCTTTCAATCCTTACTTTTGTGAAAATGAAGTTCATATATTTATTGTGTATATCATTGATCATCTTCAGCTATGTTCGAGCTCTCCCTTTCAAAGACGATTCGCTTTCTTCCGATGAAATTTATGAATCTTCATTACATAGTGATAACATTATCTACAAGAGGGAATCAGAGATTCTTCCACCTCGTCCACCATCAGTTTACCCAGTGCTCAAAGAGGAAGTAACTCCAAAACCTTCCATTTTTAAAAGGGTAAAAGACGTGAGAGATTCAACTATATTAAATCTGCGCGGTTTCGTGGGAGTAATGCGAATGACCACTTACAGAATACTCTTATCACTGGCAGATCAAGAGACAAAGTTAATAAAATGGTTTAGAAATAGAACAATAAAAAGGACCCCAAAACCAGTCTAAATGAAAGAATTGAAAGAATACAAAAAAACAGCAACATAAATGTTCCCTATTGAATCTTTGATTTGTTTAAACAATAACCAAAATAATTATATTTGTGCAATTGTATATTAAATATGATTTGTAATGATTTCAATGCATGACTACACTATGTATATTCAGATATGTAACTCCAATATTGTGATAAAATAAAATAAATTTCAAAAAGCAAAACATGTTTAATCATTTCACTGATCAAATGAAAAATGAAATTGTCAAAAATAAATCAGATTTAATGATTTCTCTGACTAAAAGTTTTGAGGAAATCGAAGTCAAAGATGAAACTTTGATTAACTGAATGACTGAATACCGAATAAAGATGAGCCACGGAATCAAAATAAACAGAAATCTAATCAACTTTACCATCGACTGAAGAGTTTGACAATCTTTTTTAACATAGGTATTCAGAATCCTTTTAATGTGTGATTTTAGTCTTATGGTCATGTCCACAGATAAAACGTTTAAAACACGTTCTACCACGAACACCTTAAGCATTGTCAAACAATATTGTTTCAGGTCAATAATTAATTCTGGTTTACCTAAAGACTTTGTTTTAAGCGGACAAAATATGGTATATAAAGGGCCAAAATTGTCAATGAAAATCATTCTCAACTTTCATCTTGAAAAGTCAACTTTGTTTGGGTATTCACTAGTCTTTCGACTCTAGTCCCTTCCATTTTAGTGAATCTATTTCTACCTTTCAATTTTACTTTTGTGAAAATGAAGTTCATATATTTATTGTGTATATCATTGATCATCTTCAGTTATGTCCAAGCTCTCCCTTTCAAAGCCGATTCTCTTTCTTCCGGTGAATTTTATGAATCTTCATCACATAGTGCTAATATTGTCAACCTGTCTGAGAGGAAATCAGAGACTCCTCCACCTCGTCCACCATCAGTTTACCCAGTGGTCAAAGAGGAAGTAACTCCAAAACCTTCCATTTTTAAAAAAGTAAAGCTGATGGTAAAAGACGTGAGTCTTCATCCTCGCGAATCGCCCATTCCAGTGCAGCAGCCGAAAAAACTTCCACCTCGTCCAGCATATGGTATTACAGCAAACAAAGTTGAAGTATCTTCGAAGGATGAAGTTGACCAAGCTGAGAGGGAGCGTCAAAAGGCCTTGAAAAAGGCATTTGACGAAATCATGATGAAGTTTGACCAATCTGTGAAGAAGTACAGAAAGAAAGCTCCAAAACCTTCCATTATACAAAGGATAAAGTGCACACTTGATTTCGTGGCAATGAATTTGGTTATGGGGTCTTACGCAGTACTCCACGAACTTGCAGATCGACAAAGGTTGAGGAGACAACAAAGACCCCACAACCAGTCAGCTTATCCAGTGAAAGCAAATCTTAAACCTTCCATTTTTGAAAGGGCAAAGTATATGTTAGAGGACGCGGCAACGTTTGTGGCTTTTGGCACTTACTATACAATCGTATTACTGGCAGAAGAAGTGACAAATTTAAAAAAATGGTTCAAAAATAGAACAACAAAAACGACCGCAGAACCAGTCCGAATCAAAGCGCTGAAGGAATACAAAATTTCAGCAACAGAATCGTTCCCATTAGTACCTTTGATTTGTTCAAACAATAACCAAAATAACTTAATTTGTGAATTTGTAAATTAAAAATGATTTGAAATTATTTAAATGAATTGATATGTTTATTCCGATATATCAAATGCAATTTGACAATATAAAATGAATTTCAAAAAGCAAAACATGTTTCATTATTTAGCTGATCAAATGACTAAGGAAATTGTCTAAAATGAACCAGGATTGCTTTAATATCAATGGGGAAATTATCATCGACTTTGTTTTGCTTCTCAGCGAGATAAAGGTCGACCTGTTTATAGAATCCACATCTTTGAGGCTTAATTGCAATGAATTCATTGAATTATTCAATCTAATTTTTTTGAGAAAATTAGAATTGATTGCAGTTTAAAAATCAATATTTTTCATTTGCTGCATGAAAATATTCCTTCGTTTATATTGCTTCCTTTATGTTTGACTTTTCATCGAAATCTTTGTCGTCGGCATTTGTCCGTTGCACTGTTGATTTATATCTCAATTGAATCAACTTTGAATTAATTAATGAATTAACTCTTTTGTCATCCAAGTTACAGCTTGATCAACTAATGAACTTGGTTTGAATTGAGCTTCGGGTGATATTCCCATCGCTGTTTTGCAAATTATGTCCATTGAAGTTAAGTGAATGTAATCAACAATATTAACAGGTCTTTTGGAGGATGAGCTCGCTTCTCTGAACGATTAAACCAGGAACAGAAATATCAACTGAAGCAACTTTTGGTTTATCAAGACGTCCATCCAACCTACCAACTTTAATTTTTGAGAAAATATCCAATTCTGACTTAAGTTAAATGTTTCTCATGTTAATATTTGTGTATCAATATTATTTTGAAGTGATTTATCATTTGTTTAAATAATCATAACCTTTACAAGCATAAATGAACCGATGTTATTTAGACTAGAAAAGAATCACTGTATTTAATGTAATCACTGTAATCATAGCCTATAACAATAATGTGTTGGTAATACATAATAATTGGAACCGTGAAAAGTCCGAAATAACGAAATACTAAGTTAAGACAATTTCATTAGTCATTTGACCAGCGAAATAATATAATGAAACATATTTTCCTTTTTTGAAATTTATTTTATTTTATCACAATATTGCATTTGGGGTATCGGATTACATAATAAAGTTATTCATTGAAATCATTTCAAATCATTTTTAATATACAATCAAACAAATATAATTCTTTTGGTTATTGTTTAAACAAATCAAAGGTCCTAATAGGGAACGATTATGTTGCTGTTATTTTGTATTTTTTCAATTCTTTCATTTAGACTGGTTTTGGGGTCCTTTTTAATATTCTTTCCATACTTTTATTCCCAGTTTCTCGAGTAGTCCGAGAGTGCCAAAACCCACTACGATGGCAAATGGCTCAGTCCAGAGCAAAAACCTATGCCATGTCCTTACAAAAATGGAAGGTTCTGGTGGACGATATGGAAGAGTCTCTGGTTTCATCTTGGACAGGTATACAGTGTTACCCCTAAGTATTGGGTGAGTCTCTGATTTCCTCTTGTAGATAATGTTATCACTATGTAATGAAGATTCATAAATTTCATCGGAAGAAAGCGAATCGGCTTTGAAAGGGAGAGCTCGAACATAGCTGAAGATGATCAATGATATACACAATAAATATATGAACTTCATTTTCACAAATTTAAGGATTGCAAGCAAGATAATAGATTGAAGAGACTAGAGTTGAAATGCTAGAAAATACACAAACAATGTTTGAGTTTCAAGATGAAAGTTGAGAATGGTTTTCCTTGAAATATTCATCTCTTTATATACCATATTTTGTCTGACTTAAACGGGTTAACACAAGACTTTAGGTGAACCAGAATTAATTATTGACCTGAAACAATATCGTTTGACAATGTTAAAGGTGTTCACGGAATCTTGTTTTAAACGTTTTATATCTTGAAACATGACCGAAAGACTAAAATTACACATGAATAAGGATTGTCAAGCTCTTCAGTCAATAGTAAAGTTTCTTTCAAATTTGTACTCTTAGGACATAAAAAATGAGTCCATCTGTGTGATTTAATGATTTCTCGTATGAAAAGTTTTGAGGAAATCCAAGTCGAAGAAGAAACTTTGATTCGCTTTTGTTACTTTTGCTAACTCTTACAATTACAGAAAAGTGATTGGGTCAACTCAAAATCGAACTAATCTATTTTACAGAAAAAGAAAAGTTCTGTTTCTCAAAATAAGTACATTTTCTGGTTGACCATCAAAAGTTACACCAAGAAATGATTTATAATAGATGAAAAATATAAAAAAAGTTGTGCATATTCGAATCGAAGTTTCAACTTGACCTCGATTTCCTCTAAAACTTTTCATCATTGCCCTTTAATCTACTTTTGAGCTCTAACTTTGAACTCTGAAAGATTAGTTTGGCGAAACGGTACAGGACCCATTTCGAGGAATGAAATTGACATCGAGAGGCACTTTCGACCTAATTGTCAACATCAGTAGTCTCGAAACTGTTTAACATAGATTTTCATGAACATTCTTTGCATCTAACTTCATCCTTATGGTCATGTTCAAAGATGAAACGTTTAAAACAAGATTCCGCGAACACCTTGAGCATTTTTTAAATGATATTGTTTCAGATCAATTAACAATCCTGGTTCATCCAAAGCTTTTGTTTTAAGCCGTTTAAGTCAGACAAAATATGGTATATAAAGGAATGAGTATTTCAATGAAAACCATTCTCAACTTTCATCTTGAAACTCAAACACTGTTTTGTTTACTTGCTTTCAATCCTTAAATTTGTGAAAATGAAGTCCATATATTTATTGTGTATATCATTGATCATCTTCAGCTATGTTCGAGCTCTCCCTTTCAAAGCCGATTCGCTTTCTTCCGATGAAGTTTATGAATCTTCGTTGCATAGTGATTACATTATCTACAAGAGGAAATCAGAGACTCTGTCACCTCGTCCACCAGCAGTTTATGCAGTGATGAAAGAGGAAGTAACTCCAAAACCTTCCTTTCTTAAAAGGGTAAAAGACGTGAGAGATTCAACTATAAATTCTGTGTTCGATCACCTGGGTGCACTGGGCTTTAGCACTTTAAAAGCACTCAAAACTCTGGAAGAGCGACAAAAGTTAAAAAAACAACAAAAACAACAGAAACAGTCCCAATCAAAGCTCAAAAAAATTCAAAATAACAGCAACAGAATCGTTCCCAATTAGTACCTTTGATTTATTCAAACATTAATCTTAATAATTAAATTTGCGCTATTGTATATTAAAAATGATTTGAAACTATTTAAATGACTTTACTATGTTCATTCCGATACATCAAATGCAATATTGTGATAAAATAAAATAAATTTCAAAAAGCAAAACATGTTTCATTATTTCGCTGATCAAATGAAAATAAAGTTATCCAAAATAAATTAAAATTTTGTATTCAATAGATCAATGGTGAAATTACCGTCGATTTTGTATTGCTTTTCAGCGAGATAACTATCAACGATTATATTCAATAATGAATAACACACTTAATAACAATAACAACTCGAATGTATAACAACTCGTTGACTAATGAAAGAAAAGGAATTGAGAAATTGCAATTGCTAATGGAGGATGAGGATGAACCAGCTTCTCTGCACGATTTAACCAACATTGAAGCATTGTTGGTCATCAACGGAATATAATTGTTGTGTTGAAAGCAGGGCCAATTTAGTGCCTACGATTTCGCCATTTGTCCCCTTTAGATGTGGTCAGTCCATCTTTCATAAAAGGAGCAATAATTTTGTAATAAACGTCCTTTATTAATATGATGGCGACTGGATAAAATTACCTAAAAGTTTAAATAAAACATACTATAATAGTATTTTCATTGCGATTTACCATTCATAAAATAATATTGACCTTTTTTAAGCATAATTGCACAGATGGTATTTTGAATGCATTAGGATGAAACAATGTATTGATAGCTCATAATATTAATTTTGAGTTGGTGCGTATAATTGAAACCGTGAAAAGTCCGAAATAACGAAATACTAAATTTAAACAATTTCATTTTTCATTTGATCAGCTAAATAATGAAACATTTTATGCTTTTTGAAATTTATTTTATTTTATCACAAGGAGTTACATATCTGAATATACATAGTGTAATCATGCATTGAAATAATTTCCAATCATGTTTTATATGGATTGGCTCAAATTTAATTATTTTGGTTAAGACTACTTCTGGGATCCTTGTTTTTTTTCAGTAATGACTCTCTTTCTTGCTCTGGAATTGGGTGTGCATGGACAATGCCCATGTAAAGGTTCACGCCAACGGCCTCTACCATTCCTTTCACCCTTTTGAAAATAGAACGTTTTGGAGTTGCTTTCACTTTTGGTCGGCGAGGTGGAAGTATTTCTGATTTGCCTTTGGAGACAATGTTATCACTATGTAATGAAGATTCATAAAATTCACCGGAAGAAAGAGGATTGACTTCGAAAGGGATGCCTTGGACATAGTTGATAAATGATATACACAATAAATGAATAAACTTCATTTTCACAAAAGTGAGGATTGAAAGGAAGATGATAGATTGAAGAAGAATTGAAGAGACTAGAGTTGAATTGCTAGTAAATATAATATACAAACTGTGTTTGAGTCTCGAGTTTAAGTTGAGAATGGTTTTCATTGAAATATTCATTCCTTTATATACCATATTTTGTCTAACTTAAACGGCTTAAAACAAAATCTTTGGATGAACCAGGATTGTTAATTGATCTGAAACAATATCGTTTGACAATGCTTAAGGTGTTCGTGGTAGAGCGTGTTTAAAACGTTTTCAAAAAAATACGTTAATCTTGTACAGTTGCAGTTGTACAATAGTGAATCGAAGTTATAACATTGACCTCGATTTTCTTGAAAACTTTACATCAGGGAAATCTTTAAATCGAACAAATGGACTCATTTTTTAGCCCTTATAAGCTAACAGAGTGCTAACATGCAACTGAAATATATTTCTAGCCGATTTTCACCCGTTTGTGTCAATTTGTGCATAAATGTGCTGATTGTGTCTTTTTTGTAATAGCCTAGACAATTAATAAATCTCTAAATTGGTAATTTGGGTTTTTCTGGTTTTCTACTGTTTTTAAAATGTTTAATCAATAAATTGCACGCGAATATACTTTAGTTAACTATTTGAGTGATGGTCTTATTACAATACTGCATCATCACAAATACTGTTTCGAGGAATGAAATTAACATCAAGAGGCGCTTTCGGCCTAATTGTCAGCATCAGTAGTCTTAAACCTGTTTAACATAGACTTTCATGAACATTCTTTGCATCTAATTGCAGCCTCATGGACATGTCCAAAGATAAAGAGTTTAACAAGATTCCGCGAACACCTTAAGCATTGTCAAACGATATTGTTTCAGATCAATTAAAAATCCTGGTTCATCCAAAGCCTTTGTTTTAAGCCGTTTAAGTCAACAAAATATGGTATATAAAGGAATGAATATTTCAATGAAAACCATTCTCAACTTTCGTCTTGAACTCAAACACTGTTTGTATATTTACTAGCAATTCAACTCTAGTCTCTTCAATTCTTCTTCAATCTATCATCTTCCTTTCAATCCTTACTTTTGTGAAAATGAAGCTCATATATTTATTGTGTATATCATTAATCACCTTCAGCTATGTCCAAGCTCACCCTTACAATGCTCGGTCTATCGATGAATTTTATGATTCTTTATCTACTAGTAGATCTCTATCTAGTAGATCTAACAGCAGCCATAACAAGGAAACAGCGAAAATTCCACCTGATCACGCCACGAGATCAACTCTGTTCGATAACCTGGGTGCACTGGTTTTTATGGCTGTAGGACTACTCTCAAGACTGAAATAACGTCAAAAGTTAAAAAACAACAGAACCAGTCCAAATCAAAGCTCAAAAAGAATAACAAATAACAGCAACAGAATCGTTTTCTATTAGGACCTTTGATTTGTTTAAACAATAACCAAAATAAGCAAATTTGTGCGATTGCATATTAAACATGATTTGAAATGATTTAAATTAAGGACTTTACTGTATAATCTGATACATAAAATCCAATATTGTGATTAAATAAAATAATTTCAAAAAGCAAAACATGTTTAATCATTTCGCTGATCAAATGACTAATATTAATAAAACTGTCTCAAATGAACCAGCATTGCTTTCATATGTCAATGGGGAAACTTTCTTTGACTTTGCTCTGTTTCTTTTCTCATCGAGAATACCATAAATATAAACTACAGCTTCTTGGGAATTTTTTCCTCATGTTCCTCAATTTCATCTTGAATACATCAGTTCTTATATAAGCAGTATCTTTCAAAAGCAAAGATCTGAAAGAATACGAAATAGCAGCATCCACTTAGTATCTTTGATTTGCTTAACTCAACAACCAAAAGGGTTTGCAGTGTATTTGACTTATATAAAATGTTGGAAACCAGAAGTCTTCTCGATGAGCTTTTGGCCAGCAATTAGATTAAATAATAAATATCACATTTAATAACCAATATAAACTTATACAGTTGAATAATAAAAAAAATTGCAATAAATAGTTCTTCAAACTCGAAAAAAAACATTTGGTAATTTGGGTTTTTCTGGTTTCTCTACAGTTAAAATGTTCAATCAATGCATTGCACTCGAATAAACTTAAGTTAACGTATTTGAGTGATGTTCTTACAATACATCATCACAATTACTGTTTCGAGGAATGAAATTAACATCGAGAGGCACTTTCGGCCTAATTGTAACTTCAAACTCATATGGAATTTGATTCAATGGTTTTGTTGAAATGAGACGGAAATTTTTGATGATTTGAATTAAAATGATTTTCATTTCAATCAAAGCAAATCGTTGACCAATGCAAACTCTTGGTCCAGCACTGAAAGGGATGTATGCATAAGCTGGTATCGAAGATATGTGATCTGAATCAAATCGATCAGGATTGAATGAATCTGGATCAGGATAGATTATTGGATCTCGATGAATTGAGTAAATCATTATTGCCACTGAAGCTCCTCTGGGAATCTTGAATCCATCCAGGATAACCTCTTGATCCAGTTCACGAGCAATCATCGGTACTGGTGGAAACAAACGTAATCCTTCTTTAATACACTGATCCAAGTAATTAAATTTATGAATTTGATTGTAACTTAAATCATCTATATTATCGTCTAAAATTGAATTTATCTCAGCATGAATCTTGTCTTGTACCTCCGTGTGCAGACCTAGAAAAAAATGGATAATAATAGATTAAACAACAATTTGGCAAAACATCTTAATAGTGTGAGAATTGAAATGCTCCGCTGAGGTAAACATTAAATTCAATTCTGTTTAGTCGAAAGACAAAAAAGCAAAGCATGAACCAGAAAGAGCGAAACTTCGGACTCTTTGATGAGCGAACAATCTTCTTTAGTCGACACATTCGACGATGATCCGTTTACTCTTCGTGTTTCTGTTCAAATTACTTGTTTCATTAGAGACCATTAGCTTAATTACCTAATAAATAAATGATCCACATAATTGCAGTTCCAGTTGTCTCATAACCAGCAAACAGAAAGGTACTAATCTCTTCTTGGACACCTTCAAGATCAATTATTGGTTTACCATCATTTGCTGAAGGCTGAAGATGCTTTTCAAGTAATAAATCGAGAAATGCTTTCCTTTCACCGGTCATTTCCTTGTAATAACAACTTTCATCAACATTATTAACATTATTATTAGCATCATAATTACAAGAATCTTTCTGGTCGGCCTTTTCTAGTTCTATTGTTGATTTATCTCTCAAAAGCTTCAGCTTTGAATGAATAATTGAATGAGTAAAGTGTTCGAAATTTTGCAAATGTCTTCTAAAACTTTGACCCATTGGTGACTTTACGAATATCAAATCAACCCAAAGAAATGGATTGTAAATACGATGAGCTAGCTCTTTTGTCATCCAAGTTACAGCTTGAACAACTAATGAGCTTGGTTTACTTTGAGCTTCAGGTGATATTCCCATTGCCGTTTTGCAAATTATGTCCATTGAAGTTAAGTGAATGTAATCAACAATATTAACAGCTCTTTTGGAGGATGAGCTCGCTTCTCTGAACGATTTAACCAACATTGAAGCATTGTTGATCATCAACGGAATGAATTGGGATATAATCGTTGTGTTGAAAGCAGGACCAATCAAACGCCTACGATTTCGCCATTTGTCGCCTTTAGATGTGATCAGTCCATCTTTCATAAAAGGAGCAATAATTTTGTAAAAAAGTCCTTTATTAATGTGATGACGACTGGATAAAATTACCTGAAAGTTTGAATAAAAAACATATTTTAAGGATACAAATAAAAGAGTTAAATAAGCATTTTATTCCCGTAGTTTAGTGCATTGAAAAAGCTACAATAGCAAAATCACGAACACTTTCAACCTCAAAGTCAATCGAGCATAAAACTTTTCGGAATATCATGATTTATCAAGCAGTGCATGTAGGCTTGACTTCAAAATGATGCATCTCTCTGGCATATTAGAAAGTAGACAAAGAACAGCATCAATTGCATTCTGTAGATCATTTAAAACGCTATTTCACCAACAATCGGCTAGCAATTACTAACAAAACTTAGCACATCTAATGTACTCTATTGTAAAATAATAACAGAAACGATTAGTAACTTATTATTCATTATCCAGATAGAAATTTTTAGTGTCCATCGACGATCGAACATTATCTTCAATTCATCAATGGTTCTCTTGATTTTGTCTATTGGCTTTAAAACTTTGAGCATCGATGTCTTGCAAATGATAGCATCTACAACCGACAAGCAGCTATCAATCATTAGACTCTACAATGGGCTACAATACAATATGGCTGAATACCAGAGAAAATCTGACCTTATTCCTTCAATAACGAATATCCTTGTAACACATCAATATCTGTTTCAATCATCATTTACCTTTACAAATCAATCCGTCAACATAAGCAAAAGAATGCTAACTTTAGTAACTTTTAACTTTATGTGATCTTGAATGATCTTAACTCGTTGAACCATCTTGAAAGTCAAAGTTTTTCAGATTCTATTCAAATTATTATGCAAATGGCAATCGCAACTGGTATCGTTAAGTTAATTTGCGTTTTGGCAACTCGACTTAAAATGATTAATTTGAAGTTTTATGCATTTTCATGCTTCTTCTCAGTTTGTACTGAATCACAATGAAAGTGACAATGTTATAACAGCAAAACTGAGTCTGTAAGGACAATTAATAACGATTTAAATTGAATATTTAAGCAAAATCGAAAGATAAATTAGAATAAAAGCAATTAAAATGGAAAGGAAAAGACATTGAAAATACTAATTTAGATAACAATTTTAAATTAAGCCTGAGATCATGTTGATAATTTACGATAATGTAAATGAAAGATTCAATAATGATGCAGGAACTGCAAAGTAATCACCAATTTGAACAGAACATTAATTAGATTTGAGATGATAAAATCTGTTAACCCTGTCAGAGTAAGTTACTTAACCCTTGAGTTTTTTATTTGCAGCAAATAATCAATTTGACAAATCGCTCAATTACTAGCGATAAATTTAACGTAATGAAGGTGAAAACGGCATCAAGCCTGGCGATTAAACAAATAATTGAATGAATTTCTTTCTCAGCTCAATCGTCGACACAATCAAAAAATTCTGTGTGATAATTGACGAAACAAGTGAATAACAAGAGCCACGAGCAACGATTGAAAAGATGCATTCTTGATTAATCAATTGGCACACTTATTGCTATCAACAAATGATTAACTTGTTAATTGAAAGCAATAAGTTAAGGATTGCAATTGTATTGAATTCATTTTGGAGGTTAAATAGCAAATATGAACGTTGATCAATTTGATTAAATGTTAATTTTAAAATTGCAAATTTGATTGATCAAGATAACTACTGAAGTGACAGTTTTCAAGAAATCAAACAAAGTTGCAATTTGAGATCATTCAATATTATATTAATATCTTAATATCTGATTGTATCGCGAATCTATTAAAGTTATGATGTCTTTGATATCAAATTTTCGCATTTGTTTTCAGTCTTAAATTGCTTCAACTGCCATTTCCTTCTAAAGACCATTTCTTTTCAAAAATTAACTCAATTCATATTAAGCGTAATTCAAGTTTAACTTGCAATTAAGATGGTTTACTTTGCCCATTAAAGCTTTGAATCAGTGAATACTTAACAATTTAAACTGCTTTTGCTATTGTTTGCAATCAGTTTTGTCATTTAAAACCATTGTAGCGCAAAAATAGACGATTCAGAGGATCAAACCATGTCAAAATATCTAACTTAAAGAGTTTAGATTTATTGTTATTCTGGTCTGTGATTCTTGTCCTTTTAATAGTTTAGTGAGATTATGCCGAACTGGTCAAAACTAACTAAATATGAGTATGAATAGTGAGTATTAATGAGTTTAAGTAAAGTATCCTTTTGGGTTTGGGTTGCACTCAAGTAGGATTTCTTGGGACTTTTTTATTGTTGTTTTGGATATTTTAGGGAACTCTAATTTATAGCTAAATATTGCAATTTGTTAATGTGTCTTGATGTGCAATTTAACAGCTAATGAAAAGTAAAATGTGTTTCTTCTGGACTCAACTGTTGAAATGAATGATATTTATGATGAATGGTTCTGTTAACGGTCACTTCTCACACTTTGAGTGCAATCAACACTATCCACAAAGACAAATGTCTTTTGATACAATCTTAACGATTTATAAGAACTAAATTGATCATTATTTATTCGATTTCGCAGATTCGATGGTGAAAGCTACTAATTTGTCAATATACAGTCGTATCAATCAATTATTAAGTGGCTTCAGAGGTGAGAAAGTCTTTAAGTATTGAAATTGTACTTTTAATCAACTTGTTAACGAACAAACAAATCCTTTTAACACAAAACATCAAACACTGTCCACTGTAAATGCAACAAGTTATAACAAATTAACCATCTTGAAAGGGTTTAGATTGATTACTGATTGGATGTGTTGATGAAATTCATGGTAAGACGATGGTTGATGGGCAGAAAATTTGTGACTTGTTTATCTGAATCATGATAGAGATTATTTAAAGGTTTTTGGCTTATTGCTAGTAAACTCGTTCTCATAGCTCTTCATTCAATCAGCCTGAGGGTGAAAAGGGAAAGAAAATATTTGAATTGAGAAATTTATTTCTAAATTCAGTCATTATCTTAATAATTTCAACTTGTTATGATCTCTGGTTCAGATAAACTGATGATATTAACCTAAAACTTTGGTGCCTGCAAGTTTCACTTTGCTGTAGGTTGATAAATGGTTTGATAATGTTTGCAAAACGCTCGTTTATACAAAATCAAAGAGTCAGTTGACACACGACTGATCTGTTGATCAACAAGCAAACAACAAAAGTAACCTCAAATACTGATCATCATTGATATCATGATATTAATAGCTCCAATTTTCAAGTACTTTTATTATCGATAACTTGCCTGAGCAGTTTTGTGGTCAAGACACCAGACGACTGGATACCATCCAAGCCATAAAACACCAATGCCACTTTTGGCTCGTTTCCTACGAGAAATGAAGTATTCGGTCGTATCTCTAAGTGGAGCTACATTTTTGAGAAAAATAAAGTTAAGATTTCTTTATTAACCAGTTAATTGCCAGTTTGTGAACTGATTCGTGAATATCAAATAGTGTAAGCTAGAAAAAAAGATTGAAATCGAATGTAACTAATCTACAAAAAATAGGCAATGAAATCATGATCGTCGAGTGATGTTTTCATTTCGAAGCTAAAATTTGTAAAAATTGCAATTCTTTACTTTTGCGCTAACCTTTATTTAGTATCGAAAGTCTACTTACTTGATTTACTTTTTATTGCTGATTTTGAGATGAATGGTGAAAAGGTTTTCCAAGATGAACGCATTACAAACTGGTGCAGATCACCAAAGATAAAGTTGGTCTTCTCTTGAGGTAGACCTTTGAATTTGCTCAAAAATATAAGATATTTGATTATTTTGTACAATATAATAGTGATTAAAGCTACAAAAGTGCCTTGAACGATGGAGGTGGTTGTAAGGAAGTGACTCGAAGATGTAAACATTAGATGAGTTGAACTCCACATCGAAAATGCATAAAGTCTAATACAAATTGTTGGACAGTTTGCGAAAAATGTAAATCGATTGGTATTCCAAATTTGGTCAGATAAAAGCACTGTTTGTCAATGAATGAATAAAATGATGGTAATACAAAATAATGAGTTTCTGGTAAGCCTCGGATTGGGTTAAATATAAACCATGGAAAAATGTACCAAAGCAAGGTTTCAGATGACTATTATACTGTTATTCAATACTAGATGTTCGTTAAGTTTTTTAACACCTAACTGGGATTTAACACGATTGTACAAAATTGTAAAAAGATTAACTTGACAGTTATACAAAAAATTTTTCGTTGGAAGCACAAAGCATAAAATTAGTTCATTTCTACTGAGCAATTAATTCTTTCGATTTCCTAAGGAGGAGGGAATTATTTATGAATCCTTTTGAGTATATTTTCATTGGCATGCTGATTGCATCTAAATGGCTTGGAATAACTGTGTCAAAGACAGTGCTGATAGCCTGTGCTTTCATGATAATTAGCTCATCACAAGAACATAAACACTTTTCTCTCTCTCTCTCTCTTTTACTCGAAGTTATCTCGATTTATCTTTTACTTTTGTTTTTGGTTTTACGGCAATCGATCGTATAATGATAAGCATCAGATAGCCTGGTAAGGGAAGCTAGGCACCAAACTGGCTCAAGTTTGCTGGTCAAGGAAGACTAAATATTGTGATAATCACGTTAAGTATGAAAACCTGGTTCATGGAAACTAACCGAAGCCAGTCCATCAGTTCACTTTTACCAAATCAAGCAATATTGTGATAGCGATTTCGATACTTTCAGTTTTTCAAATCCACTTCAATCATTAGCATGAAATATTGGTTCTGGTGTCAAACTCAATGGGATTTTAAAACATGCAGAGAAATACCATTCTCCATTTGTTTGAATAATCATGACTTTTCAAAGCAGAATTAAATAAATATTAATCAACTTTAGAATAGATTCCATTCAATTTTAGGAAACCATGGCCGTGAAATACACGAGACGAGAAAGTAAACGAATAAACAATTTAGACAAATTGAACTAACGAACACTAATATTCAATCGCGATTGAATAAACAAAGTTGTTTACAATTTATAAATAATTTTATTGCAGTTTATTTGATTTGAATACATTTAGGAAAAGGCAATGAATAGTTTGGATACAATTGTACAAATAAATTTCTTGTTATAAATTTGAGTTTGGACCAGATTCGGATAATTATTGAGAATATACTTTGAATATGAAAATACATTTCTTGTCCTTTGATTTCTTCACCTTCTTTACGTGGTAAACTTTCCTGGGCAATTTGACTCGTTTGTATAAAAAGGCGGGTACTGTTGTCGGCGTTGCTGTGGTTGTCGTGGTTTTATGTTTTTTCACCTTCTTTTGCTTGAAAACAGCAACTGGCTCAATCACATCTTTTTCAATCACTTTGTATGACTTATCTTTGTGTGGAGCAACGTAAGGAACTTCAGCAACGTATGGAACTTCAGCAGCGTCTGTTGGAGGTATTTTTAGGCGACGAAATGGCAGTTTTGTTGGCTTATAAACTGGAGTGGTCGATTGGTCATATCCACGATGATCGGATTTGTCTTCTTCTTCAGTATCATCATAATCGTCATCGTTAGCGCTAACATAGCTGAAGATGATGAATGATATGCACAATAAATAGATGAACTTCATTTTCACAAAAGTAACGATCAAAGTTAGATGATTGAATGAGGAAAGGTCAAAGAGACTAGAGTCGAAAGACTAGTGAATACACAAACAATGTTGACTTGTCAAGATGAAAGTTGAGAGTGATTTTCATTGACAATTTTGGCCCTTTATATACCATATTTTGTCCGACTTAAACGGGTTAAAACAAAGGCTTTGGGTGAACCAGGATTAAGGATTCACTAACAATACTGGTCGAAAAGGTGATCTTGTTTTAAACGTTTTATCTTTGGACATGACCATTAGGCTAGAGTTAGATTGAAAGAATGATCCATAAAAATCTTTGTTAAACAGGTTTGTAAAACTCTTTAGTCCATAGTAAAGCTTATTTTTTTCGAGCACTTTACCAATTCAATTATTCATTCAAAGTTGATTCAATTGAAGGATAAATCAACGAGAGAACCAAAAATGCCGATGCGAAAGATTCTTGTAATTATGATGCTAATAATAATGTTAATAATGGTGATAGCGGTTGTTATTACGCGGAAATTACCTGTGAAAGAAAAGCATTTCTCGATTTATTGCTTGAAAAGCATCTTCAGCCTTCAGCAAATACTGGTAAACCAATAATTGATCTTGAAGGTGTCCAAGAAGAGATTAATTACTTGAGCGCAGCATTTCAATTCTCACTCTAAAACTATTGAGATATTTAATCAAATTGTTGTTTAATCTTATATTATTATTATAATATCCATTTTTTTTAGGTCTGCACACGGAGGTACAAGACAAGATTTATGCTGAGATAAATTCAATTTTAGGTGACAATATAGATGATTTAAGTTACAATCAAATACAAAAATTTAATTACTTGGATCAGTGTATTAAAGAAGGATTACGTTTGTTTCCACCAGTACCAATGATTGCTCGTGAACTGGATCAAGAGGTTATCCTGGATGGATTCAAGATTCCCAAAGGAGCTTCAGTGGCAATAATGATTTACACAATTCATCGAGATCCAATAATCTATCTTCATCCAGATTCATTCAATCCTGATCGATTTGATTCAGATCACATTTCTTCGATACAGTGATCTCTCTCTTAAGTTCTTTTTCCTTTCGGTCGACCGGCTGTCTACCAGCCTACGGCTTATACAAGCGCCGTGTGTCCCTAGTGACTTGAGAGGGCGAACTCTCAAGTGCTGGGCTTTAACCAGCTGGTTAGGGTGTCAGAGGGGAAGAGGAAGGTGGATAGTTCAGGGGGTCTAAACCCTGGTAAGACTCACTGTACTTTTGCCCGGAACCAGGACTTGGCGAGATTCGAACGCTAACCCCAAGATGCAAGAAACAACATATGAAGGCTAGCAATCTTATCGCTTAGGTTAACCCATTAGGCTACCTTAAGTTCCCCTCAAACGGCAGTAGTTACTAGGCAACTTAAGGCTAGAAAAAGAGACCTTCTCCTCTGTCTCTTTCTATTTCTCTTCCTTTTTCAAATATTTGAGGAGGAACTTAAGAGAGAGACTAATGTACCAGCTTATGCATATATGGTGGTACAGTAGTCTCTTTCAGTGCTGGTCCAAGAGTTTGCATTGGTCAACGATTTGCTTTCATTGAAATGAAAATCATTTTAATACAAACCATCAAACATTTTCGTCTCATTTCAACGTCTTTTTTCAATTATTAATTCAAAGTTGATTCAATTGAGAGATAAATCAACAGTCCAACGAACAAATGCCGTCGACAAAGATTTCGACGAAGAGTCAAACATCGTCAAATATGTCGACTAAGGAAGATAGCTCGGAAAATAGTTCAAAGCTTTGCTCTTTCTGGTTCATGCTTTGCTTTTGAAGTTGTTTGACTAAACAGAATTAAAATTAATGTTTACTTGAGTGGAGCATTTCACACTAAAACTATTGAGATATTTATTTCACCATTGATATATTGAATACAAAATGCTGGTTCATTTTAAACAATTTCATCAGTCATTTGATCAGCGAAATAATGAAACATGTTTTGCTTTTTGAAATTTATTTTATTTTATCACAATATTGCATTTGATAGATCGGAATAAACATAGTAAAGTCATTCATTTAAATAGTTTCAAATCATTTTTAATATACAATCGCACAGATTTAATAATTTTGGTTATTGTTTAAACAAATCAAAGGTACTAATAGGGAACGATTATTTTGCTGTTATTTTGTATTCTTCCAGAGCATTTATTAGACTGGTTCTGCGGTCGTTTTTATTGTTTTATTTTTAACCATTTTAACAACTTTGTCTCTTGATCTGCCAGTGATAAGAGCATTCCGTAAAAGGTCATACCCAGTGCGTCCATGAAATCGCCCAGAGATTGTTTAGTTGAATCGCTCACGACTTTTACCCTTTTAAAAATGGAAGGTTTTGGAGTTACTTGCTCTTTTATCACTGGATAAACTGGTGGTGGACGAGTTGGAAGAATCTCTGATTTCCTCTTGTAGATAATGTTATCACTTTGTAACGAAGATTCATAAAATTCATCGGAAGAAAGATAATCGGATTTGAAAGGAAGAGCTTGAACATAACTAAAGATGATAAATGATATACACAATAAATGAATAAACTTCATTTTCACAAATTTAAAGATTGAAAGGAAGATAATAGATTGAAGAAGAATTGAAGAGACCAGAGTTGAACTGCTAGTGAATATACAACAAAGTTTCAAGATGAAAGTTGAGAATGGTTTCATTGAAATATTCATTCCTTTATATACCACATTTTGTCTGACTTAAACGGCTTAAAACAAAGTCTTTGGGTCAACCAGGATTAATAATTGACCAAAAACAATATTGATTGACAATGCTTAAGGTGTTCACGGAATCTTGTTTTAAACGTTTTATCTTCAGATATAGCCATAAGGCTAAAGTGAGATTCGAAGAATGATCCATGAAAATCTATGTTAATCAGGTTTGGTTATGATTGCTGATCCATGGTTGTTATTACCAGAAAGACACAATTGTCACATTTATGCACAAATTGACACACATTGACACAATTGGGCAAAAATCGGTTAGAAATTATCCAAAATCAAGACCAATAGGCCAAAATCCAGATAACTATTGATAAATTGAAAAAGTATTCAATGCATGATGTTAACCATCAATTTTTATCGGCAGATAATAACTTACAGCTCGGTAACTCTTTTCTTCACATAAACAATTCGGTTCAAATGAAAATCGAAGTGATCTGTTTTACAGAAAATAGAAAATTTCATTTCCCAAAATAAGTGTATTTTCTGGTTAATCATCAAAAGTAACACCAGTAAAATAAGTTTCATGAAAAAGTCTACTTCCATAATTGTACAAAAAACGATCGAAGTTTCAACTTTGGACTCGGTTTCTTCTAAAACTATTGATCAGAAATTTTTTAATGCCACAAATGAACTCAGTTTTTATTTCTCTACGAACCATATTTGAATTTGGTTTGAATTTGGAAGAAATCTATTTCTACCCGATTTTTACCCATTTGTGCCAATGTGTGTCAATTTGTACATAAATGTAACAATTGTGATGATTGTGTCTTTTTAATAGTAACAATCCTGATCCATCATCAAGTCAAACTTTACTACAACGAGCCCTGACCATGCTAAAATGTTAATAATTAATAACATCAAATATCTGATCATTTATTCATTTCAACTATCGCTTTTAGGACCCGCTTTATATTGGGAATTTTCGCACCTTTTGTCAAAAGCAAAGGAGCAATTATTGGCTATTTAGCTGGTCAAATTACTTGTGTTTGGATTGTCATAGGAGGATTAGTTATTAAACGTCCAATGCTTTCACTTGAAGTCTCCACTGAAGGTTGTCCAGCCAATACTACTTATCTTGAACCTGGCTTACTTGTGTCTCAACTCAAAGACTACAGGATACCAGAATATTATCCTGAAGGAATCGCCAAAATTTATCACGTATCTCATTTCATTATACCAGCAATAGGATTTCTGGTGTCACTTATTGTTGGTATACTCTTTAGTCTTTTAACTGGTTGCAATCGAGACAAATGTGTTAATCCTGATTTAGTATTGCCTTGTCTTCGGAAATATTGTTGCGTGAAAAATGATCCTAAAAAATGTAATCAATTTAAGAAACATCAGATGAAACAGAACGATATTTCGGAAACCATTCCAATGAAATCCTGAATTGAAAAACATGTCCAATATTACAAATAACTAGATGGAAGTGTATTTTATACTTGAATTGAATGTACAATAGTAAAGACAAGAATAAAAGTTCCAAATGAAACTGTCCAAGTTACTCTTCATGTTGTTGTGCCTAAACATATTTAATTGTGATACTACTCAAAATTGAATTGCTTTTATGCTGATTTCAATTCCATAGTTCAAATAATAGAAAGCGATACAATCTAAAAACTAGAAACACTAATATTGAAACGCGAATGAAAAAACAAAAGTTGTATACAATTTATAAATATTTTTATTTTAGTTTGTTTGATTTGAATACATTTAGGAAAAGGAAATGAATAGATTGATTACAATTGTACAAATAGATTTCTTGTTATAAATTTGAGTTTTAGGACTAAATGTGAATAATCATCCAAATAATGCTTTTCTTATAAGCTTGCAGTCCTTGGACAATGGTTTCTCCACATTCTTGTGGACAATCTTCTTGAGTATTTTGGCTCGTTTGTACACTACGTAGGGTTCGGGTGTTGTGGTTTTGGGTTTCTCCACTTTTTCCGGCTTCTTTTGCTTGATGGAAGCTATTTTATCTTTCACTCCCTTTTCGATCTTCTGCTTAACTGAGAATAACCTATCCATCAAAGAAGGAACAGTAGTAACTATACTTTCGTATGCTGGTTCAACTTTTGATGGAACCACTGGCGACTTTTCATCTGGAGTTGAAACTTGGTAATATTCACGGGGTCGAAAACTGAGTTCGGCAGCATCATCAAAACCATCAAAAGGTTCTTCGGCCTTAACATAGTTGAAGGTGATGAATGATAAACACAATAAATAGATGAACTTCATTTTCACAAAAGCAAAATTGAAAGGTAATAGATAATAGATTGAAGTAAGGTCGAAGAGACTAGAGTCGAAAGACTAGTGAATACAAAAACAATGTTGACTTGTCAAGATGAAAGTTGAGAATGATTTTCATTGACAATTTTGGCCCTTTATATACCATATTTTGTTCGACTTAAACGGGTTAACTCAAAGGCTTTGGGTGAACAACGATTAAGGATTCACTAACAATACTGGTCGAGAAGGTGATCTTGTTTTAAACGTTTTATCTTTGGACATGACCATTAGGCTAGAGTTAGATTCAAAGAATGATCCATAAAAATCTTTGTTAAACAGGTTTGTCAAACTCTTTAGTCCATAGTAAAGCTTATTTTTTTCGAGCACTTTACCAATTCAATTATTCATTCAAAGTTGATTCAATTGAAGGATAAATCAACGAGAGAACCAAAAAATGCCGATGCGAAAGATTCTTGTAATTATGATTCTAATAATAATGTTAATAATGTTGATGACAGTTGTTATTACAAGGAAATTACCTGTGAAAGAAAAGCATTTCTCGATTTATTACTTGAAAAGCATCTTCAGCCTGCAGCAAATGATGGTAAACCAATAATTGATCTTGAAGGTGTCCAAGAAGAGATTAATACTTTTCTGTTTGCTGGTTATGAGACAACTGGAACTGCAATTATGTGGATCATTTATTTATTAGGTAATTAAGCTAATGATTTCTAATGAAACAAGTAATTTGAACAGAAACACGAAGTGTAAATGGATCATCGTCGAATGTGTCGACTAAAGAAGATTGTTCGCTCATCAAGGAGTCCGAAATTTTGCAATTTCTGGTTCATGCTTTGCTTTTTTGTGTTTTGACTAAACAGAATTGAATTCTTACACTAAAACGATTGACATATTTAATCAAATTGTTGTTTAATCTTATATTATTCATTTATTTTCTAGGTCTGTACGCGGAAATACAAGACAAGATTTATGCTGAGATAAATTCAATTTTAGGTGACAATATAGACGATATATATATTTAAAATACAATGAAATTCATCAAATTAATTACATTTGGATCAATTACATTTGTATTTGGATCAGTGTATTAAAGAAGTGTTGCGTTTGTTTCCACCAGTGCCAATGATTGCTCGTGAACTGGATCAAGAGGTTATCCTGGATGGATGCAAGATTCCAAAGGAGCTTCAGTGGCTATAATGATTAACACAATTCATCGAGATCCACTAATCTATCTTCACCCAGATTCATTAAATCCTGGTCGATTCGATTCAGATCACATATCTTCGATACCAGCTCATGCATTCATTCCTTTCAGTGCCTCTCGATGTGATTTTCATTCCTCGAAACAGTGATTGTAATGATACATGCAATAACTCACATAGTTGCCTAAAGTAAATCCAAGTGCCATTCATTGATTCGACATTTTGACAATTGTAGAAAAACCAGAAATACCTAAATTACCTGTTTTTTTGGGTTTAAAGATTTATTTTTTAAATTTCTAACTTGCTATCTTACAACTGTTACAGTAATCTCTCTAAGTGCGAGGTTACCAGGGTAACGGTCTATTCATACAGTCGATACAGAAATCTATTTAAGCTGAAAATTCTAGTTTAATTTAACTTGAAAAAAGCCACAAATGAAACATTACTTAAATACTAAGTAATCTATGAAATCGCGAAAAATATTCGTGAAAAACGAACGAATTGAACATGAGAAAGATTTGCCTTGAAAATAGACAAACCGTTAAGCTCACAGCCTCATTTTGAGAGGGATTTCTGTAGGTGCAGAATGGTTACACTCAAACCTCTCAGTTATTCATGCGATTAAATCGAACACATTTTGTGTACTTGCAAATAGTTTACATTCAACATTTCCCAGTTAATAAAAATGTCATTTAAAAACACGTGAAACACAAACGAAATTGCGTGGTCAGAATTTTCCTTGGAAATAAGACAGAGCTTTAACCAGAGTCTCATTTTGAGAGGGATTACTGTAAGTACAGAATTGTTACACTTGAAACCTTTCATTACTCATCTCATTATTTTTTATCAGATATTCAATCGAACATTTTTTGTGTACTTGCCTGTCGTTTTCACTCAAAAATTACTCATAATTTGTCAGTTACTAGTCAAATGTTTATATAAAGCTCCATTTTGGAAAATATTTTCATTTTAGTTTTATTGTTTCCAGCTTAGTTTGTTTTTAATGTTTTTTATAAAAACTGTGTAAGGAGAGTTACATATGCATGTTTGCATAGCCACTGGACATTAGCCTTGTGATATAACTAGATGGTCCACAACCTTGACGAGGCCTTACTGAATGAAAGAGACTCCATTTATCTTTCTTTCTTGTTTCTAACTTCAAAAACATTATAATTCGTTGTTGAAACTCTGGTTGCAAAGCTATTACAGCCACAGTTGCTTCAAAAATATTATTTATAATTGTCAAATTTTCCACAATTACATTTTCATGCAAAAAGTTATGTCTTTATTGGATAATTTTCAGGTTTCTGAGCCTCTAGTTAACGCTTTGATTGGAATTGCCCTCTTCTGGTTGGTAAAGTATTTGTTTAATACAATAAAAAGGATTCGTTCATTACCGCCTGGTCCTTGGGGTCTTCCTATTGTTGGCTATTTGCCTTTTCTTGGTGATCATGTTTACCTTCAGTTTGACCAATTGTCAAAAAAGTATGGACCAGTTTATTGTTTAAAATTGGGTTCTTTCGATGTGGTCTTCGTTTGTGATTGGCCTCACATGAAAGAGGCTGTTTCCAATGATGCCTTACTTGCTCGACCGCATGCAGCTTTTTTCCCTGGTGCTGTTGATGACCGTTCATTTGGTGAAATGTCAGGTAACCCATGGCGGGAACATAGACGTTTATCACTACATATTTTACGTGATGTCGGTCTTGGTACGAGCACGCTTGAAACATTAGTTAAAGAAGAGATTGACCAGTTTCTTACAACCTTGGACAATGATGGTAAACCTGTTGATTTCAAAAAAAAGATTTCCCACTCTATAGTAAATAACATCTCAATTTTATTGTTTGGCCATAAATATGATCATGATGATCCTGCTGCTATCGCAATTTCAGCAGCAAATGAAGAAATCGGAAGTAGTCTTAACTTCGCTGGTGTAATGGCTTTTCTACCATGGTTGACGACCATTGTGTTTAAATTTAAATTGTTCAATTTAGCCAAGGTGTTAAAGTGCTTTCAAATCGTCGATTCACATATTCAAGATGAAATTGATAAACATCAGGAAAAAAATTCTCAAGAAGTTGTAGACTACATTGATGGTTATCTTGCTGAGATGAAAAGGAGAGAGAAGCAAACCAAAGTGGACGATAATTTCTCAATCGATATATTGAGACGCAATGCTGCTTCATTTTATGGAGCTGGAACTGAGACTGTAGCAAGTACAATGGAATGGGTAATGATATATTTAGTCAAATATCCAGAGTATCAAGATAAAATACGTTCAGAGATAGCTGATGTTATTGGATTTGAAAGAAGACCAGATTTCGTTGATAGAAATAGGATGCCGTTTACAATGGCTTTCATTCATGAAGCACACCGAATTGGTTCCGTTGTTGCAAATAATCTACTCAGGAGAGCATCGAGTGATACAAAAATCGGCAATCACAATATACCCAAAGATTCTTTGGTTATCTTCAATTTCTGGTCAATTAATCGGGATCCTAAACTGTGGCCCAATCCAAATAAATTTGATCCAACTCGTTTCCTTACTGAAGATGGCACTAAAGTTGTTAAACCACCTTATCTTATACCTTTCGGTGCTGGTAAAAGGAACTGTCCAGGTGAAAGTTTAGCTAATGTTGAATTGTTTTTGTATATAGTTTGTATAATACAAAAATATCGTGTCAAAGTTAAACCAGGAACAGAAATATCAACTGAAGCATCTTTTGGTTTATCAAGACGTCCATCTGAGCTACCAACTTTAATTTTTGAGAAAATTTCCAATTCTGACTGAAGTTAAATATATGTCATGTTAAAATTTTTGTATCTAAATGAAATCAATGTTATGTAATGACACATGTAATGTATAACACAAGGCTCTGGGTGATAAAGTCGATGATAATTTCACCATTTATATATCGAATACACAATTCTGATTTACTTTAGACAATTTCATTTTTCATTTGATCAGCGAAATGATTAAACATGCTTTGCTTTTTGAAATACATTTTATTTTATCACAATATTGCCTTTAATGTTTCGGAATATACATAGTAAAGTCATTCATTGAAATAATTTCAAATCATGTTTAATATACAATTGCACAAACATAATTATTTTGGTTATTGTTTGAACAAATCAAAGGTACTAATAGGAACGATTATGTTGCTGTTATTTTGTATTCTTTCAGAGATTTGATTGGGACAGCTTCTGTTTTTTTTGTTCTTTTTTCGCCCTTAGATGTTTGACAAGAGTATCGAGAAATACAAAAGCGTCCAGGCCAGTGCGTCCCTGCAACCACTCAAAAATACTTTAGTTGAATCGCTCACGGCTTTTACCATCAGCTTTACCCTTTTAAAAATGGAAGGTTGTGGAGTTACTTGCTCTTTTATCACTGGATAAACTGATGGTGGACGAGATGGAAGAGTCTCTGGTTTCTTCTTGGACAGGTATACAGTGTTATCCCTAAGTATTGGGTGAGTCTCTGATTTCCTCTCAGACAGGTAGACAATGTTATCACTATGCAACGAAGATTCATAAATTTCATCGGAAGAAAGCGAATCGGCTTTGAAAGGGAGAGCTTGGACATAATTGAAGGTGAATGATATACACAATAAATATATGAACTTCATTTTCACAAAAGTGAGGATTGAAAGGAAGATAATAGATTCTAGAAGAATTGAAAAGACTAGAGTTGAATTGCTAGAAAATACACAAACAATGTTTGAATTTCAAGACGAAAGTTGAGAATGGTTTTCATTGAAATATTCATCCTTTATATACCATATTTTGTCTGACTTAAACGGCTTAAAACAAAAGCTTTGGGTGAACCAGGATTGTTAATTTATCTGAAACAATATCGTTTGACAATGTTTAAGGTGTCAGAATGTTCATGAAAATCTAGTTAAACAAGTTTGCCGAACTCTGTAGTCCATAGTAAAGCTGATTTTTTAAGTCTGAGATTGTTTAGTGAACGATTGAACAAGTTTTAGGGATTTAGGTTTGGTGAAAATATATTCAAATGGTTCAATTTGCTGATTTGATTGGATTTAGGTTTGGTGAAAATATATTCAAATGGTTCAATTTGCTGATTTGATTGGATATTTATTGTGATTAATCAGTAGGATTCATTTTAGAATAAAATAATAGGTTCAAACCTAGTTGAGTTGATTAGTATTTAGTACGAGATGTACACTTTGAAAATTGATCTTTGGTTTCAATAAACATCGATCGTTTTTAAAATAAAAAACCCGTAATTATATCAGTGATCAACAATTGAATGAAGAAATTATAAATTATAATTTGATTGTTTTCCAAATTCTGTCTAATTTTTACAGTGATTGAAACTTGGGATTGTTCAGATCAGAAACTTTTCTCTCGGTTTTGTTAAACTTATCTATTTCATCCTCAATCCAGTTTTAAACTGCTTCGGATCAAAGTTTCACTGGGTTAGTAAAGGTACTAATGGTCATGTATTTGTCAATTTTGTTGATTTTAACAAAGTTGAACAAAGGGATAAGCGTTAAGATGGTTAATTTGAAAAAAAGGTTTATTTTGAGTGCAAAAGTGTGAATAGAGATTAATCACAAACATTACAGAAAATGTAAAATATAACTTAAATTTGGTAAACCACAATTTTCTATTCGATTTCCGTTGGTCACTATGATTACCATAGTTGAGATGAGATGGAAAAATGCAGTTTATATTGACATTATGATTAACTTCAAAAAAATCTTGAAGCGGCCTCCAACCTCAATTGAAAGGTCATCGAAAGCAGTCATTTCAGCCGAATTTAGATAGACAAGCTCAGCACATTTTGAGAAGTTTTTATTCGAGCCCAATCAATAAGGTATGGGCTCTAAAGTTTGTCAGTATATTTATTTGAATTTAACAGGTATTTAATTCCAAATTCATTATTTTTTGGAGATAATTATTAATAGTGGACCATGTTCAGCAGCTCTGACTATTTTTTCACTAAATTTTAACTTAAATACTTTATTAAATTCAAATACCTATGCACCATTATACTGACAAACTTTAGGGCCCATACCTTACTCAACTTAATCTAAAAACTAGAAACACTAATATTGAAACGCGAATGAATAAACAAAAGTTGTATACAATTTATAAATATTTTTATTTTAGTTTATTTGATTTGATTACATCTAGGAAAGGGCAATGAATAGTTTGATTACAATTGTACAAATAATTTTGTTATAAATTTGAGCTTTAGGACCAGATCTGAATAATTATCCAAATAATGCTTCTTCTATTTTTCTGCATTTCATGGACTTCTTTGGTTTCTTCACCTTCTTGTTGACAGTTTTCTTGTGTACTTTGACTCTTTCGTATACAACGAAGGGTTCGGGTGTTGTGGTTTTGGGTTTTTCGACTTTTTCCAGCTTCTTTTGCTTAATTGAAGCCACTTTATCTTTCATGTCCTTTCCGAACTTCTTCTTAGTCTGAACAACCTTCTTCTTGAATTGGTCGGCCTTCTTCTTGACCTTGTCAACTTTATTTTTCAAGTCCTTTTTAGCTTGGCCAAGTTTATCTTTTAACGAGGGAATGGTGGAAACTTCAACATCGTATGTTGGATAATCATTTGGTGGACGAGGTGGAAGTATGGGTTGCTTATCTGGAGTTGACGATTCGTAATATTCACGGGGATGTAAGCTATTTTCAGCATCATCAAAATTGTCTTCTTCTTCAGCCTTAACATAGTTGAAGATGATGAATGATAAACACAATAAATATATGAACTTCATTTTCACAAAAGTAAAATTGAAAGGTAGAAATAGATTCACGAAAATGGAAGAGACTAGAGTCTAAAGACTAGTGAATACACAAACAATGTTGACTTGTCGAGATGCAAGTTGCGAATGATTTTCAGTGAAAATTTTGTCCCTTTATATACCACATTTTGTCAGACTTAAACGGGTTAACACAAGGCTTTGGGTTAACCAGGATTAATAATTGGCCTAAAACAATATTGATTGACAATGCTTAAGGTGTTCTCGAAAAATCTTGTTTTAATCGTTTTATCTTGCACCTTGCTCATAGGACATGAATTGGATTTACCCTGTGCTCAATTAGCCCTAAAATACAAAGAATTTCAAATTCAAGAAACTTTAACTGATTTACAGACTTACAGGCATTAATTCAACCACTTATAATTCAAGTTCCAATGAATCTTCATCATTGTAAAATTAAACATTTGCAATATTTTTGGAGTCACTCTTGTGTTCATACTCTAGCATTGTCGCCTTCGTGAAACAAAATTTTTTGGTTATTTTAAATTGTCGTGTTTTGATAATACGACGGTAATTGTTTACTAATATTTAAATATCCAGTGTATCTATTGGGTTCATCAATAGTTTGATTTTTCTATTGTTTTTGTGTATAAAATTGAATTGAGACAATTAACACTATTCCATGCATTCCTGTATATCAGAAGAAATGGTTTACTCTCTCAAAAGACCAGCTTATGAACGTCAAATCAAAACCAGACAAAAAAATCTCATAATTTAAAGATATTTTTTCAGCCTTTTGTATGAATTTGTAATTTCAATGATAGACATTTCAGCTTTCCAGTGCTATTTGTAATTTTATTGGACTAATAATAAATCAAAATATATTAAATAAATTAAAAACAGATTGCTATTAGTTTTGGCGGCCTCTTGTGTCGAATGCATGAAATATGTTTTGTTTTTAAATTTTGCTGTGAAAACACGTGTTTATTTTGAGGCTTCTCTTTCACTTCATACATGTGTGTAACATTTTCAATTAATTGTTTTGTTTGTTCATTTATCTTTTAATTTCTCCAAAAATGCCAAAATTTAAGAGTAAAACACCAAAAGAACGCCATGATGGTTTACAAAAACAGAGTATAACCTTCAATAAGGACCTAGGACAGCATATCCTTAAAAATCCTCTGGTCATTGATAATATGGTTGAGAAGGTAAATAAATCTATTTTTCAAGATGCTATTTATTTCTATTATGAACGTTTATTAATTTCATCTTATCTTCTAGGCTGCCTTGAGGCCTACTGATGTTGTGCTGGAAATAGGTCCTGGTACTGGTAACATGACAGTCAAAATATTACCACATGTTAAAAAGCTGGTAGTTTGTGAAATAGATATTAGATTGGTTGGTGAATTAGAGAAACGTGTCCAAGGAACACCTTATCGATCCAAATTGAATATCTTGATTGGTGACGCATTAAAGACAAAATTTCCTTTTTTTGACGTTTGTCTTGCCAACATACCTTACCAAATATCATCTCCATTGGTTTTCAAACTTCTTCATCATCGCCCCTTTTTCAGATGTGCTATTCTTATGTTTCAAAAAGAATTCGCACAAAGGTTGGTTGCTAAACCAGGAGACAAACTTTATGGTCGTTTAGCAGCTAATGTTCAACTTTTAGCTCGAGTTGACATTGTTATGAAAGTTGGAAAGAATAACTTCAAGCCTCCACCAAAAGTTGAATCCAGTGTTGTCAGAATTGAACCAATCAGTCCGCAGCCAGATATAAACTTGAAAGAATGGGATGGAATGCTGAGACTCGTTTTCTTACGAAAAAACAAAACTATTGGTGCAATATTTCGTCTAAAAGCTGTGATTGATTTAATGGAAAAAAATTATCGAGTTTATTGTAGTTTAAAAAATATCAAACTTGACGACAATTTCAGTTGCAAAGAAATGGTGGAAAAAGTTTTGGAAGAAAGTGGATTCCAAGAATCTCGTGCTAGGTCCATGGAAATAGATCAACTTCTTGTACTTTTGTGCGCTTTCAATTCTAAAGGCTTCCATTTCGTTGCCTAATTCACCTTTGATTAAAATTAAATCAAAATTTGTACATAAAATTTTATTTATGCTACTATAATTATAAACGTTTATTGGTAAAAAAATTTACTAGGTAATTACATTTGCTGTACAGGTTCAATTTTAATGAGACTGAGAACTTGATGTAAAACGGATCGAATCTTATTGATCATTACTATCCTTGCATTGGCCAACGGTAAACTCTTCTCATTGATCTCAGTTATTACTCTCGTGAAATTGTAATAAATAGAGATACAATTAACAAACGTATTGATAAAATAAGGTATTTTATGAATGGCAATGGGATTTGGTTTTAAAACTTCGCTCAAAAGAACTGGATATTTGGCTATAAAATTATAAATAAGATTCCATTCGTGATTACTTTTAAGAAGATTCAAATTAACGTCCGTCAAAGGTAATGGAGTAGCTAATTGGTTGAATTTATTTGTAATACCAACCAGACGTGCATAATTGTATTGAATGAAAAGAGCTTCTTTATATTTGTGTAAGTCCAATTTGTGAAATACTTTAGGCGATATCGAAGTAATGATATAGCGAAGACAAGTCTCGATAAGACAATCGCCTTGCTGATCCATACATTCAGTTTCTGATTGTTTTTTGATAACTGACCTCCAATGATCTTTGATTTCGGTTAAACTCAAATCACTTGTTATGTCTGCAATGGGAATGAAACTTATTTGGCTGAGTTTAGAGATGCAGGAGTTTAAAATGCTCCAAGAGGTAATTGCTTTTTCACCAATTTTCCAATCATTGATATGAATCAAGATAATTATCCTGCACGTATCTGATTTTAAATCTTCTGGAACTATTGATTCGTTAAATAGGAGCATAAGATTCATCAATCTTGACCCAGGCTCAATAGAAAATTGTGTTTCATCTAAATCGAATGGAATATTTGCTTTATGTTGAGTGATATCTATTGCAAGAGGTTCTTTCCGGTCAAATAGAGGATCGTTTGTAGGTTGGTCAGTGGTTTCGAGATAATTGGCTCGTCGGATGGATGTTTTACCTCCAGTTGCTTCAATTAAAGATACAAGTGTCTCCTCGATGTACTTGAAACGTAAACGTGTCAATTCCTTGAAGCTATTCTTCTCAGTGTTCAAAAGAATTGTCGATTGATATCCTGAGTCGTTTTGAATTACAAACTCTTCTCGTAATAACAAAGGAATAGCTACATCACGGTTAATATTGAATAAGATTGATTTACCGGAAACTTTAAAATCACTCAACGGTAATTCCCATGATTTACTTTGTTCAACAATATGCGATCCAATTGGTTCAAGATCATTATGCCAACAGGAAAATACAGGATTAGATAAATTAAGAGTAACATCATTTTTACCCTTAAATCCATCCGAAACAATCGAGGAGCCAATATAATCAGTTAACTGTGGATTGCCAGGTAAGCCAAGAGTTGACGTAGCCAATAGGAGATTAGAGATAAGATCATTTTTAAGTTTAATAATCGACATTGTCACCAAAATACAATCAAACGTTTAACAACAAGTTAGATAAAACTATGGGATAGTAAATGAACGAGGATAATCAGAAGAGACAAGTAACAATTTAAATAACCAGGAAAGTAACTGATTTTGCTTTGCCATAAGAACCAAAACAACATGTAAACAAAATGGTAACCAAGACCAGAGAATAGTGTAACATTTAGTTCAAATACCATATTGAATCCTTTAATTTGTTACTTTACATTTGGACTTAAATGTTGATTTATGCTATAATAAAGTTTAAATTTTGGCAAATTATTGTCAAAATCATTTTCTTATATTCGGAAAAATGGCAAGTGATCAATAAATACTGTCATTACCATGTTAATTGATTGTTGTAGATAATTATTGGAAAATTTTCCCTTTATTGAGTGACTGAAGGGTAAATTTAAAAACAGTTTGCGCAAATTTTGATTGAATTTGATCAAACAAAGGCAAATGAAAATTTTTGTCCCGTCAATACACAAACATTATTACCTCTATCAAGGTTACCTTGTTTGTATCTTAATATTATGTATTTGAATGGGCTGATTTGAAGCTTCATTCACACTCAGATAATCTCAAAATAACTGAAAAAGATGATGATAATGGTACAATAACAATTGTACAATGATTTAAATTGATCGCTATTTGAAACTGATGAAATAAATGTACATTTTTTGGGTTAAAATTAGGTTTGAAGGTAAACAAAGATTTATTTATTGCCTTTCTGTAATAAACTTCAAGAAGAAACTTGATGTTTTCAAATAATTTCAATCAGAGTGAATTTTTTACTTATCAATATTACTTTGCTCACGTCATTTATAATCAGCAAGCAAGTTTGGTAAATACCCTGTGGGCTCAATCTCCTCTGAACTTTTGCTACATTGACTTTAAATGAATGTGCAATAGTTGCACAATTAATAGCTGCTAATATTTTAGCTTAAAGAGTTTAAGCAAAATAATTTCACTCCAATGATCATCAGTATCTTAAACTTGTTATTTTTTAAACGTCAATGGTTACAATCAGGAAAATCACGTTTGTCCATTAATTTGTACACTGAACGATTCTCTGGCGATCAATTGAGTGAGATTGAGAAATTAAATATTGTTATAAATTCTGAGGTAAATTGAGAAGCCATCAGCAGTCAATCAGTAAACATTGTCGATAGCTTTCAAAGATTATCCACTAATCTCCTTGAGTTTATCAATTACACAGCAATCAAGTTTTCTAGTTCAGATGTCTCCAAACGCCAATAACAGAGATGAATCTGAACACTGCAGTGTCCATGAACAGGATCAAAGTGATGTGATAAACAGACTTCGAACAGCCATAATTGAAGATTCTCTTCTCAATCAGTACAAATTTGATGATAAATTTTTGCTCAAATTTTTACGAGCTCGTGAATTTGATTTGCAGAAAACATTGATGACTCTGAAAGGTTATGTCACTAAGTTGAGAGATCGCCCTGATTTGTTCACCTGGAATCCTAAAACTGCAAGTCAGGCTTTAAAAACTCAAGTGTTCAGTTATTTCCTTGATGGTAACACCAATGGTCGACAAATATTTTTCCTCCATCCAGGTCGTTGGGATCCTAAAGAGGTTAATCTGGACACAATCATTTCTTTGGTTATCCTTTGTCAAGAGATTACTTTGTTAGACGAGCAATTCCAAAAATCTGGTGTTGTGGTCATAATCGACATGACGGGATTGTCCTTAAATCATCTCTACAAGTGTGGCATTTCCAATGGAAAATTAATCTCCGAGTTGACAGATAAATGCATTCCAATCAACATCATCAATGTTCATGTTGTCTTTCAAAACTGGTTAACCGAAATGGGTTACAATTTATTCAAGCCATTCATAGATGAAGAATTGAAACGAAAGATTATCTTTCATGGATACAATATCGGCTCGATCCATCAATATTGCTCAAAAGAGGTATTACCGGTAAAATATGGTGGAACCCATGAAGAAGCCGATTTAGACCAATTGTTCAAGATTTTAACCAATGAAAACCACAAAATGTTATCTATTTGGGAAAAATACAAGACACAATAAGTTATAAATAAAAGGCTTCAATAAATGTACATTTGTTATTAAAAATTAAAGCAATTAGTTAATATTCTGTAATCATCTCTGTTAATGATCAAAATTATGGCGGAAAATTTTATGATAAATATACGAACTTACCTAGTTAATCGAGGAAATAGAGATCGAAATATTCATCTCCTTAAGGCATTTGATACTTTCGGCACAAAGATTTACGAAGACGAGAAGCTATCAAATTGATAAGCCAAATGACTGTCATTAGATGTATTAGACGTGAAAATAGACGATTGACCATGAGTGAAGAAAGTGCATTTGATTCTGAAAATGAAAGATAGACAAATTTTAATGATAGATCTCAGGCAGAATTTTAGCAAATTATAATTAGATCATTACAGATACATTTTTTTCATTAAAGCGCAAGGTTAAGTAGGTTTGATTATCTACCAATTGCTAATAAAATGCAAGAGAAACTAGAGAATGCATAAAGATCTGTTCAAATTATAATTTGAAAGACAAAGATGTTAAACTAACCTGTTTTGAGTGTACCCTTGAGTTATAGTTGGTAAACTATAAGTAAACCAGATGAAGTCAAGTTTCTTTGATTAATGTGTAAACATTTTTCAAACAGTTAACATCTTATCTGTGAACAGTAAACTGTTAGATTCAATTCAGCTGTTTTTTTCCCAAAGACAACGAAACATCATTTTTAAAATATGAAAGACAAAATGGTATCTTTGCCTCTCAACGAATCATCCTCGGCATCGTGTCCATCATCACCACCAAAATGTAACCTAAATGAAATGGAAACCAATGGATTAAATAAACTACGACAAATGGTACAAGAATCGGGTAAACTCAAGGATCAAAACATACCTGATGAAATGTTGTTGAAATTTCTGCGATCTCGCGATTGTAATGTGAAAATTGCTGCAGCACTTATCAAGTCCTACATTAACTTTATCATTACCAAGCCCGATTTGTTTACCTGGTCCGATGAGGTTATCCAGTGTATAAGGACACTAGTTTATTATCCGTATCAACACCGAGGTCCAAATGGTGAGGTTATCGTTGGCATGGAGCTAGGAAAATGGGATCCAAGTAAAATTAAATTTGAATCCATCATCCAAACAAGTCTATTCCTCCAGGAATCTTTTTTACAAGATGAAAGCGTTCAAACGGCAGGATTCACTTTTTTGGTCGACATGAGGAATGTTTCCCTTCGTCATATTTACCAAATGGGAGTAAATAATGCCATGTTGTTGGCCACTTTAACGGACCATTGTATGCCTATTATAACAAAAAATATCCACGTTTGCTATGAAAATCGTCTGACCAATTTTGCTTATTCAATGTTTAGACCATTCTTGTCTGAGGAACTCAAACGCCGTGTTATCTTTCATGGCAGTGATATGACCAATTTGTTTAAATTTTTACCCAGTCAGTATCTATCATCCAATTGGAAAGGCACTAATGAAGAACCTCAATTGGATGATATGATTGACCAGATTAAAGCTAAATCTCATCAGATAGTGAAAACCTGGGAAACATACAGAAAATAATATTTTTACATTCAACTTGACTGTCTGCTAAAAGACTTAATACGATATAAGCTTTTTTATACAATCATTGTGATTTTTACAGCAATTATTTGTAATTTATTTTGTAACTGCTCTGAAAAGCTTAATAAATATCGCTTTCAAATCTCAGCTTGAAATCTCAAAAACAGTTATTGAATGTACAGTAACCAGTTTTTTCGAACCATCAATGTTTTTGAACAATTATTGAAACCCAATCTAATTTTAATATTTAGATTGAATAGCGTTACAAAGAAATATGTTGAGCACTATTCACTGAGTATCTAATTTTGTTCATTAGCGTTGTATTACCTTGTTTTGTTTAGATATAAATAAAAATAATTTTCTAACCTCGAATCTGGTAAACAATTGGATTCAGCTTAGATTCATGCTGTTAGCCAAAACCTGAATCAAATATCATTGCTCAAACAGTAAACAAAGACGATTGATTCTTTCCATTTGATTATATTCCTACTTTATTTAGACGAATGATGAAGATAAATTATCACTTGAAGGGTTGTTTGCCTTTAGGTGAGAAAGTGGCACTCAGATTAAATTTTCAGCACCGGTCCTTGTTCATCTGGGAATTATAAGGAAATAACATTAAATTATCATTTTTTAAAAATATAATAACATTTAATTATGAAAAACTTACGAATCCGTTCTGAAGACTGTATTGCCATCTGTTGGTTGTTTATCATTTTTCTCAATTCTTTGTCTTTGCTCGATGGCGGCCAATGAGAACTGTGCCATCTTCTGAGTTGTCTAGTTACTAACTTACCTGACTGATGAATGAAAAAGTAAAATTTTAGGGAATCTTTAAGAGTAATCATGTTGAAAATTGTAAACAAAGTATGATCATTTTGATTTGAATTTAATGAATTTTCAAATGACTTGATTTTTTTCACCATTGAATGACAAGTTTACAACCGTTTAAAATTAAATCAAATTGAATTGTTCATCAAATCGGAAGAAAATCATCTGAACCATCTTTCAAATGAGTTTAACCAAAAGGGAGCGATGTAAGTGAAGCTTTTTTTCTTATTGTCATCAAATTCATTTCAAATTTGATTTTACAAAGAATTAGCTCTTGAATATCTGATTGACAATCAATCATCTCATTTGATGGTATCTTCATTCTTAATTTATTCAATTTTGCTCATCGCCGATCGTGACTTACACTTTTTTGTTTACTAGTTTTATTATGTGAATCTCGGTTATTGTGCATCAAACATTACTTTGCTTTTTCTTATTTTTTTACTACAACTTTTTAATGTTTTTTCTTTTTTAGATCCTGGGATATTTACATGTCCAGAATGTAGTGCATTGTTCACCTGTTTATCTTATTTCCAACAACATGTCAGAGTCCATGCACAAGCTAATGGAATTATATTACATACATGTTCACATTGTCGTTTTTCGACTGAAACAGAAATTACTTTTAAATGGCATGTTAATAGCCATTCAGGGGAGACTCCCCACTCTTGTAATGTTTGTAGTAAATCACCGACCGAAGACAGTGAATCTAGTTACAATGGATCTTCCAACAATCTCGTCAAAATCGAGGTCGAAAGCGATGAAGAAGAACAAAATTCATGTGCTATGGTGGGCAAAAGATCAGTGGCAACAGCGACAACCGACGATCTTTTATTAATAGGATCTAATGTACAACCAACGATCAGAAAGGATACAAATCATTATGCAAGTAACCAAACTTCCCATCATCTTAGCGGTAATTATATGCAAGATTCGAAAAGATCGACGAAGATAAACCAAAGATATCAAACATCTGACAATGACGAAGAAGACGAAGATGAAGAAGAGGAAGAAGAGGAGGAGGAGGAGGAAGACGAAGAAGAGGACGAAGAAGAGGAAGAAGAAGAAGAAGAAGAGGAAGAAGAAGAAGAGGAGGAAGAAGAGGAAGAAGAAGATCAAGATATGCAACTACAACATCATCAGCAACAACAGCAGCAGCAGACGCAGCAACAACAACAAATTGTTCAACAAGATGAAGATGGTTCATTAGATAATAGTTCACAAAATGGTACCACATTAATGCCAATGGTTTCTGCAATACCTACCGTTGGTGAGAACGATGTTAGTGATGAAGAAGACGACGAAGAAGAAGAAGTTGAATCGGAAGAAGACGGAGGGGAAGCAGATGGTGATCAAGAGTATTTAAACGTAGCCGCTGATCAAATGGTAGCAACAGATTATTATCAAGAAATAATTACTCAGGGACCGCCTTACACGAAGTCAACCAATGATCCAATGGATACTACTGTAGCACTCATAGGGGCACAGACAACAACAACCACTACAACTGACCTAGTACCTGGCTCTTCGAGTCGTGGTCGTGGGAAAGGTAATCGTAAATCAAGATCAATAGTTTCAATGGATTCAGCTGATGGTACATCTCTCGGTGAAATGAGAAGAAAATTTCACTGTTCTCACTGTGGTAAATCATTTAAGACCAAATCTCATCTACAGAGACACATCTTAACCCACACTGGAGAAAAACCTTATCATTGTAATCGATGTGGATCTAAATTTAATCAAAGCTCAAGTCTCCGCAATCATATAATAGCCATTCACACGAAAGAATATCCTCATTATTGTACCCAATGTGGTAAAGGCTTCCTGATGCCAGCTCTTTTACAAAAACACCTGACGACTTCTCATCGGAATAAATGATAATAAGCCGGTGATTATAAATATAATATAAATATAAATACAAAATATACATATACATATACATAATATACATACTAATGTATATCTTTCCCTCGCCCTTTCCTATCCACCCTCTTCTTAAATTAACTTTCCCTCCACCTCTCGATACAATTGCGATCTTCGTTTTAAAAGCTTTTTGACTCCTTTCAATATCGTTCGCTTGCTTGCTCTTTGCTTAATTTTCCAACAGTCCATTATCCTTTTTTTTTGAAAATTTTCATCTTAACCATATTAATCAGACAGAAACTACCCAACATCGCAATTTAATCCTCACTAATTGCAATTTATCTTTGTTTTGAAAGCTAAAAGCGCACATATTGAACTAGTAAAAACAAAACTGCATGTATTTGTGTTTTAGTTTTAAGTAAATGAATGTAAGCAAGTGATCGCTTAAGTAAGGTATGCAAAGACGATTCTTTCATTGAAAATTGGATGTAAAAACTGCTCCTAACCATCGAAGTGAGATGTGTATTGGGATGAGAATAAACGAAATCTTTCCTACGTAACATTAATCTAACCTATTTGAAAGGGGAAAAAGAGTAAAAACAAAAGACCAACGAGTGAAGAGTCAACTTATGAATTTCCATTGCCATTAACTTTTGTTCCTTTTCAAAAAATTTGCAAGATTGATCGAGATGATTATCTGATGTTCATCATCCCGTCCCATCCATTTTCCTCTTTAGTCTCATCTTTTCTCTTCCATCACCATTTTCATTCTCATCGCCATTCTCATCATCGCCATCTCTGTCATGATCATCATCACCTTCATTATTACTTCTTGTCTTGTATATCATCTCTTTTTTGTCGACCTGACACTGTTTAGGTCATAATCCTACATATATATAATTATCTATATATATGATTCTCCCTTGGATGCCTCTAAACACTCAATTTTTTCCCTTTTTTGCAAATGATTAATATGAAAATATAATTTTATTTACAGATATGTTTAACCTATTGATTTCAATTTATCGGTAATATTATTTTGTATACTTGTTACGGGTAATTTAGCTCAATAATGAACGATTGATGTTGGTTTTTCATTGATTGTCAAATTTACATTTGGTTTTATATTCATGGCCTGCAAATATCGGAAAACAAGGCTTTGAGAATTTAAATTGAAGATTCAAGAGAAAAGCATTTTTTTCAGAAAACCAAGACTTGCCGGTGCTAATCTAGTGAATAACATTCCATCTATTGAAACTAAATTAATTGTTAATTTGACAAAAACAGCTTCTATTCTTGAAACGCAATAGACAGAGATAATGAAGGGATACTACACACCGTTAACAAACAGAAACATCAAATCGCGCTTGGCCAAATTTCCGTTAAATAAATGCATTTGAAATTGAATTTAGAGGATTAAGTCAATAACAAACTGGGTTTTAAGTCAAGGCGGATTAAGTAAGCATAACCTAATTCAACATCTATCTTGGCTATCAAATAAAAATATTCAATTTTGAAACCTTTGCCGGTTTAATGGCGAGATTTACATACCTGAATGACTCTAATATTGAAACATATTCGAAGCAAACAAATTAATAAAGTAAGGTCGATACAAAACACAGAAAACTATTGATAGATCGCGATAAAAAATGAATTAATAAATGCTATTTACTGTGATTATCAACTTATGTTGTTTGAGCTATTTTTCCAATAGATTTATATTACACACAGATGACATTGAAAGAGTATTGTTTTGTAATTTTTACAATTTTATATGCCAGGTAAGTAACGTCCGTGCATCCGTAATTTCATCAAATTTGATTTCTAATGGACGGACCAATAATTGGAAGACCAAGAATAAATGAGGAAAATTAACAAGAACGAAGCAAAATGAATAATTGAACAGAATAAAGAATTGGAATGATTTCACCTCAACTAAAACAATATTACTAAAGCCATTGGAGTCGTTTAATAATCTTGTTTTTTTATTCTTGACTCCAATTTTTCTCTACAAAAATAAGTTCTTACCGGTTCTTGAATTCAATCTTCAAAGGAAAATATCAAAAATATTGGATTTTCGGTTCAGAATAAAATGAACCACATATCAATAGGAACTCATGGTGAGTAGAGAATGACTCTTAAAATCAGATTGGGCTCAGACTTTCACTAAAAGCATTGTTTAACCACATTACTATTGGTCCAATAACATTGAATAAGAAAATTGCCAAAATTTTTATTCTTTGCGCTTAGTCGGTTATGCCAACTCCGGTATTTACCCGAATTTATCTTTTTGTATCGAGTACTAGTTTAGATATCTGAGTACGGATACAAAGAAAAATAAACTCATTGCCATCTGTGTTTGAAATGAAAAACCAGCAATTTTTTTTTGAATAGTGTTTTTGTTGTAGTAATTAATTAATAGTATTTGTGTTAAAATAATTGTTCAATTTTGTTCTTTTACTATGAACTATGGTTGATAATACTCCAAATATAAGACCAGTTCCACATTTTTTTAATGAAAACGTCTTCCTTTCAAAAAAAGTAAGTATCATGTGTATTTAAAAAACATTGTGGCTCTCACTTGTTTTATTGTTTGTTTTGGTCAAACTTTTCATTCTCTCACTCAACTGCAACATTCCATAATGAACCGGCTCAGCACATGTACACCAAATTATATTGTTCATGCTTCAAGAATGTTTTGTTATGATTGTTAGCCCATGTTTATTTTAAATATTCAAAATATCTTTTGTTTCTGTTGCAATCTTTAAAACTATTTTTCTTTCTTTCCTCTAGGCTCGTAGTTCAACCCCATGTAAGAAGAAAATACCACCTCGACCACCTTGTAAGAGTTTACCACCAAAAGGAAGACTTTTCTCAGACAGCAAAACCAGTCGTGCACAAGCTGTTAGTTTTAAGGAGAGTGACTTCTGTAAGTGTCATCTAACAAAAGTATCATATAATTCGCGATGGACAACATTTAAGATTTAAGCAAAGGAAACGTGGAGATGATATCAATGAATATAAATGCAAATTATCTCAATTGTTTTTATGACTCATAACTATCGAAGTCCCACTTTCGTTAATCAGTCCATTGAGCTACAAGTGTTCCGCTCATATGATAAATTTGTTGACTATCGCTGATTATGGATCGATAATTTTATATGTTTACTAACTTACTCTTCCTTTCTTTATTCTTATGCAGCTACTTTGAGTAAAGATTATGACGAAACACGAAGTGAATCATATTTCCAACAATGCTTCAAAATCGAGAAGAAAATTGGATCCGGATCTTTTGGTAATGTTTATAAATGTATAAGTAAAGATGATGGTAAATACTATGCAATTAAAAAATCTCGTGAAAGATATAAAGGTAAATCGGATCGAGATCGAAGATTACAGGAAGTAGCAAAACACGAACAATTACCAGGGCATCCGAATCTTGTCAAATTCTACAAAGCTTGGGAAGAGAATGGATACTTATATATTCAAACAGAATTATGTGATTGTAGTTTGAGCGAGTTTCTGGAAATCAATCATGATATCGCCGAGCCAATGGTTTGGAACTTTCTAGCCGACCTTTTATCTGCCTTAAAACATTTACATGAACGTGATTTAATTCATCTTGATATCAAACCTGATAATATTTTTATATCTAAAGATGGTCTCTTTAAGTTAGGAGATTTTGGACTGGTCGTTAAAGCTTCTGAAGTATGTACTGAATGTAAATTGATTTTTAAGCAATTTTTTCTAATGACTTTTTCTCTTGAATTTTAATTTACCACATTAGATCGATATTGACGAAGTAACTGAAGGAGATCCCAAATATCTTGCGAAGGAACTTATGCAAGGAAAATTCACCAAAGCAGCAGATATATTCAGTCTCGGAATCACAACTTTAGAGCTGGCCTGTGATTTAGAAGTGCCTAGTAATGGAAATGGGTGGCATCAACTGCGGGAAGGAAAAATGCCTGAACATTTCTTTAATAGTAAGTTTCACACATTCTGTCAAACTTTTGATCAGTTTTAAATTGATATTTATTTTTTCTTGTTTCTTTTACAGAATTAACCCCTGAATTGAGAAAAGTTATTTTAAACATGATGCATCCTGATTACAAGCGTCGATGGACCGCAGAAGAACTTTTGGAATATCCACCTATTTCACGAATATCACGGAAACGTCGATATTGGATAAAATGGCGATCAAGCCTTAACTTCATTAGCGATTGTTTCCAGTGGTTCATTATATTTCTCATGAAAATATTTTTGCTTTCATTTGTTTTCTCTTTTATCAAAAAGAAATTTCCTCACCGTAGAAACTCAGGATCTCGGACGCCGCCTCGCAAAAACTTTTCCCCTGATTGGGACCAAAGCTTTTCAGACGATGATGTATTTGAAAACAGTTTTCTCTTTTCTCCATTACATGATGAGATGAATTCTTCATTTATGAGTGATAGACATTTAATTAGCGATTCTTTTATCAACAAGTAAGTTTTTACATTGAAATCATTATTTATAATAATCTAATCATTCATGCTTTTGTATTTTCTAGCCCAAACAGATTCACTTCAACAGCATCTAAAATCAAAAGACAGTCCAATTTATCGACATCTTCTTATATGCCCTTGACACCTTTAAGGCGGTCTCTTTTCAGTAATGAAAGGCCGTCACTGATTGCAAGAACACCTGGATTGCAGGATAGCTTCAATGAGAGGATAAGTTTTTGTGATCTTTCTGACGATGACGACGAGTTAAATATTACAAATCAGATGTGCCCTAAAAATTTAGAGAAGGTAAATATTAAAATTTAACACGACTTTCTTTTATTTCCAACAATGAATTAACACCTTGTCTCTGTTCATTTTCAGATATTTGATAAAATGGAAAACGAAGAAGACGCTGTTTCAATGAATAACAGTTTTCTCCACGTAAAATAATTAACATCAACCAAAATATGTAAACCATCTATTTTCCTGTTCACCTTTTTAAGACTTTTTAAGACCTTGCTTAAACAATAAATCTTTTCAAGAGTCAATTGTTAATTATTTGCATTAGCTACTGATTGATACACTATTTTAAATGATGAAAAATAATCATAAAATTCTAAGCAGTCAGAAGTCTGTGGAGATAATTCCCATTCAGAAAACTTGTCAAATAACTGGCGATTATGCGATTTTTTTTCCTTTTTTAGTTGGTGAAAACATTTAATTGCACTCACAAGTTAACTCAACGCTATTAAAGGATGTGAATATCTTTATTGTGTAAACAATTGGTGTAACTTAATCACTTTTTCTCTTTAACAATCAAGGCTGTTCAATCTCTGAAAGTATATTTCCATTATACAATAATTTATAATTATGGCACTACAATGTTACCTGTTGATAGTGAAAATTTCATGTGAATAGTTTAAAATATTGAAAGATTTTATTTAAACGAATTTAGTTGCAGACAAATTCAAAAATTGAAGAAACTCAATTTTTTGTCGAAGCAATCGGATTTTATTGATTTAACGAATGTAGAGATTCATAAAATTACTAGTTAATTGTGAATTGCAAACAAATTGAGATATTCATTAGGGAAAAAAGAGAGTATTAGAAATAATCTCTGTTTGAGGTTAAAGTTGAACAATAATTAATAAGTCGTTTTATTCACTGCAATCAGTGAGGTCTGCATTCTAATGCATTCTTAATAATTTGTTTTACGCGAAGAATTGTAAGATCTTGAGTAAGAATCTTTAGCTGTTGAATAATTTTTATCAGCATAATCTGTGTGTTTGGATTTTCTTAAAGATTCACTTGAATAAGGTTCAAATTCAGACCAAAGGTCAGCATTAGTTTTAGTGTTTGTCGGTGAGCTCCTGGTGATTGTCGGTGAAGCTCTTGATTTAGTAAAAGTGCCTCGTCTCTCAGGTGATCGACTTGGAGATTTATCGGAATACCGTAAATAATCAGATGATCTACTTGGAGATTTATCAGAGTATCGTAAACGATCAGATGATCTACTTGGACTATCAGTTCTAAAAGAATCATATAATCGACGATTTGATGAGTTGTAATCGCGAGCAGCTGAAGATGAACGAGATTGACTTGTTTGTCTGCCAGAATCTTGTCTCTCAATTGGTATATGACGAATGGAACCATCATACAATAATGGTGACATTGAATCTCGAGAAGATTTTCCAAAAGTGTCATCCATAAGTTGATTGAATGAGCGAGTTGCATCTTTCCTTTCTTCTGGACTATTAAATGATCGTTGAAATGCTTCATTCCGAGAAGTATCACTAATCACTTGACCATTAGCAGTTGATTTGTATTCGTGTTTAACATTGCCTTTAATTTCGCCAGATGTTGTTGTTCGAGCATTTGCACTATCATCTTCTCGAGGACGACGGTTGGTTGATGAATTTGAAGTGTCTCTTACTGGTAATTCAGTACGACATTCACGTTCAAGATCGTTCATCAAGGTTTGTGCATCAAGTGAATTAAACCAATCAACTGAGTCATTGTTTGTTCTCTCCATTGCTGAAGATGAGCGACTCATTGATGAATGAGTTTTTCTTTCTTCGTTTCTCATTGATCGCAACTCTTCACGCTCCCGATGATCAGTTTTAGATTCATATTTTTTCCCAGTTGCACATTCAGAGCTCGTTTCTAGATATGATTTCCTTGGTTCTTTATTTTCTTGTCCAAAATAGTATGTTCCTTTTGGTCTATCGGTGCTGCTCATTCCTTGAGAACTTGAGTCAACCTTGATTTTGTGTGATCGAGTTTCAGTTTCATGTTTCCTATTCCTTGATGAGGTTCGTCCATAAGCTTCATCGTCACTGGAATCCTGATGAAATAAAATTAAACACATTAAAAGTTAACTCTTTTATGGTCCATTCATAATTTGCATAAACTAAATGCCAATTGTGCATAACTATGACATATGTGGCAGTTAACATAATAGCATTAGCATAACTAATATGACAACTAAACATATTTATCATGATACATTAAATATTATGTGTCAAATGCGTATATTAACGGAAATATTTTCAACAGTTTAATGCATTTAGTCATATTATCATGCTTTGCTGTTAGGGAAATATTAGTAAAATTAGACAAACCTCTGAGAATGAAGCTTGAACAGAAGCATCTTCTTTAAATGGTTTCTCTTTCAATGAAGAAGCTACACTTCTATTTGAATATCTTGATTCATCTCGCCGATTCAACTGGGATTGATATCGATCATTGACAGAGTAATTAGCATCATATTTGTCATATGTAGATCTCATACCACCAATAGGTGACTGTCTTTTCAGCGAATCAGGCGAGTATCGAGGTGAAGCGGTCTTCTCATTGGTATATTTTTCGTCTCTACCGAAGCTCATTTCTCTTTCTTGTGATCTATTAAATTGTGATGAACGATCTTTTTCATATAAGTCTGATTGTCGTTCCGTACTTGAATATCTAAATAAAAGAGGATAGAGAATGGTCAATTTATGATAATTAACGAAGTTTGTCAAGACTAATAGCTAAAGATGAGTACAAACCTGCTGTGACTATCATTTCTCTTATCATTTTCAACAGAATATTTTGATTGACTGGTTCTATTAAGTGAATCCTTCCAATCTTTATGGTATTGAATCTCTTTTGTAGTTTCTTTCGAGGCCTCCGGTAAACTTGATAAGTTAATCTGATCTTCAGGTAGCTCATCATCATCAACCTCTTCGTGATGATGAGTTTTCGTCTTTTCAGTTGTTATTGTTCCATCTCTTTGTTTCTTTGAAACTTCTTTCATCTCTTCTCGATCAGCAAATTTCTTTGATTTAGCAGCATAATGAATAAGTTTCCCACGAGGTCGATCCGAATCAATTTCCCCCTCATCAAGTTGAATAAGTTCATTTGGTGATGCCAATGCCTTCCTATGAATATCATAGCCAGTCAACTCTTTAATAGATTCATCATGATATTGTAATTGCTCTTGTCTTGCTTCCCGAGTTGTGTTACGTGTTTCAACCTTTTCAGAGATAACAGATTCACCAGGCAAGGCCTTGTAACCCTCAGAAAATTTGTCCAAACTATTATCATCGCCTTTACCACCTTTTTTATTTGATGCTTCAAGCTCTTCAGTTTTAACGTCTTCCTTAGTTCGTTGAGTAATTTGAGGCCCACTATCAGCAATTACTTTTCCATCTTCCATAACAATTTGTCTTTGAATGCGAGTCTCAATCTGCCGAGTCTTGTGATTGATTACCTTCTTTGATTTAGTCCATTCCTCTAAAAAAAATGATAAAATAAAAACAATTACAACTTGGAACTGAATAGTCAACTCAAAGTAAACAATTTTACAATAACCTTCCACACTAACATTACCAAATTTTAGCTACATTTGGTTATTTTTGATAAAACTGCTTGCATTGAAAAACAATTGAAATTGAATTGAAAAATCGCAAAAAATTGATTAAATTGTTTCATCAACATTTGGTAAAGTCGAGGTCATCTACAGAGTTTTTTGTGTATTGTAAATATTTTATATCCACAATAATTTGCGTTGGTTGATTGGCCTTTTGCTTTTTTTCGTAACATTGAAAATTAAATATGGATTTACCTTGAACTAATTTACCATTTAAGTAGGAGGATTAAATTAGAGTTTTTTTCTTCTAATAAACAAGAAGCTAAACAATTGAAAGAACCTCTCTTAATATGGTGAACAACGGAAGCTATAATTAACCTACCTTGGTTATTAAATTGCTGGGAAAAAAATCGTGAATCATAATTTATTCATCTGATATCTATAATGGTTTGTTTATCAAACCATTGTTAGCTTTGATTTACAAAGTAACAAATCATTTTTGCTCATTGTAAATTAGCAAATTGACTTAATCTAAAGTCACAATTCAAACAAATATAACATAACATAATCAAACTCGACAACAATGTGATTGTCACAAGTATAATAATAAAGTAATGTTACATGCAAAAAAGGTTGATTTCATGTTTGGTCACTATTTTGAGTAAACTGGAAAATAATGTGACAATAAAACAACTTTACTTACCATCTTTAGAAACAGGAACAATCTCATCATCTTTTTTACGCACATCAACCTAATTAACAGGATAACATAATAGAGTAAGAATCACATCAAGGTAAATTAAACAAAACAAGTGAAATAGCAGTTAACTTACCTCGAAATGTTTTGATTTATATTCATTATTATTGTTGTTGTTGTTGTAACTGTACTCCTTAGCCGAACTATAAGGGTTTGATGTTGACGATTTTACAATTGTTTTATTACGCTGTTCGTAATTTGCACTTCTTTCAAATTTAGCTGATTTTTCCATCTTTAACTAATGATGTTACCAATTCACGATCAATATTTCAAATAATTAAATTAAATTAAAAGAAGACACTTGATAATAAAAACAAAGAGTTGAAATGAATTGAAGAAAAGGCTTAAGGCTTTTTGTTGGCTAACAAGGCAAAAACAAAAGAAACAGCGGCTGGGAAAAGAAGGGTCGTTAAGAGAGATATAAAGTTATTTGATATTGCAAGGAATCAAATGAGTCAAAGTTAATTCAATTAAATTATGAGCAAAAGTGAGCTTAGTTTGTTTGTTACTAAACTTCCCATGATTATGAAGCTATAAGGATAAGATGGTGGGCGAAGTAGTCAATCAACTAATTACTATTAGTATTTCCATCATCATATTTTGTGTTTATTTTGTGCCTTTTCTCTTTTTTTCTGTAAGTGTATAAAGTCTATCAGTTTCCTCCTCTTGATTCGTTTCATTTCAAGTTACATTATCAAGGAAAATTTAAATTGTGAATGGGTGTTCATGATCAAGTCTCCTTAAGATTCCATACATGGTAAACCCTTAAATGCCTAGGCATAGTCAATAATAATTTAACAATATCTTGTCTGGTAAGTTAACAACATACTGGTAACAAAAAATATGTTAAGTGAACAGCCTATGTGGTAATTCTGGTCGATCCTGATCATTTAAACATAATTTATCACTTGTATGGTTAAATCATCTGTTGATCAGTCAAGCTGTAATCATCAACAATAGGGTTGATGATCATAATGAACGAAATGTTTAAGACAACTTGAGAATGTAAGTGAGTCAAGGTAAGATTACCTTCACTGGTACCTATCTTTGATTACCAAACAAATGGAATCGTTTCCTCACTCTCAAGCAATTATTAATTGGATGGCAAGATGATCAGGAGATATGATTTACAAATCTGTATCAACATGTGGATCAACTTGAAAATTAATGAGACCATTGAACAAAAAAAAAAGAAATACATCAACACATATGTTGAAACGATTGGAAACCATGAGAATCGCTGTGAAACTGTACTCATTTGGAATATCTCTTTGCAATGCAAATTCATCATTGATCATTATTATCTGATTTCGTCAATTTACTTTTTCATTTTAGCTCATCAATCATTTAAAAAAAGGGATAATTAATTGACTTCCTCATTCCCCCATCACCATTACAATCAAGAGCATGGTTGATGAAAAATTTGAACGTGTTAAAGATCAATTAACTGGCTAATTTGATCAAGTTGGATGATAATTTTCATGCATTTTTGATTCATCATTAAACCAACATCCATTAATTCATCAGAAAAAAAAACTTCTGACGATTCATTTCATTCAAAAAAAAAATAACACAACAAGTCACAGATACATAATAATGTAATTGCTATCACATTGAAGGTAACCATTCACCAGCCATATAATATCATGTTATACTTCAATCTGATAGTGGAATCAGTAATTCACTATTTGATTGGGAAAATACATTGATTGTTGTTGAAAAAACCTTGTGGCCATGGAAAGAGATAGGCATAATTGAATAAAATGTGTAAATACCTTTTTGTTTGTTATGAAAAAGGTTGTACCCAAATTTGGAGCTCTAATAATTTGATAATATGATTATTTGGTATAACAGTTTATGACACTCTTATCCTGTCCTACCCTTTGGCATAATGTTGAGTGGCTAATCAATTTGTTAACCTTTGTTCCTCCGAGAAAGAGGTTTAGTTTCAATCAAAATTGAGTCAATTTAGTTCCTAAAAGAGTTGAAAAACTAGTTATATTGATTACTCCTGATCGAGATGTTATTTGTTTGTCAATGTTGAAACAAAATTTTGGTGTAAAAGATTAAACTTTAGATCGACCTTACAACGAACCATTTTGGCCCCTTTTTGTTCAAACAGACCCTCACAATTACCGGAATTACCGTGTCATTTAAAGAGTGAATTACACCATAATTCAACTCAAGGTAGCATCACTAGCAATAGCTTTTGCCAATAGGTGTGGTATTTTTTGTAGTTTTACTTTGAAGCATGCGTAATACTGTTCTTTTATTCTTCAGACTGAATTTGGTTAATAAAATTAATCTGGTTTTGTTCATTCTGCTTGTTGTTTAGTTTTTTTATTCAATTGTATCGCTGTGTTTTGATTTATTTGGACCATCAACTTGATCGATTTGATTGTTAAATTGTCCCTCAACAAGTGATCATCTTATAATTTGAGATAAATTTTAAATGTCTTCTTAAGGCTCTCTTCTCAGTGCAATCATTTTTTTTTGTTTTAGGACCTTACCATAAAGAAAAGAAAACGAATAACAAAACAATTTATAAAAGACCAAAATGGAGAAAGAATTGAATCGAAAAGACGAATCCTTGAAAGAATCATCAATCCGAGATGTTGAAATTATGATGGCCAACACTAATCAAAATTTACGGGACATTCTCAAGAAAAAGATGAGAACTTTAAAGGATGAATTGGAAGCTGCAAATGAATTGAACGAGACCACATTGATAAAATACAAAGAAGAGGTTAGAAAACGGGAAGAAGCTGAATTGGAAACTGCCTCTCTCAGTCGTCGAGTTCAATTGTTGGAGCAAAATTTGGAACGAGCTGAGGATCGAATTAGAGAAGTTACAACTAAATTGGAAGAGACAACTCAAGCTGCTGATGAAAGTGAACGGATTAGAAAAGCTTTGGAGAATCGAACGAACATGGAAGATGATAGGATTACACTTTTAGAAACTCAGCTTAGCCAAGCTCGTATTATTGCCGAGGAATCGGATAAGAAATACGAAGAAATGGCACGTCGTATTGCTATGTTGGAGGTAGATTTGGAACGTGCAGAGGAACGTGCTTCAGCAGGTGAACGTCGAGTTATTGATTTGGAAGAAGAACTTCGTTCCATAGGCAATAACCTGAAGTCTCTTGAAATTAGTGAGGAGAAAGCTGTGAAAAGAGAAGAAAAGTACGAAAATCAGATTGAAGTATTGAAGAATAAATTAAAAGAAGCTGAATCAAGAGCTGAGTTTGCTGAGCGAACAGTTGCTAAACTTCAGAAGGAAGTAGATCTATTGGAACAAGATTTATCTCAAGAAAGAGAAAAAAATCATCACCTACAAGAAGAAGTAGAGACGACTTTGAAGGACTTACAATCAATGTGACGTTGTTGAATCTGCTAATCAACCACATCCACCGATCGCTAGAAACACACTTACAACCTAGGAAGCACATTTAATTTTTTCTTGTTCAAGTCTCACACTTTTTATCATCTGTCTCTTTGTCTCTCTTCGTTTATTTCCGCTGAAGCGGTTCTCTTTCATTTATCCTCTCTCTCTTTATTATCTTTTCGCATACACTAGCCTTATCGCTCTTGTCCTGTCCATGATTTGACTGATACTAATCAATTCACAGGTCAGAGCTTTCCTATCATGACGCTTAATTTACTGATGATCCATGGGGATTGATTTGTTATTCGCCTTCGTCCATGTTGCTCTCTTCTCTCTCTTCCACTTTCACCACTTCATTGCATTCGCTCGCAGATATATTCCAAATGAAGCTTAAAGGATTTCCTCTAAAGAATTGTTTTTCATTACTTCAATTAAATGCAGAATCATTCCTGTGACGAGTAAATTTTTTGTTGGCTCAATCGTTATTCAATATCACACAATGATATTCAGACAACAGCTACTATAATAAAACCAGCATCAACATTCAATAAAACTAAAGTGGATATTTCCAATCATTCCTTGAAGTCTAAAAGAAAAAGTGACTAATTCCATCTTCATTCGTTGATTGTTTCTTTTACATTCTTTTTCCATTATCGTCTCTCATCGTTTCACCATGAAAAGAAGATTGATTTTATACAACAATTTCAAGTGGAAAGACAATAATCCCAATGAATCGGAAGACCAATCATGAAAACTAGACATTCACATTCCAAGAGTTTATATTCCGTCTGCCAACACCTCTCTTCCATCTAGTTAAAGGACCATATTTTTCTTCGTGAAACGGAAAAATCTATGAGGAGATTATTACACAAGAAAAGTATTGTTTATTTTACCACCAAGCGGTTATTGCTGAGAAAGAAAAATTATTTATAGCATACATAAGCATTGAAATATTTTACTGATACAATAATAAATGGTGGTCACCTTTGGATGATGTCAGCCTCCTTGACCAAATAAAGAAAAGTTCTAGCCCTAAACAAAAAATTGTCACAAACAGAGCATCGCCAAAAGGATGACTGAAGAAAATTTATTGCTATTTAGAGAATCAACTTTACCAAATGTGCGTTAAATCGCATTTTGATCTACTTTTCGCCATTAGAACTCATAGCATTCTCTTAGAGACAAGGATGTAAACATTTCTTCTGACCTGACACCAAGAATCAATCAAGTTTAACATTAATAGTTTCAAGTTTTTATTCTGCTCTCTAACTCTACCCAATCTCTCTCTTTTTTTCAGCCCCTTCTGTCTTTTCCTTATTTTCCAGCAAAATTGAATGTTTATTTAAAAGAGTTGAGGAAAAAAACTAATACCTTGCATCTTATATTATTATTGATGTAAAATTGTATGCAAACTAAAAAATTGTATCATCAACCAAATTTCTTCATTCTTGGATCAGGTTGAAGACCACTGATTAAAACAAAACCCAAATAATTAATGTTTCTTTGTCAATTTACTTTCAATGATGTAGTTAGTCTTTTAGAAGCTTTTTTCAATGACAATAGATAAGACTTCTTTGATTCTATCAGAATAATTCACTTAAAACTGAGTAACTGTTACTCACATTGGAAACCTTGAGTTGGGAAATGTTGATTTCTGTGACTGATAAATAACTTTAAAGAAAGATAAATTACACAAAACAGTAACTCTTTTTGAAAATAGATGACTTTGTTTACTGTTACAATTTCACTTAAATCTTTCTTAAAAGATTGATGGAACTTCTAGTAAATTGTTTAAATAATTTTCACAGTTCATATGAATTATGTTTCTTGATTTCAATTGATGTCCAATTTAAACGAACCCTTGATATATTTTTTGGTATGATTTTTTTCTCATCACAAATTCACTGATGTTAAAATTTTACGCGATTGACAAAAATATTAGTAACCGTCAATATTGAATACATGAAGTATAAATCATAATAAAAATTAATTTAATGCTTAATTTTCCTCCAATATTTACAATTCTTCATCAATACGATGCCCAGCTATTGATTCATTTAGTTTAGAGATTTCATGGATAGCCTCCACCAGTCTACGCTCACAACGCGATTCAAATACAGGAGTACAATCAGTAAAATGGACATAATATTTATGTTTTATATTTAATTGATTGGATGAAAAATGTCTTTCAACTATAAGAATCAAAGGAATTTTATCAAAATAAAAGCATTTCAAAGTTTATTAATAAACATTGACCATGCCATAGAGAAACGTCCAAAATAAGACATAAGTAAATAAACCAGATCCTAGTCCATTTGTGAATATGGTGATTCTCTTATGGAAATATTTTTTGTAGTTTGGTCCCATTCGTATCAAAATCATGGCCCATACAAGGAATGCACAAAGAAAATAAAAAATGAAACCATAAGCACCGTACAAGCCAATTACTCCAGCTGTAAAACCAGATAAGGCTGACATAGATGTTTTACAATAGTCTAATAGGATCATGTTTGATCGCATTGCACTGGTCAATGTGTATGAATTTCCTTCCATGTTGATTAACAAGATGAATATTGGTTGACCAGATAAATAATCACTGAAATAAAATTAAGAGGAAAACAAGAAAAACAATTAATAAATTACACCTTTTTTGTTGAGAAACAAACTGAATTTAAGAAAATCTTTTACCGTCCCCTTTACTTCTCCCCTTTGTTTACAAGTGTTGCTTGGAAACAGTAATCGACATTTTTTCATTGCATTTGATTTCAATTATTCAACAAATGGTGGCTTTTAATCCATCAAAATGTTTAACCTGTCATTAAAGATATTTACTCATAAATTGTTTATTACACCAGATTATTTAATTTATTAGGATTAATCTTGTATTAGTGAATTGAAAAAAGCAAATTGGAGCCAAATTTTATTGGATCTCTTTCAGCAAATCGGGTGGAAACCGGATCCAGATCTGTATTGGGTTTGTTTCATTTTTCATTTTGTATCTTTACCTACATGTGTTTGTCTGTCATCTTTGCTATTTCTAATTTATTTGTAATCGTCTTATTTCATTCCCGATAACCATCATAATATTAATTATTTTTAATGTTTTCGTGGTCTCACCTAATGTAGATTTGATTCCCTTCTACAACTTTACGATCCGTCATAATTCTGATCATTAACAGACAAGATGGGCTGTAAGCTCTCTTGCTGTAAATCTAACTCACCCAGAGTCTCAAGCAAACAAAGAAAATTCCAAAGAAAATTTCATTTTGACCTGGGAAATGATCATTATCCTCACCAGAAGATAGAAGAGGAGATTTCATCTACCAATTTACAACATATCTCAGAACGTGAACATCCAGAGGATTTGGAAGGTGATCCATCTACTCAACCATCCATAGGACCTCTCTTTATGCAAAGATCCAGAAGTGATATAAGATGTACGTTCTCTATTTTAATTAATAACTTCAGTTAACGAATTTTACAAATTTTTACCTATCTATTATTTTTTCATTCAACTGGTTAAATGTTTTCTCTTTTTATATTTTCCTAGGTGTCAAAGAAAGGCGCAAAAGTCAGCTCATTGTAAGTATCAGATGAAACAAGAGAGTCTTATTACTCCGTAATTGAATTAGATAATTCTAACTGCTCATAATTATTTGTTTATCATTTCAATAACAGATTTTAGAATCTAGGCCTCTAAAAAAATCAAGCTCTTGTTCAACAATATACTTGGACGATAGCACGGTTAGTCATCCTAATTTAAAGAACACCATTAAATGTGTAACTCTCGCCATATATTATCATATAAAAAATCGTACATCTAATAATGTCTTGGAGATTTTTGATGAAAAAGTCCACCCTCTCTCAGTAAGTATCTGTATCTGATTATAGTATGTTATTTCTAGCGTTGCTGGCAAATTTGCTGGCAAAGATTTTTTTATTGAATCGATGAGTAACTCATATTTTCCTATTTCTTTTTTCTAAATTACAGAAAGACTGTGTTAATGAAGATTATCTCAAAGAACCGGATGCAAGGAGTTTGTATAGATTTATGCGAAACCTTTTTACTGCTGCTCAGTTATCACCAGAATGTGCCATTATAACACTTGTCTACCTCGAGAGGCTTTTAACCTACGCTGAGGTAGACATTTTACCCTGTACATGGAAAAGAATCGTTCTTGGAGCAATCTTGCTAGCATCAAAAGTATGGGACGATCAAGCAATTTGGAATGTTGATTATTGTTTAATTTTGAAAGATGTAACTGTCGAAGACATGTAAGTTAGATCCATGTTCACCATTTTTCAGATATTAGCCTTATTCAAGCTTATCCTTCCGTAATTTAGACATCCCAGCTTATTTAGGTTAGGTTGACTCACTTTTTAAATTATTTATTGTTCAGCCATTGTGAAATCGGCATTGAACTTTTTTCAATGGACTTGTTTGACTAGAGCTTTTCAATTTAACTATAATGTTGATTTTATTACTCATTACTAACATACAAACAACAAAGTATTGCAACGCAATGTACATTTAAAAAGTTGATTGTATTGTTATTGTTTTGATCAAAGAATGCCAAAGGTGGAAAAATATTTACCATTAATACTTTGATCCAAACAAAATGGCCAACTTACCTTTAATCTCTTCAAAAACTAAGAAATATATTTTAAGCTATATATTACACTATTTTTCACCTTTCCATTTTCCAGCATTTTATTATTAGTCAACTGCTTTGATTTGATGATTTGTGATTCATTCCGTGAAAGATTAAGCCTAATTTTATCGAAATTGAAAAGCAGTATTCCAGTAATTTATTTGGTTACAAGCTCATTGATTTAGTGGAAAGATCAGATGCGTATCACTTTAACATACTGTATATTTACCAACATCATCATTTTCAAAACTCGTCCATGTTTCTTCTATCAACTCTCCCACACGAGTCGGTAAATTAATCAAGGGGAAAAAGGCCTCCTGTAGATCAACTGTGATTTTGTTTATTCTTCAATGATTCATGATTCAGCTTCTTAAGAAAATTGACCAATTTACGTTCTTTATTCTCGATCATTCAATCTTTTCAAACTTCAACTTATTGCTAAACCATTTCATCAATAGAGAAAATCAAAAGTTAATCTTCTCCTTTTGAAAATTCACAAATGCTGTTTCGTTGCAAGAAATTATCAACGATATTGTGTTTAATCTATTAAATTCACTTAATATTTATTTATTTATAGACGCAGAATTTATTAGGCTCTTCCTTTTCTCATTCAAGTAACACATTCTCTTTTCTTTTTTATTATATTAATGGCTCTTTCGTTTGAAATTTAACCTCACATCATCTTTATTGCTCTCCTCTTAACGACAGTCTACGTTTTTTTGCCATTTAATATCAAAGAAAAAGAGTGAAAAGTTGAAACTTTTCACGCTTTTAATCAAGTCATTTTTCCATCGTTTTGTTACTCCTTTCATATCCATTCTTACCATTTAATTATTCAGCTCTTGGTTCTGCTATAACCTCATCAGGTTTCGGTTGAAATAGAATCATTTGTCTGTATCAATCAATCTTATACAACAAAACTCTATTAACCACCAATTAAATTACTTTCCACAAAATTTCAAATTTATTAGAACCGAAAAAAAACTTCACTTGATGTTTCGAGATTTCGTACCTCTCTTTATTGTTAATATTTTCATTAGCAACAGTTTTTAGCTGTTTTTTATTGTATGGCATATTACACAAAGAGTAATCTCTTCTTTACTCTTCGATATTATATTAACACTAGTAATAACCATTTAATATTAACCACTATACACTGTTTATATTTATATCTTTTGATTACTCTGATTACCAACCCTTTTTACCCTCCTTTATCTTTACATAATTACATGTTTTATTATTGGTCGATCGATTCAGGTTAATGTTTGAATACAAAGGCTAACTTCACTATAAATATTGGTTTTTCATTTAACCCTATTGTTCCACATGTTTTAACATAATTTTTTTTTCTTCTTATCCTAGGAATGAATTGGAAAGGCATTTTCTTCAAATGCTTCAATTTAATATTAATGTTCCCTCAAGTGTATATGCTAAATACTATTTTGACCTGAGAACCTTAGCTGATGAGAATGATCTCACTTTAACCATGGAGCCTTTGAGTAAAGAGAGAGCTCAACGATTAGAGGTAACGTTTCTTTTGACTGAAAACTGAACCAATTTACTTATTAATTGAAATACTAATCATATATTTATTTGTTCACAGGCAATGTCTAAACTTTGTGATATTCATAGAAATGGTATTCGGAGATGGTCAAGTGCTGAAAAGATAGCCCTGAATCGTCGAAGCAAAGCCATAATTTCATAGTATTCTTAATTTATTATAATTTTTTACTGTCTTTTTTTTGTTTAACGAGAACGTTCAGCCTTTCTGTAAATAATGATAATTATAAAATAATTGTAATACTACAAGATGCCTGTTTAATATATTGGACGACACAACTCCATCCAAGCCCAAACACGCAACTATCAAGTCAATTATAAGACAAGCAGCAAAATTAGCGCTAAAAATCATCTCAATTTTGTTTTCATCGTCTTTTTATACATATTTGTATACTTGTAAATAACTACAATTGGAATAAACGAAATGACTTGGATCTTTCCATTTAAAAGAAATGTTTTTGTATATTGTTTAACTTACCTGAAAGGATACTTAATTACTTCCAATGAAATAAACCAACTAGTTGGTTTTCTACATAATTTTGAGGTTTCAAAGTTTCTAGTCTATTGTTACAAGTGTTAAAATCAGTAATTTACTGTTCTGAACCATCTGAATCAAATTAAATTTATTCTCTTTTTTTCTCATCCATTGCATTACCATTCAAGATTGAATCCATTTTGCCCCAAATTTTAATCAGTGACAATGAATAAGATGTTGATTCTTGAATAGCTGTTAGTTTAATTATAACTTTACCAGGTTAACCTTTTTCTTTCCAATTAACAAGTAAATTCCATATTTTAATTGTAAATGGTTAAAGAGTACAATTGGATGAGTAAATGATCAGTTAGTGCTAAAAATCTCAATTTTGTTTTCATCGTCTTTTTATACATTGTATTTGTATACTTGTAAATAACTACAATTGAAATAAACGAAATGACTTGGATCTTTTCATTTAAAAGAAGCTTTTTGCATATTTTTTAATTTGTCTGAAAGGATAATTAACTACTTTCAATGAAATAAATCAACTATAATTGGTTTTCAACATAATTTCGAGGTTTTAAAGTTTATATCAATAAAAATGACAATATTCAATTTACATTTTTGAAGCTGTAACAGTACTTTAATATTGAAGAGAAACATCTCTCGAAATTTTTAAAATCAGTTTATAATCCACATGAATATATTTCAATAGAAAATTAAGATTGAATCGTTTGTATCTTTATATTAATGGCTATAATATTTTAATTTTAAACTCTGTTAATTTTATTGCCTATGTTATTTTATTGGAATGTTAAAATAATGATTTATTTTGTGGGCAAAACAAAATATTAATGCACATGCATTTGGTTGATTGTGTGACTGGACAATTTACCTGAAAAAACTATTTTTCAGTTAATATAAGTGGAGTTTTCGCTTATCACATAGTCATCATTATCATCAAAAATAGGTGAAATATTGGTAATAATTGTTGGAAAGTAGAAATCAATTTAACAATTGGGTGTTTGCTTCTGGTCATAGACTGAATCATTATACGGAAAGAATAGGGAATTTTTAGTAAGATAAAATCCATTCAACTTGATAATATATTAAAAAAAATTTTGACTCCAAGTTATGGTTGGTACCAAGGCTCCAGTTTACCTTTGTAAAATATTAAATTATTGGAAGGTAAAGGCACTTGACGTTTAGGTGAAGGGGGAGAGTACCCATGTGAGCCAAATGACTTTCGGTTGATATTTTCTTCTTTCATTATTTTATCGGCTTTTTTCGGCGAGTCAATAAGATTAGATACAAAAGTTTCTACTTTGGAACACAAAATGTTATTAATTTCTGTATTTTTTGCCAACCTGTAAAAATAGATGAAGATATTCAGTGTTAATCATTTTTCTTAAAAATACAATCAAATTACATACTTATTCACGTCAAATAGATGATGTTTGAGCAGTTTATTGCAAACGCTCTTGTTTAATGCTCGATCAAATAGAGGGACACCAAAATGACAATCAATTAAGCTCCAATATTTGAACTCGTCATTAATTTCAAGTTCTTTTGCTTCCTCAGTTTCTTGAAATTTACTTTCGTCTATTTCTTCCGATTTATCAATTGGCGCATCAACTGAATTTTCGTCAAAAGTTAACAATGCCGAATCTTCTTCCTCTAAAACCATGTCATCATTGGTTTTCCAATCACCTTCCAATTCATCAGGATTACTAGAAGGAACTTTGAGAATATCGTCTACTAGAGACTCCTCAGTTTGTTCAGAACTTAAGTCATGAAACTTTGTATGTCTAATGAGCGTAACAAAACCACAAGTAAATCTAAGATCAAGAGTTTTAGAGAGCTTTACTATCACAGGATGATTTTCAAATGGATTTGAGATCTCTTCATCCTTTGTCTCCTCGCAAGTTAATGGGAATGGTATGTAGATGAGATCATCGGCAGGAAAGTCACTTTTGCTCGCGTAGCCTTGGACTAGGACAGGCGACGTGGTTAACATGTCATTTATTGTATGAAGCGCATTATCAGCAGTTATTTTGGCAGAATCACGTCCCCATGGAGTTAAATACAGAAATTCAAAACCTTTGAATATAGTGGGTAAAGTTTTTAATCTTTGATGAGCCATGAGAAGAAGTGATGGTGGACCATCTGAAAGAAGTTCATAAAGATAAAGGTTGAACCAAATTGAGTTGATTAAAGGTGAAACAGGTCCAAGATATGGAAGACTAGTGTTAGTGATAAGTTGTGTTTCATTGCTAACTGGTGCTATTGATAACAATACTGAGTAATTCTTTTTCAACAATCGATCACAAACTTTGGCATCTAAATTCATCAAACTTTCAGCTCGAATAAGGTCGATTCCTAAACCAATTTCAGCATCTTCCGGTTCACAAAGACTTGCAGTTAGATCGGGATTGTGACGAATAAACTGCACGGTTCGATACAACATAATGGCATGAAGAAAATATCTTTCTGCTTCATCACCCTCTTCTTCAACGTTAATGTTATGAATTTCCGAGAGCTCAACCAACAAGCTGTCAATTGATTCATCAGACAATTTACCAACTTCAAACATGGTTACAGCATGCGTTTTAAGGCCAGGTGAAAGATTGCCCATCATCAAAAAAGCTACCAAAGTTGAGTCATAAAAGAAAGCAATGCGCTTAGTTGTTGATATTGAATTTGAATGTTGAAGCAAAGGTCGGCTTGAAGGATCCGTTGGTGAATCAACACGGTTAACATCATCGATTCCAGATGATGTCGTATTAGGATCAATAGTAATATTATTGATTAGTTTGGCCATTTGTTGACTAGTTTTATGATTATGGACACTTCGTGTTGATAGATGGCTATTTGTCGGAGACGAAGAAGTAGTATGACTCCAAGAAGGGTGGCATTCTTCCAAAGATACACTCAAAGTTTTTTTGTACGCAATGCCTAATCGACAATAGATGGATATAGCATTTTTAATGAGTGGCGAATCGATTTGCAGAATAGAGGCTAGTTCTTTAACCGTTGTTTTTTCATCAATGGAAACAAATATTTTGTACAAAAGAGTTTCCAAGTAATCACCTTGTATACGATTCATTACAAAACCTCGCAAAGGCGGGACTACAATCAAATCGTCATCTTCAATTGGTACATCCAAATATATCAATCCTTTGAGATACAAACTGCGAACATCTCGTTCATTATATTTACCAGCCAATTCGCCTTCTCCAATCGACCCACCTTCACCAATGATTGCATCAATAATATCTCTCTCGGGTTGTGTTACCATGTATCTCATGTCATCTTCAGTAACATATCCTGGAAAAATTTTCCACCAATATTCAATAACAATATCTTTAAGTGGCCTTTTGGGGAGTAAATCTCGAATCGGTTTACGCATAATTCCAAGAAATGTTCTTGATCGGCATTGATTCATTAAATCAATGTACTGATTTCGTCCAATACCAAGGATTCGAAGGCAATCAGCGGCAGTAAAGTTAGGCAAGGTATCATAGCTTCTTTCATGTTCCAGTAAATCATGGATCATTCCTACATAATATTGAAATGGAGTTATCCGCATCCCGTAAATCACATAATCAGATAAATGATATGGAAATAACATCAGATGTTCACGACTGTAACGAAGCAGCTCTACATAATAGCCTTTTTCACTACGGCGGACACCTTTGACTGAAAAATACAATAAAAAATAAAAAATGAAAAAATTGCTATGATGAAGAGGTTAGTTCATGTAAATAAACTTACCCAAGTTGCCTATGAATCTTAGTTGGTTTTTAATGCTGTATTCCAAAATTTTCTGGTCATATTCAGATTTGGTGCCAACAATAACTTTAATCTCTTCATCAAGATCGTCCCAGTGTACATTATTGCGTATAGATCTTTCAATGTCTTCGGACATTCCTGTTATCAATCAACCAAAGGACGACAAGTAACCATTAGCATAACAAATCAACAAAGATCGTTAATGACCGGTCGATTTTTGATTACGATGCCAGGATCAATTTACCTAATATAATGAAAACAAAACAAAATGGTAGAAGATATTTTTTTGAAGTGATAATAATCAAGATAGGACACAGAAAAAGAAGAGAGAGGAAAAAACGAGAAAGAAAACAGAAAAGAAGAGTGAGAGATAGACATAGAAATTAAAGTACATTACTTACCAAATGTCAATATTGGTTATTGTCAGATAACCTGTAATTAATAGACCATACAATAGCACCACAGAATAAGGTTAAATTATAACGGGGAATATTTAAAATCAATGGTCATAATTTTTGTTGAAATACAAACAAGATTGACGAAGAAAATAAACAAGAGGTAAACAAGATTTAATTGAGTTGGGCAAAAAAGCTGGAACAGATATTTAAATATTTGATAATTACTGTCCAAATTAAACTAGTACATTAACTATAAGAGACAGTAAATTGAGAAACTGTCTAACTAATCTAAATAATAATCACATAGATCAGTTAATGTGTGTTGTTTGTTGGCGTATTTTTACCTGACTCTCGCCAGCTAATACAGCAAAATTGTAAATAGAAAGATAGAAAGAGAAGAAAGTGAAAAGAAGAGCTCTTTCTCCTTTTCTCATATGTTACTTTAGCTGTAAAATTATATCGAATTTTGATTAAAATATTGAATTTTCTATGATTCCATGAATTAACCAACTTTTACCTTTTTACTTTACAGTCAGTGGTTCCAATATTTTCATTATTTACTGAATTTAAAACTAAATAAGAGGGGAAAAAATAGATTCAAGAAAATTTTTATTGAAATATTCGGACAGGCAATGAGTATTTAAACTATGGACAATCAGTACATTTGGAAAAATTTGGCATATAGATTTGGCGAATTGACAAGTTATTTGAAGGAAGATCTGGCACCAAACCCAATCTAATAAGAATTCAATAGTATTGCTATCGAATAAATTTCTGAATCTATTAACGTCAAAAATGTTTAATAGAATGACCGTTCTGAAATACAGAGGTTAAGTTAATATTCACTGAATAGTATTCAACCACTGATTCAGTAATTTTGATGTGTTGTCAATTAAATTACAAAAATTGTTTCAAATTTAAAGCTGTTTAAATTTGCTGATGATAATTTTGATGCGTTACCCTAATAGCATTTAAAAACTGCCCATCCAACGACTCCATTCCATATGTTTTGTTTTGAAATATTTTGCTGTGAAAACACGTGTTTATTTTGAGGCTTCACTTCATACATGTGTGTAACATTTTCAATTAATTGTTTTGTTTGTTCGTTTATCTTTTAATTTCTCCAATAATGCCAAAATTTAAAACTAAAACACCAAAAGAACGCCATGATGGTTTACAAAAACAGAGTATAACCTTCAATAAAGACCTAGGACAACATATCCTTAAAAATCCTCTGGTCATAGATAATATGGTTGAGAAGGTAAGTAAATTTATTTTTCAAGATGCTATTTGTTTCTATTTTGAACGTATATTAATTTTACCTTATCTTCTAGGCTGCCTTGAGGCCTACTGATGTTGTGCTGGAAATAGGTCCTGGTACTGGTAACATGACTGTAAAAATATTACCACATGTTAAAAAGCTTGTCGTGTGTGAAATAGATATTAGATTGGTTGGTGAATTAGAGAAACGTGTCCAAGGAACACCATATCGATCTAAATTGAATATCTTGATTGGTGATGCTTTGAAGACAAAATTTCCTTTTTTTGACGTTTGTCTTGCCAACATACCTTACCAAATATCATCTCCATTGGTATTTAAACTTCTTCATCATCGCCCCTTTTTCAGATGTGCTATTCTTATGTTTCAAAAGGAATTCGCTCAAAGGTTGGTTGCTAAACCAGGAGACAAACTTTATGGACGTTTAGCAGCTAATGTTCAACTTTTAGCTCGAGTTGACATTGTTATGAAAGTTGGTAAAAATAACTTCAAGCCTCCACCAAAAGTTGAATCCAGTGTTGTCAGAATTGAACCAATCAGTCCGCAGCCAGATATAAACTTGAAAGAATGGGATGGAATGCTGAGACTCGTTTTCCTGCGAAAAAACAAAACTATTGGTGCAATATTTCGTCTAAAAGCTGTGATTGATTTAATGGAAAAAAATTATCGAGTTTATTGTAGTTTAAAAAATATCAAACTTGACGAAAATTTCAGTTGCAAAGAAATGGTGGAAAAGGTTTTGGAAGAAACTGGATTTCAAGAATCTCGTGCTAGGTCCATGGAAATAGATCAACTTCTTGTACTTTTGTGCGCTTTCAATTCTAAAGGCTTCCATTTCGTTGCTTGATTCACCTCCTTTGACTAAAATTAAATCAAAATTGTACATACAATTTTATTTATTTATTTATTTATTTATTTTACATAAAAAAGTATTAATGTCTGCTTATACTATACACTTCATAAATTATGTCTCATAATCACATAATGTCATTTTATTTTCATGCGTTCAAGTTATTCATCTTACCTGGCCATCATCTAATCAATAGATGAATAAACAGTCAATTTCTCCAGTGATTTGCTGTCTTCATTTTCATACTGACTTTTTAACCCAACTTGAATGGTCAATTGGCCCACTATTGCATCTTTTAATCCTGTTGTATGGCCTCAATTTGAACTACTAAACTCATTCCTGTAAATCTTCCTTCTTCTCTGCCCTGTTCTTTGAATATTTAAAAACTTTTCTTGCATTTCATCCTTTTTTAATCATCATCACCATGACCAACCCCGTTGACTCTCTTTATTCACCTTTTTACCCAATCCACCTCAAAGTAACCCAACCTGATCTGCTCTTCAATTGTGTTAGCGCGATAGCCCTAATCAAGGGTAACCAGATCGCTTTAAGCAATCTAGATCTACTTTTTTTGTCAAAATGTTGTTATCGATCTGATCAAGCTGAACTTGTGGCTGAATCCTTATCATTTATTCTTGTGCTATCTTTTATAAATCTGAGTACAAAATAAGCTTCCGTGTTTTACTTTCATTCTGATTGCTAAAAGTTATAATTCTGTCAGGATTACTTTCAACCTTTCAACCTTGAATAGGTCCTTTCAGTGAAAGCCGTTATGTTTGTTATCTCATCATCTTCAATTATATTTGGATTTTTGCTTTTAAGATTGACTCGGATAGCAGCCTCAATCAATTCCTCATCAATAGATCTAGATGATGAAGGTATGTGATGCCAACCCTTTCGCTTTCGATGTCCATCAAATTATCATCAATGTTTCTTGTGTTGCTTTATGGACTTGAATTCAAAAAAATCATGGATTTCTTGTATTATTGAAAAAATTATGCGAAGAACTAAATTACTATTCATATTCTTTCTTTCTTCAGATATTTTATTCTCCATGGAGAAGTCACCCGGAATTTTAGCCGCTGAACATCATATTGATAGAATAATGGAAAATTTGAAAGGTTTACACATCGAATCTCACATCGAAACCAATTCTTTTAAATCACAATTCGATCCAAGTGTTGATGAAGAGGATCATCCAGTTCTTGAACATTACTCGGTAGACACAAACCAAGGCTCCAATGTAAATAACTTGAAACGTTTACTATCGGAAAACTTTTCCAGGCAACGTAACCACGAATCAGATCCAATGTACAAAGATGAGGTGAGAGCAACAATATTAGGACGAATGGCTTATTACACAGCAGAATCATTTGTGCAACACTTTGAAGCTACTGTTAGCTTAGCTCGAACCGTAAAAGGAGCCAATATCATTGGTATCTTGCCTGGAATAAATCGGAATCAAAAAACTGATTCAATTGTACTTATTGGTGCTCACTATGATACAACTAAACACTCACCTGGAGTTGATGATAATGGCTCTGGAATTGCTGCTCTTCTTGAAATGGTACGAATTTTAGCCCCTCGATCTGGAGAGTTGAATAACACAATAATTTTTGTTGCCTTTGATCTTGAAGAAAATGGGATTCTTGGTAGTTTAGCATTTGTCAATCAGTATTTAATTCCGAAAGAATTGAAACCCAAAAAAACTGGATTTACTGGAGCCTTTATTTTGGACATGTTGCTTAACTATGATCCAAACAAACGATCTCAAACTTTACCCAGTGATGTGACTAGAGTGAGTTTTAATATTAGGAAAATTTTCAACATTTGTTTACATTTTCTAAGACATTCTTCATCTTTTTGGATTAGATTGTTCCAAAGGCTGGCTCATTCTTGCGAGGAAACCGGTATGCTGGCGATTTTATTGCTCTCATCTCCAGACGTGATTATGATGATGGTTTATTGGAGCCATTTAAGAAAGCTTGGTACACAATGCCTTCCCAGAGTAAATACAAGTTGTTGGTCATTGATCCACCGATTCCTCAATATCCACATTTTATTTCTGCCTATCGTTTTCGCAATTTCATGAGAAGTGATCATGCAGCGTTTTGGAATCATCGTAACAGAGATTTCTTGGCGAGTCTTCCAGCCGTCTTAATCACTGACACAGGTAAGAATAGAGACTTTTAATTCACAATATAAAATTGGAACAGAAATTAATCTAATTACTTTTGCTTTTATTTTATTCAGGCCCATTTCGAGGAGTCCAAAGAGCCTGCTACCATGAATTTTGTGATGATAAAGCTCAAATTACTACGGAAAATTTAGAGTTCCTTAAGCGCATTGTCGATACTTTGATAGTAACTGTTCTTAATTTAGCGAACTGAAAAACCAATGTTTTTAATAATATTGGGTTTAAATTTGTTAATTATCCAAAAAAATACCAAATTTCTCTGATAAATGCAGATATTTTTGTATGTCAGATGCCCAAGGAGTCAGGGTTAAGTTAACAAAAAAGGGTATAATTCAAGCTCATTTTTAGGTGTTCCTGTCCCGAGTATATTTAGTTTGTAGACAAGAAAAAAATGCAAACTGGACACAATAAAGTTCAATTTTACTTTAATTTATTGTAGGCGACTATGAAAAAATGTCCATTTCTTTAACTTAACCCTGGTTACTAGGTGTATAAGATAAATAACAAATAGAAATGAGAAGTAAATTGTCATCATGAGATTTTATCTACTCATACAATGACTTAATTTTATTAAAAAAAACAAAAACAACAACATTGAAAGGCATTTCTTTCTGCAGTTAACCATCCAAAGAATACGACTCAAGAAAAAAAGCAAATTTATTTCAGTTCAGAGTTGAAACTAGAATATTGGGTCCACCATTGAGTCAGTCAGATACAGTAAAACAGAATTAAATGCTCAAAGAAAAAACGAGGAATGGTAAGAAAATTGAAAGAAAGACAAATATGAAAGAAAAAGATCTTCATGCATTCTTTTTCTTAAAATTATACTGAGTTGATAATAATAATAGTAATAATAATAATGATAGTGATAATGATAATCCGTTCAACTTGATAATCCAAAAGGAGAAATCAAATAATTTAGTTGATGATTAATTGATTTCTTTCTCAGTAACACAGGAATTATTGGTGAGCTTTGGAGAAAAGACAATCATTGTTTGATGATCGTTCTTCTGTTTTTTTTTTCATTAATGGGTGAATTTTTCATTTCTCCTTGAGGTTGAATTTGTTGTTTAATGTTTCAAGTCTATAAATTTGCTATGCAACAAGCAAATAGAAAAGGAGTATCATGGCCACAAAGAAGAACATTTTACTTAGAAGTGCATCCTCTAAATAGTCAGGATTACTTGGTGAAGGAGCTGGTCGATTGTCACTGAAGTTAAATATTGTCGAGGAAAAATATCCGAATGGAAAGGCACCGATACCGAATGACATGTGAAAACCTCCATCACCAAATCCAAATCCGGGGAATGAGGTTGATGGATGCGGTTCCGGCTCAGTCCGTTGACCTGGAGGCCTTGGCGGTAAGGTATCGCGTGGATCACGGCGTGAAGATCCTCGACCATAAATTGGGGTAACCTTATCTCTAGATATCAAAGCTTTACATACAGGACAAACCTGGCGTTGAGGTTTAGTTTCTAACCATTGATACAGACACGGCCAACAAAACAGATGACCACACATAGAAACAACAGCATCTTTAGCAGTATCTAAACAAATATTACACTCGAAGGAACCATCATTGCTTTCCCGATTTTCACGGGTTGCTTCTTCTGGCTCAGTATTAGGCATTGTCTATTTATTTGTATCGAAATGAATAGTTGATATCACAATAAATGACCGATGACGATGGTAAAACGATGGTAATCCAAGCAACAGTGATGATGGTTGTATTTCAAGAACAAGTTACCTTCAATGAGACTGGGAAAAGAACAGAGAAAAAGAAAATTCAAGATCAATTGAATCAGAGAAAGGAAAGAACCAAAATTCAATTACAAATCAAAATGTTTCACCATTTGAATAAATATTAGATGAGAATCATGATCAAAATTAAACTTACCTTAAACTGAGATCAAACATCAAATCACTAGAAAAACAGTTAATAAATAATTAACTGATTGTAAAGAATAAACAATTAAAGTCGCCCATAATTGTTGTCTGGTTTCATCAAAATAACATAAATTGTAAGGCCTAGAAAGAGTTTCTAGCTTGAAACTTGAAAACCTCTGAAACACAGCAAAACAGTTACCGCTAGTGACATCTTATAGTGAGAGACGTTATTATACACTTTTTTAATGTTAAAAACTGGATTATTTTATGAATTTTATTTAAACAATTTAGTCAACAATTACTTGTCACCCTATTCATTGTTTTATTTTTACAACAGTTTAACTACCTGATTGCTGAATCAATATGTAGTCTCTATCAACAATAACTAGTGCAATCGCATGTCTAACATTTCATTGTTTCGTATTGTCAAGGTTGATTATTGGGATATTTAGAAGAAAACAAGATGACCTCCGATAAATCGGAGCTCGGAGCGTATTTATTAGAGACACAAGTTGTTTAGTCAAAACATGATCCAGGAGCAATATAAAAAGAGAAGTGGGAAAATGCTCATGAGAAATCAAGGAAATTCGGAAACAGAAATTTTCAATGGAGAAGACATTAAAGATTATCACCTTGAAAGACTGACCATTAAATCTAATTGAATGTTCCTGACTGTTGGAGTATTCAAATTTCCTGATCATCAATAGTTGATTAACATTGTGAAATTCATAGAGCTCACTTTTAGTTTATTGTCTCTCCAAGTCAATAATTGATATGAAGTTTAATGTCTATGATGCCTGAATCAGTTCAGTTAACATGAAATACTAAATACTTGACAACAAGAAAGTAAATATAATGTGTTACAGTTATGGTGGATTAAATTAAAAATATAAACCATTTATTAAATTATAATTGATCAGACTTTTTCCATCGATATCAAAATTTCTTGTTCAGTTGCTGCAAGGCTGAGTAACCAGACAATTTGTAAACACTTATTTTGCATAAGCAAATTCCCGATGATTTGAAATGAATAAATCAATAATTTAAGTCTATGAAAAGCATTTTTGATTATTGTCTGACCATCTTCATGTTACAGGAACATGATAAAGCTTTAACTTGGATCACATAATTTCTTGTTTGATTGTAATACAAAGTTTGATTAGAATGTTTGAAAACAAAATGTATTAATCAATTTAATCTTGTTTGATTGGTTCATAAAACCAGATCAATGAGAATCTAAAAAAGCTATACAAAATGAATGAGATTGAAATGAACATTGTTATGTAATTATATGCTAATAATCCAGTCATTGGAGTGATTAAAGCTGACAATTTAAGAACATATGCCATCATCTTTAAAAAGGTTCTGGAAAATAAAAAATATAAAACAATTATTATAAATCAGTTTTAGTTTAGTTTTTGATTTGATACTTACTTATTTTTACACGGCGAGTAATCTGAATGAAGTAAAATGCTGGTTGAAATCGCAATTAAATAGCTAGAAATAATATGAGGATCAACAAATGATTTTGAAAATTGATTACGGATAAATTGATCTCTAAACCAGGTTACTAGAGTTGGAATTGTTGGAACCAGAGATGAGCAAATAAGAAGAATTAGTGTTGTATCAATGTAACGATAAGTAGTCTTTTCATTTGAGCCTTTACGAAGTTCATTAAGATGTTGAGGAATTGAAACAAAGAGAAGCTTAAAAATGAACAGAATGTTTGCCGCAATTAAACAGATCGAGCTACATGTCAATATAGTAACGAGAAGAAAAGTTGCTGTGATTAAAATTGGAATAATTTTGAGTCTTGGTATTTTTTCTTTCACTTCCAGAGAATCCAATTGGTTTCGATTGAATCTAAAACAAAAGATATTAGAAGAAGATTAGATTTTGAGAAAGATGTTATATAAATTAAGCAAAACTTACACTCTAATTAAGTTAGAAGCAATATTAGAAAAGAAGAAAATCATCAGATCAATTGTAGATGCAATTACAAATGTAAATGAGTATGAAAATAAGTATAGAAAAGTATGAAGAAAAATTTTCTGGTTGTCACTTAATGAAAGATGAGAAAACGGAATAACAGAGTCGGAAATCAGTGAAATCCCAAAAGATAACTCGAAAAATCTAGAAAAGAAATAAAAAATACAAATTTTAGTTAAGACTTTTGACAATAAGTTGAGATTGGCATTTTTCAGATAAATTGAATTACCTGATGATTTTATCCACAACAAAAGGTGAAAGTGGTAATAATGCATAAAGAGATATCTTAAGGAAATTGTTTTTAAGTATCACAAATAATGGTTCGAATGTTTCCCGACTGTGAATAAATCCAGCTTTTTGTAAAGGCTCCAATATGTTTCTGTTGGGCTGAGGGAATATTTGGATAGATAACGCAGAAAGTAAAATTGCTGATATATATGGAAGAAAATAGTTGAAATAATGACGAATCAGTTGACTAAGAACTTCTTGGTAAGAAAAGTTAATTTTAACAACGTAACCACAATTAGGGTCCAACATAAGGTATAAATGAGGATGCCTAGGATCGGATGGATCTTGTTTTGGAATATTAAGTCGCAAATTCATCGTAACTGATTTACTTTTAGAGGGTGCTATTTGACTAGAAGTATCTTCATAACTCCAGGGAACCCAAAATTGAATAAGGCCATATTCAAAAGCATTCTGGTAACAAGAACGAACTTCAACTTTTAAATTATAGCTATGCCAAACTTGACTAAAGCCAACCAGAGTTAAGTTGTAAAAAACAGCTTCCTCAGCCACCGGAATTTCCAGAATGTCAATTGATGTCCAAAGAAGTGACATTAAACCATCCAAAAATGTAGGCATAACAATGGCCTTATTTCGACGACCAAACGAATATCTTTCACCAATAACAGCAACTGGCGTAACGGTTGGTCCAAGATAAACAACAATATGGGAATGCCCTGAGTTAATTAATTTATCTGAATCCAATTTCAAAACTTTCCGTTCATTTCCAAAAGTCTTTTGAATAAGTCGACTCATGTGAGTAAGACTTTCTCCGTTTTCACTGAAAGATAAATTTAAAATTAATTTATAATTTGATTATGTTAAAGCTTGTAACTTGTACCATAACTGAGTCGATGTCCCGTTAACATTGATTACTGTTGCATTACAACCATAAACCCAATCACTTCTCATAACGTTTGAAGTTAACAATATCACATTAGTTTTCGGAACCAGGGGAAATAGAAGAAATGTAGCATCAATAATCTGTTTTGTAAAGGATGAAAGTTAATCATTATGATGGATCAGAATTAACAAGAGTTGTTGAATTACCTTATTACGACGGAAAATAAAATACCGGTGATCGAATGAAATCCAAATTCCTTTTCGTGGAAGTTTAGTTTTTAAAGGTATAATCACATTACTGGAAGGTCCTCGGTTACGATTGAGCAAGTGGTAAGAAATTATTTGTGTGCGTCTCTTTGGATCAGAAATAATTTTGTGCGATTTAGAATCAGCAAGATCAAAAATAAGTTTAGCCAATTTAACAATCAATTGTCTACACCAAATGATACATTGATGGTCAGTTGATAGCCAAACATCGGAAACAGCTGTAGTTAATAGATTGATATCACCTGAGCTTGGCAGTAGATCGGGTAATTGAATTAAATCGGATTTAACCAACTTATCGTCAAATCCACCGCCAAGAGAGATAATAGTTAGATGATTGAGTTGAGATGAATTTCGATTACTTTTCCAATAAGAGAGTACATTATGATAATAATTTAGCATATGAGTATCAATAAAAAGAGCTGTATAAGATGAAATAAGCAATAAATTAGTATAAAAATAATCAAAACAATAGGAAAGTCAAGAGGGAAAAAACGGAAATGTGAAACACTTCAGATTTTGCTAATCAAGAATAAATATTCTCAAAAGAAGAAAGAAGGGGATAGAGAGAGAGAAGAAATAATCAATAAAAGATTCAAGTCATCATTCCAACTAACCAGGTTGTTTATGTGGTGTTGCTAGCGTTATCAGCAAATCGACAGATGATGCTTCAAAATTAGGCATGGTGAAAACTCCTCGGCTAATTAGTCCACCCTAAGAAGAAAAACAATATCAATAAGATTAATCAGCTATTAAATTGACTTTTTGTTGTTTTGAGTAGCCTTGTTTAATATTTATAACTTACTATTGAATGTCCTATTACAATAAGCGAAACATTCCGTCCTGCTTCTAAGTAAAGCTTTTTAATTGCTTCAATAGATTCATATAAAAATTCCGTTTGAGATTGTAATTTAGCCCCATATAGGCCAGATAATTCTTCACTAAAGTCTATTGTGAAAAAATTGAAATGATGAGGCATTAATCGTTCTTCAGCCATTCGTAAGGCAATCGATCCAAAAGAACGAACTTGTTTGTAGCTACCAGCACTTCCAGGAACAAAAAGAACAGGTATTCCATAGATAACTCCTTCTCTGTAAACAAAATAACAAAAAAAACACAAAATTTAATCAATCAAAGATAGACAAAAATCGATGGGAAGTGGACAAAAAAGGAGGAAACAAAGAATACAAAAGAAACAATCAATAATACAAAAATATTCAAAAAGGTTAGAAAAAAATTACCTGAGAAACATTGCATATTCACCTTCACCATAGATGTATAAATTGTAATTTGGGAATTTTTTGGAAATATTGTTACGCAGAGGAACAGGCTGTGAAATAAAAGATAACATGAAATATTAAATATTAAATTCGACTGGTTGTTGGATAAATTTCTGAGAAATATGCCGATATGATCAATTGGACAGTGATGACTCGGCAAACATTTCGCATTTCATTAGTAACCATTGTTCAGATAATTAAATTGAATGACCGGAACAAATAAGCTGCTATGAAGAATTGCATCGATAATCAAATGGATTGAATAAACTTGAAAACTACACAACCGTATAACAGGATGAAGTTGTTGCCATGTTATTGTTAAACTTCATTGATCAGTACTTAATGAAAAGTACAAGTTTTTGCTTGAATTTTTCATGAAGTAAAATTTCTCTAAATAATTGTATCATAAATCTGCTCATCGAGTACAAAGACATACTTAAGTATGCGACGATAGTCAAAGTAAAATCTTAATTACACCTCAGCAAAGGTTTTGTAATCTTTATTTCTACAGAAAAAATGACGTTTCATAATGAGTGTACTGTGACAAATTAGTTATGCTAGTACAATTTTTCACTGAAAAATTGAATAATAAGATTTTTTCATGTTGTGAGTCTAACAGAGTAAAACAGTCAAAAATAATAACATGTAAAGCAAATGTTGTTCAGAATGTTCATGGTCAGATGAACCACACTCCTTTTAACCTTTGTAACAAGAGGCACAAGAGATTTTATTTCTTTCCTTGATAGAGGTGTAATTAATTGATCAAGAAATTATTTATGAGACAACAAGAATTATATCAAAATGATTAAGAAAAATAAAAGATCGTTTTGACAACTTACTATGAACTGAGGAAATTGATACATGAAAGTCATTTCACATTGGTTGTGTTCCTCTTTAATTGCATAATGGTAAAATCCAAAGCACAATAAGCTAAAAAGTAGAATATAAAATAAACTTAATTTTGATTTAAAAAAATCTTTAATAAATAAGTTAACCATGGTTAGAGTAAATTAACTTTCAATCTAACTCACAACCATGATCAACTTGTTCTGATGAAAACAAACTCATCACAGAACAAAAAATCAAACTTGTGGTTGAATAAAAAGTCAAAAGATTGCGCTGCTAACTGTTTTCTAAAAAATGCTTTTATCAATGAGAGAATCAATTGATTCTTTCTTTGTACAATTTTTTATTTACGTTAATTAAGTGTCATATAAGTGTCGTTTGACTGTTTAAGAAATAAGATGACTTTAAACACTTTAACCAGATCTTCGAGGGTTTTATTAACAAACTTCAACCTAGGAAATAATCGATGTTCTGCTAGATGGACGAGTGATTGTATAAAAATTACACCTTTGCAAAGGACTCTTCTTGCCATAGGTTCATCTGCTGTTGCTCTCATTGATCCATTCAGGGATGGTAAGATATTTTAACGATGTTTAATCCATTTAATAAGATTGTATAACTGATATTCATTTTTCTTAATACTAGATATGGTTGCTGTTAGCGGGGAAGTAATGGGACAACAAGCACTAAAACGAATGTGGAAAAATATGGCTTCAGATGAAGAAGGTTCTAAAATATTAGCTGACAAACCCAGAATCAACTCAAGTCAAATCGATTTAAAATATTTGGAATCATTACCGGTTAATTCTCTGGGTCATCAATACGTAAAATTTTTAAAGGATAATGTAAAGAATGCGAATTAATCCAATCTTACCTTTCTTTGCATTGCTCAAAATACTCATCTAATGTATTCTTTGTCACAGAATATTAGCTGTGATACTCGAAAAGAAGTTAAATTTGTGGATGACCCGGAATTGGCTTATGTTATGCAAAGATACAGAGAAACTCATGATTTGGTTCATCTTTTATTGCATATGCCAACAAATATGCTTGGAGAAGTAGTCGTTAAATGGGTAGAAGCAATCCAATATAATCTTCCCATGTGTTGGGGTGCTGCTGTTTTCGGTGCTTCTAGATTGAAACCCAAGCAACGAGCTAAATATACTTCGACTCACCTTGATTGGGCCATACAAGCTGGGAAGCAGTCACATTATTTATTAAATATTTATTTCGAGAAACGTTGGAATCAAGATATCGAAAATCTACGTCAAGAACTCAACATACCAAGTCCACCATAATGAACTTCGCACTTGATCTGCTACAATCTACGAATTACAAGAAAATTTAACTGTAATAGTTATTAAAGCTCAACAGTAAATTTTAGTCTGTTAGCATTTAATCTAGACCGATCGAGATCGAATGCAAATGATGGAAATTTAATCTATGAGCAATTCAATCTTCATCTAAATTGTATACATTTGCGATCTTAATACTTACGCTGGTATGTCATTTTCATCAAATAATGATCTCAATGCCGGTTTTGAGTTAATGTTTTCAATATATTGGAAAAGAAGACTTTATTTCTTCACAGCTCCACCGTCAGATGAATAAATCGATCGATTAAAGACTACTTTTAATAACTTTAGTTACTTTATCATTATGTTTCAACAAAAATAATCAGCTGGGTTCATAGCAACAGATGAATCAGGTTAACTTTGTGCACACCATGTAAACTCGTGATAAATATTTTCATCGATCTATTAGACTTTTTATTCTACAATCCAACCAGTTAGACTTCTTAGCAAAATTGGGAAAATGCGCACCTTAAAGGCAAAAAATTGATTGCTGTTCGTCAGCTTAATTGCAAAGCTAACAAAGTGGAAAAACAATAATGTTAGGGAAAAGTTAACGCAAACTTTCCATAATATTCTTGCATTGATGGGATCATCTTTACCAGGATTTAATGAAAATCTAAATTTCATCAGATTTGGTCAACAACCTTTGGTGAAAGTTGATTGAAAACTGTATAGATAATGTATCCTTCAATCCTTTTAATCATGACCACGGGGCCGTTATGATTTGTTTTTCATGTCTTTGTTGTTTAATTGGGCTCAAAGAGTAGAGAAGTTGCTTTACTCTTTGATTTGGCTTGTTTTTGATATTTTTGCTGAAAAAAACACTTTTTTGAAAGCGACTAAAGGTGATGAAAAGTTGTCAATGAAATCGATTCAGAACTAAAATTAAAACTTGATTCAAATACATTTTACCTTTACTTGACAAAAGGATAAAAAACTCAACAACAGTGTGTTAATAAACCACCGGATATGTCCAATCAGGACATGATAAATAAACATTAAAAGCAAATAAAATTGTATTTAATCCAATTGTAATCTGGTTTGGAGTAAAGATCATTGATTCGGTTGTAACCCATAATTTACTGAATTCATTCACTTTTTTACTTCAATCATTGATGATGTTTGTTTTACTGTCTTTTATGAGTATATGATCGCAACGGTATTTGTACAAGGTCCAAATTTCACTCCAATTTACTAACTCTAATAGGCTTGACAAGATCAGATTGTCATTGATTGAAAACATCATTTTGCAGCTAAAGTCAATCCATTTTCAGAAAACTTGTGAAAATTTCATCTCTTGTATTTGAAATCGCAAAGATGTTTTACCGAACTTTAAGTGTTCTTTTGATTTTTATTACTTTATTCAAAAATATTTCAACCGATTGTCCCGTAATCAATATTCCCGCAGGAGCTATTGTTATTTCTGGATGTTCAACATTGACAAACTCAGTTTGTTCAATTCAGTGTACTTCAACGGGTGTAATTCAGTCGCAGATTTGCCAAGCCAATGGATTATGGTCAGGAACGCCATTCAATTGTATGATAAACTAAAAAATCCTAATCATTCATAGGTGAGTAATTAAGTTATCGTCTTCATTATCTAGGTTTTGGAACTGGATTTGGAACTGGATTTGGACAAGGCTTCGGTAATTTTGGGCAAGGTTTTATCGGACAAGCAACTTGCACAAATCTAGCAATTCCAGTCAATGGTTTGTATTCTGGAAATTGTTCACCAGGAATTGTTGGTGGTACCTGCGTTTTCCAGTGCAGACCCGGTTTTGTGCTTAGAGGCACTTCCTTGTTATCTTGTCTCAGTACAGGTAGTTGGTCAGCAGCAGCTCCAACTTGTACACCACAAACTCAGAGTAAGTTTACCTTGTACTCAAATTCATAACTCAATTACTTTTTTATTTTTACCATGATTTTGCTTCCCTTTGAACAACAGCTCGTTGGTATGTACTTATTAGACGTTGGTTCGGTTGATGTACTCAAATAATCTCATCAAAATAATCATCCAATTCTATTTAATTTAATCTATTCTATCCAATTTCATTTATTTGGTTTAATTACAACAAGATCAGAAATCTTAGTCTCGACTTTTGGGGAATCAGAATCCAAATTACCTCAAAACCTATTTTTTGAAAATAAAATTCACCAAAATTTTATTCTGCATTATTTTTGTGTATTTATGGCACTTCTTTCAATAAATAACTGTTTGTGATTAAACGTGGTTTACGTCTTTAATTGTTTTTACCTAAGAATCTGATAATAATGGTTATTTTATTGGACACATTGTTCATGAAACTTTAATCTATTGACAAAGAAACCGAAACTGATGTGAAATAGGCAATTTTCACTTTTGAAAAGTACATTGTAATTTAATTAACATTTGCTTATGCATGTAAATGATCAAATTGGTTTTCAATCATTTGATTTGTTGCATTAGATAAAAAACGAAAATGAATCGGAGATTACATCAAGTTATGTGAATTGGATAATCTTTTGTTTAATTGTCTGTTTAGGTGCATCAATGCATCTACCTTAATGGAATGATGTCTGAAAGCATTTCAAAATTTGAAACTGTCTATTCCGAGATAATGTGAATCAAAATTACAAGAATGTGTTGAGAACTGGAAGAATACTAATTCATTGGAAAGAAGAAATTTAAATAAATTAACTTAAAAATCAAATTGAAATGGAACTAAAAGAGGGTTTGGAGTCACAGCTGAAGTAACTCTCATTAAGTTTGATTAAGTTCTATTCCCATTCCTATTTTATGTCCACCTCCGTTCAAATTTTTTAGATCAAACATGGACGACAGTGATATCACGATACCAGGTCTGAGTATATGAGAGAATCCGAGGCTAAACTGACTGTTGTTATTGATTTTAGCTCGAACAGTGGAAGTCGAATCCAGTTGATAAACACATCCGAGAGCCAATTTGGTTGATGAATTATCAGCTGACCATCCGACAGAAACAGCACTTTCTAAAGATTCATTGACTTTATTGTAGATTGATCCATTAAAATCATATTTCTCATTAAGACTGCCATGTACAGCATAGTCATGAGTACCATAACCAGCGGCGAAATTTGTCTTAATCATCTTTCTTAGATTTGGATCATAAGTAACTTGTGAGCCAATTAAAAATTCTTTGGATCCAATAACAGCGGTTCCATTGACCATTGCTCCTGCTGGATCAAAGTCAACATCAGTGCTAAGGTTTACCAAATCTCCTCTGCATTTAGCAAAAATTGTTCCTCTCTGAGATCCATTTAACACAATAGATCGTCTGCCTCCCAAAGTTAGTCCTTTTATCAATTTATCTCGATGAGACAATTCAACAGTAATGTTATTATCAGAGTCCAATTTTTTTTTCAATGTCAATCCACACTTGTTAAGAGTATAACTGGCATCAACATTAGCAAAAGTTTTATTGGTTTCACTATTTGATGAGCCATGAACATTAAATTCCAATCCAGAAGATGTTATAGTTCTAACATCTAGTTTTACAAATCCAAGATCTGAATAAAGAAAGCAAAAATCCAAAAATTAGACAAATTGGTTCCATACTAGTAAAGAGTAATGGAAATGTGAGACGTTAAAATTGAAGAGCCTGTACTAATCTGTTTTGCGATAGGAGTAAACAAAAGCAGCAATAAGCGATAAAAGCTCAAAACAAGCATTGAACATTTTGCAAAGCGCATTGTTTCACGGTTCCAACATGATTATTACAATTTTTCAATTAGAATATCGTGTGATGATGGTTGTGGCTAGAATGAGGGAAACCATTCAAAGGACAATGAATAAGATTTTAGTTGATGGACAGATGATTAACAAAGGAGCATATGAATTCACTTTGATCAGCTTGTAAACAATCCACATTGGAAGAATTACAAGTGATTATTGGATTTATCTCTTACTATTTTTAACTGTAAGAATCTGGTTACACTTAATATTGCCATCTGAATGTTTTCCCTTTAGAGCCAATTTGAGAGTAAATTCCTTACGGTAATGTTTATTAAAGATGTCTCTGGCCTGGTATCCCAATTCATAATAAGATGGTGGGGCCATTGTTATCCAAAAGATGATCTCCAAGTACGGATTCGCACTATAATCAAACCACAATAAATTAAATTAATTATTCGATATCTGTTTAATCAGAATCTCTGTCACCAAATTTAAAATAAAAATAAATAAAACAATTGTTTAATAATTTGAGGAAACAGCTTTAAGAACAGAGACAAAAGAGGTGAAGGCAAAGAGTATAGCTATTGCTCTTTGGGTGAAGGTTGAAGGTTGCCACGGAGAGAAGTTGAGAGTCTGTTCAAGATGTAAACAGATTTGTACACATTGTCAGGGTAACCATAATACAGATTTTTAAACCCGAGTTGTGTAGATCAACGCATTTTGAAGACGGTTTCAGGTTGATATTAGGCTCAACTGTTTCATTCAAGCGAACTAACTGTTTTTTTTTCAACAAAACTTATTAAAAATGCAAAAAAGTAAACAATAATTACCTTTGGTTGTGCTGTTTGTTTGATAAGAGGATGATACCTGATGTTATTCTTGAAAACTGATTTTAATCCAATCCTCTTTGTCTGCTTTCAAGTTATTCATTCGCTGGTACTAAGGTATTGTAGCGATGTCAAAGATTTGGTTGAGTTAATCAGAAGTGAATTCGGTTCAATAACCAGAACAGTTTGTTTCTTATTGGTTTTTACTTCTTGCTGCTTTGAGATTCACTGAGCTGTTTGAGTTACATCAACAATTAAGACACTAATACAATAAATCTGGCTACTCTTCCATCTAACCTGAACCTTATAAATCTTGCTTATCAATTATTGCCATATAAAGTCCAACACTTAATCATATTTTTAAGCCAATTCGGTTTACAAGGAGAAACCATGATGAAATAATGTACTGAAATGAAGAGATAATTTATTACTGAATAAATAGTGATTACTAATCACTGATTAGTAAAACAATGCTTGTCTGAAGCTTTAGAAGCACATGTTAGTCAATTGAAAAGCTAAGCATTTTCAATAAATTGAGTTCATGCATCTCTATCAGTTAATCGATTAATGATAGGAAAGATATTTACGGTTTTGATTGGTTATGGTAACAAAACTATGATTTTTGCTTGATTAACCAAGTCATTAATTGAAAATAATCCGACTACACCAATTTGACATGAAAATGTTAAATTAATTAGACTAATGCGTTTGATTGATGGAAATTTCCGAACGCCTCTTTGCAGCAAAACAATTTATCCGTTCCAATTTAAACACCATGCTTACTTGACAGACTTAAACTTTATAACCATTTTTCGTCTGTAGCATAACATTTAAAATATAACACTAAAAATTGTCCCACGATAAATTAAATAAACTCATTGGTTCAAATGATTAAATTAGTTAAGTTAAGTTTTATTAGTCACACAAAAATAGCCATACTAAGCAAATTTAGCCATAGCCATAGCCAAACGAGAAAACCGACGAGTTACCAGACTAAAAGAAAGAAAAACTATTTACTCAAAATGTCAAAGTCAATGATGATGAATCAAATTTGATGAAAGATCAGTGTTAAAAAGCTCGTAAATTTGAAAATCATGTATTTCAGCTGGAATAATTTCATCATGTAAATTTGATTCAGAATTGCAACTTTTCGATAAAATACTCACAAATCAGACTTGACCCATCAGTTCATCTTCTCTGCCTTTTGGACCAGAAGTTTGGATTGGAATTTCATAATAAAGCTTTACCATGAGTTCAACGAAAGGTATTTGCCAAGGTTCGTCAAGTTCAAGAGACATACAGCTAGGGATTTCAACAATTGTTGATTTTTCTGAACATTGAAGTAAATTCTTTTCGAAGATCACGCTGTTCTTGGTAACATAAAAATGTCCCGACTCAACCAATTCTCCTACAAAATAAAGAAAATACAAAAAGCATTAGATTGATTGAAAGGGGTGAAAGAGGCTATCAAATCTTACCTGGCCAATCTTGCCTTCTTGGTCGTGCTGCAGGATCGAAGTTAACGGGCATTACTCCACAGTCTATTTTTGGCGACCAACGGAGATGGTGAGATTTTGTAACAGAAAAAACTGAATTCCATGATCCACATGAGATCAAATCAAATGCTTGCTTCAGATAAATTTTGTTTAAGCATGGAGATGTACATTGTATCAAATATATAGCACCAGACACTACAGGGAAAAATGTAATACGTTAGAAGGTGGGTCATAATTCAATTTGAAGAATCAGGTCGAAAGCTGACCTTCATGGGTAGACAGAAAATTTTTCACAGATTTCAGGGAAGAGCAATCATTTCCAGACTCTGTTTCAGGTCGGAAATGGATTTGAACTCGTGGTGAGAATGAACGCGATATGTTAGCAATGTGATTATCGTTAGTAGAAACCCAAATTTCATCAAGAAAATCGCATGAATCAACTACCTTTAAACAGTAACCAATTAATGGCGTTCCGTTGATAGGAAAAATATTTTTATCTGGAATTGATTGGCTGCCAGATCGAGCCAATATAAGGGCAACGTGTTTCATCAGTAAACGAATAGCATAACCTTCACCCAAAAATATTAGAATCAGGGCGATGGGCCATTGGAGCCAACAATCCCATAAGATTGAAACAGGTTATGTAATCGCTACAATTTTGTGGAAACATCAGGTAATAGGCCGAAAACCTTCATCGGTTGTGTTGAGTTGAATGAAACAATTTAAACAGTCTAAGATCAGGACATTTTTAATGGAGATTACGAATAAACACGTGAAAAACTGAGCAATAAAAAACTAAAAAGGAAATTGAGAAAGAGGAAATACTTAAGAGCAAACAAAACCACACAACTCTGCTTTTATAGTGGTTAAGATTCTGAACTATCGATCGATTACATCGATGATAGCAGCAGCATGTACCATCGATCATCGAAGATAAACAAAACGGAAACATGCGGTAGATAAAAAACGTGTTTTAATTGTTTGATAAAAACAAAGTTATCTTCCTAATGAAGAAAGATTTGAGCTTATAAATCACGAAAATGACCAATAATAATATTGTATAAGGCTCATTGAAAGAAATAAGCTCATAAGTTTAGACGCTTATGAGTTCTTATGTTTTAAGATTTATTTTTGACTAATTACAATTTCATTTTTTAATAACTTGCTGATACTTTTGCTAGAGCAGACATCAGATAATTATTAGTTAGAAATTGTTAAAGGACTAATATCAGAATCCAAACAAGCAGAACTCAATAGCGAGCATTTTAACCGTGACGTTTTTTCATTACTCATCATGTTATTTAATTTATCATTAAATTTACATCCATTTTGTACATAAGAAAAAGTACAAAATTAAATTATTGTAATATTATCTTATTCAATTGGCACAGTTTCAAACAACTGTATCAGCGACAGTCCGACTAATGTTTGGCATATCTTTATCCACACTAATAGATTTGGTTTTCAATTTTTTCAGGCAATTGATTGTGTAAAATATAGAAATTAAAGTAGCTATCAATATGGAACCATAAGAAACTAGAATTAAAATGTAAAATTGAGATACACTGGACAGAATAGCGGTTATAATGAATTTGATTAGCTCGGCTGATGTATTAACACTGTTTTGTATACCTCCAATCAAAGGTGGATTTGGAGTTGTTGTTTGAATCAATTGATTAGTCGCCAAATCTGCTGACCATAAACCAATCCGTGATAAAGTTATTCCAGCTAGAAATAGTACAATTGACAGGTCATATTTGAATAATTTAACTCCTAAGAGATGAGATGGAGCAAAAACGATAATTAAACATAATGTTAAGGGTATTAGATCCATGAAATAACCAATTGTTGATATTGCATTCAGATTTGAGTGTTTAACCATTGATTGAAAAAATATTGTGCCAATGATTCCGGTAACAGCTCCAAGAACACTTATTATTCCAATTACACTCTCAGTCACTCCTTGTGATTTGATGAAACCAACTGTTATTGAATCAAAACCCAATACAGAAAGATAAATTAAACCAAATGAAATACCAGGCAAACCAAAATATTTCAAATAGCTAACAATTGATTCGATGAAAGTGACTTTATTTTTAGTGCTGTTTTCAATTGCTAGATCTGATCCCACAGTTGTTAATCTTTTATCTTTTGCTAATTCAGGGACTGATTTGTAAATTTTGACCATAATTAAATATTCGAGTAAACCAGAAACTACATTGAAAAACATCAAAAACAATGCAGAAGCCAAACTTGACCATTCCATTATAAAACCAACAATAAGCGGAGCAATCGTTTTCATTATTAAATCAATCCGTCTCAAAGTAGCATTCAGCTCTGTACAATAGGACATAAAAATGGTTATTAATCGAATTCTTAGTTGGTTTAAATGGAGTAAATTATTTACCTGATAAATTTCCAACATTCTTAGAAATAACAATAATCCAATCTTTTTCAAGGGACAAAGTGTAGCCATAAGAAAAGACTTGAGCAAGAGCTGAAAAAATTGAGCGAATACTGAATACATGGAGCGAATCTATCTGCAATCTGAGCAATTGAATTGATTTATTAAACATCTAATTGTATGAAAACGATGATTCAAAAGCAATATTTATATGAAATTGCAGCATTAAAACTCACCCGATTCAACGATGGACCAAGAATATCATCTCCAATGAAGTAAAACGCGACAAAAGTAGCACTTATAAAGACGCAAAACTTTTGGACAAACAAGAAGACAGCAACCTCTTTAAGTCTCGGTGCTTTTGATATCCAACGAACAAGATATGGCAATATTATAATGGTTAAACATGATGCTAAGATTCCGTGAAGAGCTGACAATAGCAATGAGTCGGGATTCAATTTAATTAAATATAATCCAATAGCGAATTCCCAGCAGCGGTCGCCCTAAAGTAAAACAAAATACTGATCGATATTATTGTACATTAGATTGTTTTGTTAATAAAAAGACACAATTTACACAATTTTCAATCATTGGAAGACTAATTTGCAGTTAAATTCTGCATAAATAGCAATAAGTTTAAGTTACATTTTGAATATAACGACTGTAGCCTCCAAGAAAAAGATCATCTTTAACTAAATACTCATTGAACACCCAAAAATAGTCTACTTTATTGCCATTTACAATACAATATCAACCAGTTTGTTGCTTAAAAGAAACATTTGTGCACAAATTGTCACAACTTAACACAAATGGGCAGAAATGGGTGAAAGTTAATTTCCTTTGGGTTATGACTATGTTAGTTAGAAGGGGAATAAAAACCATGTCCATTAGTGCTATTAAAAGATTTCTCTGACCAATAGTTCTCGAAAATATTGAGTCCGAAGTTGAAACTTTGATGGCCTTTTGTGCATTTATCGAAGCAAGGTTTTCCATGAAACTAATATCAGTGATGATACTTTTGATGATCAACCAGAAAATGCTCTTATTGTGAGCAATAAAGTTTTCTGTCCAAAATAAAACGCAAAAGTTCGATTTTTATTTAAAGCTGTCGCATTCTGTGACCGAAAACTTTAGAGTGTTGAAACTTGTTTTCCATAGCTAAAAATTTGTCTCTTCATATCACGGATATAATGATTTTTGCAAGTTATCAATAGTTCTCTTGATTTTGGCTTTTGACCTGAAAACTTTGACGCTAAATATTTCGATTATGGTAGCACTTAAATTAACCATTCTTTGTCCAAACATTAGATTTTATCATGGGTTATAAAATGGTATGATTGAATGTGTGTTATAATGAATATTCTTTGAACAAACGCGATTTGAGTTTGAGCGAACATTTAGCTTTATAAATCAAGTTTAAAATCTGGTAACAGAATAATCAAATGCTATAACTTTCTTTGTGGGATCTTGAATAATTCCATATGTTGATATATTATAGTTCATAATAAAATCTAATGTTTGGTCAAAGAATGGTGTCTTTAAGTGCTACCATAAGCGAAATATTTATCGTCAAAGTTTTCTGGTCGACGGCCAAAATCGAGAGAACTATTGATAACTTGCAAAAATCATTATATCCGTGATATGAAGAGACAAATTTTTAGCTATGGAAAACAAGTTTCAGCTCTCTAAAGTTTTCGGTCACTAAATGCGACAGCTTTAACTAAAAATCGAACTTATGCGTTTTATTTTGAATAGAAAACTTTATTGCTCACAATAAGAGCATTTTCTGGTTAATCATCATAAGTATCATCTGTGATGAGAGTTTCATGGTAAAATGTGCTTCCATAATTGCACAAAAGGCCATCAAAGTTTCAACTTCGAACTCAACTTTCTAGGAAACTATCGGTCAGAGAAAACTTTTAATAGCACTAACGGACATGGTTTTTATTCTCCTACAAAGCGAAACAGTTTTTATTTGCAAGAAATTAACTTTTGCCCGTTTCTACCCATTTGTTTAAAGCTGTATCAATTTGTGCACAAATGTTTCTTTTCAGCAACAAACTGGTTGATATTGTATTGCAAATGACAATAAAGTAGACTATTTTCGGGTGTTCAATGAGTATTTAGCTAAAGATGATCTTTTTCGTGGAGGCTACAGTCGTGTTATATTCAAAATGTCATGTCTGTGGCTTGGGTTTAATGCTATCTATGCAGAATTTCACCGAAAAATAGTCGTTATTAAACCTTAATAACAATTGTGTCAGTTGCGTCTTTTTGGTCACAACCATTCATGATGATCACAATAAGCTTTTCTCCTCCACCTTAACCAGAACGGTTCTTAGCTTTTAGATCCTTCAATGACTTATAAATCTTGTTAGCTAAAAATAATAAAAAAGACAGTTCTAACATAATAAATGTTACAATTGTGTTAATTGTGTTGAAAGTACTTCACGAGTATATTCGAGTATAGACTGGCCTAAACCTAATCTTAACCTTGCCTAAATCTGAACTACAATCTAAACCTGAACCCAAGTCTTAATCTAATGATAACCAACTGAAAGGAATACACTGAACAGAGCTGAACCAAACTAATTTTGTTATATAATTATAATTTGAACACAGTCCCTTAAAAATTTTCGAGCAACACAGTATTGCTCTCTTCCTAAACATCATTATTCCTGGTCCTTAAGCTCCTTCACAACCAATAAAATCATCTTTCAAAATCGTTCAATTAATCCCTAATTGTTGGATTAACCTTTGTTTTGACAATAACTCAGGTATGTAATATACTTATAGCATAGACTAGACTAAAAAAGTTATAACTAGATATATCTTTACATCCAGGAAAGTGTTATCATAATGAACTCGATTGTTCGCCAATGCTTGAATCCAAGGACTATTAAAGGTCTACAAATGATGCAAAAAAGAGGCTACTCGTATCCATATGATAATAAGTTTCTAGTCACTCCACCGCGAACACCAATATCGGTAGCTGAAAGAATAGCTTGGTTTACCCTGCTCTTCACCTCTATAACCTCTGTCCCTGCTTGGATTCTTTACCATCTTCGTCTTTATCGAGGCCAAACCTACGATGACTGGATCAACTATCAAAACAGATGGGTCAAAAGTGGATAATTGACAAACATTGCGAGCTATCGGGATACCTGACTTGTACCTAAACATCAGCAATTCCAGTTAATTAAGATCATGTGCTGCTTTCGATGCAATTAAAATCAAAAGTGCCAGAAATATAAATACAATTAAATTAAATAAATTAAAGAATAATATTGGGAAAATTAACCAGAAGACTAAAAGCGTTTCATCCCTCAATTGAATAAAATCAAAAAATTGGACAAAAGCTTAGGAGTTAAAACTTTAGGAGGAAATAATTAAAGTAACTGTTGTTGTTCATCGGATGATCATTAATCAATTTCAATGAGCTCGATCAATGCAGATCAAAATTAATATTGTGACTAAATAATTTAAAGATAGCTTCGAATGTTGTATTTTAATAAGATTCATTCAATTCTTATACTTTATTGATTTACTTTAGTGATCATAAAAAGTTTATTGATATTATTTATGGACACTTTAAATGAATTAGTTTTTTGATTTCTTTTATTAACAATTAAATTTGAGTTATGATTGCCATAACAGAGCTACATGTAGTTCAATGAAAATGTTTACAGTTTAATTTCAGTATAATATTTGAATTGGGTAATTGTTTGGGATTCAATATTTTTGTATTTGGTCAGCAATCGTCGTCTTTTGAAAATTAAAGTTCAAAAGAGGTCAATTATTCACATTGCATCTTTTTCAATCAGATAGATGGAGTTCATACAAAATCAGAATAACAAACTCGACTATATCAGATCATGGCAATGAATCGATCGATTGACTTTGCCTAAATTTCGAGTCTTGCGTGGTTCCATTTTGAAACGGTGATTCCACAATCCCATTTTGCAGCGACTAATGATTCATTTTTTTGTTTTGTTGTTAACTAATTTATATAAATGTTATTAGTAAATTTTTTAAGGTTTCTTTCATGTTAATCTCAATTAATCCCATCATCTGTTTATATCATCTGCTAATAAATCATCAATGTGATCAGTGAAGTTTAAATCATAAAATTCAATTCAATAAGCTTGTCCAGAGTGTCAAAAGAAGTGTTCAATGTAGAGGTGAAGGGTTGCATCTGTCTTACCAATTGTCTTTCAATAACTGAAAATCCACTTTCAGTTTCTCAACAAATTATTCAGATTGCCTTTCTTCACAAATTTAAATAAATCTTCCATAAAGCTCACAATTTAAACAAAAGTTTAATCAATCCAAGTCTTTCAAATTAAACATAAATACAAATGATATTGTTTTGCCAATGATGATCAAAAACCTATACTTATTGTTTTACACGATCGTCTGACTGATCCAGTGACTAACTGTTTATCTTACCTTTTCCCGGATTGCCTCGGATTGGTGTTGATAAAGGATAAAATATAATTACAATTGTCTTTCATTTAAAATCGTAATTTATTTATAATAGTTACCAACAATCATGGAGCAAAAAATTTTGGACCAGATAACCGATATTTGGTTTAGTGTTAAGGAAAAGACTATTACATGTTGTCCCGGTGTTTTTGGGGCAGAAGGAGAAACAAGACGTGTCAATGAAGGCCAAGGAGCTCGAGGTGAACATGAGTTGTCAGATTTCAGAAGCTTCGATAAGCCTGATGTAAGGCCACCTGGGCAGAGTGAATACGATGAACTCGGAGAGCATGGATATAAAGCAAATGGATCTATTGACGTAGTTGAAGGTGAATTCAATGAATATGGTGGTGACCCAAGAAACAAAATATCAGCATGGCAAGCAGGTTGGAATGTAACTAACGCTATTCAGGTAAATAGATTTTTATAAGTGTGTAAATCGGCTATAATCGAGCTTATCTTTCATTTCGCACTTTCTTTTCTTTTCATTGTAGGGAATGTTTATTGTGTGTTTACCCTATGCAACTCTTCATGGAGGTTATTGGGCCATATTTGCTTTAGTTGCTATTGCTTATATTTGTTGTTACACCGGCAAAATATTGGTTGCCTGTTTGTATGAGGTCGATGAAAATGGCCAATTGGTTCGAGTTCGAGATTCTTATGTAGCCATTGCACAAGCTGTAATGGGTGAAAGATATGGCGGAAAAATAGTCAACATAGCTCAGATTATTGAGCTTCTTATGACATGCATCCTTTATGTTGTACTTTGCGGTGATTTGATGATAGCCTCATTTCCAAGTAATACTTTCGATCAAAGATGTTGGATGATGACTTCGGCAATACTTTTGCTTCCATGCGCCTTTCTTAAAGACCTCAAATCTGTTTCAATGTTAAGCTTTTGGTGTACAATCGCTCATATTGTTATTAACATCATCATTTTTGGGTATTGTTTTCTTCAGATCGGTGACTGGTATTGGTCAAAGGTAAATTGAAATACACAAACCATAAAATTAACCTCAATAAATTGAAAAATCTCAATTTTAATTCTGCATTTTCAGGTTACCTTTCATATTGATTTCCAAACATTTCCAATCACAGTAGGAATCGTTGTATTTAGTTATACTTCACAAATTTTCCTACCCAGTCTAGAAGGAAATATGGCTGATCGAAGCGAATTCAGTCAAATGCTAGATTGGAGTCACATAGCTGCAGCGGCTTTCAAGGTAATTATCATTGGAACTAAACGAAACCTTAAAATCTAATTCTCGATATTTTTAAAAACAGGGTTTGTTTGCTTATGTTGGTTTCCTGACTTTTGGTGAAGCAACACAGAAAGAGATTACCAATAACTTACCAACACATGGATTCAAAGCAATTATCAACATTATTCTAGTAGTTAAGGCTTTACTCTCATACCCATTACCATATTATGCGGCTGCCGGTCTCATTGAGACAGCCTTGTTCAAACGAAAACCTAATGAGGATAACCCACACGGAGTTGGAAGTCAGCCCTTTCCTACTTGCTGGGAACGAGATGGTGAATATCGAGTTTGGGCTGTTTCACTGAGAGTTGTCCTTGTCTTGTCCACTTTAATTGTTGCAATATCGATACCTCAGTTTGCCCTTCTCATGGGTCTAGTGGGTAATATTACTGGAACCATGTTATCCTTTGTATGGCCCTGTTATTTTCACATGAAAATCAAATGGAATGAAATGGACACTCGAACAAGAGCCTGGGAAATATCCATTATTTGTATTGGTCTTGTTTCTGGTTTCATTGGAGTAATCACTAGTTTCAACGCATTAATAGATGTCTATCATCTACCATTACCTTATGCACCAGGTCAAGAAGTGATAACAACTTGAAGAATCTACATTTTATTATTTGCGTTTTTTGTCCCATCTTTTTTTTCTGTATCGTTTGCCGTTGGAGTGAGGAAAACTAAGATGTTCTCGATTTTCTCATTAATCTCATCTTTCATCATCACCAATAGTCCATAGAAACAACTTCAAACGGTCACTTAAATTGTCAGGTTGGTTCAATCAGTTTGATGCTTCAAAAGTGATTAGGTGAGAGAATCTACAAACACAGCTCTTTGAAAGTATTTAAATGTTAAATTGTTCAACACATAGTAACTTTCAGGTTTATGTGATTCCCAAAAGTGGTTGATTTTAATTACAAGTGCTAATTTGCTTTTAGAAAGGGTTGTTTTTGTTGGCTCAGATTTTGATGATCTTATGAAATCTTATCTGATCCAAGCAAATATAAACATTGAAGGATAGGCGTAATTTAAACCATAAACTCGACTTGTTTTAAACAAAACTACGAAAAGGTTGAATAACTTTTAAAAGCTTAAAAAATAATACGAGTTCATTTGAGAAGGAATTTGTGACAGATCTTGCGAATGTGACTTTACATATTAAACCCAACTATTGATACCTAACCATTTTAAATCAATCATTTTTTGATTAGAAGAAAAAATCAGTCTTTCATTGAAATAATCACTTTCAGCTTTACCAATCAAATAACATAATCTAATTTTTCTTTCGACAATATTGATCGCTAACCAAAAGTCTTTCGTTGTTGTGATAAAATATTCGAAGGAAAACAACTTAGCTCATGTCTTTCAATTGAAACTATTTGTTTCAATCAAGTCTTTCAATGATTAAAAATTTGACCACAACAAAATATTTTACAAAAAAAGGTTTCATTTCTTATATTATTAGAAAAGAAACCAAGTCTTTCATCTTTACTTAAACATGTAACTGTGAGTTGGTCAAAAAAATCAAATTATACTTCTGACGATTTCAAAACATCATTCAGTTTATCGTCTAGTTCAATCATTCCAAAAGCCAAAAGCCAAAAGCCAAAAATCAATTATCATAATAAGAGTGACAAATCAATTTGTAAACTAAAACAATCCAATAATGTTAATTTATGTTTGTAACCCTAATTTTTTTGTAATCTGACAATTCAGATTCAATCAGTGTTTGATTTTCATTATAAAATCTCATCTAAAACTGACAAAAGTTGAATAAAATATAACTAATGATTAAAAAAGTCCCACTTTCTTTAAAAATAAAATACTATTATATAATAAAAAGACATTGACAAGAACCGTCTTTTTCATATCGGTGCTAAGGTTTTTCTCGATAAGTTTAGTCTGAATGAAACAAAACATGTAAAATTTACAATTGATTCATTTAATTTACGAAAGATTGCTTCTGAAATCTCTATACCGATGATTGTGATACAATACCTGAGAATCAGGTCAAAAACAGTCCACAAAAATTGATAAAATGTGGTAGAAAATTGTAAGACTGATATAAACCTTAAACACAAACAACTAAAACACAAATAAATCAACTTGTTGGAGTAACTTCTTGATTATTACTCTTTTCCCCAATAAAATCGTTCTCAATGTTTTTTAGAGCCCATTGATGATTACTGATTTCTAGCGCTTCCCATTCAGCTTTAAAAGCCTGTTTTGGATCAGGAGGCATCGCCATAGCTGCACCGGACATTTGATCCTGCATCATTCTAGTTTGATCAGCAGCATTATTTTCACCTTAAAAATAAATAAGAATTATTAGTTTGAAGCAAAACAAACAAAACACTATATAAAACCATACCTAAAACAAGTGTATAAATACTTCTAAGGCCGAAAACGTTCAAGAAGTACCAACTAGCAGATGAAACCCAACTAGCGTCTAATGACATCAATTCAATACCACGCTGTAACATTGGTTTAAATCTTAAAGTCAAAGGAAACGGTACTTTTGTACAAACAAAACCAGAAAAGGTCCAATTAATCCAACCTCCAATGAGAATCATTGGCAATACGTTGGTGAGATTTCCTTTAAGCATGTCTGTCATCATAGAAGGATCAGACATTGGATTAGGAGCTTGAGCAGGCCGACGGGAACCAGCTTTCAAATAGCCAGTCTCTTCATTGTTCAGATAATGTCGTCTCATCAAGAAACTCTAGATTAGAAATGGGAGAAAAATTGAATATTAACAAGATAGGATACAGGATCAGTATTGATACGTACCTGTTTTGGAATGTATTTGCCATTTTCCCGGAGAAATCTACTTCTTATCAATAACTGACTGTCTTGTACTTGATGTAATTCAATATTCTTAGTTGAAGAAATCAAAATTGATACATAATGACGAAGGATACCAAATAAGAATGAAATTATAACAATGGGTAAGAAAACCCAAGCTCGGATTGATGTATCCAATAGAAGTTCACTCATATTCTGTTATTCCAGGAATTTTCAGCACAAAAAGAATTGATAAGATGACGAATACAATGATAGAGAAGTAACAAGTAGACAACAAAAACAAATAAATACAATAGATTCAAGCACTGGACAATCAAAGGAATCTAGATTTAGCTTGAGATGCACAAATGACAGATTCTTTGCAGGATTATCGGGCTAAAATAGCTCAGCAGCCAACAGCTAATAAAATGTTCACTTATAACAAATTCATTTTACTTATGGATCAGGTAGAGTTGCTTCAGGGAGGATAAATTTATGAACAATTGTAAAATAATAATAATAATTAATCAAATTTAAAGCGATGATAAAATCCTACAACCTGCAATCCAGAGACCCACTCAATCAAGAGATTTTCCACTCGCTAGATGGTGCTAAATTTTCCCATATGATTTATAGTTTTTTACAGGTTTATCAATAACTTTAATTCATGTTGTACTGTTTTGTTTATTAAATCATTATTATTCCATCCATTGTTATATTTTAGGAATATCATGCTTTATTTTGTAATTTGTTCGATTTTTGTCTCATCATTATGTATGGCACAAGAGGGTCCAGTTTATGCATCTGAAACGCTTGCCAAACAATCCAGTTTCCATACCATTGAGGGACGAATTTTTCCGAGTCCTAACTCATCTATCACACCATCTTGGTTCACATCAACTCGAATCATTGTTAATTATGGTCAATTCATTGGTTTTATGAAGTAAGTCAACTGAATAACTATTCAATTTCTGATTAACTTATTGTAAATTTTCTTTCGTTCACTAGGAGAGATGGAACCTTTGAAATAAATAATGTGCCTCCGGGATCATATCTTGTTGAAGTTAATAATCCTGACCTTTTTTATAAGCCTGTAAGAGTTGATATAAACTCCAAAGGAAAAATACGAGCTCGTAAAGTTAACTATATTCAAAGCTCAGCTGTGCAGCAAGTGAATTATCCACTGAAATTCAAGCCTCAATCTTTCTTTTCCTATTTCCAACAACGTGAGACTTGGCGATTAACTGATTTCCTTTTCAACCCAATGGTCATGATGATGATTTTACCTTTGATTTTGATAATGATTCTACCTAAAATGATGAATGCTGCAGATGCCGAAACTCAACGGGTAAGTGAATTCTAGTTAATTTCTTTAGGTTTTTTTGTTTGACTGTCTAATATTTATTCCTTATCTCTTTTTTGCAGGAGTTACAAAACACTCAGATGCCTGATGTTCCTGAATTTTCAGAGATGATGACGAAGTGGTTTACCGGTGGTGCTCCATCTGGATCTACTAAGCAGATCGGAAGGGGAGAAAAAACTAGTACTAAATTAGTGAAGAAAAGATCATGAAAACCATCCAATAGTTGAAGACGATCGTTATCGATTCTCTTGTTTTTGTAATTTAATATTTATTATGATAAAGATAAGCTTTACAATCATGTTGATTTTTATTTAATTAGCTACTATAATTTTATTTTAATTATATATACAATATTAGAAGTCTAATTTTTTAACACTTAAATTTCACTTTTAGTCTCTATTGACCTGGCCATTTCTCTGAGCTCTTTGACTCTTTTCTTTATCTCTTCTCGTGACATTTCGCCTGATTGCATTGCAATTCTTAATCTACTTAATTCCGCATAAATATAATCATCTTCAGCCAGTCTGTTGTAAAATCTAGAGTCGAGTTCTCCAAACCGCTTCTGTCCAGTTTGTTTGTAGGCCATTTCATCATCCATTGTAAGATAAACTTTCGTCGGAGGAATAAAAGCTCCGCCAACTCGCCTTCCTTCATCAACTAAATAATTATAAGTAGCAACTGCATCTTTTGTAGGCAAACATTCAGAGTTGATTCCTTTATTCTGCAAGAAAATTCGTGTTTCCAAAGGAATTGAGTTTCCAGGATCTCCATAACCTAATTTAGAAAGAATTGATATTAATAATTTTTTATATATGAAACTTTATCATTTAGAGAGAACTTACCAAACACGACTAAATCAACTTTAGGAACTAACAAGTAAAATAAACTCGTAGAGGCTGGAGTAACTCTTGAAGCATCACCAACATTCCAAGAATACAATTGCTTCGGAAATAAAACAATAGGACCCATAAGAAAAAGATTATTAGTTAACCTGAAGCCCATGTCACTATAAGACATAACGAGCAATCTGTCATAATCTTCTTGAGCCAAAAATGAGACGACCATTTTTCCTTCACTATGAACATTCATCTTGTTCCGTTTGTTAAGTTTCACAACATTATTGATCAGATTGTTGCGAGCTAAAATTGTATTTGACTGTTTTAAACCAAGATTTGCCAGTCCACGAAGTAACTGCATCATGAATACAATTTTTAATCAACAGAATCGGAGAGAGAACAGTTAACTGATTTTATTGCGTTGAACTATGAAGATTGAAGAAAAAATTCAAAATGTTGTGAAAAGGCAAAGAGGTATTTCAACCAAAAAACATGACAAAACAAGAATTTACTCGAAGAAAATGTCCAATTTTAACAAAATAAACACCATAAATTCACATAATTAAACTTAAAAGAATGCAATTTCGTCAATAATTAAAACCAAATCAGATGTTTACTAATCATATGAAGAAATCTTGATGTGATCTTTACTAGAGACATCTAGTGAAATTGTTATTTCTTAAAATAGATTGAATCCACCTGGTGGATTCAGTTGCTCATATGTTTTTTTGTTATTGAAATGAGTCCCGATTACGATTGAGTTACAGTTGGATTCCAATTCTTATTCATATCATCATTGCAAGTTGTACTATTAAAAGCTTATTGATGTTATCTGACGAGAATCATGAATAGCTTTTCATGGTAAATGCAAGTCCTACTACTCCCTTCTTTTATTATGTGTTATTAAAATAAGTGCTTTTATCTAGATACTATGCTTGTCAAACTGACCGGTATAGTTTGTAACTTTTTTTCAAAAGTTAAAAATCGTCTGATCTCGAAACGAAATTATTTATTAGCGTTTGTTATTTTCATGCTCTTGCAGTATGATGTTAAATTAATCAACCGTCTCAAAAATTCACAGCCAAGTAAGTCTATCTTCTTCTAGCCTTGTAAAAATAAAATCTAATGTCATGTTTTAAATCTACTTTCTCTTCTTTTTACAGTTATTGATTATTCAACAAATCTATGCTTTTTACCCACCTGGCGTGATGACCTAAACAATTCTGATGTTTCTTGTTTTGGTAATTGCTGCCTAACCAGTGCATTTAACATCGACTCAGATCTCAATTGTATATTTTCCTGCAAACCGTCTCTTTTCGACCACTACAGATCGAGCAATATCTTTTTCATTTTCTTACCCATCAGAATATTTCCTCGAAAAGATAAAAAAGTCATCTCTTTTTCGTTGTACGGGTTGGATAAGCGTTATCTTCGTAATGCAATCAAAGTTATCAGAGCTTACAAAAAGCTATTACAAGACTGGATTCCACGATTCTATGTTGGTTCAGATGTTCCTCCTTTGATGGTAAACCGTTTGATTTATGAAGGAGCAGAAGTTATTATGGTTTACCAAAATCAACCCTCAAATAGTGTTAATGGACCCAAGCCACCTAGTTATCACGGTATGTTTTGGCGTTTCTTTGTAAGTCAAGATATCAATGTTAAAAGATATTTGGTAAGAGATGCTGATTCAATCCCAATTCAACGGGAGATCGATGCAATCAATCAATGGATCGATGAAAAGACAATGTTCCATGTCATGAGAGATAATGCCGAACATTCAACAGAGATTCTTGGGGGAATGTGGGGAGGAATAGTCAATTTAAAATCTTTCAATCTCTCCCAAACCTATGAGGCAGCAATTTCTGATGGTTTCAATGTATTTGATGGCAAAGGGGTTGATCAATATTTTCTCCGGTCGTATCTTTGGCCGATTGTCCAATCTAACATGACATGCCATGTTTCATATCATTGGTTTTTTATAAGCGATCGAGGATGCAAAGATTTTCCTACCAAAAGAACTGGCAATGAATTTGTCGGAGATGCTATTTTATATTAATGACCGTTACAAACCTGACTTGCAGAAATAATTGATTGTTAAACTTCATGTTTATTTCATATATTTTTGACAAATTTGTATAATTTCCTATGCAATTTTAGCACATGATCAAAAATTTCGAAATACTAGTCAGAACACTTACTTGTTAGTATTTTTTTATTTTTCAACTGTGAGATATATTAATATTAAACTATTTGTTATCACTAGTTGTTACTTAATTAGTATATTATTTAATCTGCACAATAAATAATATTTTTCTTATTTTCTCATTCAACTATGCAATACTGTACAATTCTGTTCTTCTTCGTTCCTATCACCTTAACTTAAACAGTTTAGTGACAATAATCAATAACCTTTCTTTGTTTCTGTTTTTGGTGGTTTCTGTTAGGGTTAAAGTCTGTTCATTTTGTGTAAATGTATAAACTGAATTTCAGCAAAAGGAAATTTACATTTCATTCTAAATCTGAGTAAACATAGTGGATAGAGGCGGGCTTACTAGTCGGTGTTTGACTTCTTCTTTGGTAGGGAGAGCTTTCGTTTCGTGTTTTGAATTGTTAATTAATGACGATGCAGAAGAGTTAAACAATTGAAAATAATAAATGATGTAGATGAATAAGTGAACTTCAAAACATTGAAAAACAAAATTTTGATCAAAGAGGAAAAAGAGGATCTTGAAATTGAATCCAGGTTAAAGCCTTTTAAATTGTTTAGGACACAAAAATAGAAGTACAAATACGGAATAAGTTAATGGTGAATAAAGTGAATGTGGAAATGATGAGAAGGAGGAAGAAGAAAAAAATGATCAAGAAGACAATGTTCAGAGACAATCTGAATCATCATTTAAGTTTCGTTAAACAGATTAAGGTTAGGATTGGATCTTGTAATGAGGAAAATTTGCTCTCTTTGTAAACTTCAACAGAACTTTTCATTTTAGATCTTAAAAATAATTCTCAATGTTCATGTTGAAGTTACCTGCTCCAATACTAATGATAATCCTGTTGTATAAAATTATCGATTACCATCCATTAGATTCCAGTAATGAACGCAGAAAAAATATAAATTAGATCGATTTAATATTTGTTTTTCATTAACCCCGTAAACAAACAATCCAACAAGAACAATCTAGTTCAATTCAACCGCACTTTTTTATCACAAATTGATTCACTATTCATCATTCAGGTAACTTACTGTTCATTTCGTTTTATTTCCCCATTCAATTTCAGTCTTTCTCTTTCTCCTTTTGTTTCCGTTTATTTGGCGTTGCGGTCCCAAGTTAATTCACATCTTTCCAGTGCTCCATATGATTTCAAAGTTGCTATTCACAATTTTTGTCAACATGATCACCACTCAAGTAGATGAAAGAAATCCTGGAACAAAATTAATCCATATTTGTCCATAAAAGAGCAAAAATATTACCTTCGGCGGGACTCGAACCCGCAATCCCCGGTTTAGGAGACCGATGCCTTATCCATTAGGCCACGAAGGCAAATCGTTCAACTTAATAAACAAGAAATTAGTTTTCCGTGTATCCAAATCAAGCACCAAATGATTTGTCTCCACCAAACTGATTGTATCACCAACATGAACTTTTCAGTAAGATGAAAAGTGAATGCAGTAATTAGACTGCGACCAAGATGCAAGTTACGAGGCAAATAAACGAAGGCGTAATTATATTAATCGAAGACTTGTTAAAAAAATGTTACATTGATACAACTTCTTTTCAGTATCGTGAGATGACGCTTTAGTCTTTTTTCTTTGAAACACTTGTGTTTTTTTGAATCGTTGCCATCTACCGATATTTAAAGCAGGTATTACAGGTAAAAATGAAAACAATATTTTATCAGAAACTTTGGTTTAAGTAATTGTCATTTATCTTTATTATTTTTGTCTAACTTGTGTTATTATTTGTTGATCAATTTTGGGAATTTTAAAATGAATAACGCATCAGTGCTAGTAATTTTAGTTTGCTTTATGACACTTTTTCATTCAGGTGAGTCTATTGGCCAATTGGTTGTAAATTTTTCTTTGGTTTCAACTTTTAAAAATGTTGTTTTTTCTTTCTATTACATCTTAATTGATATTTTAATTTAGGAGCTGCTATCAAGTGTTGGATTTGTAGTAGTAGAACGGACCCTAAATGTAATGATCCATTTGTTAACGAATCAATACCTTTAAATGATTGTAATAATGATCCTCATAAACCTTCAACTCGTAAGTAGTTTAACGTAACATCTTAGTTTCATCTTTCAATTGTTTTGGTGATTTTTAATTCTATTTGTGATTTCTTTTGTAGCTAGTTTGATTGGTGCTAAAGCAACAATGTGCAGAAAGGTTAGACAGAAGGTTGACAACGAATGGAGAGTTACTCGATCTTGTGCTTATTTAGGCGAACCAGGAGAAGGGACTGGTAACGAAAATGTTTGTCACTACCTAACAGGTAAGATTTAACCAAATAGAGTTAGTTTTATTGAAAAATCATTTTATATTCATTAATTTTTCAGTCAATCATCAGAACTTTTTATCAACGTTTGAAGCTAAATATATTTCTAACCGTTTTCTGTCTCTTTTCCGACACACCCATCCTAGAATCATACAATGTCTTCCGTGAAACCTGTACATGCAACAGTAAAGATGGCTGTAACCACGGTTTTCTATCTCACGGGAATTTACTGACCATTTGGATAATGTTTGCTATTAGCCTATTTTTCTGAGACCTGGATCTGATATTTTTATACCAAGAATATTGATTAAAATAGTAAAATCGAGATTCAATTTGACACAATCTATATTAACTATTAAGCTTGTCATCCTCTCAATCAAACTATTTCCAGTTAGTCCTTAAAAATAGGACCTGATCATGTTTATGATGGATCTCAAGTTTATAATGCTGATCATTGTTTTTAGAAGGTGTAAATAGCACTCCCAAACCAAGGAAATACATTTATTGGATCATGGAAATGCAAAAAATGGTTCTAGAATTATATCTTCATTGTATGTGTCCTTATAATTTGCAGATATTTCAATGTTTGTAATACGATTGCAAAAAAAATATTTTCTTATCTATTGTTGTCAGTTTTATTAATTTTTTGGCCTAAATATTGTGCCTAAATGATGATCTGCATTCAACAAAATATGATTTTTTCAACTACCATAGGAGCATATTGAGAAAATTGATTATTTAAATAATCGCGAGCTTATATAATAAAAGCAAAAATATCAACAACAATCAATAAATTATTTAGGTTTTATTTTGTAAACAATACACATGTATTATCATAACTTGGTTGCAAAATAAAATTTAGATTGCAGATTGCATTTCATTGAGTATTATTATTAAGGAAATTAACAATTATTTGAGAAATCTCCAATTCTCGTTGACAATTTGTTCGCGTTTGTTATAAAGACCAAATTGATCAGTCGCCATAGCTTTGGATTTTATTCATAGTTTTGTATACATAGATTGCACATAGTCGACTGCCTTTGTAGGACAACCTAATTCATCATAATAAGTTCCAATCAAATGCCCAATTTTTTTATAACCATTTTTATAAAAATTTTCCCATTGACGAATATTTGAGAAATAATCAATACTCAAATCAGTCACATCATCGGTTAAATCTTTTTCAGTAAACTGTCCAGTAACGAAAGCACGAGTTGCATCTTTACCGGTGACCAATGAATAAGTTCCACCTGGTTTGTAATGTTTGGATCCATCAGACACGTCATAGACAACACCAAGAAAAGCAAGGTAAATTTTAGAGTCTTTGTCACCCGTGAACTGAGCCAGCTCTTCTTTGCTCAACAGTACTTCTTCATCATTTAAACAGCTGCTAATTGTGATTTCAACAGACTTATATCCAGAATAAGCTGTAAAATCAAATCATATTAGTGTTTATCAGCCTAAATTGAAAATAAACTTACAAATTTGAATCCAATGGTAAACCGTCTTGAAAACGAAAAAAATTAGCTCAATACTTTGATCTTTGAAGCAAGGGTTAACATAGACAATGGAGATTCCGATGAATGGTACCAGTAAACTAATGATGGTTACTATGATTAATTTCATTTCACATGATGGAAGTAACTTGATGATTAAAATAATTCTAAGAAATGGTTAAAAGCTGGCATCAGACGAAACAATAACAAATAAAATAAATTGTCCGTTGTTAGATACCTAACATTGAGTAATAAGTCATTGTTTTTTCGGAATATCAAATATCACATATCAAAATATTTTGTTAATCACTATTTTAATTTAATCAGATGTTAAATTACGTTATTACTGTAAGAATTGATAAGTTATGACAATAAATAGTGGATACAACATGAAATGAATGATTTTGAGACAAGCGAGCTGCCTATTGTATCTTTATCTCTCACTGATGATACACTTGACTTATCCTTACCAGTTCTTGAATAAGCAATTTTTTCTTTCTGGTCTACTGATTTACTCAACAGTCAAAACAATTTTAGGAATATTTACTATAAAGATTCATCATTCAATCAAATTGTTTAATATTGAGTCTAATACTTTTATAGCGTATTCAGTGAAGAGTCTTCACTGATGATTATCATGATATCACAATTTGATTGGTTAGATGAATATAAACAAAAACTGTAGAGTGATTCAATCGAATTGACAATTCAATTTCTTCTGATCATTCTTGCACATTTATTAGATTATAGCAATTACTGGAAAACAAATTTAAAATTTACATGTAGTATGTATTAATTTTGTAATTGGATCATGCAATAAAACCGATTTTGATGAATTATTTTCACATTTAAGCGTTCAGTCTGACCTTTTCTCAACAGAATAGAGAGTTTAACAAATTTTGCTTTCAAACAATATGAATAGTGAATGTTTTGATCTTAAATTTAGAAGCAATTCAGTAAATTTGCACGCAACTTAGAGGTACACCATTCGCTCAAACTTCATGAATACAGAGTTTAGTAGACGTTTCTAAAATTTTTATTTCTAGAATAGTTTCTGTTTAAACTTTTACCGATTTTACTCGAATTCAAGTCACCGATTATTTCACGATCAACCGATAAGCAGCTGAAGCGACATTAAATTGAAAATATACCGAGTTTTCAATATTATGAGCTGCTTTGTATCAATCAACGTGCAGCAATTAGAGAAACTATTCTCGATGTTTAACTTTTCTGAAAAAATAAATATTTGAGTTAACATGATAACAACGGAAAGCTGTTAAAAATGTGAAAACTGATCTTTTGATCTTATTATAGTAATTAATATATATATATATGTTCAGGCATTTTTGTTGCAAAAATGAAAATGGCCCACACAAAAAAGACTAAGTGGCATTTGTCTGGGTTACAAAAATTCCTCATACTCATTCATATAATCATCATCATATTCAGGTTGTAGATTATTCCTCTCTAATTTGATAGATGACTTAACTAAAGCCTTTTTCTTGGGTTTGGCAGACTGTAAAGAAAAGAAAAAGAGAAAGAAAGAAGATTAGTAAACAGTTTAAAAGGAGAACTTAATGGGAGTAAACTGACTGATAAATTGATGCAAGATAAACGTGATGGAAAGAATAAAATAATACCTTTTGAGCTTTGATTTTTTCATTATATAGTGCATTCAAACTACTTGATAATCTTTTGATGTCATCAACTTCAAGGCCAACGCACAAGTCTCTGAAAAGAGTTTCTAGAAAGCCAATATATAAAGGCGATTTTTCAGCGGACATCATTTTATCCACTAACAGTTTTTTAAAGTCTTCAAAATTATCCTTTGTAACTAATTCAACACCGCTTAAACAGTTAGGTGCACCAACACCGAAAGTTTCTTTCGCTAACATAAGATCGGACTCCTCTTGTAATCTTTGTGCTTCTAATTTTTCAGCCAAGATTTCCTCAGGAGTTTTGACTTTATTTGCTAAGGCCTCAGCTTCCATCTCTGCTTGTCGTCGTCTCTCTTCCTTCTCTGCAATTCTTTCCTTTAATGGCTTCTTTTTAACTACAACAGGATTTGGATCTTCTTTCACTTCCTCTTCTTCGTCGTCATCATCCCAATTATCCTTAATATCTTCCTCTTTGTCCTCGTCTCTCCACCTATCAGCTTCCACGTATGACTTGATTTCTTTTGGTACTGGACATTCTTCCTCTTCCTCTTCGAAGTTTAATTCATCCCCGTTAGGCTAAAGGAAAAATTAAACAAGGTTGAAAACATTGAAATGTTAAAATAAACCCAAATGTGAAACCCAAAAACTAGCGTAAATTCAACTAATACAATAATAATAATAAACACTCAAGGTTGAAAGTAAAAGTAGGCTAAGGTAAGGGATAAGCTAGCAATAAGGAACAAACATGATTGAAATACTCACATCTTTAGAACCCATGATTGCACCAAGATGTTTTGATTGAGAAGAGAAAAATTAAAACGATCGAACAAACAATAGTACAAAGATGGTTAAAAATTTTATTTTAAGAACCACCAACAAGTTAATTGGGATGTTTAACAGTCACAATTAATGATCTAAAATAACACGCGGACACAAACAGTCAATCTGTTTTAGTTTATCAATATCAATATCAGATACTTCCAATAACTCGATACTTTTGAAAATGTCAGTTCAAAGGCGCAATGTTTGATTTCTTATTCACCTGGTAATCCATTCTTCTGATCTTTCCTTTCGTCTCCTTTGATTTCATATTGTGAACTGTCTATTTAATTCATCTTCTTCTAATTTGATTTCAATTTTAATTTGAATTTCCGACAAGTGACATAGAATAGAGTCTGTTTTAATTGTTCTCAATCATTGAAAACTATACTACTGCGGATTATTGTGTCAAACTTCTCTCTGATCAGGTAATTATTATTGAATGATTTATTTAGCCTTTAAGTTATTTCCTCTGTTGCTTTATTAATTTTATTTTTCGACATTAATCAATTATTTTCTCTCTCTTTCACCTTTATCATGGTTATCATAAATCTATTAACAAGAGTCAAAACAAGCATGTCATTTTACTTGGCATAACATTATTAAACATGTGTACTGATCTATCTCTTTTCATTTCGCAATTCATGTTTTTCTTTCATCAATCATTTAATTTTTGAAATTGTTCTCATGTGGCTGATGATTAAAACTGAATTTATTCCATAGATTGAAATGACATAAAGTTAACTCTAAAGGTAGGCTTGGTCAATGTTCAGGTTTCTACTTTACATTAAACAGACTCACTGACAAAAAGGTGAACCACTTACAAGTAATTCTTTGTTTACATTATTTTCGCATAGTCTTGTCTTACATCTTGTGAGTTTCTGTCTCTTACTCTTAATATGCAATCTAATCTGCATCATGTTGTTTCTCAATTAACCCTTCACTTACTAGTGTTCAAGTAAGTTCCAAAGATAATGAAAAAAGAGACAACTCACTTACCTATTAATACGAATTAACTGGTAAGATGATTTGAGTTTTATATTAAGAAATTTGTTAACTCTTGTTCTTGCCTAAAGTCTTAATATCAAATGGTATAGTTCTTGTTAAATATTGTTAAAACTGTATCTGACTAGAAGTCATCTTGATATTATCTAATATCTAATTAATTTTGTTTTTTTATTTAGCTAAAGTGCGATGGAAAGGATTCCCTCAATGATATTTGATCCAACTGATGCAGCCTGACTATAGTGGTTATTGACTCTGTGATCTTATAATCTATGGAGAAAAATAATGATTCTTGAAAGCCCAAGATGAGATTGAGAATTCGTCGTTCTCATATCTATCTTATTTTGATATTAGGATTGCTCTCCATTGGCTGGACCTTGTTCATTCGACTTGATAAATTTAAAACACCACCATTGATTGAAGGTAACGATCTCAGCGAGAAGTACAAATTTAAAAGTAACCTGTCACCTACAGCTTCTGCACCAATATTATTAGGAAAAATTGAAAACGACTCCTTCAGATGTTTTGGCTTCAAAAAAATTGACTGCTTGATCAATAATGAATATTCTGTTGGCTGTTACAAAACTAGCGATGACATGGTCTACGTACCTTTTAACTTCATCAGGCGTTACTTCGATATTTATGGAAAGTTGATTAAAACCCCAAACAAACAAGAAATTTTCAATTGGGAACACAGTTACTCTAAAGTTTATTACCCAAAAGAAGCGTATGATTACAAAAGCACCTATCTCTGGTTTGACAATTACAATGTAGAAGTACGAGATAGAGTTAAATTAATATCTGGCCTCAAAGGTGTTCCAATCTCAACTCAATGGGAGCCCCGTGGTCATTTTTATCCGATACAAATCGCCCAATTTGGTTTAAGTCATTTCAGTAAAAGTTTAACTCTAGGAAAACCGAGGGTTACAATCTTGGAAGACGGTTTTTTTAAACAGGATTATTGGCATGTGGCTGTTAAAGGTAGCCGGATACAAATTCATTCCATGGAAGATAATAGTGAAATTGATGCCGAAACCAGCTTTCCAACTATTGGAGAAATGAAAAGAGCTTTCAACGATAACAATGACAATAATAATACCGTCAATATCAATAACAAAGTATTATTTGTTGATGGAGAAGCTATCACGTTCAAACTTAAAAGAAAAAAAATGCATAATGACCTCACTCTATCTTTGCGTGTCAAACCATTGGATAAATTTAGTTTCACCGTGTACCTTCAAAGTGATTCTGGTAACTACGAATATGCCATTTCCTATGCTAATACAAATATTGATTTTGATGAAAATGGACCAACCTATGGTTTCGGTGAAAGTAAAGTCTGGCATCATTTAACTCGTGAATTAGGAGTCGACTTCCAAAAAGCTTGCACTATTTTGGATAAAAAATTACCCATCAAAATGAAAAATTTACACGTGTCCAAGATAATCTTTAAAGGAAAAGCTCTAATTGACGACGTTATCCTATCTTCTAGTGCTCATGAATCTCATTTTTTCTCCGCTGTTCGTTGGTTACTTGAAAATCAGGATGATTTAGGTGGTTGGCCAATTAAAACTACTCGAAAGCTTTCTAATGGGGCCTTAATATTGAAACCTGGTTGGTATTCTGCAATGGCTCAGGGACAAGCAATCTCCTTGTTAACACGAATGTACCATTATGTTGGTGATGAAATTTACCTGAAGGCAGCTACTCGTGCTCTTAGTTTATTCAATGTGAGCTCAGAAAAAGGAGGATTTCGGACTTATTTTCTGGACAAGTATCTTTGGTAATTTTGATTATTTTACTTATTTATACAGGGTATTAATGAACTATAGACGTTTGATTCCTTTTTTCTGGTTGATACCAATAGACTCGAACTTTTTAATCTTATATTCTGTTAGTCCTAAGTGTAGATTGATTTATTTTAAGATGGCTCGATTCTGTAACATAAGCGATTCTAGGGGCTAAAAACCGAATTTTGAAATATTTATTTTCGACTTTTTTGTAAAGTGTGAAAGTGATTTTTCTAGCGTTTAAGGACAGTTATAGTATAATCTTTTTTTGCTTCATTTTTGATGCAATTCAGCTTGTTTTTAATGCTCTCTCCGTTTTTGATTTATTGACACTTTTTGAAATTCACGTGAAATCGCTGACATACATATTTCTCCTGTTTATCGAGGGTTCATCGTGTGTCACTTCTGAGTTGTCAATAATGTTGACGAGGATATTCGAAGATTTTCGAAATAGTTAACATGTGTCAAACCATATTGTGTGCGAAAATTAACTTAGGCATGTTTATAATGAATGAATATTGTCATTCTCAACTTTCTACTTTCGTCTGACCTGAAGTTCTCATTTTTGAATGTACTGTGATCTTAATTCAGAAGAAATTAGAATGCTGATAAACACCAAGAAAACAAAAATATTGTCATTCAAACTTCCAAAGTTCATTAACACTCTGTATTTATATTAGCTTAAAGAATAGTTTTTGTAATTTTTCTAGAAATTCATTCTGTTTATTAACATGTAATTTTGTTTTGGATTTTCTAGGTTTGAAGAGTATCCCACGATTCCTAGCAGTTTTGTCTTGAATGGATTTATTTACTCTCTGTTCGGTTTGTACGATTTGAAGATGAGCTGTGCTAAACAATGTGAAACAGTCGAGGAATATTTCAAGAAAGGTCTTGAATCTTTAAAACACTTGCTATCTCTTTATGACACTGGATCTGGGACACTTTATGATTTACGGCATTTTTCGTTAAAAACTGAACCAAAGATTGCTCGTTGGGATTATCATACAACTCATATCAATCAACTTTTGTACCTTAATACACTTCTCAAGGACCAATATCTATCAACAGTATCAAAAAGATGGATTGGTTATTTAAAAGGAAAAAGAGCTGCTCACAATTAAAATGAAATTTAAAACTGTAAAACTAATGATTTTGAATGATAGTCTATGAGTTAATACTTACTTCTCATAATTACAAAAAAATAATTGTTGTATTTCAAATTTTAAGAAATAAATGACCAATATTGTGATTTGTAAAATAATACAATAAAAGAAATGTTCTCGATCAAATCGAACCAAATGATTGAAATAAATGGTCTAATATTTGATGAAAATTTCCTTAATCCTCTGGATATCAGATGATTTAAGACTTACAAACGAAAAAAATACTCTGACAATTGATTGTTACAGGGTTTGTTGATGTTTAAATACATTCATGATTCGTTTTCATTGCTTTATGGCAATTGAAGTAATAATAAGGTAAATATATTTGTTAACTGTTATTGGTGAAATAATAAATAAATCAAATTGATTACACTTAGTAACATTGAATAATCCAAACACGATCAGAACTGTCAAAAAGTTAATTTTATTTCATTTATTATCCAAATCCATTCCACAAAAAACTTTTACAATTCGTTGCGCCTGAGCATATGCTCTAATGAGCAATTGCTCCTAAAAAGGAGCTTTTAATTTTGTTAGTTTGTCAAACAACTTGTTGAGTTTATTAGCTGTTAATTTAATTTGGACCTCTACTCATTTTCATTATATTGTGATTTAGTGGACTATATCGCCATTATGCCGAGCACAAGGTAAGATTTTGTCCAACGGCTTATTTAACCTCTTGTTCTATTTCTTATGTTCATCTTCTCTACTCTACCTATTGACTTATTCAATATTATTCATCTATTTTTGGAATATCGTCCAAAATCGTCTATTAAAATGACAACCTCGTCTTTTTGGATTAGTTTTATTGTTTACGAAGCTATCTTATCAACTCTATCATTTTTCATCAAATTAATCTATACTTGTTTCATCCTCTTTTCAATTTTCAATGATAAACATTTCCTGTGTATTACCTTTTTTGTCTCTGCTTATGTTTCTGTAGTGAATCTCGAACCTATTCAAGGGAAGTTAAACCAATCACTCAAGTTACATATTTTTATGAGGAAAGCCGTGAGACTGTTGTTAAACCACAAACAGCTACTTCATCTCCACAACATGTTGTTATGGACTCAAATGCCAAAACAAACGGTGCCAACAATAACAATGTAGCTTCCAATGCAATTGGAGAATTGGATGCTTTAATGGCCTCTTTAGCCGATTTCAAGGTACTTATTTACCCAATTCACATTCAATTTTTTATTAATCCTTATCTGTTCTCAATATTTCCAACCCTTAACATGTAGACAACATCACCAAAACATACAGTTACTAAGCCTGCCAAACCTCAAGGAGCTTCCAATGCAATAGGAGAGTTAGATGACTTGATGGCATCTTTATCAGATTTCAAGGTAAATTTGAATGGCTCATTATTATTCGGTCTCTCTTTTCGGTGTTACTTCCCAATGTTCAGGATACATGAAAAGATAATACTAGCTATCTTAAGACCACTCATTACTTTGTTACAATATATTCATAACTTGATTTCTAATTTTCTTCTCGTCTCAGGTTAAAGAAAAGCCATCACCTAATCATGAATATGGTAAACTGCAGCCCAAAACAACAGTAGTTAAATCTAAGCAAACACAAGTCCAGAGTAAAGCACAAACTTTGGACTCTATGATAGGAGATCTCCAAGTTGATATGAGTAAACATGGTGTTGATACTACAGCCAAGGGTCATTGTGCTGCCTGTCATAAGCCCATAGTTGGATTGGTAATTTATTTTTGTCTTTTAATGTCCAAAAAGTATCTTGATATTCACAACAATATTTAATGCATCTAACTCGAAGATATTCAGTCAAAATCTATCATATTAATTAGCCCAGTTTTTCAATTTTTCACCATCGATAGTAAATTGATTTCTAATATCCTTCTGAGTTAACTTTTGCTTCACTTTTGGCTAATTTTTGTTCAAATTTTAGCCAAATTTTTTAAGGCTACCTTTCTAATAATAGTTCTTTCTCTTCTCTTTGTTGATAGTTTTTCTATTATCTCTTGAAATCTTAAATTCAAAGGTCGATTAAGAAAGTGAAATATAAAAGTTATTTTTAAACTCGTTTCTCCTTTTTTTCTATTTTACCTTCTTCGTTTGTTTCACGTCTTTCCACTTTTTTTTCTCGTCTCGTACAATGAATAATTTGTATTTTTTTATAATTTTCTAGGTTGTTACTGCTTTAGGAAGAACCTGGCATCCCGAGCATTTTACATGTGTTAATTGTGGTATTGAACTAGGGCAAAGAAACTTCTTTGAACGAGAAAATGAGCCTTACTGTGAAGCTGATTACCACAATCTGTTTTCGCCCCGATGCGCCTACTGTAATTCATCGATTATTGACGTAAGCTTCCGTTTACCTTAGCCCACATTATGTATTCATTGAAAAAATGAAAACAACCCACAGACATTTTGGTGATTTTCACTGGCTCTAAATTGATGAAGAGTGGAACAAGAATTAAAATTGGTTAACACCCAATGTCCTTGGTACAACACCCTCAACCTGTAGTGAGAAACAAAAATTGGAAGATGAAAGGATAGGAGAAAAAGATAAATAGTGGCGAAGATGATGATTCTGATGTTTAAGATTATGATGATTATGTTGAAAAAAATAGTGAAGAGTGAAAAAAGTGGTTTAAGACGATGTGAAGTAGAGAGAAAGATAGAGAAGCTATAAAGCATTAAGATTATGTAGGAGCTGTTGATCGAGGATTTTTACTTCAACTAATAATAAAAGATGAAATAAGGTTTATGCCAAGTGATAATACTTTAAACTTGAGATTTAGTAAGAAAAACTTCCTCATGCATTTTTTTCTTTTCTCTTCATCATCTAGAAATGTGTCACAGCATTAGACAAAACATGGCATCCAGAGCACTTCTTCTGTGCTCAGTGTGGTAAACAATTTGGCGAAGAAGGTTATCATGAAAAGGATGGCAAACCATATTGTAGTGAAGATTATTTCGATCTGTTTGCTCCCAAATGTGCCGGGTGTAACAGTGCAATAACAGACAATTATATATCAGCGTTAAATTCACAATGGCATCCAGATTGTTTTGTTTGTAGAGTAAGTAATTGTTAATGATGAAAAGTAAAGTTAGCAACCTTTGAACTGATTTCTATTGTTTTACTTGATTTTTAGGATTGTCGATGTCCATTCATTGGTGGTAGTTTCTTCGACCATGAAGGTCAACCTTATTGCGAGACACATTATCATGCCAAAAGAGGATCACTTTGTGCTGGATGTCACAAACCAATCAACGGAAGATGTATAACTGCTATGTTCAGGAAATTTCACCCTGAACACTTTGTTTGCTCATTCTGTTTGAAACAACTCAACAAGGGAACCTTCAAAGAACAAAACGATAAACCATATTGCCATCCGTGTTTCGAGAAGTTATTTGGTTGAACCTGGATTTACTTTTATTCTTTTAACGAATTACCTGCATCATTTTTGCATTCTTTTCGTTCCTTCTTTTCTTCCCACGATTCAAACAGTCACAAACACACACACACACAAATTATCAAACTCAATACTCAACTGCAAATTAAACAGAACCTTGTAAATGACAAAAATTACGCATAACACAACAACCTTTTTAAAGATGTCATTTAACCAGGAAAAACACTAAGAAATCAAAAGCTGATATGATATTGTGGCTCTCACTATTTCCCTTCACCCACTTTCATTATTCATTCATAAGTTCGACTAACCTCCAGGAAAGTACATGATATTTTTACCACGCTAAAAATATCAATAATCGTTTTAATTGGTAACATTGAAAGAAGCAGCCAAAAATACTTAATCAAATGATGTTAAGAATTCGACACAACAAAAGATGTTCAAAACATGGATCCAAACCAAGACTGCAGTTGTATGACATGTTCAATGAATCAACAAATGGCAAACCTAATTATTAGCCTTGACTGTGAGGCCTTACAAAACCAATTGTAACAAATTCAATTTAAAAAAATAATAATATTCTTTATTCCATATTAATATGTAAATTTCATTTACATTTGCTTCTCCAATCACAATTATTACGGACGTTTGTTTGAGTTAGAGGGTAAATTAGCTAATCAAAGGTTGAATTCAAAAGTGATAATATTTGTTAAATTCAAATGAAAAATGAGTTCACTAATGTACCCATGGAAAATATAAATTTCATTGATACACGAACAATAGTTACACTGTGAGTGTGTTTCCAATTTCAATCATAATGTTTAATTCACACGTTACTTTTATCATCAATTTACAACTTGCATGCTTTAACGATTAGAAAATGATTACATCAGAATATCAAAAGATTTAGGAGAACTAATTGAAGTGTAAATGTACAGGAGACGAACCAACCTTAAGAGGGAATTCTGACCATTTCAAAATTATCCATCATCCAATTCATTTAAAATGGTGCTTTGATAAGCCACCAAGCCTTGCAAAACCAATTGTAAAAAAATTGAACAAGTTAATATAAACGGTAACGATAACGAATCGTACTATCCAAAAATATCGATCATCGACTTATTATTGATAAAATTTACACCTTGAATCGTTACACAAACCATACAATGTGTAGTATCTAACACAAGTTTATGGACAATTTATGCATACTTTTATTTTGATGCAAATTCACAATAAATTAAAAATAAATAAATTAATATTTTGATGAATCCAGATTAAGGTTCATCTTGGCTTAGTTGAAAGACGACTTTGATATCCTTATTTTTGTGTAACATGAACATGATAAAATTTGAACTGGAATCTCTTAAGATCAGGTTTGGTTGCGATACAAGATTGATTTAGATTTGAAACAAGGTGCCCAACCAATGGATTATAATACACGTAACATAGTCCCATTAGGAAAATCAGCACTGAAGAACAGATAAGATTACAAAAATGAATAAATATAAAATGTAAGAATTGTGAATGAATGTGATATTACCATTGAACAAAATCACCACCAATCAAATCAAGAACATGATAAGCGATTCCAAGCTGTACATCTTTAGGCATCTTACGGTTAAACAATTCAGTTCGATTTATCTCATGATATTTGGTCCTTTTAATCATTGATAGTAGAGCATTTCGGCCAGCCGTAAATATCTTATAAAAATGTCCACAGTTTGGAAGGGAGAGAAGCCAAGAGCCGACAGTTCGATGGACAGCTAAAACTCCATTATGCACCAACTCCTTTATCTGGTCATCCGAAAATTGATACTCTTCTCGAAGCTGTGCGGATGTACATGTCGATGACGGGTTACTCTTCACTACTTTGTCAATGAATTTATCTATTTGAAAAAGAGAAAACAAAAATTTCAATTTAAAGGTACAAATGACGTGGAAGATTTACTTACCGAGAACATTTCCTACGTAAATACTTTTCAGATAGTTGATATAGTCCTCAGTATAAATCAAGGCAGTATCTGTATTGTTGATTGTGGTTCCTAATTTAAGCGAAAGTAGTAATCCTTGATCACAAAATTTGTTCTGAAAAAGTAGATTTAGTTAGCAGTTTCGTTAGTTTAAGTCCAATTCAACATTTAGGTTAGGCTGACTTGAAGTAGGTAAGGTAAGGACGAACTACTAGATTGGCACAAGTCATTAAATAAATGTATAATAATCAACTTACTAATTCGATGTCAACTTTGGTTCTGTTTTTAATTAAAGGATAACATTGATGTTTCCATATAACAGCTGGAAATTTTTCCCCAAATAGTTTATTGGAAAACAAATCCTTAACATGGTCCAGAGCACTTTTAACATCAACGAGCTTGGTATCTATAATTCAAAAATAAAAATTACACTTGGAAATTAAAGTTATTTTGTTTAAAATTGTAACAATTAAGAAAATAGAGGGAATAGAAGATAATCAACACAGGTTGGAAATACTTTTTACCTAAGACTTGGCAAATCCTTTTATTAGATTCTTCTTGATCTTCATTTTTTCGCTTATTAAAACTCATTTTTGGTGAAAAATTATAAAAAAAATTGAAGATAACAACACAATAAATTCAATAAATATTAAATAAATACTGAGATCGAATGATATGAAATAAAATCGATGTGATAAAATTTTAACTTTTCATTCACAAGATGAGTTTTATCATTTCTGTCTACACAGATCAGCTGATTGCCATTAGCTTTATGATAAAATACTGGTTTCTTCACATCAGTAACCTATTTTTTTACCTAAATGTCTTTAAATCATTAATTTTTCTTATATTCGTCCTTATTAATCGGTTAATCTGTTTTAAATTCAACTAAATGAAACTTTCTCTGGCAAAGTATCAAAATGATTCCACTTGAGAAAGTACATCGTTGAAAGTAATCTGCTCAACTAGTTAGTATATTAGCGAAGCGATATTGATGGTTAATTTAGCGCTTTTTCATGAAAAGTATTTGAAATTATCTTACCTTTACACAATTAGTGGTGAATATTGAATGTAGATGAAAATTTGAGGCCACTATGAACCAACGAACCTTGAAGGTGGTAAAGAAGCCTATTTTCAATTGACATTCCAATTGGATCGGCGAGAGTTTATTAAAAGTAATCACTTCATGGCCAAATAATTATATAAGTAACTTGTTATAATAACGAGCCTAGGATGTTGAGGCGATAAAGATGAGTTGAAGACGGATAATAAAGCTGGAAACAATGCGATTGTCAACATCAGCGACAGCAATAAGTCTCTTCAATGCGACTCAAATGGTACACAACCCGTTAATCTTGAATATGATTTTTGAACCATCACCGAGCTGAACAGCTTTGATAATGATGATAATGAAAATGGATGCTGAGAGAGAAATTATATTATAAAAGAAAGTTACTTATTTTGAATTGTCTGTCAATGAGAGTAAAAAATTTATAAACATAAGATGTCTTTTTGTTTTGTTTGCAAATGTTGCCCTGATTCAAGGGGTTTAAAAATGACTTTTTTCTTACTAATTGTGACCACTTTTATGATTGAAACCCATGCATCACTAAATCATCATTATTAACATCTTCTTTACTATTTGATCTCAATTTCTCTTTCTCTTGAAAATAATCACAATCAAAACCAATGAAAGCATGAAAAATAATAAACGGATTTTTGTATCCATTCAGACTTACCTTTATTGTTACGAGTTTTATTGTAAAATATATAAGATGTTCATATCTTTCTTTCCCTTTCAAAATATCGAATCGTTTCACTTATTAAATTCAACTTTTATTCCTTACTGTGAATTTGGATCCTGGAATCACAGGTATATAACTGGGTGAGATTGTACCATCAAATCATCAGTCGATCATCAGCAAACTTCAAGTAAACATTACTGAGTGTTAATCATCAAGTGTTAATCATTTTAAGTTGAAACTTCAAAATTTTGGATTAATCTATTTTTCTTAAAGTGTTTTATAAAACATCACAAACATAACAATAAAAATGTCTGCTCTTTGTATGTTGGGTAAGTATCAAAACTGTGATTAGATAATTTTCCCTCGTTATTTGAATGTAAACAAAGATAGCTTTATCTTATCTGCAATGTGGTAGTAAACCAGAATATTTTTGGGTTAATGTAATTTGTATTTTTTTCTGGTGATTTTATAGTTTTCACAATTGTTGTTCAACTTGGTCTGAGCCAATTAACTACTGCCAGTGTTGTTAAACCCGCCGCTGCCAATTTAACTGCCTACAATACTCCTTATGCCTATTATGACTATGAACGTGATCCTCGCCAATGGATGGGAACCCCATACACTGGACCTTATGGTGCTTCAGTTGCCCCCTTGACTGGTGGCTTGGAAGCAATTGCTATTGGTTTATTAATCGCCCTTGGAATTGGAATTATCGGATTCCCATTAGTTCTTCTGTTATTCTCACTCTTCCTTGGAAATACTGGTTCAGGCCTTAGCTTTGTCCCACCAGCTTCACAAACAACTGTAACTGGAAGGAAACGACGAGACGTTTTGGGCAACATGTTCCCTCAAGTACCACCACAGTTCCAGGACAAGTTGATCAAGATGTTCACTCAATTTACTGATGCTCCTGACAAAATGGCTTTCATCAAGAAATATTTGGAATCTTAATTACTCCAATATTAGTTATTTTTCATTTTTAAATTGCTCATGTAAATGGCTGCTCTGATATTGAAGTCCATTTACGAACCTCGAACTTAGTCTGATATTTTTTTCTTAAAAATTTTATGAATGTAACAAATTATAATGTTTGATCCCACCAAAACCATTCACAATAATAAAAGAGAACTTAAGAACTTGTAATCAACTATTGCATTCCGTTTTATTGAATAAGGACAATTGTTGAAATGTCTTATTTTCATCAGTATCGGTAATAGAGATTGCTTTCAATTGTGTCAGATGAAAAAAGTGAAATCTAGAAGATCATTTGTCACAAGTTAAACAGATATAAAATTCATGTTAAGAAAATTTCGCCCTGATTACTTCGTCTGTTTATTACGGTTGAAGCAACAAAAACATGTTTTTACATTTTAACCGAAGCAATAGTCACAAATATAGACGACAAGTCTGAATATTAGCTTTGATCGTGAGGCCTTTCAGAACCAATTGTACATCACAATAATTATAGACATTAGTTTTATTTGGAGTTGAGTTCGAGATGTGGCTTAGTAAATATTAATAGTTAATGACACGATCAGAATGTAGTCAACACCAGAAGTTTAAATACTGTCACTTTAGATACATCGTATAATAGTCGTTAGATACACTGTACCAAAGGATTGGAACAATAAAGATAATCAAGTGGCGTTATTAAAGATAATAAAAAGTGAAAACTGGATTCACCTATGGAAAACACGAATTTTTATCAACTCACGAACAATAAATGCACTGTGAGTGTGTTTTATATCTAATATTAATCATAACGTTTAATTCACACGTTACTTAGATCATCCATTGACACCAACTTGAAAGCTTGAAAGTGATTATTAAATCAAAAAATATTGAACGTTTAATAAATCTGATTGAAATACTGATTTACGGTACAAAAGTCAACATTACCAGATATTTCATTATATCTTTGAAAGTGAACTCCTTCATTCCAATGCATTCTGCCAACATCGATTACTTGCTCTACCTTGATCGAGCTCTCAACTCTTGGGTAAGTTTGAATTGTCCGCATTAAAAGTAATTATTATTATAAAATATAACACAAAGTAATAGAGAGTAGTCGAATCCTTAATATTTGTGAAAATTGGTAAATACAATGACAGCAGATCACAACTCAAATTATAATCAGAGTTTTTTATCACTGAGTCAGGTTCAGTGTTGAATTTTAGACGTAATAAACTGTAATAAATAATCAAGCATTAGTAATTAAACAAGTTAATAAAGTACGAGTAAATTATGAAATATTGTTTTCATTCAATCGATATTTGCCTATTTATTCGGGCTAATAGATTCTAAGATGTTGCGTCAAGACTTTTTTGAACCTAGCAATATTGCAGGTTGCTACTGAAAAGACACAATTAACCCGACTGTCACATTTATTACGAAAAAAATGTATTTTGAACTGTCACTTTGTACAAGATTTTTAAGTCATGAGAGGATTTGAAGATTAGTGTCAAAGGTCAGAACCCCTCTGGTTAAGGTAGGTCTGGAAGATTTGTGATCATCATGACTGGTTTCGACTAAAAAGACACAACTGAAACAATTGTTATTATTACGGTATTATCACGACTATTTTTCGGTGAAATTCTGCATAAATAACAATAAGTTTGAGTCACCGACATTGCATTTTGAATATAACGACTGTAGCCTCCAAGAAAAAGATCATCTTTAACTAAACTCCTCATTAAACACCCAAAAATAGTCCACTTTATTGCCATTTACAATACAATATCAACCAGTTTGTTGCTTAAAAGAAACATTTGTGCACAAATTGACACAACTTTACACAAATGGACAGAAACGGGTGAAAGTTAATTTCTTGCAAATTAAAACTCTGTCGATTTGTATAGGTATTAAAACTATGTCCGTTAGTGCTATTAAAAGATTTCTCTGACCAATGATTTTCGAGAAAATTGTGTTCGAAGTTGAAACTTTGATGGCCTTTTGTGCAATTATGGAAGCAGATTTTTCCATGAAACTTATATCACAGATGATAATTTAAATGATCAACCAGAAAATGGACTTATTGTGAGCAATAAAGTTTTCCGTCCAAAATAAAACGCATAAGTTCGACTTGGGTTCAGGTTTAGATTGTAGTTCAGATTTAGGCAAGGTTAAGATTAGGTTTAGGCCAGTCTATACTTGAATATACTCGTGAAGTACTTTCAACACAATTAACACAATTGTAACATTTATTATGAACAAATTGATCTTAGAACTGTCTTTTTTATTATTTTTAGCTAACAAGATTTATAAGTCATTGAAGAATCTAAAAGCTAAGAACCGTTCTGGTAAAGGTGGAGGAGAAAAGCTTATTGTGATCATCATGAATGGTTGTGACCAAAAAGACACAACTGACACAATTGTTATTATTATGGTTTAATAACGACTATTTTTCGGTGAAATTCTGCATAGATAGCATTAAGCCCAAGCCACAGACATGACATTTTGAATATAACACGACTGTAGCCTCCACGAAAAAGATCATCTTTAGCTAAATACTCATCAAACACCCGAAAATAGTCTACTTTATTGTCATTTGCAATACAATATCAACCAGTTTGTTGCTGAAAAGAAACATTTGTGCACAAATTGATACAGCTTCAAACAAATGGGCAGAAACGGGCAAAAGTTAATTTCTTGCAAATGAAAACTGTTTTGCTTTGTAGGGGAATAAAAACCATGTCCGTTAGTGCTATTAAAAGTTTTCTCTGACCGATAGTTTCCTAGAAAGTTGAGTTCGAAGTTGAAACTTTGATGGCCTTTTGTGCATTCATCGAAGCAGGCTTTTCCATGAAACTTATATCACAGATGATACTTATGATGATCAACCAGAAAATGGACTTATTGTGAGCAATAAAGTTTTCTGTCCAAAATAAAACGCATAAGTTCGATTTTTAGTTAAAGCTGTCGCATTTAGTCACCGAAATTTTTAGAGAGCTGAAACTTATTTTCCGTAACTGAAAACTGTCTCTTAATATCATGAATTCAATAATTTTTGAAAATTATCAATAGCTCTCTCGATTTTGGCATTTGACCTGGAAACTTTGACGCTGAATATTTCGATTATGGTAGCACTTAAAGACACCATTCTTTGACCAAACATTAGATTTTACTATGGGCTATAAAATATGAACGTATGAAATTATTCAAGATCCCACAAAGAAAGTTATAGCATTTGATTATTCTGTTACCTGAGGGTGGAGGGTGATTTATAATGCTAAATGTCTGCTCAAACTCAAATCGTAGTTTGTTCATAAGATATTCTTTTAAAAACACAGTAAAGCTAACGAATTAGTTGCGTATGATCACCACTGGTGTGAGGACTTAGAATAGGTATCTGGA